GGGTTGGACTTGCTGCATTCCCGAGGCATCTAGCGATGGGAAAGAGCAACGCGTCAGATACCGCGAGCATTCAACTTTCCAAGTTAAGAGCAAGTAAAACAGGCAACTACCTCCATTCCTAATTGATTGCGCAGCCCAGGCTAGTCTGAGTTCTGAGAGAATGAAATTGAATGTGTTCTGACCTACCTAGTTAGTTGCCAGTCGAAGACGGAAGAACGGTCTCAGCTCCCAGAGGTCGGTGGGCAGGTGGCCAAGCCATTCTGCCAGCCTGCGCCACCCGGCACTTGTCGCCGGTTTCGCTGTCAACGCGAGTGAGAATCTCAGTTTAACCATTCCGAACTGACCTTGTGTATTGACATGTTTACAATTTTTCTTATATTTCCATATATAAGGTAATTAAATCTCTTCATGTTCATCTTGGGTTGAGGTTGTTTTATCATGGCCACCCGCCCCCAACTCACGCCTCTCCTGAGGAGATTGGTGCGGCCGCGCACAAGCCTAAGCAGGCAATCAACAGTACAACAACAGCTACCGTGCCACCCCGTGCGTTGCTTCAGCAGTTCACGGCCCCGGCTTTTCCAGACGACAGCAGTGGCATGCAAGGGCCAGTTCACGAGCGAGACGTACCCAGATATCCAGCGAGACAAGCGGTTTGCTCAACTTACACAAGAACATGTTGCCTTCTTCAGGAACCTCCTTGGCACCGACTCGGCCATCATCGACGGTGTGACAAGTGACGCGGCAGACGACATCGAGCCTTTTAACAGCGACTGGATGCGCAAGTACCGTGGCCACTGCAAGTTGGTGCTCAAGCCCGGCTCGACGGACGAGGTCAGCAAGATTCTCAAGTACTGCAACGACAACATGCTGGCAGTCGTCCCGCAAGGTGGAAACACTGGCCTGGTTGGAGGATCCGTACCGGTGTTTGACGAGATTGTCGTCAACATGAGCCGCATGAACCAAATCATCGAATTCGACGAGGTCAGCGGCACTCTGGTGGCCGAGGCTGGGTGCATCCTCGAAGGCGCCGACCACTTCTTGGCGAGCAAAGGTTACATCTTCCCCCTAGACCTCGGCGCGAAAGGATCGTGCCACATTGGAGGGAATCTGGCTACTAACGCCGGCGGCCTGCGACTGCTCAGGTATGGAAGCCTGCATGGAACTGTGCTCGGGATAGAGGTTGTCCTTGCCGACGGCACTGTCGTTGACGACCTCTGCAAGCTCCGCAAGAATAACACGGGCTACGACCTGAAGCAGCTTTTCATCGGCGCCGAGGGCACCATTGGCATCATCACCAAGGTGTCGATCCAGTGCCCCCAGCGCTCCGCCGCTCAGAATGTTGCCTTTTTCGGCCTCGAGTCCTTCGACAAAGTCCAGCAGGCATTCCGGGAGGCCAAAGGCCAGCTATCCGAAATCTTGTCCGCATTCGAGCTCATGGACGAGGGCAGCCAGGCGCTGGTCAGGCAGGTCACCAATAACAAGCGGCCCCTGGAAGACCAGTATCCGTTCTACTGCCTGATCGAGACGAGTGGCTCCAACGCCGACCACGACAGTGAGAAGCTTCAGGCCTTCCTCGAGGATGTCATGGAAAAGGGCGTCGTCGCCGACGGGACACTGGCCCAGGACGAGACACAGTATAGGTCCCTGTGGGCTTGGCGTGAGGGCATTACCGAGGCATTGGGCCATCTCGGCGGCGTGTACAAGTACGATGTCTCGATCCCCATCAAGGAGCTGTACCAGCTGGTCGAGGATACGCGGGCGCGAGTCGACGCCGCTGGCTTGCTGGGAGATACGGATGAGTACCCCGTTCGGGCTGTGGTTGGATATGGGCACATGGGAGATGGAAATCTCCACTTGAATGTCTCTACGAGGCGCTTTGATGAGCGGGTTGAGAAGGTTCTGGAGCCGTTCGTCTACGAATGGATTGCGGAACGACAAGGCAGCATTAGCGCAGAACACGGGCTGGGGCTGATGAAGAAGAAGTATATTGGATACAGCCGCAATCCCACCATGGTCGGTTTGATGAGGAATATCAAGAACACCTTCGACCCTGTAGGATTCCTTCTTCTTCTTTTCTCCTACTTCACGCGCGGAGTCACTAACATCGTGCCACAGAAAGGTATTCTCAACCCCTACAAATATCTGTAAGCTTGCCAACCGCGAGCTGGCGATATGTCCATTCGGTGAGCCACTGGAATTCCCGGTGCTGCCCGTCTCACCGTTATTGTACATAGTACCGGTCGACATGGCTGCGAACTGGCCGCTGCCATGGAACTCAAGCCTGTTTTCAGCCAACTATATGATGAATGCAAGTCAAGCTCTCGGCGCATTTTCGCTGTGTCTGGTCCCAACAATTCTCAAGACGTCTTTTCGTCCCACGGACCAATCCTTCCAGTGGACGAGCTCCTTTTACATTGCCGTCAGATCTCACGGCCTTATGCAGGAACATTGGCAGCGGCTGTTTCGGAGACTTCTCAGCCCTACGGTAGGGTACTTTGTAGGAAGTGCAATGCGTGCCGTTCTACGCGTCTACAGTACGCGTACACTTGATGTTGGTTTATGCTTACAACATTCGCCAGGGTTGTTGACGAACAAGTGAAAGAGATCTGCGGAGTTCCCCGCCAACTGTGCAGACGACTCCCTTGCCAGTACGGATACCCCTTGAAGGAGTTGGGGGCCAATTCATGAGCCCAGACACCGAGAGGCTGTTGGACGAGATCAGGCCGGGGACATCTTGTACAATGCATACCACTACAGTACACTGCTTTACTAACTCAAGTGGCACTGCTGTTGTGATGTGGCCCCTTAAGTCCACGAAGCTCCATGGACCTGCCCGGCCACCGCGGCACTTCACCCTGGAGAGCATCGACACTGCATATGCCACATACATACTCAGCTTGGCTATCATCCTCAATGTCTCCGTTGTCTTATGGATTCTCTGCAAGGTTCTACCGGCAAGCCCGTTGGCCAGGCAAGAAATGCAACGGCGAGACGGGGCGTCATGTGAGCCTATGGGACGGACAGTTCTGGGTTGCTTTCATCAGTGTGCGGCACCGATCCCCCGCTACCAAGCCGCCTGGATGCTACCGGGCTGTGGCCGTTGGGCCGGCAGGGCGATCCCTCAGAGTTATTAATCCTCCGCGGACCATCACTAGCCAACCCTGGCCGTGGGCTTTTGCGCTCCTACAAGCAAGGTTTGATTTGAGAATACAAAGACGACCATCGGAACCCCTTGGGCTGTTGTGGTTTATTCCAGGGAGACACGACAACACAACGAGGGACTGTGGTACGAGAAGTTATGCCTTAGTACTACTGTGTACTCTAGCTTCAACTTGATTCGCTGTACAGGACCATGGGTAAGAACTGAACGCTGTCTCCCCGCCGGCTTCCCGTCCCCCACAGGACCAGGCTCCTCTTCCTCGTGCAGTTGGTCCACTTTCCAACCTTTACCACACTCGGAAACAACTTTCGAGGCCACACGGCTGACTCAGGCATCAAGTGGGTGTTCCGGGGAAGTACAAAGGGTGCAACAGTAAGTTTGTTACCTAGAGGTTGCTTTGCTTGGGGCTTGGGGCTTGCTCACATCACCATCCCCTAGCCTGCCGTCTCCGTCGAGTAAAGGTATGACACATCAACGGGGCCAACTGAAGTGCAAGTGGACGAGATACAAACAGCTTAACCATACCATGACCTGTTCCAGTGCGACAACGAGCGACCCTTCTGCAGAAAGTGCCTTGTTAGCGGCAGAAAGTGTGCTGGTTACGAACGCGAGACGGTTTTCATCATCGGGACCCTCGAGGACCAGGGCCGTTGTTCCTCGCACCCGCCTCGAGTGCTGAAAGCAAAGAAGAGCAAGACGCCGCCAAAAACAGACGAGCCGTTTGACCTTGTACCCATCGAGCCCCTTCGGCCTGCCTGGGACGATGTGATCTCGGTGACGCACCGCGGGAAGCACTATCGACTGCACTTCGCCGCGCTTCGTACGAACTTGCAAACCATTACAAGGGAAGACGCGAGCGGGAATGGCGACAGCACGACTGGACTGGCCGTCTCGATTTCGTTTCCGCCTTACCAGGCACTGGATGTCCAGCCCGTGCTTAGCGAGGACGATTTTCGGTTGACGGCGCAATGGTTGGTGAACCTCGCAGCGCCGGACCAAGCCGGGAGCGCGGGTACACAGACGGCAGCCGATGGCATTTGCTTGTCTCTATATGAAGTATGTTGTCTCCAAAGCCAAAGGCACTGCCGAAACTGATTTGATCACGCAGCATAACAATTCCGTCCGGTTCAGCAACCAACCGCCCTGGAAAGATCCATCGGTACAGCATAACGCCGTGAGGAGGATGGGCCCGGAGAGCTTCCGCTCATTTCCCAACCACCACTCCTTCGTGCGAGTCTACCGGCCTAATGCCGTAAGTTCTTCACTTCCCATACTGACGTATAGCTTCGACTCAGCCCCCCGTGTCAAACACAGATCTGGACCGCCCTCCTCAACCGTCTGCCAACCTTCCTCGCCGGGCCCGAGTGGACTTCCACTCCCTGGGAGTTCCACCCCAAATCCCACTTCGACCACCTGTTTGACCTGCTCTCCCTGCTCCCGGGAATCTTCCACCGCGCCGACACCGTCTTCTCCCACCCGCACACCATGGCCCGGCGGCTCATGGCACAGGACCTCCTGCGCAACTGCCTCGACATTGAGCTCCAGCTCGACAGATGGTACGCCTCCCTGCAGATGCAGGCGGACCCTTCGTCTCGAAATCAGCAGCAGCCCCTTTTGTGGCCGTCGATCCCTAGTAGGACGGTAGGAGGAATATCCAACCCGGCCGACGGCATGTATAACTACCCCTTCCCTTCCGGTCCGGGCCATTCGCCCCAGCCGGCCTTTGCCTTTGCCTCCTCCCCCGCCTCGGCCTCGGCCACGACGGCGCTCAGCCTGGTCTACTACTGGACCGCCCTAAGCCTGTTCTACCCACGGATCTGGCACCTTTATTGGACTGTATACGAGCCTGTCTCCGATGACATGTACCACTTTACCCAGCACCACCATCAACATCATCAATCAGCAACGGCTACTACTAGTACTGGTAGTAGTATAGACCCGATGCGGTACTCCCCAAAACGGGTGTGCGAGCTGGCCAGCCTCATCTGTCGCGGTCTGGACGCGGCCCTACCTGACCCTGACCTTGACCACAACCTGAACGAAGAGTGCGCCGCGGCATTTCAGCCTGATATGCTGCTTGTGCCGCTGTGGGTGGCTGAGAAGTTTTGGACTGATGTGGCCGACGGGGTGGTTCCTTCCATTACTGTCGCTCCTACTACGGCTACCAGTACTACGGCTACCAGTACTACGGCTACCAGTACTACGGCTACCAGTACTACGGCTGCTACTGCTGCTGATGTTGCTGCTGGGTGGCCTTCTGGCATGGGAATGGGAATGGGAATGAATATTGGAATGGCGACAGCGGCAGAGGCGGAGGCACAGATGGGAATGGGCGGCATGACGGGGCTCGGAGGAGGAATGGGGGCCTTGGGTGATCAACAAACTAACGGGGGGCTTCGGAGAGGAGGAGGAGGAGGAGGAGGAGGAGCAGGAAGCGGCAGAAGCCTGGACATGGGTATGGGCCCGGGTCCGGATCCGGGAATGGGAAGCGGCGGTGTCTACGCGGACGGCAGGCTGGAGGTGATGTGGTGCGAGGGGTTTAGGGCGCGGGTGGCGCGTAAGGGGAGGCATATCCAGGATCTTGTGCAGGGGCGGAGGTGGGTAGATTTGGCGACTTTCTGATTTCTCTTGCAAAGTTGGCTGATTCAGGATTTGATTTGAGTATCAGCCGGATTCCTCGGGGTTGGGTGGATGGTTGGGTTGGGAGGCACAGCGTACACGCGACTACAAACTTTGGCTGGCTGATTTCGGATGGTACAGTACATAGATAAACAGAGGCAAGCCATACAATGCCACTCACCTACTAGAGTCTTCGTAGTATTTAAATTCTCTCTAAATTTCACCTGAAAGTCTGCTGCCTGCCCCCCATAATCCGCCTCTATCCGAGTGTAATCCTGATGCGATCTGTAACTCATCTCACTTGTGGTTTGCCCTAGCATAGTCGCAGTGTAGGTACGAAAAGTAGGGATACCTACATGTCAGTAGACGCGTGTAATATGCCCGGTTGGCTAGGGTACATGAACAGAACCAAGTACGCCTGCCTGCTGAAGGATTCTAGAACGTTACATGACAGGTCGACCACCATGGACACACCTACAGATGCTGTAACACACCTTCCCTCATCCATCATTCAGACAAGTGGTCATTCACTCACCAAGCGGTGTGGCAGCAGATACCATAATGTACTCAAGTCACCGTAATGTTGCCGCAAAAAGGCCCCCAACTCCTGAGCATAAGCTCCCGAAAGGAGAAATACAACAATACAATCAACCTGACCAGCCAATCTAGTACTCGAAATCATCGTCAACCGCCGGCCCCTTGCTCTTTGTCACGCTTTCCTGTTTGCGATACATCTCGGCCACCTGCCTGCTCGTCGTTGCCTCGTCAGGCTTTTTATCGTCCCGCACCCTGATGAAGCGGGGAAACCGCAGACTGATGCCCTTCTCCCCGCTGGGATCCACGCCCTCCTTCATACCGGCCTTGTACCGGGGGCTGAGCGTCAGGTCGGCCGTTTTGACCTCCCACACGTAGCGCGGCTCGAACCAGACGTCAGGCTGGTGCTGTCCGCCTGAACTGTGCGCGTAAAAGGGCTTCGGCCGCTCAATGACGATTTGCGAGAGGGCCTTATGCAGTTCCTCAAGCACCGCCTCGCTGAAGCCCGTGCCAATGTTGCAGACCGTCTCATACGTGTCGGTGCCCGGGTTGTAGCACGCAAGTAGAAAGGCACCGTAGACCGAGGTGCGCTTTCCCTTGCCATGGTAAGCGCCCAAAACGACGAGGTCAAGGGAGTCGCCGATGCCAGAGAGGTAGTCCTTCTTGATCTGGATTTGAAGTAGGTTAGCCGTCTGCTCGAATATGGAGACACTGGTTCGCGACGGTGCTTACCTTGAGCCAATTCCTGCTTCGCTTGCTTGGCTCATACCCGCTCTCCTCTCCGTCGAGCATCTTTACCATTAGACCCTCACAGGATGCTTTGACCGACTCGTCGAGGAACGTCTGGATCTCGTCCAGCTCCTGACCGTTCATGGCCGTGGCAAAGGCAAACTCACCCTCTACAGGGGTGAAAGACTTGTATAACAGCTCACGGCGTTCCCGAAGAGACTTCTCAACCACCGGCTCACCGTTGAGATAGAGCAGATCGAATGCAAACACGCAGACCTTGACCTTGACATCTTCTATCTTGACGTCCTTTTTCTTTCGCGTCATAAGCTGCTGGAAAGGCAAGACCTTTTTCTCTTGAACATCCCATGCTACCGACTCGCAATCCAAGACGAAGCTTTTTGTCTCCTCCTTCACCCAGGTAGGAAGTTTAGCAAGGATATCGGGGTACTTCTTCGACAGATCTTCCGAGTTTCTTGAAAAGATCGAGGCAACTCCTTTGCCGACCTCTTTTGTGGCGCTCGACGTCGACTGGCTGAGTGATTCTCCAGTATCCTTGGCGACATAATGAATCTGCGCTCTCTCACCATCGTACTTGTACTCGCATGTAAAGGTCTGGCCTTCAAAACGGTCCAAGACTTCGGTAATGGCCTTTGTTGGCTTCGCCAGCATGGGCTTGAGCGGGACACCGGGCCGGAGCTTGCAGTGCTCTCTCAGATTGAGGATACCATGCTCCACCATGGCCGGAATGATAACCTCGTAGCTTGGCAGCTCACTGTGCACCGTTAGAACGCAGGCAAAGAATGGCTTTCTGGAATTGCACGAACCTGTAAACCGCCTTAAGAATGGATTCGCTTTTCTCGATGTCGCTGGTACTGGGCACCTTGCCCTTCTGAGCGGCCTCATGGGCCACCATTGCCTGGGCAAGCGACACAATGACGGTTTTCTCGGCCAGACCAAGCCTCAGTTTGCCCTCCAGGAAACGGACGAGGTATTTGGCTTCGCTTGGCCCACCCTTATCCTTAGTGATGTCCACCTTACCACTTGAGTTCGCATCCGCTGCTGAGAGAAGTTTCTTGATACTGTCAACCTTTCGTCCCTGCGCGCCGTTGCCAGTCATAGTGGCAATTGACATAAGCCCCTTGTGGACAGCCCGAATGGTGAGCGCCTTCGGCTTGAACATGGTCGGTTGTGTCGATCTTGACTTGACGGCGACTAGCCCCAGATCTCCAATCTCCTTCTGATCCTGCTTAATGACCGCAAGGCTGCGGCCCGTTGTCTCCCCAATAGCCTTCATGATTAGCGACTCGCCAATACCAAGCTCAATCCCAGCGTAATCAGGGGCCAGCTTGTTGATCATGAGCAGGACCGTGGGCAAAAGATCGTCTGGAGTAAGCCGCAGGACTTGGCGGAGGAACAGGGAGCAGTGCGCCATTATTTCCAGCCTCTTGGTGGTGAGCTCAATCAGTGAGAAGGTCTTGCAAAGGGCAGCATAGGGAACCGGCTCGCCCGGTTTCCAGTCCGGATACGGATGCTTGACTCCCGCCTCGAGGCTAGCCTGGACCTTTTGGCGCGCCTTTGCCGCCACCTCAGGTTTTTCTTCCTCATCCTGTAGCTCCTCATCTTCGACCTCAGACGATGACTCGGGACTTTCTCCCTCGGCCTCGGTTTTCATGGGTACTGTAGCCTCCGGGTCCAATTTCCGGGACGATGCCGTGGTTGAAGACTCCTCGGCCTTCTTGGTGTCCGGCGGTGGCGGAGCTTCTTCCATCGGCTCATCCTCATCTTCATCCTCGTCCTTGACCACCCTCCTACCCTTTCTCAGCCGCTTGCTGGTAGGTGCCGCTACTTCATCATCCTCTTCCTTCTCCTCAACAGCCACCTTAGCTTTGCCCGGTCCAGCAGTAGACTTGGCAGTCCGTCCCCTCATTTTGCTACCGTCTGTTGACTCGCGCAGTCAGCTGAGCTCCTTTAGTCACCCAAATTGGTTTGAGAAGCCATGCTGACCGTTCTGTGCCTCCTCCACCTCGACGGTTTCATGGTTTCTTTCCCGTTTTACCCCCCTTTCGTTGCCCTGACCTTCCTCTGTGGCGGCCTTTTTTGCAGAAGCCTTAGTCGAGAAGCTCAACTTGGTCTGCTGAGGCGGAGCAGACTGTTTCCCACCAAAAAATTTGCTATGTCAAGCAGTCAGCACGAACCCTTTCCAATTCCATCCTTCCAGAAATCGTCAAGGTTAAAATGCTGATAAACCATTAAGAAAAAAACATGGGGTGAATAGACGTGGAGCGGAGATATACACTGATATCTATATCCACCCACCCCAACGTCGTCTGGCCCGATCTGACATACCCCAGAGTTGCCTGCTTGGGCGCCATCCTCTCGGCCCTCGGCACAGGCGGTTGAAGAAGCCCTGCGAGCCTGGCGTGGCGCCAATGAGGACAACACGTTACAGTGGATATGGCCCTGATCCTGATCCCGATCCCAGTGGTGGTCACGGCCGTGGTTGAAGGAAGCCAAGGGACGGGAATTGAGAAGCTTCGGAGAAGGACGGGAGGAGCCAGGGTGATCGCAAACGGTTGTGTTGGAAGTAGGGTTGCGGAAAGGAAGGGTCAGTCCAATTGGGGTCAATTCAATTTTCGGACAGCATGGAAGGTAGGGGTGCAAATGTTATTGAAGGTGAAGGTAGGAGCCAGAGAGGTACAGGGTGGATAGTATCAGTAATTGTGACGCGCCTTACGCGACTTTTCGGGTCGCGTAGAGTGGCACGATCACATGAGCTCCGCGCGCTGATAAGCCCCACCACGAAGCGTGATATGTATGTACTGAGGTACATTCATCGATAGGTCCACAGCAGGCACTCCCGTCCTTACCAACCTCCTTCCAACCCTCAATTTAGGACCGTTCCAATTCCAGGCTCTATAACAGATTATGATAATGTACAAAAACAGCGCCGCGATACATAGGGTAGTGGGTTCGCAGTCTTGCAGAGACGGCCAACCTATCTAATCTTTAAGATACCGATGGGTCGGCCCTGGCTAAGATGTGCTTAGTGGAAGTAGAAATTTTCATCCGGCGTCCGCCCACGGATGAACTGCGGCTCAGAACCACGGACGTAGATATCTTCGAACAAGATCTTGGGCGTAGGCTCGGGCGGCGCCATGGCCTCGGCAGCGGCGACCTCCTCGGCAATGTGGTTGCGGGCCTCCTTATCGATGCTCTTCAGTTCTTCCTCATTCGCAACACCCCAGTCAAGAATGTGCTGCTTCAGCCCGGCAATGGGGTCGTTGGTCGACCGCATGCGCTGAATCTCCTCACGGGTACGGTACGTGGTGCCGGGATCGGACATGGAGTGGCCACCATAGCGGTATGTGACGTACTCGAGCACCAAGGGACCGTTGTCCTCCGCGGTCCACTGCTTCCCGTACTGCACGGCAGCCTTCACCGCCAGGACGTCCATGCCGTTAACCTTCAGACCTGGGATGTACTGTCCGCGCTTATAGTAGTCCGTCAGGGCCGATGAGCGGGCCGCTGACGTACCCATGCCATACTTGTTGTCTAAAAAGAAGTTAGCATAATCCCAAGTTCCTTACTAATCCAGTGTCAACTCACTTTCGCAGCCGAACAAGGCCGGAAGCTTCCAGAGCTTGGCCATGTTGAAGGCCTCAAAGACCTGGCCCTGGTTGCTAGCACCGTCACCTATGCGGAAAGCCATCAGCGCCCCTGCTCTTGACAAACTCTTTCTGTTGATGCATACCATAGAGAATGACCGTAGCCTTCTTGCCGCCAGTGTACTTCTGGGCAAAGGCAAGCCCAGCCCCAACGGGGACCTGGGCACCGACGATACCATTGCCGCCGTAGAAACCCTTGGTAAACATGTGCATGGAGCCGCCCTTGCCATAGGCAATACCCCCGCGGCGGCCGAGCAGCTCGCCAATGATGGAGCGCACGGTGCCGCCGCGCATGTAGGCGAAGCCGTGGCACCGGTATGAGGTGATCACGTCGTCGGTCTTCTCGATCGCATGCTCGATACCCACGGCGACGGCTTCCTGGCCCGTGGAAAGATGGCAAAAACCCCGGATCTTCTTCTCCTTGTATAGCCTGTCGGCAGCCATCTCCATTTGCCTTTTGTACGCAACAACGTGTCAGCAGGCTCTTAAGCCACTCACGGGCCTCATCTCCTTCTGCAGCTTGGCATACCTGACGACGACCATGTCGTAGTACATCTGCTTCAGTTGCTTCTTGGTTACCTCCAGGGTGTAGGGCGGGGGATCGAGCTCGTAGGTCTCGAAGCTCTCGTCGCTGAGGGTGACCTGGAAGGGTTCATCTTCGGACTATTTTGGGAAAGCAGGACAGTCAGTAAAACACCGCAACTCGTCCACCGATCTCTCCATTGATTCCAAAGCCATCGCGAAATCCGGATAATGGGCTGGATTAACGACAACCAATTGTGGTGGGTCCGAAAGCAGCGCATCGATGGCTGACCAGCTGCCGCCATCAACTCTCCACTCACCTGGGGGACGGTGCTCTTGTCGACTTGCGCCGAAGCCGCATTTGTGGTTACGCTTCTCCTGGCGGCGATTGAAGCGGCGGGAGAGCGCGCAGCAGCACGGATGGGCAGTGCCCTTGGTACCCGGACGGCCCGCGAGAACATTGTGTCTGGTGGGTTGTGGGTAGTTGAAGGAAAGACGGATTTTTGCGAGACCGTAGAATCCGAAAAGCTGCGTCCAGCGTCGCTGAGAAAAAAGCGGTCCCGGGCAGTTTTACTTTTTTAATGTTGGGGGTTGTTATGATGCTTGTTGAACACAAGCTAAACTACTTCGAGGAAGGCCGACATGGGTTGGGGGTGGTCCGGGCTCCATCGGAGGTTAACCGGCCTGAAACTACTGATAAGGAAGACCTCACGTTAACCTTACCGTGCAGTGCATAGAATCGTCCAACTGAAGCTCAGTAGAGTGGTGGGCAGAGTCTCTGTGTGATTCACAATCAACTATTCTCATACATAGCTGAGCAACTTAAGAATGCATTATTTTGTTTCTTTCCTTTCCTGTACTTAGCATAATTACCCCGTTTCAAGCATTATATCTCAAGAGAGGTTGAAGGCTGGGTTGATAGGCCCTAACATCGCAGGTCAGAGTACAAAGCACTCGGATCCAGTTGGGGGAATGCCGCAAGCAGTGGTCTGGAATCTCATATTTGTACTGGGCGATTCCAAATGTCTTTCCACAGCCAGCAGTTGGTGACTTAACTGCTATGGCAGGATAGCACCAATGCATTAACTACGCCAAACATGCCTCAACGGGCAGGCTTTGTTGCGGTTGTAATCCAAGCAATGTACATGACGACTCAAACCATGCCATGACCGCCCAACCTCTCACTTTATCTTCGACGGCAAGTAATCCTCCCTGTCCATACTCCTAATCATATGAACCCGACTGAGACTCCATGCCAATGCTTTGCGTCCCTGATATCTTTGCCGACTGTTGAAAACCATGCTGTGTGTGTGAATTCGAACGCCATAGTAATGCCAACTCCTCTCCTTTAAATCAGCCAAGAAACGTCACCCTTACCCCAGCTGTCCATTCTTCGAGGTATCCCATGTGCCTAATGTCGCCGAAGGTGCAATCGAAAGCGTGCAAATATAGAGTTGTGTTGAGCCGGCTATGCGAGAGGAGAGTAGTGAGAGAGACAAAGAGACGGCGAAACGAGCAATGAGAGAGATAAAATGTCTATGTTCGCAATCAAATGCCGCGATGCAACAGGTTGCGTGAGGATGAGACCGGCCTCATTCGTCGTGGAAAAATGTTGAGCTGGCTTGAAGCGGTGCCGTTGAGGGGCCAGCATCAGACATGTCCACGTCTTGCAGCCCGCTTGTTGATGGAGGGCCTCGATAGTCGAGCGAGAAAGCGCTCAGTGGACGTTCTGGAACAGGTGCTTCGAGCCTCCTTTTTGGTGCCGAGCCCATTCGCTCGCGAAGCATCTCCTCAGGAGGCGAGAAATTCCATACCTAGAATCCGAGTCAGGGGACATACCAGGTTGGGCCTGGCACTGGGCGCTTACCTCCATGACGGTGCGGCTATTCTTTTCCGCAGTCGCAACGCACTTTTCATCCTCAAAGGCGACGCGCCAAACCGCCCCACCTTGAGAAATGAGTTCACGGACAGGTTGTCCAGTCTTGAGATCCCAGACCTTGAGGCGGCCGTCACTACCACCGCTTACGATGCGCGTGTCGTCGAATTGCAGGCTCGTCACGCTGTTGTCGTGGGCAGCGAGACGGTGGATGGCGTCGTACCGTTCGAGCGACCATACCCTAACCGACCCGTCACTACCGCCGGTAACAAGAGTACCACCACGCATCTGCAGCTGTCCCACAAGGGACGTATGGCCCTGAAGGATGGCTAAGCATTCCCTATAACGACCCTGTTAGCTTCCATACTGGTAGAACACGCATTTCCGAGGCAACCCTACCCGGTCTGAGCGTTCCATATCCTGACGCTAGTGTCGAGACTGCCGGTTGCTACTCTGCGGCCGTCGAATGCGATGGCGTAGATATGGCTGTAGTGTCCCTGGAGGGTGTGTAGACACCGGCCCTCGGAAATGCTCCAGACCTTTGCCGTCGCGTCATAGCTGCCCGACACCACAATATCGTCCTTGATCTCCAAACAGCGGACACTCGCCTGGTGACCAACGAGTACGTTCTTGAAGAGACCAGTTCTGATGTCCCAGATCCTAAGCGTCGTATCCCGGGAGCCAGAAATCGCCGTATTAGCGTCAGACATCTTGAGGCAGCGGACTGTCGATGTGTGACCCCGCATCGTATGGAGACAAGCCCTGATATGGATCTTAGTAAAGATGTCACAAGAGTTAGACCGTAGCTAGAAAAAACTTACCCCGTGGACAAATCCCAGACACGAACGTCACGATCACAACCACCGCTGACCAAGATGTCGTCCCAAGGAACCATAGCCCAAACGCCCATGACGTGGCCTTGCAGCGTGCGTAGCGGATTCCCCTCGGTATCAAATACATGGATCTTGGCATTATCAAGGGCCACAATGATGTACTTTGAGGTGAGGTGCAGACTGGTGACGACGCCGCCGTCTTGGGTAATGTTGCGCGATGTGTTGCGGCCCCCCGTCCGCCAAGCCGCATCAACCAGGTATCTCTGTTTGAAGTGCGACTTGTACGACTTGAGTGCGGGCCGCGTATTCGCGCTTCCCTCAAAAGATGCCGGTAATGAGGTGGAAGTGAGCGGCCCTGAGAAGCCGTGACTCGCGGGCTCATGATCTTGTGGGCTAAAAGCACAGGCTTCTGGTTGGTTGACCTCGGCAGGGTGCAACGGTGGTTCAATCTCTGACATCCTACGCTGGTAGTCGTGTTTCACGCAGAGGTTTTTCCAAGTCATGTCGTCGCTCAACAAATCTCGCCATCTCCGCGAGACTTGCGACGCGCGTACAAGGACCTTGGGATCATCAATGAAGGAAAGAATCTGGCAAATTTGTTAGTTACAAGACTAGGAGGAATGGCGGACTGAAGGGGCACTAGAACGAACCCGAAGACATAGTTCATCAGGCAGCGTGGTAAAAGGGTCCTTCTTGAGCAGCGGGCTGACAAACTGATGCACGAAACTCAATTGCTGGCTAGTGCAAATACTCAAGAGGTCCGAGAGTATGCGAGTCCTCTGCGCGCCGTTGCATTGCACAAAGTATTGCCGCAACTCTGAAAGATAGGCCTCTTCGCTCTTCTCCGCGTTACTCCACTTCACCCTCGAGTGTGACGGCCCCGGAGACGCGGCAGGAGTGGGCGGCGGCGGCGGGGAGCCGGTGACCTGGTCGAACTCGGGCGCCGGTGTGCTCATGCTCGGGGTAGGGGGACCTCTAGGACGTTGTTGTGAGATCCTGGCGTGTTGTGTGTTTAATGACAATCCTTCGTCGAAAACAGCGCCCCTTCGTTCGGAGAAGCTGAGTGGCCGGTTGTATGGCGCCATGTCGCGGTGTATGAGGCGATATAAACCAAGCAGAGTCTTTTGTATCCTATTGCGTTTGTCTGTTGATCAACCGTTGGCGTGTAAAGATTCGCGCTATGCGAATCGGATCGGTGGTGGGAGTATGTTTGGCTACCGGCCGATCTAGTCGAGAAGGACGGAATGTCGATTATTGACTGACCAGGTACATACAGTCACGCTCGTCCCGTCAGTGAAGGCCCGCTGCGCAAGTGGGCGAATGACGCCTGCACCGCACGTAGCAGAGAGCCTTGGATGAGAGGGCACTGGTCAGGTTTGACGGACTGAATTCGACGTCGCTGGAAATAGACGGATGGACCCTGAAGAAGGGAGGAGAGGGAAAAGGGATGGGCGCGCCAAGTAGAGCGGATCGGTCAGGGAAGGGATGGCAGACGGGCGAGACGGGGTTGTGGGAACGTCCAGGCTCAGTCCATCCAAGCTACTGCTGTATCGGCGACGTTGTGTTTTGGCATCAAGGGAGGTTGTCGAGAAGGGCCAACTCAATGGGCCGTTCGTGAGGGCTGAGGAGGAGGAGAAATACGGGGCGGGAAGGGGCGGCGTCCCTTTCCTTGGATTCTGCTAGTGCGTCGAATGAGGAGCGACCAGGCCCAGCTGCAGGGAAAGCACAGTGTGTATGGTACAGTACCTGCTGTAATTACAGTATGGATACAATTTGAAGGGAGCGGCTGCTCCACAACGCCGCCACGACTACCTTACCCACCCTCGAGTCCGCCACCTGTCTTGCAACTTGCACCAACCGCCCGAAAGCCTCGTCAAATGGAGCCACGAAGGGCCATCACGAAACTCGACCCTGCGGCGGAAAGTGCACCGTTTCGCCGGTGATAATGGCGGAGCGATTGTAGATGCCTAACTGCTTTGTATCCATTACCATGCATTGGTTAAACTTACGAAGTTGTTATGTGCACGCATGGAGCGTACCCATGACGTAGGTACCTGACCTAGGTTGTGTTCTGCTCCATGTTGACGTTGTTACGGGCATGATGGTGCCTCGACCTACTTTAACTAAATTCAGGGCATCCGCCAGCAACGGTCACTGCATGACAGCAGGGTCCCGTCGCAAGTTTCCTCTCCAGTACCTGACCTTACCTAGGCTTCCATTCCTAGCATGCGGTGCTCAAGGGTTGCATACCTGAGCTCTTAGGTAAGGTATGTATGTACTGTAACGCAACCACCAGGCAATGCGGCACTAACACAGGTCGACGTAGAGAGGCCATCACCACCGCTCTTCAGTCGTGGCACCCCAGGTAATCCTGGCTTTGCGTCTTGTTGCTCTTCAGGCTGTGGCCGGGTTGCCCGACTAACACCGCTTTCCCCTCGTCTTTGACTTGATTAGCGGCCCTGTTCCATCGTATGACCTGACGTCCTTTATGTATGTATTAGCAATGAGAATGTGTGCTGTTGGAAGCAATTTGGTCCTGAAACCCTACGGTTATTCCCTGACAGGCGCAGCAGCTTGCCCAAGCTTTGAAGCTGTACCTGTCGGGCGCAATAAAGTTGAAGTATACTCGAGCATTCAGGTATGTATTGCACATGCATACAAGTTGGGCTGCGCCGCTGCCTGCATGAGGCACTCATTCCCGCTGGTCATTGCATCAACATGCATCCAGCTTGCTGTTGTGATCATCTTCCATGTTTTGTCCTCCTTCCTCGCTTCTTTCTTAGCGGGATCATGGAGAACCTATGTGCCTGGAACCTGGATGAGAGGGCGTTTACCTGTTAGCTGGGAAATTCGGGAATACCAGCCTGGATCTCTTCCATAGGTCGTTATCCGGCTATGATCCCCTAGTAAGCCACACTTCCAACGTTGGGCCCTTCCATGAGTTTGTTAACAGACATACTGTAGGTACCTACACTCTTCGCGCGAGTGTGCATGTCCTTTTCCGTCAATTGGCCTCGACGAATTCTCCACGTTGTTCACTACGCCAGGAACGACTCTTTGAACTTCCCCAACCGGCTATGTATCTAGTTCAGACGGAGAGGTTCCAACTGATTGAAACGCGCTCCACAGCCACTGCGTGAGACATCCCCACTTGTTTGGGGCTTGGGTAAGATTTACCCCTAGTCGCTGGAGTTCTACTGTGGTAGTGTACTGTACAGTATGCTTGGCGGGCCGGAAATCGGTGAGGCTGGTGAGCGAACCTCAAAAGGTCCAGTACGTCACTGGGGCAGCCATCATATATAGTAGTAGCGGGTTGAGGGCAAATGCAGTGCAGTAGGTATCCCCAAGCTAAGCAGCCCTATTCTGGATCCTGTCGATACCGTAAAGTGAAGACAGTTGGAGAAACGCTAGAGGTCTATGGCTTGAACGTTCCATCTTTCCAGGAGTTATACCGCGCCCCTGGTTGAAAGCAAGCAAATTCCCACCTTTTAGCCGGAATGTCTCAATGATGATGGTGGCCGAAACGCGTGAGCAATGGAAGCAGCATCCCCACCACCGTTGCAAGAGTCTCGCGTAATTGCAGCTTGCCCTGCCTTCTGTGTGATGAGCTCCCGCCATCGGAAAATCCACTGGCACTAAAATGGTGGTCATGGCCCGCGGATTGGTTCTCGTCCTGCATCGCATGCATAGCAACGTATCTAGGGCCGCTGTCAGTACGAGACCATCGAAAGTAGCACGAGAAGCACACTTACAGGAACGTCCCGCCGCTAAATAGCAGGAGCATGCCAGTCCACCACTGGGCCAGCTCGCCCTCCATTGCCTCGCCTCCAACCATGTACACAATGAAATAGGTAAACAAGGCTCCCGCGGGAGCTGCTAGGCTGAAGACCATGAGATGCCAGCGTGCCGCCCGCTTTGACAGCCCTTGTTTCAGTAGGACGGAAGTCAACCCAAACGCGGCCGGAGCTTTGTGCACTAGAATAGCAAAGAAGATAATGAGCCCGACATTCAGGTTGGATGTCGAAGCCGAAGCGCCCATGGCGATGCCGTCGGCCGCGGCGTGGATGACGAGGCCTGTCGTAGTAGCTAGACTGCGCGTCTGCTTAGGGGACGGCGTGAAAGAGCCTAAAAAGCCCTCGGATTCCTCATCCACTGAGGTGCTTGGGCCAGCCAGGTTATCCAAGCTCACATGCCTGCTTGTCGGGGTTGATTGAAATTTCTCCGTGGCATGGCGCGGTAGCCGGTCGATGAGGAACATCAGGGCAAAGCCGACAACCAAAGCGAATCCGATATGGAATGCGGGCAGTTCTGGCTGCTCATGCTCAGACTCGTCCCTCCGCACTCGCCTGGGCTGCGCGGCATGCTCTGAGTGCAAACCAGTCGCGGCGAGCGCCTCAATTCCTTCTGGTACAATGACAATCAGACAGCTGCCGACAAGCAGACCAGCCCCAAGAGCAGCCACAAATCGAAGCTGCGACTGCGACAGAGAAAACGACAGCGGAAGCGCGCCGGCCACGAAGGAGCTGTCACAGACAAGAGACTAGTCAGCGTGCAATTGATTGGAGAGAGTCAGGATCCCGGGTCAACATACGCCACGGCCATGACCACCTGTCAGAGTCGACCGATACCATTAATTAGCGTCTTTTCTGCGTGAAACTTTGCCCACGGACTGTACTTACCGAGGTCACTACGAGAAAAATCAAGCCAGCCATCCCAAACGGGGTTGGAGGTCACCAGAGAGAGAAGGTTGGATTGTCTGGCTCTCCTTTGGCAGTTCATGGGCGCAGAGAGACATGGACATGGAAGGAGTTGATGAACGGCTGTGATCGAGAGCCGCAAGATCGGTAGCTGATACAAGTTGGCACGTTAAAGATCAGCGATCACCCGCAGGGTTTCTTGGCGCGCTTGGCCCGACCCGACGAACGTGGCTGATGATCGCTAACGTTTAGCTGGTGTCACTTAAGCGCAGCACGGATACACCCGCAATGTATCGTTTCAGGCACTCTGTGTCAAGACTCAAGACAAACCTCTGAAGCCACCACCAACACAGGATGGAGGTCCCGTGAACTCTAGGTACCGCTTAATGAAGACAGTTGGAGAATATTGGAATTTCGGGACATGCACAATCATAAATTGCATATCAAATTGTCAGCTGGAAAGCTCAACCCTTCCAGGTTTCCAGGTTCGTACTCCGGCGACATCTTCTTTGTGATGTACCAAGGTACGTTGTATGTACATACCTTAGGTACATACAGTACAGTACCCAGAGTGGAGAAGACAACCGAAGGTCCGAGCTCCAGGTTTCAATTAATCAACGCGATTGAACAGGTCAGATCGCGACGTGCACTTGGAGCGCGTCGTGCTGCTTCACGATAATTTCCAGTAGTTGGTCCTACTTCCAACCTTTCGACTCTCCCAAAACCAAAAATTATCTCGCCATGTCTTCAAACGAGGACTGTAAGTATTCGAGCCCAAATGTCTTCGTTTTTCTTGAAGACAAAACGTTAACACTTGACAGGGGCGTCGTCGTCCAATGACGCGCTGGTGTTGTCGCTCGTTACGTCGACTCCGACCGGTGTCAAGACCATCGGCAAAAGTTTCCACCCGAAATTCACGTATCCCATCTTTGGTGACAGTGAAGAGATCTTTGGCTACCAGGAGCTCCAAATCAACCTCCGATACAATGCTAGCGACATGCGACCAAACCTCTCCGTCACCTACAGCAAGAAGTTCCCCGCGGTAGGCGACACCGAGGCAGCAGACATCAATGGCATCCTCGGCGACTTTCTCCCCCAAGTGGCATTTCAGGAAAAAAGCGATTTCGAGACGGCTATCAAGCATGTCCCGGAGGATTGGACCCCGCCTGGCGAGCTGGCCGCGACCTTTAGCGCCCCAAGTGGTACCTTCGAGGTCTGGAAGGGCAGTTTGGGGGATCCTGTCGTCAAGCAGCTAGTCAAGCGCATCCAAATACTCGTACCGCTCTTCATCGAAGGCGGGAGTCAAATCGCAGTGGACGACGCAGACGCGGGCAGGTGGACAGTTTTCTTCCTTTACCAGAAGCGGGCGGTGGCCGGCAACCCGAGCCGCTCCTCGTACATCTTTGCCGGCTATTGCACAGTATACCGCTTCTTCCACTTTCGGATGCCCACGCCTAGCCCCTCGCCTTCAGAGGACTTGACTCTCGGCGGAAACTTTGACCTGGCGGAGCTTCCCTGCCGCACTCGAATCTCCCAATTCATCATTATCCCGCCATTCCAGGGAAAGGGCTTGGGACCAAGACTATACAGCATCATATTCGAGAACTACCTCAAGCACAAGCAGACTGTTGAAATCACGGTCGAGGACCCCAACGAGGCGTTTGACGACTTGCGCGACATTGCAGACCTCCACTTCCTGCGGCGAATGCCCGAGTTCCAAGCGCTGCGCATCGACACGAGCGTCTCCATACCGAAAGCAGGCAACGCGCCGAACAACATTGTCGATAAGGCGGCTTGGGATGCTGTGCGCGCCAAATCCAAAATCGCCCCGCGTCAATTTGCGCGTGTGCTCGAGATGCATCTCATGTCCCAGCTCCCCGAGCCCGTGCGGCCGGGTATCACAACGGAGGAGAAGCGGGCATCTGCCAAGGCGACCAAGGAGCAGGAGCATGAGCTCCGTCTTTGGAGGCTGTTGGTAAAAAAGAGGATATATCGGCAAAACAAGGATGCGCTGGGCCAGCTGGAGCTTCGGGAGCGCATCGAGAAACTCAATGAGACGGTGTCAAGCGTCGAGTTCGACTATGCGCGTCTGCTGATCAAGGCGGAGGAGCAGCAAACGAGCCTGGTTGCGAATGGGTCGCCTAATGGAAAGCGCAAAGCGGATGGCGAGGGCGAGGCGGTGGCTAGTAAGAAGCCGCGGGTTGAGGAGGAGTGAAGAGAGGACAGTTTCCGGCTTCACCAGGTTTCCAGGTTAGCACTTAAAGTTCCCTCTTGCGGCGGGCTGGTTAGAGGAGAGTGGGCAATGGGCATTGATGAGACGGTTTCGAGCATGTACTGTATGTGTAAAGCTTCGACGGCGTTACGGAGATATTCCCATGGTTTTTATGTCCATATCCTATTGATGAGGAACCCCCACGAGTGACATGGAAAAAGAAAATGACATAAAGCTCAGGCGGCAAGGCCACACCGTTTCCAGTTTGGACTCGAACTACCGACCTGCCTGCCTACGAAACCGTGCAAGAACGATTTCTGGTTAGGTTACTCGCATAAGCGCCATGCCGCTCGGCTACAGCGCTCCTGACGAAGGCTAACTTGCCCTATCTACGGACGAAACGATGTCTATATACCCTTCCTCTCCCTCTCCCGGCTCGTAGGAGGTTGAGTTGGTGGATTGTCCAGATCATTTTACTCCCCATCTGCTATACCCGACTACAGGACAAGGAAGCCCTGCCGTCCTCAATCTATCTGAAGACCATATGTGCTTTTGTCTACCCCGAATCTCATCGAACTCATGGTATTATGGGCATTGGGTGAGCTCCAAGCCCAATATCTCCTGAGCTCTATTGGAACTGATTAGTCGGGAACCGCGTCCCATTCACACCCTGCACGCCCTGGCCGAGCTGGCTCGCCACCACGGTCGCTTCCCTCACCGCCCGCGCCACCGTACCCCTCACCCTCCCTTCCTCAAGCACCAGCAAGCCCCCAATCGTACACCCACCCGGCGTGCTGACCTTATCCCTTAGCAGCGCGGGATGATCCCCGTTCAGCACCAGGCCGGCGGCACCCTTCATGGTTTGCGCGGCCATGCGCTGGGCCTCGGCGCGCGGCAGGCCCATGGCGACGGCGCCGTCGATGGCAGCCTCGAGCATGAGCGCGAAGAAGGCAGGGCCGCTGCCGCACAGGGCCGTGCACACGTCCATGGTGGACGGCGGAAGGTAGACGACGTCGCCGATGCGCTTGAAGATCCACGTGACAAGCCCCAGCGTCTCCGGGTCCAGCGGCGGGTTGGAGATGCCGATGACTGTCATGCTCTCGCGGATGAGCGACGCCGTGTTGGGCATGGCCCGAACGACGCGGCACCGCACCCGCTCGGGCTTGGCCGCCTCGGCCAGTGTATCCTCCAGCTGCGTCTCCGTCACCCCGGCCAGGATGCTGATCAGCAGCTTGCCCTCGAGCGCCTGCGCCATCCCCGGTTCCGAGAGCACCTCTTTCACCATGTAGGGTTTACAGGCTAGGAGGATGACGTCGGCTTTCCGCGCCGCGGAGACGTTGGCGTTCTGGGCGATCTCGACCTGGGAAGCGTGTGCGGCGAAGGTGAGCCTGAGTTTCTTGGCGGATTCGGGGCGCCGAACGCAGGCGGTGAAGCGTGAAGGAAGACGGGTTGCCACTGCGGTTTCGTAAAGAGGGGTTGAAGTGCCTGATGTGGGCTTGCTGGTCTCTTGCATCTCGTCGAGGGAGGCGAGGATGCCGGAGAGAATGGCGATACCCATTGTGCCTGGAGGGAGTGTGAGCTTTGAATTGTGCTTGGAACTGGTCACTTACCGCAACCTATAACGGCCATGGTGAGCTCCGAAGAGCCGCTACCCGACTGAAAAGCACTCATTTTGTCTATGGGTTATGATAGTGAGGAGTTCTCTATGGGGTTTGACAGTGAGGAGCTGCGATGTGTTTGTTTGTGATGAGAACTGAGAATTTGAGGCTTGGGACTTGTGCCGATGTTCGGAGATCTCAAAGAAAATGGATCCGATTATAAGTGAGAAAGCGCTGCCCTGATCCTAGGAACTGGGAAGGGGCAGACAGTTCGATCCTCTATGGTTCATCAAGCAGCCAAATCCCAATGTTTTCAGCTCTACTTACAATTAACACCGCAACTTGGGAGGATAGCAGAGACAGCTGAATCTCATCGAGTTTCTCACATGCAACTTACAAGTATGAGCGCTTGCCTTTTTCATCTTATAGGTAAAACGTTCCGCAAAAAGTTCGAAACTGCCAAATGGACCCTGCGAACACTAACAGGCGGCGCCGCGGCAACCACCCCCCGCCACCCCACCACTTTCCTCACCGCCTGCCCCAAATGCTTAGTTGCGCAAGGGTTGTTTAGCGTGGATCGAAGCTGCCCCACGTTTCCTGCAACTGAGATCACCAGTAAACGCCAAGACACAGCCATGGCTTTCTCACCAGACACATCGGGGAGCACTAGCTCCAAGGAGAGGCACAACGCTATCTTTACCTACCAGAACCTCGCCGCCGGATTCTCGTCGAGCGGCAGTCGAAGCATGGTCGTAATAAAGGAGATCCTTCAATAGCATTCGAGAAAACCAACAAAAGGAGGAGAGGTGATCGGGCAACGAGGCACAATGGCGGACCCGTTCGAAGTCCGGATGCGCTTCACTAGCCAGCTCCGCCAGCTCAATGCTTCGGTAACGTCGGCGCAGAAAGCGGCGCAGTATGCCCTCAAATATCGGGATCTGGCCGAGGATCTGCACTCATGCATCCTGGAGCAGCTCGAGAGGGTGGGTTGGAATTGCACTGCCTAGGCTGCTTTGTTTGCTGGTCTGTTGGTTGCACCTGGCTGATGAAGGAATTAGAACAACATGAACACACGAGCCAACATCATGTTCTTCATTGAGCATTTTCTCGACATGGCCCATAAGGACGGCCATCTCGACTATGTGCGCATGATGCAGCGCGACATTATTCGCGTCGTGGATGCCGTAGCTCCTGACGACGGCTCGGGGGCGGCGAATGTTAAGGTTGTTCGGAAGGCGAGTCCCTCTCATTCTTACACCCTGCTGTTGTTATCGAGCTTGGCGAGCTCTGCTAACCCGGTCCCAGGTTCTGCGCGCCCTCCACGACAAGTCCTTCCTCGAATCCCAGGCCGTCACTCAGATCGAAGAGGTTCTCACAGAGCGAGAGACGGCCGCGCAGGACATCGCCATGTCATCCCCGCCTTCAAACGCGGACGGCGGTTCCGATCCTATGGCCGCTGATAATCTCGGCGACATGCCCCCTTCTCAGACGTTACCGGCACCCTATAAAAAGGCGACCATTAGCGCTGCGGCCGGCCTGGACAGGAAACAAATAGAGCAACGCATAGAGGAGGATAGGGAGCGCCACAAGAGACAGCGAGAGAATATCTGGGCGGTGCCTGAAACAGACGAGGCCGAATTGGACAAGTTATGGGACGAGACGAGCTCTCTGGGTTCAGATGATCACCGGATGGGCGAGGAGGAGTATCAAGAGTGGAAGGCACAAGTGTCGAATACTTGTCCACACCATAAAGATGAGAAAGCGAACGGAGAGGGACATTCGTGATATCTCCTTTCCCCTGACCTTGGCACAGAACATTTTGGCAGGCGTTCTTTGGCTGTAGACCTCGGCGTTGCGGTAGGGATAGGGACAGAGGTGACAGGGGGCACAGGTCGGCTTTTTGCTTTTGCAAAGAAGTTATCTGGGATCAAAAGGGTCTCCATATGGTCCAGCGATGATTGCTTGGTATACTCAAGTTGTAATGTTACATTGTTCTTTTTGTACATGCAGCGGGGATGCCGCACTCTGTCAGTAATCGTACCATGCTTGGTTCCGGCCTGGCTGGTCCGCGTCTCTCCAAGGTGAACCATTAGCTAGCAGCTCGTCCTTCTGCCATATGTCTATACCGTCTACTCCATCACTACCGTCGCACCCAATTCCTTCATCATCGCGACAATCTTCTCCGCCTCATCCTTCGGTACAGACTCCTTCATAAGCTTGGGCGCGCTTTCAACGAACTTCTTTGAGTCTACTAAGCTGAGACCGAGCAAATTCTTGATCTCCTTGATGACCTTGGGCTTGGCGGCCGCATCGAACGCCTGCAGCTTCAGGGTGAAGAGCGTCTTCTCGGCCGCGGCGGGGGCAGCGTCCTCCTCTTCGGCTGCTGCTGCTGCGGGAGCAGCGGCTGGGGCGGCGGCGGCGGCGAAGCCACCAACGGGTAGATCGGGGATGTTGAGGCGCGACTGTTCAGGGGAAAAGGAGCAAATCAAGTTAGCAAACGAAGAAGGGAGCTTGATATAATATTGACCCGCTGACGGGGGGGCGAAGAGTGCCCCTTTACGCACCTTCAAACTCGCAACAAGGTCTGCCGTCTCCAGCAATGTCAATTGACTGATCTGGTCGACAATCGCGGCGATCTTGGGGTTAGCCGCGGCCTCGGTCGAGTTGTACCGCCGCGTCATGCGCTGCTGGAGAAAGGAGCTCGAAGCGCGGATCGGGGTGTTTGTGCGGAGCTGGCGGGCACAGCATTGCGCTGCGTACCTGCAGGAAAGCGACATGGCGGGCTAAGAATTGAGACTTTGCGAGGAACCTGGAGACGGAAGACGTCGGCCTGATATGGCGTCGGATTGGGCGTCGCGATGGAGTGCTGTGGTTATCGTGAATTCCGGAGATTTTTTCGGCCGTCGTTCGAAAAGTCTACCGGCCTGTCGCTGATTGGTCGGCCAGGGGACCTACTGGAGCAAAATACACCCGGCGGTCACCCGCGCTCTAAGCAGTAAGCACAAGTAGCACAGGGCTGTTCCGGGGACATGTCAGGCCCAGATTCCCGGCTTCAGTGGGCTCCGACCCCTGTCTCCCTGCTGCCACCCGCTCCTGCAGGTGCTGCAGAAACTGTGACTTGCCCCACTAAAAAGTTCAAGATCGCATGCGACTGAGTTGAGCAAAATTCAGAAAAAGTTATCTGCAAGCTCAAATGAGCTAGCATCGACAGAAAAACACACCCTTTCGAACGGGCCCAAGATGGCCATGATCGATGTGAGCCGGCAGAGAAAGTCTCTGCTCGGCGATGCGGCAACACTGCGGTTTTTGCCGCCCGAGCTGCTCCTCGTGATCCAAGACGACCACTCGACGCAGCTCTTGGAAGCCATCGCCAATGCTGCCCTCATCCCCCCGGTCACCGACAGGATCTTTGCGCATTTCGAGTCTGCTTTTGCAGATATCTGCGCAAGATGGACCCTCTGGTACCCAAAGCTCGATGTGAGAGTTCTCGCATCGTTTGCCAGGATTCTGCCCTTTTCGCCGTCATTATCTGTCTTCCTCGTCTCTCATCTTCGAGGAGCAGGCGCAGGAGTAGTAGGAAATCCCGCCTCAAGGGTGCTCGACTCTCTCGATCTGACCTCTTTTCGAGATGAGGACCTCACTGTCGTTCTACTAGCCCTGTGGAGGCTCAACAATTTTGACAAGAGGACATTTTCGCCCCTCTCAAGACCATCTCAGCTCCAGTCCTTGTTCGCCCATCAGAACCCTGCCGTCAGATATCTCGCCGTCAGGCTTTTCTGCCAGCTTCATGACGCTTCTGACCAAAAGCTCGAGGCCCTGCTCAGCAGGCACATTCCCAGGGATACCGGTCTCGTTGCGGACTTGGACGGGAGGATGGCGGATTTTACGTTCCTCAGCCTGTATGAAAATGCAAGGAGTCAAGAGGTCAGCCGCCTTCGCAGTAGTATACAAGAAGCAGGGCCCGCCGAACCTCCTCAGTCGCGGATCCCAACGCAAAGCCTAACCCCTCTTGTTGTCAAATATGGCAAAACTGTCCTCCCGCGACCTTTGGGTTCCGGAAATACACCGAGCACTTTAGCACTAACACCGACAACCATTGAAAATCTTGAGAGTCTCAGCAGCCTGTTGCTGCGGCCTGGTCCGGTCCTGCTCCATGGCCTGTCCGGGGCTGGCAAGACTTCTCTAGTCCTCGAAATGGCGAGGGAATTGGGAAAGCAGAAGGAGCTTGTGGTTCTGCACCTGAACGAGCAGACCGACGCAAAAATGTTGATCGGCTTATACACAACAGACTCCAAACCCGGCTCTTTTCAGTGGCGCCCCGGAGTCCTGACCACCGCGGTAAAGGAAGGGAGGTGGGTTTTGATTGAGGATCTTGACCGCGCACCAACCGAGGTCATGAGCACCTTGTTGCCTCTCATTGAGCGTGGGGAGCTCCTGATTCCCGGCCGTGGGGAGCGCATTCAAGCATCTAACGGCTTCCGCATGTTTGCTACCGTGCGGACCTTGCTCGGCATGGACGACAGGGAGAATCTGCCTAGTTTAATCGGACTGCGCCTCTGGCAGCTCTTGCACGTCAAAGCCCTGCCTCGAGATGACTTGACAGAGGTTATCAATGCCAGACATCCATTACTGCACAAGTACGTCCCTGGCGTGTTGGCCGTGTTTGACCAGCTTATCGCCTCCACCAGCGGGTCGACCCGTCGGACTCTCAGCCGGACTGCCCTCGACCGGCCGATCGGCACAAGAGATCTCCTGAAATGGTGCGCCAGACTCGAGGACATTCTCCGTGCCGCCGGGTGCAAGACGGGCGATGAGCCCATCACAGACACTACGAGAGACCGAATGTTCCTCGAGGCTGTCGACTGCTTCGTTGGCAGTATGCATGAGCCCTCGTCGCGCAACATACTGATCTCGGCCGTTGCCAAAGAGATGCATCTTTCTCCCGAAAGGGTCCAGCACTACTTGACGAGTTACGTCCCGGAACTGGAGGACGGTGAATCGAGACTAACCATCGGGCGCGCCTCCTTTATCAAACCGAGACGGACAAGCAGAGTGGCCAAGTCAAAGAGGCCATTCGCTACGACAGTGCATGCCAAAAGACTGCTGGAACAAATTGCGGTCGCCGTCAAACACCGGGAGCCACTGCTCCTAGTCGGCGAGACTGGTATCGGCAAGACCACTGTCGTCCAGCAGTTGGCGGAGTCACTTGGGCACCAGTTAGTTGCCGTCAACTTGTCGCAACAGAGCGAGGCAGGCGATCTGCTGGGTGGGTTCAAGCCCGTCAGCTCACAGACCCTAGCGATGCCCCTAAAGGAAGAGTTTGAGGAACTCCTTGAAAAAACTGGGGTTTCTGCCGAAAAGAACCAGGAATACTTGGAGCGCATCTCCAAGCGGTTTGCCAAAGGTCGGTGGAAAGAAGTCTCTAGGGAGTGGCGGAAGGCACCTAAGATGTTTGAGGCGATTCTGGCTAAGCTGGAAGGTAGCCAGGTCAGTAATGGAGACCTGGGCGAGCAGCCTGCGAAGCGGCGGAAGACGGAGTCGACGAAACTGCAGCGTCTACGAGATCTCAAGCCGCGTTGGGACATGTTCTCGCAAAGTCTAGACCAGTTTGATAGACAGATTGCGAGTGGCCCCGCGGGATTTGCGTTTGCCTTTGTCGAAGGCAAGATTGTCAAGGCCGCAAGAAATGGAGATTGGGTTCTGCTTGATGAGATCAATCTCGCTTCTCCGGATACCTTGGAGAGCATTGCAGGGCTTTTTCAGACTAGCCCGTCTCTTCTCCTCTCGGAGACGGGAGAAATTGAGAGGATTCAAGCGCATCCAAATTTCCGAGTTTTCGGTGCCATGAACCCGGCGACTGATGTCGGCAAACGTGACCTTCCGCTTGGTTTGAGGTCTCGATTCACCGAAATCTATGTCGGGAGCCCGGACAGAGACAAGAAGGATCTACTCACCATCATCAAGACATATCTGAAAGGGAACAATAGTACCATTGATCGCTTGGCTGACGAGGTTGCGGAACTCTATCTCGAAATCAAGAAGCGCGCAGAGCTCAAAACGCTGGTGGACCAGGCGAACGAGGTGCCTCATTTTAGCCTTCGAACTCTGACGCGAGTTCTGACCTACGCCAACGATGTCTCTCCCTTTTACGGCCTTGAGCGGGCCCTTTACGAAGGGTTCTGCATGTGCTTCACAACACTCCTCAGCGAAGAGTCTGAGCGGACTGTTATGCCCCTGATACAGCATCATCTGCTGAAGCGATCTAATATCCTCACCCAGCCACCGAAGCGGCCCAATGATGGGAAGAATTATATTTCGTTTAGGAACAGGAATAAAGACCACCAATACTGGCTCTTGCAGGGAAACGAGCAGCCTGTCGAGAGAGAGGACTACATCATCACCCCTTACGTCGAGAGGAACCTGTTGAACCTGGTACGCGCCACATCCACCCGCAGATACCCCATCCTGATTCAGGGGCCGACATCTGCGGGCAAAACAAGCATGATTGAGTATTTAGCCAACTACACCGGCAACAAGTTTGTGCGCATCAACAACCATGAGCACACCGATCTCCAGGAGTACCTTGGGACTTACGTCTCAGACTCTGAAGGGAAGCTCAAGTTTCAAGAAGGCCTGCTGGTCCAGGCCATGAGGGAGGGATCATGGATCGTCTTGGACGAACTGAACCTGGCGCCTACCGACGTCCTGGAGGCTCTCAATCGTCTCCTTGACGACAACCGAGAACTCTTGATCCCCGAGACCCAAGAGATTGTGCGGCCAGCGGAAAACTTCTGCCTTTTTGCCACGCAAAATCCACCTGGGTTATATGGTGGCAGAAAGGTGCTGTCCCGTGCTTTCCGCAACAGGTTTCTGGAACTTCACTTCGATGACATCCCGGAGAGCGAGTTGGAGACCATCCTACAGAAGCGAAGTCGGAACACGGCGCCATCGGACTGCCGCCGCATCGTTGCCGTATACAAACAACTCACACGTCTCCGTCAAGAAAGTCGTGTGTTTGAGCAGAAGAACAGTTTTGCCACGCTTAGAGATCTCTTCCGGTGGGCATTGAGGGAGGCGGACACGCGCCAAGAGATTGCAGAGCACGGCTTCATGCTGCTCGCTGAGCGTGTACGGAAACCGGAAGAGCGAGACGAGGTCAGGAAAGTCATCGAGGATGTCTTCAAGGTGACCATCGACCCAGAGCGCCTCTATAACCTGGATACCGCTCCCGAGCTTAGCAATGTTCGAGCAACGAACAGTCAGGGAGTCATTTGGACGAAGGCAATGCGGCGACTATATGTGTTGGTGAAGCGGGCTGTCAGAAACAACGAGCCCGTTTTGCTGGTGGGTGAGACTGGTTGCGGCAAAACTACTGTCTGCCAGCTGCTAGCCGAGTTCGAGAAAAAGGAGTTGCACATTGTCAATGCCCATCAAAACACCGAGACAGGCGACCTTATAGGTTCACAGAGGCCGGTGCGAAACCGCGGAGCCATCCAGGACTCCCTGCTCGGGGACCTCGAGGAGGCTGCTGCCATCTTGGGAAACGCCAAAGGTTCACTGGAGACGCTGCAGGACTGGTACCGATCCCTGCCACCCCAAGACCTGGCTATCTTACCCGAGTCCCTGAGGACGAAGATCCAAACCGCCGCAACCAGAAGCAAAGCACTCTTTGAGTGGAGCGACGGCAGCTTGGTCCATGCAATGAAAGAAGGGAGCTACTTCCTGCTGGATGAGATTTCTCTCGCGGATGACTCCGTCTTGGAGCGTCTTAACTCGGTGCTTGAACCCCAGCGCACTCTTCTCCTTGCCGAAAAGGGTATCACGGACTCGTTTGTCCAGGCTACAGAAGGGTTCCAATTCTTCGCCACCATGAATCCCGGCGGTGACTTTGGCAAGAAGGAGCTCTCTCCCGCGCTGCGTAACCGCTTCACCGAGATATGGGTGCCGGCACTGTCTGAGGCTGATGATGTCCATGACATTGTCGTCTCTAAGCTCGACAGCAGGTTCAAGCAGCACAGCAAGAAGCTGCCTAAACCCATTTCCCGGATCATTGTTGAATTTTCCTCCTGGTTTGGCAAAACCTTTCGCCCTTCGTCTGCCACAGCCTTCTCTATTCGGGACATACTCGCGTGGGTAGAGTTCATGAATACCTGCCGATTTCCCTCGTACGAGCTTGCACTCCTCCACGGAGCGGCAATGGTTTTCATTGACACCATCGGTGCCAATCCGTCTGCTCTAGTTGCCCTTGATCCAAGAGAGATGGCCTCACACAGGCAGATGTGCCTGGAACACTTGAGCGCGCTGTGCGGTGTCGATCTCACGACACTGTACTTCCAGGAGCCGCAACTCAAAATCGAGGCGAATCTGCTCTCTATTGGGGATTTCAGCGTCAGTAGGTCGGTATTGGGAAGTGATGCCGATGCCGGGAGCGAGTTCAGCGTGCCAACTACCAAGATGAATGCTATGCGCGTCATCAGGGCGCTGCAGGGAACGAAGCCAATCTTGTTGGAAGGTAACCCCGGCGTAGGCAAGACGACACTGATCACTGCGCTTGCACGGGCCTGCGGGCGCCCATTGACGAGGATCAATTTGTCGGATCAAACGGATTTGATGGATTTGTTTGGCACTGATGTGCCTGTCGAGGGGGCCGAGGCGGGGAATTTCGTCTGGCAGAATGCACCATTCTTGGAGGCCATGCAGAAGGGCGAGTGGGTGTTGCTGGATGTGAGTTCCTGAGTCACTCGTATGCGGAAACCAATACCAAACTAACTGGGCCTTGACAGGAAATGAACTTGGCTTCTCAGACAGTCCTTGAAGGTCTGAACGCATGCCTGGACCACCGTGGCGAGGTATACATTGCAGAGCTAGACCAGGTCTTCAAACGGCATCCCGACTTCAAGCTCTTTGCTGCTCAGAATCCTCATCATCAGGGTGGTGGTCGGAAGGGGCTCCCCAGCTCGTTTGTCAACAGATTTATCGTCGTGTACTCCGATGTCTTCACAAAGCAGGATCTGCTACATATCACAGCCAAGAAGTTCCACAAGATCGGAGAAGAGACACAGCACCGGCTCATTGAGTTCATGTCCAGACTTGATGACGAGGTTGTTAGCCGGCGCTCATTTGGGGCCCTTGGTTCTCCTTGGGAATTCAACCTGAGAGATACCCTTCGATGGGGTGATTTGTTGACTTCAGGCGATGCTTTGCTGGCCGGTCGGCAGCCGGACGACTACTTGGATGTGATTATCCGACAGCGGTTTAGGACAGGTCGAGACCGGCAGGAAGTGAATAGACTTTTTACAGAAGTCTTTGAGCGGTTTCCTCGAGATCATGGCCTGTACCACGATATCAACCCCTACTTCGGCCAGGTTGGTCTTGCGACCCTAAAACGAAACCCCCTGTCACAACAGACCGCTTTCCCCTGTATCGACCCAGTGCCGAGACTCAAGGAGATTGAGTCCGTCATGATTGCAATCGAGCAGGATCTTCCGTGTATCCTGGTCGGCCCTTCAGGCAGCGGGAAATCTGCTCTACTAGCCTACGTCGCGGCGCTGGCCGGGAAGTCTCTCGTCATTTTCCCGCTCAATGCGGATGTGGACGCAATGGATCTCATCGGAGGATTCGAGCAGGCAGATCCTCACCGGGAAGTGCAAGCTTGCTTGTCAGAACTTCGACAGGCACTTCAAGCTCAGATTCTGCGTACTCTTCCAGATGTTGTATCCAATGCAGCAATGGAGCTCATGGCTGCTCTGCATGTTGTGACGGGAGATGTATCCCAATTCGAGAATATCCTGTCGCTAATCCAGGCTCTGCAAACCGACTCGTCCATCCCTGAGAAGCTTGCCACGCTTCTCTCGAAAGCTTCTGAAGCCCTTCGCAAGCCGTTGACCTTGGAAAATCCACGCTTCGAGTGGCTCGACGGTGTGATTGTTCGCGCAGTCGAGACTGGGGCTTGGCTCGTCCTGGACAATGCAAACCTATGCAGCGCATCCGTACTTGACAGACTCAATTCTCTTCTTGAGCGTCCAAATGGTGTCCTCAGCATCAACGAACACAGCGGCCCAGGAGGTGAGCCGAGAATCATCAAGCCTCATCCAGAGTTTAGGATCTTCCTCACAGTTGAACCCCGATACGGCGAGCTCTCGCGTGCTATGAGGAACCGCTCAGTTGAGATCTACCTTGACGGGTTACCTCCGCACAATGCTCCTGCGCAGGCTATCGCGCCGATTGAAGGGAATCTGCAAAGGTTTCACACCGCAGCGAGCGTTCTGGAGGGCGAAACTGAAGATGGACAGCTTGCGCCCCTGGTGTTTGACATTCTGTCTCTTGCAGATAGCAGCCGCCTGGATGCGTATCTTCGGGCAATACTTGAAGGACTCAATGACTTGTCGCCACCACTACTGATTCGATCTTCAGCGGCAAGCAGACATTTGAAACAACTGCTATCCTTCATTCAGTCCCAAGATGCTGGCTCTCTACGACAGTCCATTGCCAGCTTGTATGCTCCATCTCCAGACAGGATGCTGATGCCGCTGCATCCACTCGTCAACTCACCTATGATACCCCTTCTAGAACAAGGGCGCAAAGGGCTGGCATACTGGCTCGCCAATTGTTATGAGCTCTACCTCGATATTCAACGTTTGGAGGAGGTCATGGAGGCCCAGCTGGGCAGAGTCAACCTTAGCAAACCGTCGTCCATGAACCGCCTTCAGCGATCTTGGGTTTCAGACAAAGTCGCCTCACTATCCCAGGACTCCACGGCCAATGCTGTGAGGTTTCTCTCGTCGGTCCTCGGCGCGGTCAAGGCATTCGTATGCGGGGGAGCGGAAGAGTCTGATGCCTGGAAGCAACGCATCTCCGTGTTGAGACGACTGATGCTGTTCTTCAAACGGACTTTTCAGTCGTTGATTGCCGCCTCGTTCGAAGAGGCCCGGTTCCAGGCGCACCTGACTCAGGGGTCGATGCTTCTGCAGCACAGCATGGCTGTCTTGCAAGAGCATGATGATCACAAGCTGCTTTCGGCGTTGTCAGCATATCTGGAGCGCGACTTTGTGATTGGGTTCAAGCTTTCAAGCGGGCTTAGCATGGAAATTCTCTGGCATCATCTGCGTCCCGAACCCATCCCGGACCCGCAGACTTTGGAGCAGGTCATGGAGATGGAACGCCTCGCAGATCGCTTCGATTCGCTCCGTTGGCGGGTCGATGCTAACCTCTCTACTCTCCGGAGTATCCAGGATTCTATGGCAAGGGTATACGCCTTCATTAGAACCGGCAAGGGTGATGCTGCCGGTCTGGTTAAGGATCTGCAGTCCGAGATAACTGCCCTCGAGTTAAGTACCGGGGAACATTCCACAACCCACCAACCCTTCTTTGCGTCCGGCTTCGAGGGTCTGAGGCGGGCACTCGTTTTGCACCAAGCTTCTTGTAACGCAACCATGCACTTGGAATCGTCAGACGTGGATATCCTATCCAACGTGCCCTCCGCTAGCCTGATGCGGCTGCAGTGCCTAAGAAGGACCCCTCTGCAAGCGGTGGACTATATACTTGCCCAGGACAACATCGACGTCCACCCATGGGATGGGTCCTTGTCCAAAACGTTACTGCTCAAGTATGATACGGCTTCATCGGCAAGTCTGAATGAGTTACGATCCCTGGAGACGGAGATGCCCGTCATGGGTAAGACGCTTAGCGCCGCGTCCGAGGCGCTGGCGACGGATCCGCTCCAGAAAGCCGAGCAGCTCCTTTTGAAGCTGATGGATGAGGTGATGTCTGCTCATGATGAGTCCTGCAAAGGAAAGATTCCCGCGATGTACCAAGATTTGCTACAAAGCAGATATGTTGATGGAACCGATTTTGGGTGGCTTGAGCAAGGCGATCCCATCCAACTCTCTGAGACATCCTTGCCTCCGCACCTATGCTCTATCTTCAAGACGTACTTCTCCAAGGCTTTGCTGGCACTGTCAGCGCCGGCCAGGGGTTCACTACCACGGTCTGCGTATACTTCTGTCGCGTGGATCCGGTTCGCTCTGGGCTGTGTCCAGCTCTTTGTTCCAGACAAAATCTTTGATCCTCACCATCGAGCGCAGATCGAAGCAGAAGAGCACCAAGAGCTGTATCAGAGCCTGCAAAGGCAAATTGCGGCCCTTGAAGCGTTCCAGCTTGCTTTCACCGGGCAGCGGGCCAGTCTTCGTGCGCAGCTTCTCATGGAAGAGGCGGGAGGCTTAGGCGAGCCGCCAACTGTTCAGCCGATCTACAGGCATGGTGATGCCGAACTTCGCGGCCTGCAAGGAGAATTCAATAACGTCCTGAACGCGTTGATTCGGAACGATGTTGCGGAGACCCTTTTGCGCTCGATGGCATCGTCGTCCGATGAAGCCACGGAGCAGTTGGCGCTCGTTGAGCAGAATGTTGCGCTGCTGATCGGTCGCTTGAAAACGCGGTTCGACGCCTACCAGGACTTGACAATGCCCTTGGTTAGCTTCCTTCGTTGTCTGAGAATAGGTCTCTCCCTCAGCCGGGGTATTGGCTCGATAACCCGGACTGAAGCCGGTGACTCTCAAATTCTGGCAGGGATTACACCGTTTCTTGGTGGGAATCCGTGGAAGGCAGAGACGTCAGAACTACCGCTTCGTTCGCTCGAGTTTCTTTCATTCGTCCAGACCGTCGCGGCCGTGGAAGGTCTTGACAAGCTTCCGGTTTACCTACGACGCTCCCTCCATGAGTCACTTGCAGCTTTCCACGAGGAATGGAGCAAGAAGTTGGAGGCAGACCGGAAACTTGAGGAGAGCAAGACCAGTCTGTTCAAATTCAAGGGCAGCTTGGAAGATCAGGAAGAGTTTGACCAGGAAGAATTCGACCAGCTCTTCCCAGACTATACCCCTGATGAGGACGGCGTGCCAAAACAAAAACCGCCTCGTCGGGGTGGTCGTGAGTTGTCCGTCATGCTGGCCGAGGCGCACGAAAAGATTTTCCTATCGACTCAGGAAGCGCAGCAAAGCATCAAAGAACTGTGTACTTGGGTTGCTCGCAAGATTGCGCGGGAGAAACGGGACGTTGCTGTAGCCGAGCCTGAACTGGACAGCATGCTTCTTCCTGCGGCATTCCTCGTCTTTGAGGAGCAGATGAAGGCTTTCACCTCGAGTGCTGACTCGTCCGACTACAACTTCTACACGGATACCAACCTTGCCGAGGTCCGGAAGGTACTCAATCTTGTCAATGCCATTAGAAAGCGTTTCCTGGAGCTGCAGGGCATTGATGAAATTGGCCACCACCAGACCCTGGCTGACGTGGTCATGGCGTGCGACAAGGTGCTGGAGATGGCAATTGACGACCCGCTGGCAAAGCTCATCACCCCTATTGAACGGTTACACGCTCACGTATACGAATGGCAGGAGGGTGGCTGGGCAATTAAGGCCCACAAGGCTACAGCGCTGTATGAGAAGCTAAGAGACACCATCTGTGACTGGCGCCGTCTCGAGCTGTCAAGCTGGTCGAGATTGTTTGACGCCGAGGTCAAGAAGAACCATGATGATGCCAAGTCATGGTGGTTCATTGCATATGGCGCGGTGATTCTCGAGCCATGCTCCATTCTGCAGCAGGGCTTGGACCTCAAGGATCACGCTGTCAAGCTCCTGGGAATCCTGGAGTCCTACTTCACCAGCGCGACTATGGGCCAGTTCGCTGCCCGCCTGGGTTTACTCAGGCAACTTAAGAGCCAGCTGGATTTGCTCGTTCTAGATGAGCCTGCCATGTGTCTGATCCGCGATGCCGTCCAAAACTTTATCGCATTTTACGGCCGATACGAACGCAAAGTCGGTGAAACGATTCGCGCTGGCAGGGCGCCGCTGGACAGGAGCATGAAGGATGTTCTGTTGATGTCAAAGTGGAGGGACAAGAACATTGACGCGCTCAGAGAGAGCGCGCGCAAGTCGCACCAGAAGCTCTTCAAGCTTGTGCGCAAGTTCCGCGCCGTGCTGGAACAGCCTGTCAAAACAATCACTGATCAGGGGCTTCCGGACGAAGAGGGGCACTCAACTGTCCCTGATTCAGGCAGTGCGCTCAAGTTTCTCGAGGCCCATGCCGACCGTGAGGCGTTCGTGCTCTGCCAGCAGATGCTGCCGGCCATTGGGAGCCATCCACACTGGAGCAGAATGTCTAACCTGCCTGTCGTCCTCAAGGCCATGTCGAAGCACGGATCTGTGCCTGCTCCTACAATTAATGCTGCCGAGACCTTAGACAATTATATCTCTGATCTCGTTTCGTCCATCTCATCGCTGAGAAAAGAAACCCCCGGCACGCTGACTGACGAGAACAAGGAGCTCGTCCGCCACCTCAAGACGCGCAAGGTTACGCTCTACAGTGACACCCTTAAGACACTCCGCGCAATGGGTTTCAGTCGGAACCTGGGCACCAACCTTTTGCAGCAGCAGAGCTCAACCCAAATGGTCCTCGTCGGCTCAAGAATGCTGCCTCATGTCGGTGGTGTTTCGGGCCTGGATGCGATCGAATATTTCTACCACAAGACGCTAGATCTTGCCCCCCTGTTCCGACATGCTGCTTTGGAGCATTCGGAGGACCTGAACCGCGAGGTAGTGCATCGAAGCATCGGGTACCTGGAGGGTGTGCTGCATGTCATGTTCCGGCAGCGGCAGTTCCTGTCCAGGGCGGCCATGGCAAAGAACGCGCTCGATGGCGTCCTTGACTTTGTTAGGGAGCTGTCGCTGGTTGAAGAAGGCTCGTTCAGACCTCAAGAGATGGCGACGAACCATGGGCAGATGGTTCGGTGGTTTGTGCATATGCTCAAGTTTGGCGCCTACCTTGTGGAGGTCCATGGCAAACTTGGCGGCACGGATAATGAGGCAGTTTGTCACAAACTTGGGCAGTGGGTGGAGAGGTTCGCCAAGCTAGACGCTGCCCATGACAGCCTGCCCCGTCTGCCTACCGGGTTCAGCTCGTCTGCCGGCGACAAGTTCCAGGCTGATGTGCTCGAGGAGGTGGAACTACTTCTAACCGACCTCAACATAATTGAAGCGGAGCGACCCGATCTGATGTTCGTGATGCAGCAGATTGGACGGTGTTTTGAGATTCACGAGACAGAGATCAGCAACGACCTTTCAAGCAGCGACATCAATTCCTTCGCCACTGCAGCCCTGACAGTCTCAGGCAAGATCCTCGTTGCCCTGCAAAACTTCCAGAAGGCTGCTCAGTCCCTTCCTATGACGACAGAAGACCCCAGCTGGCTTGTCCAATATAGCGACGCCCTGCAAAGGTCTATCGACGCCCTCCGCATGGCCAAAATCACGGAGGAAGTCGAGTCCCTTATCCAGCAGCTCAAGGCTCTTTCCTCCAGCCAACCGACCACTGTCCCTGTGGCCCTCCTCCGCCTCATCCATCCGGTCCTTATCCAGTACGCCTCTGCCTGCGCTCAGAACCTTGCTCAGTTTTCCAACCTCCACCGAGCCACCTGCCGCCTGGGCTACCATCTCTCATCCTCGTTTGTCCAGATCGCCGGCCAGGGCTTCTGCACGCCACAGGAGAAGAGCGACGAGAAGGCAGGCGAATCGGGCAACGTCGAGAGCGGCACTGGCCTCGGTGAGGGTGAGGGCGCGGAAGACATTAGCAAGGACATCAAGGCGGACGAGGACCTGTCCGAGCTGGCTCAGGATCCGAACAACAAGACGCAGGGCGAGATTGAAGACCACGAGGACGCCGTCGACATGGGTGACGATGAGCTGGAAGGGGAGCTCGGCAGCGTGGCTGCGGAAGATGAGGATGAGCAAAAGGACGGGGAGAAGGATAAAGATGGGGAGGACGAGGATGAGAACGAGATGGAGGAGCAGGCCGGAGACGTGGATGACCTGGATCCGACGGCGGTGGATGAGAAGATGTGGGATGGCAGTGGCGAGGATGAGGCGGAAAAGGATCAGCAGGGTGAGAACGAGAAGGGGAAGAAGGATGAGGATCAAAGTGCGGCGGCCGAAGGGAAAAAGAAAGAGGACAAGGCGGGAGATGAGCATGATGAGGGGAACGCACCGCCTGAGGAGGCTGGGGAGGATGGAAATGAAGATGCCGAAGCGGAACCTGGACAAGAAGAGGAGGGCATGCCTCAGGAGGAGCTGAACCGGCAGGATCAAAATGTGCAGCAGAATGAGACGCTGGCGTTGCCTGAAGATTTGGAGATTGAGATTGATGGAGACGAGCAGAGCGGGGAGGATGACGATTTGGATGACTTGTCGGATGTGGAGAAGCCAGAGGAAACCCATCCGGATATACAGGATGACGCCTCCGAGCGGGATGCCGAGGAGGAGAGGGGTGAGGAGGAACATCAAAAGGACGAGAACATTCCCGAGGAAGAGGCTGAGCAAGAGCAGGAGATTGATGCAGCTGGGGAAAGGGAAGAGGAGATGGATGTGGACATGCAGGAAGAAGAGGGGCAGGAGGAGGGCCATGATGAAAAGGAGGAACAAAAACTGCCCTTGCCTGACGACACGGCTGGGGCAAACGAGGATAACGCTCCACCCAGCGACGTACATAACGGGGGAGGCCAAGCGCAAGAGGACACCGACATGCAAGACGATGGATCCGAGAACAAGGCTGCCCAGAGAGAGCAGGGTGCGCTGGGAAAACAGTCAGCAGAGGATGACAAGGCACCCGGCAACAAGGGCGCTCTTTCGAGTCTGGATCAAGATCAAGGGCCGTCCGACGAGGCCGAAGACAGGGATTCTATGGATGCTCAGCCGTTCAAGAGACTCGGAGATGCGTTGGAGAGGTGGTATCGGAGCCAGCGCGATATCCAGAGTGCCGCGGAAAACCAAGAAGCAAGGCAAAAGCCAGCCGAAGACATGGCTCAGGCCGAGTTCCAGCACCTTCAAGACGAGACCGCCGAGGCCGATACGCAAGCCCTGGGTACTGCCACCAACGAAGAAGCTCGTCCCATGGATGATGCGATGGCGGTCGACACCGAGATGGATCAGAACGGTAACCAGGCTCTGCTTGAGGATGAACAAGAAGACCAAGATCAGGCCGATGTCGAAATGGAGGAAGCTGAGCAGGCCGAGCCGCAGGATGCTCCCCGGAACGACCGCGAGGATGGCCGGTCCGGAGTCGCTATGCGCAAGGGTGCTTACGAGGCCGACGAGGACGAGGGGATGCAACGGACCGAAGCCTCTCCAAACGACCTCGAGGATGAAGACGTACAGGAGACATCAACTCAGCTTCTAGCGACGCACCTCAGCGAAGAAGACGGCAACGCCAGACCGCTCCGTGACTACGCGGAAGCGCTCGAGATGTGGACGACGTTCCAAACCAAAACACAAGCCCTCTCCCAGTCGCTATCCTCACAACTCCGGCTCATCCTCACTCCAACCCAGTCGACCAAGCTGTCGGGGTCCTTCCGCACCGGCAAGCGGCTCAACATCAAGAAGATCATCCCCTACATTGCGTCCAGCTACAAGCGCGACAAGATCTGGATGCGGCGGGCGGTCCCGTCCAAGCGGGCGTACCAGATCCTGCTCTGCGTCGACGACAGCTCGTCCATGCTGCCGTCAGGCGGCGGCGGCGGCTCCTCATCCTCCTCATCCGGCCGGCTAGCGCTCGAGTCGCTCGTCATGGTGGCGCGGGCGCTAGCGGTGCTCGAGGCCGGGCAGGTCGGCGTGCTGGGGTTCGGGACCGACGTGTTTGTGGCGCACCCGCTGACGGACCCCTCCCTGGCGTCGTCGTCGCACGAGGCGGGCGCCAGGGTGCTCCAGAAATTCACTTTCACTCAGGACGGCACCGACATGGTCCGCCTGCTGCGCGCCACCATCGACCACTTTGCCGACGCGCGCCTGGTTTCCGGGGCCCGCGGAGGCGGTAATCAGGAAGATCTCTGGCAGCTCGCGCTCATCCTCTCGGACGGTCTCGTGCAGAGCCGCGACCATGCTCGGCTGAGGCCCTTGCTGAGGGAGGCTATGGAGCGGCGGATCATGGTGGTGTTTATCGTCATGGACGACGCTAGGGAGAGTAAAAAGGGCCATAGCGTGTTGGAGCTGAAAGAGGCGCGCTTCGGTCCGGACGGGGAGATTGTTATCCACCGCTATCTGGACTCGTTCCCCTTCCCGTACTACCTCATTGTGCACCACCTGGAGGACTTGCCGGGCGCACTCGCGGCGCTGTTGAGGACATGGTTCGCCGAAGTCAATGCTTAGTTTTTAGGGTGAAAGCTTACTTTTCTGTATTGGTCTGTTTTAACTTGTTTTTACTTTTGTTGGTGTTGTTGGTCTTTGCATTGCCTGGAGGTTGCTTCACAATTAAAAGTTGATAGACCGTATGTTAGTTACTAGTAGTTACCCAGCCTAGAACATGGTGTTTTCATGAGTAATCAACTGAGCATTACTTTGATGACTGCGGACCCTTTCTGTATGCGGTCCTGTAACCTTGTAAGTTTGACTTGCTTTCCTGTCTCAAAGACGGTAAGTCTATGCCCTGGCCGCCGGGTTCAGGTTCTCGTCGGCGTCGTATATGGACGGGATGATTTTGCCAGAATCTGGCAACTCAAATTCCCATTTATCGCCAACTCGCCCCAGCATGGTGGAATGGCTGTAACCGTTGTGGAATCTGGGAAGTCTTGCCCGAGTTCAAAATACTGACCCAGGGTCCGGATCCCATTCTCATGTCGTCATCCTCATACTCATCGTCATCTTTGTTACCATTACTATCATTGGTGTCATACCATTGTTTGTACCATTCAATAAGCTTCCTTTGAACCAGCACTGCGCAAAGTTTATGGTAGTGAACGGCGTCTGGGAGTGCTGCATACTAGTACTACTAGTAGTGCCTGTCTACTAAGTACCACGTTGCGTTCAAACCCCTGATTAGAACGCCGCTTGTTGATATCATAGACGGCCCAACCGCGTATTGCATCTACGGTCATGCCTCTTCAAGCTGTATCCGCTGACCCATCCCCATCACAGCAGCACGCCCCTGATCTCGAGATGAGGCGACCCAGCAAGGCCGAAAAATACCAGGTACCACTTCAGGCACGCCACCGCTCAACTACAGGAGGTGTGTGTAGAGTACGTGACTGTACACTCGCTGGTAATAGAGTTTGAGGAGGGCATCGATCATAGGAAGCCTCGGTGGCGGTGAAGTTCCGGGCAACACTTTAAGTAGCACCGAGACGGCGTTTTTCTGACAATGCAGTCCGACTCTCGACATGTACGTTCAATGCAGGCGAGAGGGACGTTTATGTTGGCACATTCTCATGACGTGGCTCAGCTAGTAGTCAGCACTACTAGTATGGGGCATGATGTGGGCAGCATGTTGTCATTGGTGATCTCTTCGCCTGCATCGAACGTACATGTCGATAGCCAGACCGTAGTGTCGAGAAGGCCTTCTGGCAAGTAGGTAAGCATTAGTTGCTCTACAGGTCTAGGGCAGGAGCGGGTCATGATGATTCTCAAGAACCAGCAGTTGTATGTACAGCGCATGGGCTCCTGATACGGCAGGGGACTACTCCTACCGGTAGTAGTGGCAACAAAGCATGTAGTGCTGGTTGCGAGTGCAGAACCTAACTACTATACTAGGATACTAGGTAAGTGCCGGCGGCGGCTTGGTTGGGATGTGACAGGTCACGGAAGTGAGGGCCTCCGGGGTGTAAGAGTAAGCGCATCGCTGGGGAGGTCTTGGGCATTTGAGGTTCGGAGCATCAATGATGGCGCAGTCTCAGGTCACGACATGCCCCCCAGGAGAAAAAGGTGAAGGAAAATGCTAGCCCATGTTTGGCTGAGGGACCTGAACGTCTAGGCAGTGGTGGCAGTAGGTGCAGCCAGGCTAGGTTGCTAGCGGTAGTCGCATGGGAACTGATGTACATACATACATACATAGGCTCGGGAAGTACAAGACCTCCCCAGACCAGAAGCTCTGTTAATAGGGGTAGTCGAGAGGATGATTTTTGCATACAAAAATTTGGCTGCACTAACAGATCTCCCCCCTTCTCAAAGTACCTCGACAAGTCCGTGTGAAGTAGCTCATCACCCGGCACCACCCTCCTTCTCTCCTTCCCAAGGCTTATCATTGTGCTGGCAGAATCTTTCCTTGTCGTCTAGATGTGGTGATGACGCAGCCTCGAACACTGTACATACGAAGTAGCAGAGTTGAGATCATCTGTATTTCGGGAAAACAACCACACCTTCATGTAAGTTGGCTTGTTGGAGACAACTCCTAGCTCAACTCGTTAGCTCGTACGAAATGCACCAACTGCCATTGATCAGATAAGGGTATATCTCAGAGTCCGGGCCATGACGACAGGAATCTCGCAAACGAAGTGCGCACCAATCTAGCCAACGTCTCTGGATTCGATTTTTGATATATCCAGCTTGCACGACACAACCAAGGATGAGACCGCACTCATTTCACTTGCATTGCTGAACTATCCCAAACCCCGAGGGAACTAAAGGGGACAGCAGGAGCCAAGGGAATCGCAATCTACTGAAATGCCCCAAGACTAAAACCCCGTTCCCTGCCGATTTACAGCTAGTGGTCTGCAGGACAAGAGAGAAAACCGAAAGCCCCGAAGAGAGAGAGAAAAGCATCAGAAAAACCGCTCATGAACACATTGTAGTATTCGAGGATGCCTCCTCGACCCAGTCCAATCATGTGTTACACAACCACAGAAATGTTTTATCCTTCCTTCCCATCTCTATAGTCCATTCCTCAGGCCTTGCACCATGACCGCTTGTGGACTTATTGCTGAAGCGGGCACCAAAGAGGCCGCTCCTCGAGAAACTGCTTCATAGAGGTAACCTCCTGCTTCAACTGCTCAATCGACAGAAGAAGCGGCGCGATCTTGTCGCCGACCATGTTCTCGACAATCCTTGGCAACGCCTCACGAAACTCGTCCACTTGCGCTTGCAATCCGTTCTCTGGATTGTCAACATTGGGGGCGGCAGCGACAGGCTGCGATAGAGGGGTGGCGAAAGAAAGGTAGGAACCCAACCGGAATTCTCCCAGCATTGTAGCGACACCCCGGTTCGCCAAGCCCGTCGGATGGCAGAACCGAGAGGTTAAGATTTCTGCGCGCGTTGGAAGCGCTGACGTGACTGTATGGCTGAGTGGGCTGTTTCTCCGTTCTCTGACGGCGCGCTGCAGCTTCGTTCTCAGTCTGCGCAACGCCTTGAGCGGTCTGCAATGGCCCTTCGATGGAACGAGTCCGAGTTGGCTGATGAAGAGCCTGGCCATGTACAACGACCATGTACAACGGCGCCATCTCGACCGTGGCAGGGAAAACAGGATACTTTGCCAAGGAAATGCAAGAGGCGAACGGTGCTCGGTCGGCCCTGCCTCAATACTTCTCCTTGGAGTTGGCGAACTTCGCCTCAACGTCCTCCGTGCTCCAGGTCCTCTGTTCGACTCCCCACAAGAGCGCCCGCCCTGGGAAACACCCAAACATCATCATTCCATCGGTAAACCCCCAAATCCCGAACCGGAGGCGTGCCTACTACCTCAAATAAACCCAAGCCTCCTCCGGCTGACTCTGGCTCTGACCCTGACTCTGACTTTGAGTCGCCCGGCCATGCTGCTGACTCGGTCCCCAGATACCGCCTTCCTGACTCTGGCTCTCGACAGTCTCCAAAACCTCGCCCGCACCATCATCCCCAACCTCGCCATCTTCACCGTCCTTGTCCTTCTTGCCCCGCTTGCCCTGGCTATCAACCAGCATACCCTGGACAAGCTCAATGTCACCTATCGTGTCGTTGAACACCGAGATCATCCGCGAGAGAACCGTCATACGGTTCCACTCGTCGCGGGTGCGCCAGATCTCGTCCATTAGCTCGCGGTAAATCTGCTCTAGCTGCTCGACGCTGCAGCCCGCCGTGCGGTCCGCCAGCCCTTGCCAGAACTCGTTTACTTTGCCCTCGTGGATGACGGGCTGCTGCGAGGAGGTGGCCGACCCAGAATGGCGGACCGAGGCTAGCTGCTGAGAATTAGGGTTCGAATTCGCGTTCGCGTTGGAGTTAGGGCGAGAGTGAGCGCTGGCCCCGTGGCCGCTTCCTGCCTTCGAAGCGCCAGAGCCTGGGGTAGGAGCACCAGGCCCGCTGTTGTTGCTGCTGTTTGAGCCGCTATTATCCCCGGCATTGAGAATGTTCTCCAGGGCCGTGGCCGGCTTGTGCTGTGACGGGCGCTGCGACGAGGATGGGCTGATTTCTTCAGAGATGCGGCGTGCTGGCGCTGGCATGCTGCCCATTCCAAACCTGGGTGGAAGGAGACCTTTGGCCATGGCGTCTGCCTGAGAGTGTGCCCAGTCTCGTTGGCTCGAGCTCGACTGGCTCGGACCCGAATGACTGCTTTGATTGGCATTCTGGTCCTGCGTGTCGATGAGCTGAGACGGCTCTTCTGGGTTGTTTGCCATGCCGTTGGTGTGCTGCGTGCTCCAGTTACCAGAGCCACGGTGGGTCGAGAGCTCCGATGTCTTGGTGGTCGATGCATCATTCAAGATGGCAGATGGGGATACCCCAGGGGGCACCGATGTGATCGCCGAGCGCTGCGATAAGTGCGTCCCGGCGGTTGCTCTACTGGAGTCTCCAAGTGGAGGACGTCCCCGTGGAAGCGGCCATTGAAGTGGCGAGACCATGTCTGCACGGTGTCCAGGCATGGGCTGGGTCTCGTCGTCAAGTCCGCCCATGTGGACATCCTCACCGCCATGCCGGGACGGCACCGACGTCCCATTTGTCAAAGGGTGCGAGTCAGTCGTATCGGGATGTCCATTAGACGGAGGGCTCATTGGCTGGAACCTAGCCACTGTCGTACGCATATCCCGTGTTAGCGGAAGCCCAATTCCCACCGGGCCTTGGGAGTCGCTATCGCCGTCGCCCGGAATGTCGGACTGGATCAAATCGACGACGGGCTGCAGCGCCTTCCTCTTGCGAGCCTTCTCTTCAGCCTCCCTCGCCCTTTGCAGCTGCCTCTGGTAAATCTCCTCAAACCTGATTCCTTGGTTGGCGAGCATTTGTGCAACCTCGTGGACATCGACCTCAACGTTGGTCCGAAGCTCGTTCGCTTTGAGCGTCCGGTCTCGATCACCGATGTTTTTAGCGTCGAGATACAGTCTGTTGATGTCCTTATAGAAATCGATAGGCCTGGCATAATAGCCATTCGCTAGACGCTCCTCAATGGTTGTCGTCTCCAAGTTGTAAAAGAACTTGCCCGTCGCTACTTCTCGGATTCCTTCCGTCCCTTCCTTGTCCTTTGCGATCTCGAAAGGCCGGGTCTCGCCTTGGCCGACATCGGGCCGAACGAAATTCGGGTCGGACTCATCGAAGAGGTAGGCTATCTGCTGAAGTGGGATCACCGGCTGCCTGAACTTCCGGTACTTGCGCTGGATCTGATCCATGATCGGTTGCAAACGCATCTTCAGCAAGTTCAGGTGGTGGAGATCTGCTTTCCGTTGGGCTTTGATCTCCTCCTTGGTAAGAGTCTTTGGTGGTGGCGGAGGCGCAACTGGGAGGTCCTCAAGCGTGCGCTTCTTGCGGTTCACGGGATCCGGGAACTCGGTTGGGGACTTTCTCAAGTGGCTGATGATGTTCTCAAAGAACTCAAGACGGTTTTCCTAGCACTTGTTAGCTTTGTCGTCACCATCGGTCGAAGTGGCACGTACCCGCTCTGGTCGCTCAACAACCGCTCTATTTCGCTTGGAGAAGCCGAAAAGTTCCTTGAGGATCTCAGGAGAAAGCTGCTCGGGCGTACACTCCGCCGTTGCCAGAAGTAGGACCGGATCGGAGGGGGGTATGCTCCTCAGCATCGTGGTGAATGTCGTGATCGCGGTTTCGCTGATGTTGTTCCACCAGATGTCGACCCCCGGGATGAATATGACACTAGGTTTATGCCGCTTTACTTCGGTGAAGCGACTCACAATCACCTGCTCCAATGGCTATAGAATCGGTTAGCAATGTATCCACCATGGCATGTTGAAACATAGTCTTACCCGTCCATCGCCCAGCAGAGTCGCCAGGTCCATCGGTTGCACATGCACTCCTTCCAAATGATGCAGAATTGCCGACGCCAGGTAATTCTGACCCATCCCAGGAACGCCACAAATGAGAAGACGAGGGCGGAATATGCGCGATCGTTCAAACTCTTGGTGCATGGCCTCTCTACCAAATCCGTGGTCGGCATCTTCATAAGGTTCGTACATAGCTTCCTCGAGAGCGGTGGTCTTCTTGGGGCGCGGTAGAATATTATCCAACACCTTCAAAATGGCCCTGAACTGGTTTCTAAGCAGGGGCTCAACGGACTTTGGAAGAGGGGTGGCTGATGACGAGGTTGCTCGTTCAGATGAAGGAACCATCTTCTTGACCGAGATCATAAAGTCTGAAGCATGAATCGTGATCTTATCAGGATCCACCAGCAGCTTCTCCTTTGAGGTGTAGATCTGCGGGTATGTCCTCTGGATAGCGTTAAGTGCAGCTTCCGTGCAGAGGGCCCTCAAATCGGCGCCGCCATAACCCTTGGTATTCTCCGCAAGAGCATTCTTGAACTTATCGGAGATCCCCCAATCCTTGGTGTGGATGTCAATGATAGAACGACGAGCCTCCAGATCGGGCAACGGAAAGTAAAACTCTCTGTCAAAACGCCCCGGCCGGCGGAGCGCAGGGTCAATGTTGTCTGGCCGGTTCGTCGCTCCAATCACAATTACCTGGCCACGGCCGTCCATGCCGTCCATCAAAGCTAGCAGCGTGGAGACGATGCTAGCGTGAATCTGTTCCTGCTTGCTTGATCGCACAGGCGCAAGACCGTCAATCTCGTCAAAGAAAATGATGCTGGGTTGTGTTCTCCGTGCCTCCTCGAATAGCAACCGCAGCTGCTTCTCGGCCTCACCAACCCACTTGCTCAAAGCATCAGCTCCCTTGCGCATGTAAAAGCTGATCTTGCGGCCGCCAGAGCCAACCGAATTGGCCAAGGCTCTGGCAAGCAGTGTTTTACCCGTTCCAGGAGGGCCATGGAAGAGGACGCCTCGAGGAGGCGTGACGTGGAATTTCATAAACAGCTCGGGATATAAAAGGGGGAGCTGGACCATCTCCTTGAGTTGGTCGATATGGCCCTGCAAGCCACCGACCTTGCTAAAGTCGACGCTCATGTCCACCCCAAGAGGGTCAGCGTCAGCAAAGGCCTTCTGGTTCTTGATCTTGCCGACCTGGGGCGTGGCCCCCGCCAGACCTCCAATACCGTCGGCATTGTGAGTTTGGCCTACGGGGTTAAACAGGCCAACTGGCGGTGCCGCTGAGGTCGGTGTCATGCCAACAGCGCCACCAATGCCAGACCGCTGAACCATCTCGTCATCACTGCTGTCAGAGTCGACGCCGCCTGTTGCCCCAGTGCCCCAGGGCCCGCCAAGCAGCGACCCGGGCCCGCCGCCGCCGCCGAACGGACCGTAGGTGCTGTTGAAATTGCGCTCCCAAACCTGACTGCTAGCACCCTTGCCGCCTCTGCGATTCCTTGCAGGGGTCGCAGCCGGCTCGTCATCGTCTTCCTCGATTTCGAGCACTGCAGCGTCAATGGCGGGGATGCTGTAGTTGACTGGCTTTGTGCGCCGTTTCTTAGAGGCAGGCTCCTCATACTGGATCGACGGCGATCGCCGGCGAGTGCGACGCGGTCGCGACCTGGAGCTCTCTCGCAGTTCCTCGAGCTCTTCCGCCATTTCATCCTTGTCGAGCTCAACTTCTTCGTCCCCAGAGTCTTGCCGGTTGCGCCGGTTCCGCCGGCTTCTTCTGCTCTGAGCACGGGAACCACGCCCGCGAGGTGTCGGGGTGGATTCAACATCCTCGTTTTCGCCGTTGTTCTTGGAGGCGTCCGAGCCAAAGGCTTCACCTTCACCGGATTCCTCGCCAGGCTCAAAGTCGCTGCTCGGTTCTTGCAAGCTCTTTCTGCTTCTGAGGCGTGATCTCCGCGTCAGACGACGCCGTCCTGGTGTATTATCGGTCTCAGCCTCTACTGCAGCCGCTGCAGCCTGGCTATTCCTACTGCCCCGGGTCCGTCTGGTAATTGGCGCATCATCGTCGTCATCATCATCATTGTCCGCCTCGTTGATTGGCACGTCTGCGGCCTGAGGAGGCTCTTCATGCTGGTCCTCCTCCATGGCGGCGTCATCAGCTCTCTCCCCTGCCGAAGCAGCATCGTCTTGGCCACTGCCATTTTCCGGCTCGTCCTCACGCTTAGTAAGAGCGAGTTCATCTCGTTCATCCATAGCCTGGTCAGGCTCGTCCTTCGGATCGCTTTCCTGTGTTGCCTCCTCAATAGGATCAGGCAGTTTCTTGAGACCCTTTCCTGCACGGGTGACACGAGTTACCCGGGCTAGCGCTTCTGGGCTCTTACTTCGGGATGCGCGGGCAGGCTGTGCGTGCCTTCCTGAATTCGACAGCTCCACAAGCTCTTCCGCTTCTTGAGTGCGGGCTCTCGTGTGCCGCGTTGGGGGAGGGTGGGCATCCTCCCTGCCGCGCTTGGAGGCTCTCTGCGCTCTTGGGTTCGTCTTGAGAACCACAATTCTTGATGGACGGCCTTGTGGTTTTGGCACCTCTTCGAGATCCTCCTCCCCTTCATCCGAGTCTTTGATCACACTGTCTTCTTCGTCGTCAGTGCTTTCTTTGTAGGATTGTTGTTTGGCAGCAGCCTTTCTCATTCGCCGACCAGTCGCATTAACAGGCAAATCTTCGTCTTCATCGTCCTCGTTTTCATCTTCCCCAAACGAGTCTTCTTGCTCGCTGTCGGAAAGCTCTTCATCGTCTTCGATGTCTGAGCCTCTATATCGGTTGGATCGCTTGCGCGATCCCTTGGGTCTCGAGGACCGTGACTTCTTGATGCTTCGCCGCGGTCGATCTTCGCTGGGGTTGAAGTTTTCGTCTTCTGGATCCGACTTATTGGGGTCGAATCCCTCGAGAATGTCGCGTTTACGCTTTGACGGCATGGTTTACTAGCTTCCGCTGACAGGATGTACTTCGCAGACTTCGAAATCGGTACAGCAACTCGCAACGCTCTCTGGACCGCGACTGCTCTTCAAAGACACGGTGATGGCAGCATCAAGGATACAAGCAGCGACTAGGTATGGTGTGTCAGCCAGCGACACCAAGACATGTGCACGGAATGTAGGCTTGCGCGAGCAACTGTGGGAGGGGGCAGAGAAAGCTATTGGTAGAACGGAGACTTACGAGGTGATTCCAGTCCAGTCGATCACAATGCGAGCATCTGCCTTGTCGCTAGCAGAATTGAGTTGACGATCCCCAAAAAGTGCAACTATAAGGACAAACTCGGTCGAAGGAGCGCACACAGAGATGCTACCCAGGCAAACCCGTACAGGGCGTGATCCAGGTTTTGGGGCGGAAAGCGGAAAGCGGAAAGCAGGAGTAGCAACGGAAGGCTCGCAGACCAAAAGGAAACTATGCCATAGGCAAGACTGGCCAGGAATCGATAAAGTCGCGAAGTCCGACCAGGGGAAAATGGCGAACAAGGATTGCGCGGGTCAAGGTTGAGGCCAGTCGAGCGAGGCAAGATCAGAAGGCGAGCGAGGGATGGAGAGTCGCGCGTTTCTTCCGCTCTTCGCGAGGGTCCGGTTGGCTGCTGACACCTGAGCATGCGACCAATCACAGCTACGAAAACTCGGATAAAGCGGGTCATAGCCCCCTGCAGGCAACAGCGCCCTTCGTGAACCACCTCAGAAAAATCGCAATCCACCGCCGACCAAAGTCATTCAGATGAGCGCGTCGCGAACAGAAATTTAGCCATTGTGAAGCCACGATGAATAGAGTTGCAAATTGAATACCCAAATAGGCGTATCAAGTTACCGCTCTTACTATTGTCATCTTGTACAGCTCAGGGTCACAATACATCAAAGGGGCATTCGCAATTCATAATCGCAAAATTCATCATTAAGAACGCGCTTGAGGCGCATCGCGACGTGTTTCGCCAAAAAAGACAATGTCGTCATGGTATGCGATTGCCGTTCGGGTTGTGGAGAGCCCAAACTTCCCACGTGGCGGATGCGGCTCAAGCGCCGAGAAAAGCACAACTCAACGATACGGGAACCCGGCTTCGGGCCAGCCTTATTACGGACCCGGGCCGATGGCCCAATTTTTACAATCTGCCTGCCGTGGTCTGTGCAAAGCTGATTGATGGCCGTGAAGCGCAGGGTTTGTTGGACCAGCAGTGTCTGCTGTGGGCTGGAAGGGCTGCTTGCTTGTGGAGGGGTTCCGAGGAGCAAAGGGGGGGATTTCGGACCTGGGTCCCCGCCCAGCTGGTGCCCCCTTAACCCCCTTTTTGGATCGCACTGATGCCACTGCAACGGCACTTCGGCGCACTGCAATCCAAGGTGGAATAGATTTCTTTTTCAATGAGTATAGGACAGGCCAGATTCTTCCAAGACGGTGTTCTATTTGATGCTCTATCAGACGCTGTCCTAGCTTTGCACTGTGGTCGGCCAGCTAATGCCCACCAACGGGTTCTCTCTATGTTAGATACCTCATATGCGGCGCCTTTACGTATTGTACAATAACCCAGCGAGATCGCTTATACAATACGCGCCCCTTCCTCCTGGCACCATATCTCAGAATATCCGACGATTGCGAAACCCGCCATGCACCCGATCACCTGCGCTTGGCTGGCTGTCGCATTTTGGGGAACTGTAGAGGCAGAGCGAGCCTCGCGATGTGGTTGACCTTATCTCCCGCCTTGGACGTCTTTACGCGAGCGCCAATCTCCACAAAATACTGGTTAATCTGCTTCTGCTCCAACTTAAGATCCTCCCGTAAGTCGAATGTGTTGACTTCAAAATTGTCGATGATGCTTGCAAAGACGCAGCAGTGCGTCATGAGCAAGTCGATGTGCGCTTTGCGCATCACGCCGTTATCCGAGAATTTCCGCCGGATATTCTCAATCACGACCTCGGGGGCAGGGGCCATCGCCTGTCGCAATTTGTCTCGTTTCCCTATGTTCTTCGTGCCGCGTTCCCTTCCCTGTGATGTTGTGGCCCAGAAAACGAGCATCCACAGTAGGTAGCGCAGGACCCTCAATCTCTGCACGGCATCCTCGTTGCTTGCCACGCGGTTGATACGGTGGGCAACGAACCGAGAGGGAACATGTACCGGCTCCATCTTCTTGACACTTTCTTGCCAGTCCATGACGGGTATAGCGTTGAGGACGTCGGCGCCGATGATTTCCGAAGGAACGTAAACATCCTGGATTTCCTCGGCATCGAAATTGCCGCGAGGTATAGGTCGTGCTGAGTCGACAGCAGCTTGGAGCTCTTCGCGCGTCGCTATGTGGTGGCTGGAGTCTCTGATGGTATCGACGAGAGCACGGTCGCTCTGACCCAGCTTGCCGCTGGACTGGGCCACCAACATGGCATTTTCTGCGACGGCCTGGAGGGCCTTCTTGGCCTTCTTCGTTCCGAACGTCTCGCCCAGTTCCATTTTCATGTCCGGAAATGTCTGCAACATAATCAGCATCATTTGGCGACGACCACAGCAACTGAGGATCTCGACATACTGCATTGGCAGGCGACTTTTCCACTGATTTGTCGACAGGCTGTTTCGACCGGACCGTCCCCCGCACTACCATCTTCTTTGCTTGGATCACCTCCACCTCTCCGGTCCGGGGGTCGATGACGGCGAAGAAGTGATTCAACAGTGTGTCCACGCTTTCGCGGCGCTCTTCCCGGGCAATATAGTCTATTGACCTGTGTGCCGAGGAGTAGAGCGCCATCTCGGATTGCGGGGGGATGCCGCCGCTCTTCCGCCGCTTGGCAGTCGACTGCTCAGCCTTCTCATAGACATCGAATGGAAGGGCGTCAGGAAGAGAAATCCCGGGGGTCAGCGCTGGGTTCCAATTAGCACCGTTGCCTGTCTCAATAAATGTCGAGCGGCGAAGCCTCACCTACAACTGGAGGCGAGACCTGTGGCTTCCGCAGTTTTGTTACCGAGAAAGAGCTTGCGATGGCGGGTTGTTCTTGTTGAAATTCGACTCTTTTTTTCTTTGACTGAGGAGTACCATGTATAGGTAACTTCCGCTTCTTTTCCGGCGAGTCTGCCATTGTGATATGTGGTCAAGTGGTGAATGCAGCCTCGATATTCTATGGTGGGACACAGCGGCTGGTTTGGTGAGAGCGGCATGCACCCGGAACTTTTTTTCTGCCACTAGATCGAGGCTGTAGCTGCTTCACCGCCTTTACTTGACTCCCCACCGAGCCCACTACATAACTCATTGTGGTGGGGTGTCAACCTTCTTCCATTGCTGAAACTTGAGAGAAGAAAAAGAACGCTTTGGGGACACTGAAAAGCAGCTTGGATGTACACTGTTTGGGCCTCTTAGAGTCGAATAAAAGATAACTGATTGCCCAATGCCATAGAGCGATGTGCTCATAACCACTGTGGTTTAGCTCTGTGCTGCATGCTTCCTTGGATAACACTAAAGGAAGCTCTCAGTCAGTAGGATGACGGCATATACTTGTAAAAGAGGTAGATAGAGATGTTCTTAACTCCGCACAATTGAAGCTTGAGCTCGCCGTTGCACATCGAACATTTCACATTGCAATGCCGTTTGCACCAGGAATATGGTTGGAGTTGACTCAAAGCTCAGGTATCGTCAATTCCGCAAATCACGATAACAGACTCGCAACTCTATGGAAGCCCTAAGCTTGCCTGAATCCTAGCAAACGCCGGCTTGTACAGCTCAACCTTGATTGGCAAGCAACCAGTCGTAATCATCGCTCATGATACCGCCAATCCAATCCCTGCCATGTGTGCCGTCCACTTGTCGACGCGTATTCTCCTCCGAGATACAAGGTCGTTGAAGGTTTTCAAGTCGTTGAAATCTCTCGGCCCACTTGACGACGGTCATTGTAAGGCAGCGGCGAGCTTCGGAGGTGACCAGCAGCGGGGGTTGCAGTGCTCAATCCGCCTGCGACCCAGCTGTGATGCGGTGGACTGGTTGAGGTCGAGTGAAAGCGGGCGTTTATTTGCTAGGGGCAAGGCGTCAGCGACAAGTCCATTCCCGGTTATCGAGATGGTAGCAACTCACGATCTAGCTCTCATCTTTCTTCTCTTGCGCTTGAGACGGCGAACGCGCTTCTTTCTCCACTTCGCTCTCATCTTGACTATACGAGGTCAGTGTGATGTAGTGTTTTGAATCGTCGAGCGTGAACCTACATGTTACTTCCTCGATGAGAATTTGCGGTTTGGTTGATGGAAAAGTTCAAGGCTGCATTTTGGGAGGGGAAGTCGACTTAACTACCTAGGGCAAGAAGGGCAGCAGCCCTGTGGGGCAGGTCAGGTGATTGCGCTTCCCAGATCTTTGTCTGGGTTCGTGGCCCAAGCTCCTTCCACCAGCGTTCCACATCGTGGGTCCGAACGCTCAGTTCATGTCTGGCTCCTTCCTCGGTCACACCATATGAAGATGGCCAAGTTTCTGGTGTGATCAAGCTGCGGTTTTTGAGCCAGACTAATATCCGGCAAGGCACCAAATTCTATGAATCCTACCTTGTAACTAGGCCAGCAGATTGAATTTGAATGTTCATTGCAACTCGACCTCTATCCACAGTTGTTGGGTTGATCCGACGCTCCATCAGCCCGAGTCTATGAATCCTCATGTCGTCAACCGCTGTAGGCAGAATCTCCTGGAATGATAGGAGCACGAGTCCCCGGTTAGAAGGTAAGACTTGGCGGCGCAATCTCCTCCCTCTTTCTCTCGTCGGTCTCATCTACAGCCCGCCGACCGCACGCGGAATGCTGCGAGTCCATGACTGACTAAGGTTGAACTACCTTAACCATTCCTTGCTCTCTGATACCAGGATTCCAGGTGACTTCCTGATCCTCCCTAACAAAACCGTCTCGGTCGGGAGGGACGATGCTGCAAACGACGTTGTGCTCCCCGACTTGAGGGTTTCGAGATGTCAGCTTGAGATATTCTGCATCATTGTGGATGAAGAATGCAAGCATGCTCCACTCGTATTTGTGCGCGATCGAGGGTCCTCAAACGGCACATGTGTGAACGGTCAGCTCATTGGAAAGGGGACGAGGCTCTCCCGGGCAAAGCTGCTTGAAGATGGAGACGTGATCACCATTGGCACACATCCTGACCTGACGCTGAAGTATAGCTCATTGCTCCACATGCAGCCTTCTTATACTCTGAGTCCCCTCCAGCGGAAGGAAGTTGAGGTAGTATTAGATTCATGCAAACGACGGCCAAATCCTAACTGTTTGCTAGCTCTTCAAGGACAGGTATATCATCTCCAGCCGCACAATCGGTGACGGAGGCCATGCTTTGGTCTTCCTGGGCACCGAAGTTGAAACAGGACAGCAAGTCGTCTGCAAAGTTCACGATATCAGCCATTATTCTACTGAATCTCAGGAGTTGCGGCGGATCCGCCAGGAGGCAACCCTGCTAAGCACCTTGGATCATGTAAGTACCATGAATCTGACGGTCTATCAGCTTAAGAATGCAATGCTGACTGGGCAGCCAAACATCCTTTCAATCAAAGCAGCATTCGAGACTCATCAGACAATGTAGGATGACCGCTAACCTGCGTGGGGAGCGTTCTGGTATCTAATATTTGCCAGATACATCATTACTGAACTAGCAACTGGTGGTGATCTTTACTCGCTCCTTTCAAGGCACGACAGGTTGGAAGAATACACAGTCCGGTCCATCATCCGACAGGTGCTCCGAGGCGTTGTCTACATCCATAGCAAGGATGTCGCCCACCGCGATATTAAACCAGAAAATATCCTCTGCGGCGTGACCCCTGAAGTCCCATTGCGAGTCATGCTCTCCGACTTTGGAGATTCGGGAATCGTCGGTCGCCAGAGGATGAAGTCGGCCGTAGGGACTCGCTTCTACCGAGCACCGTGAGTTAGAGTACCAGCCCTTCGAACCAACCGACTGACATTACTGACATTCCTCAGCGAATGCTACACTCCTGGCCAAGACCATGACTTGGCGGTTGACATCTGGGCAGTTGGTATGCTCGCCTTGCAGCTATTTCTCGGGTGTGAGGAGTTTCCAGGGCTTGATTCGATACTCTTTCAGAGTCAGGCTGATGTTGAGGCCTATGTGACTTTAATATTTTCCCTCCCATCCTACCATGGACGGATTTCCGAGGCAGGCAAGAACTTCATCCGCCACTGCCTGGCATACGACAGCAAAGAAAGGCCAACGGCCCGCCAGGCTTTCCGTCACAGCTGGCTTCAAGAACCGAAAGACGACCGAAAGTTGTTCAACCAGCTTGAGACGAGGAATGTCGACTTGTGGAGGCCCCAGCGAGCCATGTTCCCTGTGATTCAAGATCTCAGGGCGGAATCACTCCTCAGTATCGGACGCGGAGCTCCTGATATGAGGCCAGGTTTGGAAGACATGGTGTCGCGACACTTCGCGGATCGGATATCAACTCACCCTGCGGCGCCAGGGATTCATCTGTTGAAAGAGAGGTGACGATACCAAACTCATCACCACTAGCAGGACATGGCAATCTGTTTGGAGCCTCTCACCGATGGAAAGGGAACTGTTAGTAAGAACAGGCGGCGGACCGGCTTAAGAAAAGCGTGATCCAAACACTGACTGCCGTTGCTAGTGGTTTACGAACCGGAACATGGCCTTGAGCATTCAGACCCGCTTTACATACTACAAGTACATCTACATTTGTTTCGCAGAGTTGTATTGTACACTTAAAGGAGCCGTCCAGGAAGAACAGTGTTAAGGTCGCTAAAATCACCCCTTTCCGCAGCGAACATTTAATGCATACAGTCAGAGCTTTGAGCTGTCCACCCTCATCCCCTCGTCATCCTGCTCCTTCACAGTCAAGTCCGGGAGTGCAGCGGGCATGATCCTCCTTGGAGAGGCCCCTGGAACAACGGCATATCTGGAAAAGTCCGTTATCCCGCCGTGTTTTCTCAAAAAGTCCTCATCTAACTCAAGCTGTCCATTTACTACCGCCGCGGGCGCCTTCAGCATAGCGATGATCGCATCTGACAAGATGGTCGGCTTGCGCAAGTCTCTCGCGTATGCCCGGTCCTTACGAGTGAACTGCTCGGTGGCTGCCGATTCAATAGCCTATTCCCGGAACCAAAAAAATCAGGTACTTATTCCATCAAAGTTCCCTGGAGAAGGGAGAATGGAGAAACCAAACGGGGGAATCAAAAATGAGACCAACCTACCGCCGCCGGCCAAACACTCGTAACAGCCATCCCCTTTTCCTCCACCAAACCCTCCCGCTCAAAATCCATGCCGAGCCCTTTCGTCAAGACACTCATGCCGACCTTGCCTACGGCATACGCCGTCTTGCCGCGAAAAAAGCGGCTGTAGATGGGCGGGCTGACGACAATGATCCGCCCTCCTCCCGGCTTATTGCGCTTCTTGAGATGGGGCAGGGCCACCTGCACGGCCCCGTATAGCCCTTCGACATTGACGCGCTGCATCAGCTGGAACCGCTTCATGGGCGTCGACGCCACAGGCGCCCACCAGACGGCGCCCGAGTTGTAGACTAGCGCGTCCAGGCGGGAATAGGTCTGGTGGTGGATTTTATTGGGTTATTACTACTCCATACCTAGGCTCCTAGGTACTACTAAGAAAAAGGGGGAGGGGCCGAGCTTGCCTGGATGGTTTTGCTGATGAGTTGTTGGATGCTGGCATAGTCGGTTGTGTCGACTGGGATGGCCGTGGCTTCGCCGCCTGCGAGGGTGATCTCACGGGCTACGGTTGTGATGGTGGACTGGGGAGAGTTGGGGTTAGGTGGGAAAGGAGAGAGTCTGGCGAGGTCGGCTTCTGGCGTGGTAGCTCTGGCGGCGACAACCACTGTCAAGTTCATGTGCGTTAGAACTCGAGGAACCTAAGGCCGAGCCGATGATGAGATGCTGAGGCGTTGCTCACCCGCATATCCATCTTTGGCCAGGTCGATGGCTATTTGACGACCGATTCCCCTGGATGCACCGATTACAAGGGCTACTCGCTTCGTGTTAGTGGGCGCCATCACGGACTGAGGCTTTTCACTGAGACGTGGAGTGAGTGCAACTGTGGGCGTAGTACCGGATCCTTTCAAGGGGTTTGAATCAGGATGAGCACATGGCTCAGATCATGATAGATACCTTATGCTGTAGTTTGGCTATTAAGTCTTTCTATGTACAAGCGCGTACTATAGCTCGTTTCGGCAACCACAGGCCGATTAGTGATCAGTAGGTCCGGGGCAGAAATGCCGGGGGCTCGGAGGTGGGTGTGGGGCCAGCCGAGGCATCACGGGGCATGTAACCGCATCCATAGTCAAGCTCCCTTTCACTCTTACTTCCCACTGCAACTCTCACTTCTACATGGAGATGGTCAAAGCTGCTTGATGTAAAAGTTAGCACTCTTCAGTAATCACAATGGGTGGCCGGATTGACTGTTATCTTGACATTGGTGAGCCATTGAACCACTTTCATTTGGTAACCAGCTTGTAAGGTAAACTCAACTCACACGCTCTCAGCTTCATTTTACAGCTACATTGCTTTCCTCGAGCTGCAACGGAACGCCGAGCTCCTCGCCTCTCACAATGTAGAAGTCGAGTACGTACGAAGCAGTTCGAGCAAACTTGGTTACCGAACCGACAAACTGACACCGAGCCTTAACTCTCCCAGATTCCACCCCGTTCTCATAGGCGCTATCAACATCGGCTCAGGTTCGGTCAAACCCCTGACACCCCAGCCTGACAACCCGACCTTAACCTCTCTCGTTTTAACAAGGCAACCGTCCACCATGGATGCTCCCCGCCAAAGCATCCTACCTCGCCTTTGACGCCCGTCGGGCCATGGCCCGTTTTCCGGGTCTGCCAGTGCAATTCCCATCCAACCTGGAGCAACTGGCCAAGACGGTCATTGTACGTCCCGACCGCCCACTGCTCTTGCCCACATGTGCCACTAACCCATCGAAACCCAGCCCCTGCGGTGCCTCCACTACATAAAACGCACCCGCCCGGCTGAAACCTTCCTCTCAACGCTGCACTACCTCTTCCACCTCTTCTGGTCGCCGCCCAACACGGACTTGACCAAGCCCGAGAATGTAGCAAAGGCATTGGCGGAGGCGCCAGTCGGGTTTCGCGGGGTCCTCGGCGGCGCAGGTGGTAATGGAGAAGCAGGCCGAAGTCGTAGTGACAACAAACAGTTCACGCCTGCGGAGGTAGAAGAAATCATGCGGGCTGCCGCGACGAGCGAGATGAAGGAAGTGTTGAAGGCGACGACTCAGACGGCGCTGGACCGTGGAGCGTTCGGGAACCCTTGGTTGTGGGTTACCAATGGCGATGGGAAGAGCGAGGCGTTCTTTGGTAGTGACAGGTGAGTTTCTTTCTGCTGTGGCTTGAAGAGGGGAGCTGTTGACCGACTGCCTGAAGATTCCACTTCATTTACCAGTTTCTGGGCGTGCCGTACCAGGATGTGACGCTTTTGCCGCCGGACAGGGCTAAGTCGAAGCTTTGAAGAGACTTGGGGCAATCGTGGGAGCTTGGAGGCTGAGGAGCGCCTTTGGATATGAAAATACCGGGTCAACTACCCAGCCCAATTGTATGCCGTTACCAAACCGGGTATTCCTTCCTTGACGCCGTGTATGCATGAACAAAACAGTGTTGCAGCAGCCCTGATGCTCCATGTCAGGCCCTCGCGGCCATCCTGAGCCGCCTGGCTTCCTCCTCCCGGACAGCCTCGCTCCTTGCCAGGAATTCCTGCCTCGCCGCATACGAGTGCTTCGACCTCCCCGCCAGCTCTAGCTCATCCTTGATACCCTCGCGATCAACGTACCCGGCCCAGTCCATCCTGCTCTTTTCCACCGTGTTCAGTTTCTTGGCATCCTTCGCCTGCTCCCGCGCCTGCAGTCTCGCAGACATGCCAAGATTGAGGTCAGCGCGCTGCAACGCCCCGTCGGCGCTGACGGGCTCGAAGCGAGAGCGGAAAGCCTTTCGTGGCATACGTTTTTGCGGCATGCTAGAATCGTCCGCTGAGTTCGAATTCGGGTCGTTCTCAGCGAGGTAGAGCTTTGCCTCGGCCGAGTCGCGCGGGACGAGCTTTTCTTCGGTGTGGATCTTGCCCGCAAAATTGTAGGTCCTCTTTATGCGGATTAGGTCGGGTTCTTCGGCGGCGCTCTTCCCATCCAGTTGCGGTTTTGTGGATGTCTTGGTGACGTCTCCGTTTGGTTGCGCTATTGCAGATACAGATTCCTCTTGGCTTCGACGGCCTACGGGCGTACTGATCATCTCCGCCCATAGTGCATCGACATCGATAGTAACCGGCCCGCTGGCGGCCGCCGCTCGTCTTTCGGCTTTTCTGTAATGAGCCAGTTAATAAGTGTTACCATGTCATGTCATCGGGGTAGCTCGGAGGGCATACTCGGCGGCACGCATCCCCCGCGTCTTGACAATCCCTCCCTCGCCGCCATCGTCCTCGGCAGCGCCGGCTCCGTCATCTTTCTTTAGCTTTTTGAGCCGTTTCTTGGCCTTCTCAATTACCGCCTCATCGCCCGAGTTTTCAAAACCGGCATCATCCTCGGGGCGGTCGTCGTCGGCCCCCTCATGTTTCCTCTTCCTGGTTGACCCTTTGTCTCCATCATCCGCTTCGTCTTCGTCCAACACGTCGTCATCAGCGGGCACGTCGTCGGGCGCAAAGTCAGAGTCTTCTTCCGATACATAGTCTTCTTCGTGGTCTAACACTGGTGCCATCTTGAGGCGGGAATATGTTCGGGTGGGTGATGACTATTGAAATTGCTTTCGTTTCTGGTCCATGTTCCGTAGCTCGTTGAATGTATTGAATAATCCAAATCTTATCGATAGTGTAGGTGATGTACGGCACTTCGCAATACCCAGTGCAATCTACAGAAATTGCCGTATCCGTACTGTAATATACAATACAGTACAATACCAGCGAATACCTGAGGTACCTTACCGTGCTTACCTACTGGTGGCTCGTGACTGGTACGTGCTTATTCCCGGATCGACGGGACGCAGCGCAGTGGAGCTGCCCCGCCCCCGCCTTATCCCGGGGTTAAGATCCAGATTCTCCGTCTGTAACTCTGTATGCTGGAGAGTGTCATGAGAGTGTTCCCAGCATCGGCCAAATGGGAGAAGATACTCATCACTGACAGCGAGCTCCAAAGTAGCATAGGCAGCATAAAGAAGTTGCCTTTACACTCGAGCTTGCAGTTGGGTATTTTCTCTCTGAGTACGGAGGTACCTTATAAGTGCATCATCTGTGAAAGAGCAACCCAGTACCCCGGATTCCGTCTTCCGCCCATCCCACGCCAACATTTTAGCCATTACACGAGTGGCAATGACAGCAACCCCGGATCCACCCAAGACGCGATAACCGGGCTCGCGGATCAAGTTAAAGGCGCTATCGCAGAATATGGAAAGTTTAGGGCGTCAGCAAGCGTGGAGAGGCACATCCCCGTCCAATGAGATAGGTCTGGTTAAACAGTTTGCTTCCCCGCACCCTCAAGACGAAGAGGTCTTGATTTGGCATGTTCGTGTGATGATCACGGGTTCACTAATGCTTCGATCTGCTCCTCTATAAAAAGGGGCTTTGGTGCTTGGGGAAGGTGAAGCAACAGACGAACCGTAGGCCAAGCCCTGATTCAAAGTTCAAATCTTCTGTCAAAGTAGCACCAATCAGTCAACATGTCACCCCCTTCAGTTCTCACCCAAGAGGAAAAGGAGCACTTCCTCAAGCATGGCTGGGTCAAGTAAGCCTTCCTGAAACCTACGACGCCAACCTACCTCCTCTGTCCCTCGTAGCTGCCTCTAACTCAAACACCAGAATCCCCAACGCCTTCACGAAAGAACAAGCCGACACCATAACCAAAGATGTTTGGACCCGCCTCGGCATGTCGCCAACAGACCAGTCCACCTGGACTCGCCTGCGCACAAACATGCCGTGGCACACCGAGTTTGACGCCTCGCAGTTCGCGCCGCGGGCTTGGGCCGCCATTTGCGAGCTCTGCGGCGGCGAGGATCGCGTGGACCCAAACTCCAAGATGTGGAGGGACTCGCTCATCGTCAACCTCGGCGACGCCAACCACGGGGGCAAGCCTGTCCCGCCAGAGGACCTGCCTGAGTGGCACGTCGACGGTGATTTCTTCGTCCACTACCTTGACAGCCCCGAGCAGGGGTTGCTGGTGATACCGCTGTTCACCGACATTGTGCCCAACGGCGGCGCCACCATGATCTGCCCTAAGGCTATCCCCAAGGTCGCACGTCACCTGCACGACCACCCGGAAGGCGTGTCACCCAGGATGACGCCGAGGGGCGAGCCCGGCTTCACTGAGGAGAAGGATCTTGAATGGTTCAGAGCAGTTGCCAGGAGCTGTGGTGAATTCGTCGAGGCCACTGGGAACCTGGGGGATGTTTACCTGCTGCACCCCCTCATGCTCCACGCGCCCTCGAGCAATGCGCTGCGAAGGGTGAGGATCATCACGAACCCACCCGTGTTCCTGAAGGAGCCGTTCTGTTTTGATCGGGAGGATGGGAACTATAGTCTCGTGGAACAGCACACGCTTCGTGCGCTGGGCAAGGACCGTCTGAGCGGCTGGAAGATCACCGGGCCTCGGGAGGGAGTTGTCCCTGAGCGGGTAAAGATTCAGGAGAGGATGAAGATGGAAGAGCTGAAGAGGTTGGAGGAGTTGAAGAAGAAGGCCGAGTCAAGCGAAATGCAACAAGTCACTGCTGCCGCATGATGGACGATTTAGAAACGGGGTTGTGTAAGAAGCAACTATTCTTTTGTTATGGAGATAGGTACGAATATGACACCGATGGATAGAATCGAAATTTGTGTACGACGCTATCCGGAGTGTGGAAAGACTTTTGGCCCCGGCCTTCGTACATTTGTAGTCCGTAGTGTAGGAAGCGAGGAGCGGTGGGGCAGATGGTGATTATGAAGCCCTGACGAGTAGCGAGTTCATTAATCAAGGTGCCGGCAATCTGGAACCTAAGACGCCAAGACTTTTAGTGTAACGTAGCGAGCTTGTCTTGTGGAACTCATTTGGGCATCTCCAACATCGATTTTCTCGGCTTCGCCTCCAAATCATGACTTCCAGTACCTCTCGAACGAATCTACAAAGACCCTTACTTGACCCACAGAACCGCCAAGATGAGCGATAGCGACGACAACGATTTCCAGGTCGAAGAACCCGTACTTGCCGACGATGATCCCATGAAAGCCTTCCTGCCGGCTTCGTTCGGCAAAACATCAAAAGAAGCCAATATCGCCGCTCAGATCGAGCAGACCAGACGACAGGTCGAAAAGCCGCCGGCGCAGAAGGAAAAGAAAGCCACCTCTGACAGCGACAGTGACTCTGATGATTCAGAATCCGACGAGGAGGATGTGGCAGAACGATTTCCGATATCGCACGAGATGGTCCTCACAACCCATGATCGTGCGGTCACCAGCATCGCGCTCGACCCAGCAGGGGCGCGCATGGTCACCGGCTCATTAGACGGGACTCTTAAGTTTCACGACTTCGCCTCCATGACACCTACAACTTTGAGGGCGTTCAAGAGCGTAGATCCGTGGGAGACCAAGAAGTCCGCTCCAACTGACTCGCATCCTATCCAACATGTCGAATTCTCCCGGCACTCAGGCAGCGTTTTTCTCTGCGTTACCGCACATCCACAAGCGAAAATAATGTCCAGGGACGGCAGCATATTGACCGAATTTGTCAAAGGCGATATGTACCTGCGGGACATGAATAACACCAAGGGCCATGTTGGGGAGGTGACGACAGGCACATGGCATCCCTCGGACCCGAATCTTTGTGTAACCGCTGGGTCGGACAGCACATTGAGGATATGGGATGTCAATAACAAGAGGAGTCAAAAGGATGTGATTGTTTTCAAGACGAAAGCTGCTGGCTCCGCGGGGCGTACCAGGATGACGGCCGTTGCATGGGGTGCCCCTCCTCAGGGGACCAGTTCGGTTCTTGTTGCCGCCGCTTTGGACGGGTCACTGGTCATGTACAATGGCAACGGACCGTTTACAAGACCCATGGCGGAAATCAGGGAAGCGCATCGGCCTGATACTTGGACTGGAGGCATTGATATCAGCGCCGACGGCCGAATGGTAGTAACTCGGGGCGGCGACGGCTTGATCAAGCTTTGGGACACACGAAAATTCAAGGAGCCCCTCGTCAAGGTTGAGCACCCCTCAACTTCCGACCGGTACCCGATGACCAATATCAAGTACTCCCCGAACTCCTCCTCCATTATCACCGGGTCTGCATCTGGGGACCTTCACATTTTGAACCCGGCAAACCTCAGGCCAGAGCATGTCACACCAATAACCCCCGGCGTGCCTCTGATCGTGGTAGACTGGCACCCAAAACTTAATCAGATCATTACGGGCTCAGCCAACGCCGAGACGCACGTTTTGTATAGCCCCTCCCTCTCGAACCGCGGCGGTCTCGAAGTCATGTCGCGCGCGCCCAAGAAGCGACACATTGACGACGACCCGTCGGCCACGATGGACCAGAGCATAGGCATATCAGGCGACTCGATCGTGGCGCCCGGTGCGCTGCTGGGGAACAAGCGCGGAGGCGTCTCGGCGTCGGGCAAGTCCCGCGACCCCCGGCGGCCGCAGGTGAAGCAAATTACGCCCTTTATGCGCAGCCAGCCAGACGAGAAGCACATTTCGGAGAACATACCCCTCAGCCGCATGCTGCACGAAGACCCCCGCGAAGCTCTGCTGAGGTATGCCGACGTCGCCAAGAAGGACCCCGTGTTTACCAACGCGTGGTCCAAGACGCAGCCCGTTACGCAGTATGCGGACCTGAGTGATGAGGAAAATGACGAAGAGCCGGAGAAGAAGCGGGTGAAGAGGTGATTTAGGAGGAGGGACGGGGAGTGTGATTAAGTATATGGGATATCATGGCATTATCTGGCGTTCTTATGGAGTTTGCGGTGGGAAAATTGTTTCTCGTTTACCTAGGAATGATACCAAGCCATTGAATCGATCACCCCAGGTTCTGGGATTAGAAGCCTGTGTATGAAGGTTCCTCCAGGCATTTCCAAGGCTGCTTGCATTCCAGTAACTAGGTAGCGTATCCACAACATTGAAACAGCCCAGAGAAATCTCTGCCTCTGTCTTGCTGTCATCTAGAGAGCCTAGGTAGTGTTGGGTATATCGCACAGCTTGGTGGGTGTCCAAGACTTCAAGGATCAACTGGCAAAGGAGCGTTGAGCCATTGCAGTGGCTACGGTCCCTTACACGGTACTTTTGCCAGGTGGCGTCATGGTGTGTGTCGGCCCTGCACAGCAGCCAGGGAGAAATTCCTGGACTGAGCTTCTGCCAGGGAAAGGGGCGATTACATAAGCCGTGCTGCAGGCTGCGTGCGCAGATTGCATCACGGGACCAGCATCTTCCGCGCCATTCAATCTCGCGGCTCTCTGCCTTCACAACCTCTCCATCGATCAAAGGCCCGGGTGACCGCGCGCATCAAAAAAATCACCAATCTCCCTCCGCGATTCATCGAGGCCATCTCGAAATCGCCAGCCGAACACAGGACACACAATTCTCCACACATCACACCCGTTCACCACACTTTCTCAGCTGCCTTCGGCTGTCTTTCACTTTTTTCACCACGCCCGACCGTCCCCAGCTATTTTGCTGTTACCCCCCCACACAAAGCACGTCGCCATCAATCCCCCCGGCGCGGCTTGACACTTTCTCAAAACCCCCATCAAGCTTGCACTTGTTCCACCGACGCGCCACCATCCCCGACCGGTCGCCGTCCACCACCCCGCGTCCCGCGTCCCGCATCTGCCCTCGGTCGCATCGCTGCCCTCGCTTAATCACCACCCCGTGCATTTTCCCTGGACAAGCCTGCCTCCCTTCGTTTGTCGCGCGACAGCCGCACCTTCCTACCCACCTAGGGTTCCACAACCCATCCCTGACTGCGACTGTCGGCCACCAGATATGCAGAGACATTGACGGTGCAACAAGCAATTGATATCTCGTCGGCATATTGACACCACCGGCCGTCACCATGGCTAGCGTCCAAGTGCCGCCTGCGGCGCCGCACCCAGGCTCTGCCATCCCCGCTGGCATGACGCAGCAACAAGCCCAGGAAGTTTACATGGTTAGTCTCCTTTGCCTCGATGTTCCCCCTGCATCGGTTCACATCCAAGGTGGGCTTCCTGTTTGCTAACCCTCAGCAGAGGTATCAACAGATGAAGAAGCAAGGCGTTCCTAGCACCGACCCTGAATTCATCAAGGCCCAGACCATTCTCGCTGCCCTCCAGCGGCAGAATGAGTTCCGCAAGCAGCAGATGCAAATGCAGCAGCAGCAGCAACAGCAACAGCAACAGCAACAGCCAATGCAGAATGGCGCGAATGGTGTTGTCAACGGTGCCGGGCCTATGCGCGCTGCCCAAGCCTCCGTCCCACAGACAACGATGTCTCCTGCGACAAATGCACTCGGCGCGTCCGCTCTTCCAGCAGCTTCAAACCCCTCCGCCCCCCCCTCGGCTGGCTCTGCTTCGGCGCAAGCCCAAGGGCCGCAAGCCTCCGACCGGTTCACCCCTGCCCAGATGAACCTCTTGTGGACGCAAATCAAGGCTTTCAAGATGCTGGGCAAGAATGCCGGCGTTCCCATCCAGGTCCAGAAGGTCATTTTTGAACACCGCGCACGCCGCCAAGCATATCTAGCCAAACAAGATCCGCAGGCTTCCTCAACAACAGCCGCTTCGGACACTCCAGCGCCAGATGCTGCGAAGCCCGGTGGGAACGAGGCAGACGCTGCTATGGAAGACACCTCTTCGATACCGCAGCCCAAGTCGTTCAAGACTGTAAAATCGCCCTATGACGGAGGCCTCGTACGGAAGAGCATTTCCTATATGGACCACAGTCGTCGCAAGAATCGTCTCATCATCCCGGGCATTTTCCCCACAGGGATTGATTTTGAGCAGCTGAGAGCGGATCGCGAGAAGATCGTATTCAATCGCATGAGCGCAAGGTACTCCGAGCTGAAGTCCCTTCCCGGCAACCTGGCGCACATGGACGCCTCCAAGGATGAGCTCGTCGTCGACGATACCGCCAAGCGGAAAGCTATTATTGAGATGAAATCATTAGCTCTCTATTCCAAGCAGCGCGCCCTTAGGGACAGGATTGGGAAGCAAATGATGCACTACGACAATCTTGCCATGACCACAAACCGAGCCCTATATCGCCGCATGAAGAAGCAAAACGTGCGGGAAGCACGCATCACGGAGAAGCTCGAGAAACAGCAGCGGGATGCGCGCGAGAACCGTGAGCGTAAGAAGCATAATGAGTTCTTGCAAGCCGTCTACAATCACAGAAACGAGATTGTCAATGCTGCTCAGACTCAGCGCGGCAAGATGCAGAAGCTTAGCCGCCTCATGTATGCTCATCACTTCAACATCGAAAAGGAAGAGCAGAAGAGGGTCGAGCGTACGGCCAAGCAGCGTCTGCAAGCCCTCAAAGCCAACGACGAAGAAGCTTATCTCAAGCTGCTCGACCAGGCCAAGGATACTCGTATTACTCACTTGCTCCGTCAGACCGACGGCTTTTTGCACCAGCTTGCGTCGTCCGTCCGAGCGCAACAACGTCAAGCTGCCGAGCGCTATGGCGAGGAAGTCGACCTTCCCGATGAGAGCGACGTGGATGAGGACGACGAGGAGAGCGGTCGGAAGATCGACTACTATGCTGTGGCTCACCGGATCAAAGAAGAGGTTACCGAGCAAGCTAGCATTCTGGTTGGCGGTACCTTGAAAGAGTACCAGCTCAAGGGCCTGCAATGGATGTTGTCGCTTTACAACAACAACCTGAACGGTATCCTGGCTGATGAAATGGGTCTCGGCAAGACCATTCAAACCATCAGTTTAGTCACATACCTCATCGAGAAGAAACAGCAGAACGGGCCGTACCTGGTTATCGTTCCGCTCAGCACCCTGACCAACTGGAATCTCGAGTTCGACAAGTGGGCGCCTTCGGTTACCAAGGTTGTGTACAAAGGCCCGCCCAATACCAGAAAAATGCAACAGGAGAAGATTCGTCAAGGCAAGTTCCAGGTCTTGCTCACCACATACGAGTACATTATCAAAGACCGCCCTCTCCTCAGCAAGATCAAGTGGTTCCACATGATCATTGATGAAGGGCACCGGATGAAGAACACAAACTCCAAGTTGAGCGCAACCATTCAGCAGTACTACACTACCCGGTTCCGCCTGATTCTCACTGGTACCCCTCTCCAAAACAACCTGGCCGAGCTATGGGCCATGCTCAATTTCGTCCTACCGAACATCTTCAAGTCCGCAAAGACATTCGACGAGTGGTTCAATACTCCGTTTGCAAACACGGGCGGTCAAGACAAGATGGAGCTCACCGAAGAAGAGCAGATCCTCGTCATTCGCCGCCTGCATAAGGTGCTGCGGCCCTTCCTGCTTCGCCGTCTCAAGTCGGATGTTGAGAAAGACCTCCCGGACAAGACGGAGAAGGTCATCAAATGCAAGTTCTCAGCCCTGCAGGCTCGCTTGTACAAGCAAATGGTTACCCACCAAAAGCTTGTGGTCAGCGACGGCAAGGGCGGCAAGACGGGAGCCCGTGGATTGAGCAACATGATTATGCAGCTCCGGAAGCTCTGCAATCACCCATTTGTATTTGACGAAGTTGAAAATCAAATGAACCCTGCCAATGTCAGCAACGATCTCCTCTGGAGAACGGCCGGCAAGTTTGAGCTTTTGGACCGGATTCTACCAAAGTATAAGGCGACTGGCCACCGCGTTTTGATGTTTTTCCAGATGACCGCCATCATGGACATCATGGAAGACTTCCTCCGCTTCCGTGGGATCCAGTATCTCCGGCTCGACGGTACGACAAAATCCGAGGACCGGTCTGACCTGCTTCGAGAGTTCAACCGGCCGGATTCACCATACTTCATGTTCCTGTTGTCCACCCGAGCGGGTGGTCTCGGTCTGAATCTGCAGACGGCCGACACAGTTATTATCTATGATTCCGACTGGAATCCCTTCCAAGATCTGCAGGCCCAGGATCGTGCTCATCGTATCGGCCAGAAGAATGAAGTACGGATTCTCCGGCTGATCAGCTCTGCCTCGGTCGAAGAGAAGATCTTGGAGCGCGCCAGGTTCAAACTCGATATGGACGGCAAAGTCATCCAGGCCGGGCGATTCGACAACAAGTCGTCGGAGACGGATCGAGATGCCATGCTCAGGACCTTGCTGGAGACAGCAGACATGGCCGAGTCGGGCGAGCAAGAGGAGATGGACGACGAGGAGCTAAACATGATCCTTGCACGAAACGAGGACGAGCTTGCCGTTTTCCAGAAGCTTGACGAGGAAAGGGCGCGCGATCCCATTTACGGAACAGCCCCCGGCTGCAAAGGTGTCCCGCGCCTTATGACGGAAGACGAGCTCCCAGAGCTCTATCTCTCTGAGGGCAATCCAGTCGAAGCAGAGTCTGAGGTCGTCTTGGGTCGTGGAGCTCGTGAACGCACAAGGGTTAAGTACGACGACGGGCTCACGGAAGAGCAATGGCTCATGGCGGTCGATGACGATGAGGACAGCCCTGAGGCAGCCGCAGCGCGGAAACAGGCGCGCAGAGACAAGAGGGAGGCGAACAGGTTGAAGAAGATGGCTCTCTTGAACGCCTCTATGGAGAATTCGCCCTCTGCTAGCCGCGCTAGCACTGAGGATGTCGAAACTCCGGTCAAGAAGCGCGGGCGCAAGCCTGGCAGCAAGAACCTGGAGAAACGAAAGGCAGAAGATGGCGACGATGAGCCACCTGTTAAGAAGCGCCGTGGACCACAGGGACGTCCCAAGGCAATTAGCATAAACGGCAGCGACAGTCGCCTGTCGCCAGAGCTCCGAGAGAAGCTTCAGAGAAGCTTGAGGCGTATCTTTGACGGCCTGATGAATCTCGAGGTGGATGACGATGAACCTGAGAAACCCGACGGTGAGAAGGAAGATGATGATGAACCGCCGAAGCGGCTGATCATCGGCCCCTTCGTGAAGCTGCCGCCCAAGCGAGAATGGGGCGACTACTATGTCATCATTTCCAACCCAATCTGCATGAACGACATCCAAAAGAAGATCAAGAAGGAGGAGTACAACAGCCTATCCGACCTTCGCAAGGACCTGGACCTGCTCGTCAGCAACTGCAGAACATACAACGAGGAAAGCAGCGGTATCTGTCAAGACGCAAACATGATAGAGGTAATGTTACCCTTCCCACCTCCGCTCACATCTCTGTTCCTTTCCAGCATAGCTGACTGACGTGTCTTTGATCAGACCTTTTTCCGCTCTCAATTTGAGAAGGAATACGCTGAGAACCCTGACCTCCGCGGGCTCGAGGGATCTTCCTCGTCGTCGGCCCCGGGCTCGGTCAAGGACGCCTCGGTCGCACCTCCGTCATCGACGGCTGAGCAGACGCCCCAGCCCACTCCGAGCGGACCCCCACGGATCAAACTGGTCTCAAGCTCCAACGGCACCGCTGCTGGCAGTAGTTTTGGCGGCGGCGCCGGCAGCTTGGTCAACGGCGGCAGCAGCGGCGTGCAAAGCGACGAGGATTAGAAGTTGGTTCGTCGCCGCTTGTCGGCTAATTCCTCTGCCGAGTCTTCGACTCCGGCCGCCGCTCCCGTTGCCGGTCCCGGTCCGGGTCCGGGTTCTGGATTGGGCCCCCACGGGAAGACACCCAGAATCAAGGTGGTGCCCAGTTCGCATGCCCGTGCTGCGCGCAGGAGGCAGGGTTGAGGGTGCTGGTTCCGGTTGTTGGGCGGTCGGGCAGGCGTGTACTCTATTTTCTTTTTCCCTGCATGGTTGGGTAGCTGCCCCGCCCGCGTTTCCTTCCGTATGATAGTCAGGCGACTACCGAGTTAGTGGCGGTGGAATCTTGCTAGTTGGGAAGGGAAAGCAAGAAATAAAGATGAGGGCGCGGCAGGTATATGAATGAATGGGTGAACGGACGGGCGGATCAGATGGGATGGGATGGGGCAATCGGGCTACGTATCGGGCTAATTGGCGTTCTCTGTGCCCCTTCTTCATTTGTTGTTTGGCTTTGTTATGGTACAATACCTAGCTTTCTCCGCATCACTGCACTGCGGTACAATACCGCTACCTACCTCTATTACTACTACCTACCAGTTACCTGGGGCGGCGAGGGAGGGTCTCAGTGCGGAACTGGGGAATGAGAGAAGAGAGAGTATGGGCTCGTGCATTTCCGTATATCCCGTACAGTTGCTTTTTTCGCTTATGGAAATGGAGTGAATGTAGATGGGGAGGTTCTGTGGCAGCGGAAGGTGATAGTTTGTGTTTCTGTCCCCTTTGGTTCTTTCTTGGTCTGTTGCGGCGGTCGGACATGGATACAAATCTAACGTCAGCGCTATTGGGTTGTCTCCGGGTTGTTGACCAAGGTTGTTGGTTGTGTTCGAGTACGAAGTAGAGCAAGTTACTTCCAATACATATTAGCGAAGGCGGCAGTCAAGTATCTTATGGTTCTACCCTGAAAAGAGTTTACACTTTGCTCTTGTTGAAAGAGTATTGACAATGTTCTTTGCTGCTTGCGTGGTGTGTGTGCCTCCTGGACCGCGAGGAGGTGGATCTCACACGCTGAGCGTATGTACATACATTCTCCGGTGGAAGGGTGATGGGGAGTCTCCGTCGGGGGCCGCCAAGGGGTAAGGGAGGTAACAGAATTCAAGTCTATAGACGGGCCTTGTTTTCTTGGTCTGATCTTTTGGACGGGCCATGTTGATCAGCATGCTAATGCCTCTCGAGTACTGTAAGCAGTTTGTGGATTCGACTACAACTATGTCTGAAGAGTCACCACAGGCGTGGCAAATACAACCACACGACAGTTCAGAGACAGGACGCAAAAAAGTCATCTTGGTATATGTCAATAGGTCACAGCACCGGTGGAGCGAAGCAAAAGCACTGGACTGCCTGATACTGGAATCGAACCAGTGATCTTTGCATGTCGTCAAACCAAACAAGATTGTTTTTTGATACAAGTGCAACGCATTAGCCACTATGCTAATCAGGCTAGCCAGTCGATTGGCCGCGATGAAGGGAAAGCAATCTCGTGAAGCCGTTGTGTGATGCTCAAGATGCCGCTCAGAGATTTGTTGTGGATGGGGTAGGAATGGCATCTGCTGGTTGAGCGAAGATGTCTGGCGAGGGCCTTCATGTCTACGATGCATTTCTATATCATAAGAAAGATGGAATCACTAATCAACTGGCACTGCTGGTGCATGTAATCACCACTAGTAACTTGTATCAATGCTGTTGAACCTGACACAAGCCCAAGATCCGAACGCCCATATATATGCCCCCTTTTACCCGAATTGCAACCTGTCAGCGCTAATTGCGTCGACGCCCAAGTCAATGCTTCCTTGCTCATGAGAAACCCTTCTCGTTGAATGCAAGTTTTCCTCTGCTAATGTGTCACAAGCGCATTGCTCACACCCAAAAGTGTCATGCCCAAAAATGCAAAGAATATACTCAGATTCCTGTTATGGTTCAGGCTTAGACTCTCGACAAACAGCTGCAAGGCCACGCTGACCATGATGCCGGCCGTGACAGCAAAGAGGCATGCATAGGCAGTGTTGTTGATAACAAAGTCTGACTTCTTGGCAAGCTTGAACCACGCAGCAGCGACAGCGGCGCCTAAGGGCTGGCTGAGGCCGCCTAGTAGCGAAGACCAAAAGATGGCCTTCAGGCGGCTGCCTAGGGCCATGTACAACGGCAGCGCCATGGCAAAGCCCTCGGCAATGTTGTGGACAAAGAGGGCCATGAACACGTTGAACCCGAGCGAAGGGCTCGCGTGGTTGGTGGCGTAGGTGATGAAGCCCTCCGGAAACTTGTGTAGCGCGATGGCAATGACAGTTTGTAGCCCGATGGACAGGAATGCGTTTGTCGGGACGTGATGGTGGTGTTGAGCTTCAATATCCGGCTCTATTGTAGACAAGCACTCGGAGCGGCTGTCTGACATGTACGAGCGGGCGTGGGGCTCGTGAGCATCGTGATGGCTGTGGCCATGATCGTGCGAATGCGAGCGGCTTATGGCACGATATTGGGGACTCATAAGAGAAACGTCCACGTCCTCTTCAGAATCGCCGGTTAGACCGGGTGATATTGAGCTCGCTGCGGCGCGTAGAACCGCTTGCCTGGCAATGGCGGAGCGTGTGCTGATATGTTTGAAGCACTCCTGGCCGCAGGGGTCTGAATACCCATAACAAGGGCCGTCCTCATCGCAATTTGCCTTGGTGTCTTTGAAAAAGGACATGACTCGGGTCCGGACCCGCATGAGCGACGGGCGCCGAGGTTGGGGGAACGAACTGCTCGGTCGAGCCTTGAAGTGTGTGACGGCCTCACCGGTCGGCGTAGACTCGGAATTCAGCACCTTGGTATGGACATGGCCATCCTGCGATGAGTCCCCGTGCAGCAGGGGCGTGGACTCGGTGCCGCTATGTGTCTCTACCATGTCCGGACGGTCATCACCAGCTGAATGGGAAGAAATCCTCCGCAGGCGGCCCCTGCTTGTCACGCGGCCATGGTAAGTGGAGTGCTCCTCGTCGGGGAGCTCCTTGTGGGTGTGATCGCAATCCACGACGTGCGAGGGCATGTACTGGTGGAGCGCTCGCGAGATGATTTGAATGCCAAAGAAGCCGCCAACAAAGCAGGCCATCATCAGGAAGCCGGCTGCTTGAGGCTCCCACTCGTCTTTTTCGAGGTAACGCATCGCTGAGGGCAGCATACTATACAAGGCAGAGAACAGCTGAGGCAGCCAACGGTTAGCGTCAGGATGATCAAGAGAGAGCAAGTAAGTCAAGCTGCGCACCATGACACCGAAGCTCAAACTGAGCGAGCTTGCAAGGAAGCCGTTGCTTTCTTGGATGCGAAAATGGCGTTGGCCCGGAATGAGACGGACAGGAATGTCGATGCATATTACAAAGGCGCCCACGGTGCATGCTAGAGTCGGAAGTTAGCCAAAGTATGAAAGTCTTGGGGAGGGCTAAGAGAGATGCCTACCTATGCCGCTCACGGCGCACATGATCCAGCCGCGGGTGTCGTTGTCCATGTCAGTTGTCTCCATGGTGTTAAGGCTGGATGGATATGGGAATCCTGGATCTCCCGCTCTCTCCCCCGGAAAAAGTTGGATATTGAAATCCTGTGACGTCGTTGAGTATGGGTTGTGGTCCTTCGGCCGGGGAGGAAGTTGAAGTTTATCTACGAAACAATGAGGCCCGGGATGGCCGAAGCGGTATCCGTTGCGAGATGGATAGAATGCAAGATTCAAAGGGCGACTCGAGATGAATGGCGGCGAGGCGGACAAAGAGGAAGAAGGCCATTCATGGGTTCCAAGTTGTAAGCGTAAGAGTGAGAACCTCGATGGCCTGGTACGTACCCCCCGCGCTGAGCGGGCAGTCAAGGAATCAGGATGTTGCCGCCTGTATCCGTAAGTGGGCCAGCCCAGCATTGTGCCCGTAGCGGACGGCTACGGCTGCTACCTAGGCTAACAGCTCCGCCTGCCATATATATACATACCTAGGAATCAAGGTTCTGTTTTCAACTTCGGCACACGGAGCCATTTGACCAAAGCCAGTGTTCTACACTACGGATAGTTACATGTCATCACCTCCCACTCCCGTGCTGTCGGTGACCGGAAGTTAGCCCCCACTCGTGACATTTTGTGTCAGTGTCTGTGCTCTTGGCTTGAATGCCAATCACTGCTCTCTGACTCGGCCAGGTGGTTCTGCAGGGGCTGGCTAGGGCTGACAGCACCCTATTGGTAGCTGCGAGTCACCTTAATGGTCAGCCATAGGACAACGAGCTTCGAACCCTTGGGACTTTGAACTCTGGACTTTAACTAGAAGCTAGGCAGTCGTCCCCGTGCTGCAGTCAGTCAAGAGGCTTTGATGCACCCGTGTCCTTCGCTATTGACTTGACTCCCATTACCACGGCAAGGACGATTGTATTGCTTCATCCGAGTAGGTACAATACAAACATACCGTATGTATGTTTGTACCGTACTTACAGCAGTGGGTTAAGGTAGTGATTACTCCCGTACCTGCATAGGAAACGTTGGATCGCGGGGGCCCTTGCGCAGCAAAATTTCCACACTCGACGGCACGTTCAACCCAGACTGAGACATCCCAAACCTCAACACCACCACCCGCTCCCAAAACCACGAGGCTCCCTCAGCCTGCCGCGTGAGCAACGGTCTTGTCAGTGCCAGCTCGTCCGCCTGATTTGCCCCCCGAAGAGAATAAAATATAAGCCCATATCACCCAGGACCGAAGGACACCGTCTTCGCCATGTCCAAAACAACTCTTGCCGTCATTGCAGCTGTCAGCGCAGGTGCTGGTGCCGCTGCTACTGCCGCCATGTACTCGATGCGCTCAGAAAAGCGCCTCGAAGCTCCCCAGTCAACCACAGCAACCACATCAACAACAACCACTGTCACAACAACCGCGAAACCCCCCGTCCCCGCCTCTCAAGTCTTCACACCCCCCACCCCCCCGCTCCCTCCCGCCGTCACCTCCGGCCCCGTCAATCCCGCAGGCCTGTTCGAGTACGGCTTTCCCGGGCCCGTAGCCGACCTGGCGCACCGGAGCGCGCTCATCTCGTCCTTCGACCGGCGCACGCGCAACCCGCACTGGGTAGTGGAGCACATCACGCCCGCCTCCCTATCCCAACGCTCAGGAGACCGCAAGAACAGCGCTTTTCTCGAGGACCCTTCCATCCCCGAAAAGTTCCGGGCCAAACTGAACGACTACTTCCGATCCGGGTACGACCGTGGCCACCAGGTTCCCGCGGCCGACTGCAAGTGGTCGCAAAAGGCCATGGACGACACTTTCTACCTGAGCAACATGTGCCCGCAGGTCGGCGACGGGTTCAACCGCGACTACTGGGCGCACGTCGAGGACTTCTGCCGCCGCTTGACGCAGCGCTACCCCAGCGTCCGCATCGTCACGGGCCCCTTGTACCTGCCCCGCCGCGACCCGGCCGACGGCAAGTGGTACGTCAAATACGAAATGATTGGCAACCCGCCCAACGTGGCCGTGCCGACGCACTTTTACAAGGTCATTTTTGCCGAGGAAGGGGACGGTCCCAATGCCGGCGGAAAGGTGGCCCTGGGCGCATTTGTTCTGCCCAATGCGCCCATCCCCAACGAGAAGCCGCTGTCTGATTTTGAGGTGCCCATCGAGGCCATCGAGAGGGCCAGCGGGCTCGAGTTTGCCAGCAAGCTACCCGTGCAGAGGAGGAAGCGCCTGTGCGCCGAGACGAACTGCTCCATTGTGGTCAAGGAGTATGCTGAGAGGCAGAAGGCTTTTGGGCAGCAAAGCAAGTGAGCGGTGGGGTGCGGGCAAGAAGGGTTTTCTTGCTTCATTGGTCTCCTCCGTGATATTTATGTCGCGATCCTGTATACCTTTTTGTACTATCACAGCATCTTTGGTTGGTCGGTTGCATAGAGGGGTTCATGTTTCATCAACAGATGCGTTCTTATTACCGTTCATAGAGGGAGCGAGAGGAAGAGCTAGCGCGAGCTTCGTGCCTTAGGTTACCATATCTTGTATAGCAGATTCATGTAGCATAGCACCAGATAAATGTACAAGGCACTACATTGCCTAGAACCAGCCTGCAATTGCATATCCGCCGTGTCTATGGTCAGGTTACCCCTGGCTGGCATTATTCTTTCCCACACCGACAGGCTGATCTGCGGTCGGTGTTGGACAAGCCTCAGATCCGGCGTCCAGTCGGAATGCCTTTTCGCATTTTTGCACGCCGTTTTTCCTTTCCAAAGTATCCCCTGCATGACTTAGATCTTGCCGAATGTTACTGTACACTATTCTCCGCCAGAACCCGTCATCTTCCCTCATCCATCTCTTCTTGCCCCGACCAACCGGCCAACCCTCCACATTTGAATACCGTGGTCCTCGACTCCAAGGTAAGCCGCTGCCTTTCTAGATTCCAACTATATGTTATCTTATGCGGGTATAATTCCCCTTACTCTGCTCCATGCGCAAGCTCTCCTCCTGGCTGGGCAGCGGGGCGCGCCTCCTACCTCCGGCATCGTGTTGATCGGCGCCATTGTCCGCGGGCCCTTTCCCGGCGGCTGCCGCGACGGCAGCAATCATGTGCGGCGGTGGCGGTGGGAATCCGGGTGGCAAGGGAAGGTTGGGGTTGGGCGGGGGAATCAACCCAGGAGGCAACATCCCTGGTGGAGGCGGTGGAGGCGGAATGCCATGCTTCTTCATCATTTCGGCGATGGCCGCATAGTCCGGCGGATTCTTGGGGTCTACACCGGGCAGGCTGGGCAGGGGGAAAGGCAGGGGGGGCGGGGCAGCGGTGCCAGCTCCAACGCCTGGAATTACGGGCGGAGGTGGCGGAATAAGACCGGGAAGACCGCCGGGCTGTTGAAGAGGTAGGCCGGGGATGCCCGGAAATCCGGATTGCGGCTGCCGGATGGGCATCTTCTGGTCTACCAGGCCGTCCATCTCGTCTTCGGCCTCCTGCTCCTCCTCGGCCTGCCGCATGTGCCGATGGCCGCGCCGGTCCCAGGTGCCCTGGGCTTCAGCCGCGGCTTCGCCGATGTGATAGCGGTCATTGAACGAATCCGCCTCACCCGGCCTGGCGCGCGCCCAGAAGCGCGTGATACGGTCGTTGGACCCGGATGCGAGAATATGACCCAGAGGATGCCAGTCGAGGGACCATATGGCAAAATCGTGGGCATAGGGCACTTTATGTGCTGGGTAGATGGTTTGGGCGGGGGGTGAGGCCGGATCGGCCGTGTCGTAAGGGGCGACGGATGTGGTGTGTCCTGGCGGGGTATTAGGCTCATCCAGGAGGTAGTGAAAGAGCGAGCCCTCAGAGCCACCGGTACTAAGGAGGTTAGAATGGACCGGATGCCAGGCTATTGTCGATATGTCTTTCTCGTGACCTCTCAGCAGGCAAATGTCGCGCATCATGCGGAGATCAAATACCCTAGCTGTCTGATCGCGAGCAGAGGTTGCCAAGCACTGGCCCCGTACCCGCTCAAATAGTGTTTTGGTGATGGTGTTCTTGTGGCCATGGAGGGTCGTCAAACAGCGCCCTGTCCTAGGGTCCCAGAGCTTGACCAGATGATCTTTCGACCCCGAGACGACGAGCCCCTTTGTCGGATGCCAATCGCAGCTCTTTGCGTCCCAGCCATGGCCGGTCAGCGTTGACTCGGCAGCGCCAGCAGCAAAGTCGAATATTCTTAGTGTCGAGTCGTCTGATGCTGTGATGAATTTGGCGTCGGTGGGGCTAAATGCTAGGTCCCTAATTGGGTCCTGGTGGCCACGGATGCTCTCGACGTTGTTAAAGTTTGGCTGCCAATACTTGATGATGCCGTCGTGGTCAGCAGACACCAACCAGTCGTCGCTGTGCGAGTATGCTAAAGCACGGATGGCAGAGTCGTGCGCCTGCATGATGGTCTCGAAGTTGAAGCCGGTACCGTTCCAGAGGGTAAACTCTCCACTGCTCGAAGCTGTCAACAGCCTGCGGCCTTCGGGCGTCCATCGTACGACGTTAATAGGATGCTTGATTTTGTTAAGTGATGAGTGCAAGTGGCGGGAGGGCACCGAGTCGGCCGGGCTTGTCACCCTGGCGTAGGGAGGTAACATCTAGAGATTCCGGTCAGATACTCTTGAAACCAAGGGCGGGAAGTACCTTTACTCACATCAACAATGTAGCTGATGCTCGGTCTCTCGGTCTCCCCGAGAAAAGCTCCTTTATATCGCGGCTGTCGGTGCCGCATCCAGTGGACGATGGTAGCTCCATAATCGGTAACCGGTCCTTAGTAGAAGACGAGGTCAGTTCGCGGTCCCCAGAGTTATAGCTATATTTTCGAGGCTGTTGTGAAGATTTGGATACGAAAGGAAAGGAATTGAAGAGCCGGGAGGTATCTCGAAGTACGTTATTGGGAAAAATCGTAGCGCCCTTGAAGATACTCCCTCGGATAGCCTCCAGACCGGTAGCGGGCAGTGAAACGACAATCATAACCATCGCGGTGCATCTTTGTTTTATCGCAATGTCTCTGATGGCAAAAGCATCTACCAGCCCGTGGCGGCAACAGGGCATTCCGAGAACTCGGTAGTCGGGGTGGTGCTTTTTTACTTACGTCTGCCTCTGGCTCTCGGCGGGGGAGGACCATCATATCCACCGCCAGCAGCACCCCCTCTTTCACCGAAGGCGAAGCCTCTGTCAGTGGAACCGTCGTAGGCCATGTCGACTTCCAATTAAGTTGACGGTTGGCGATTGACGGTTGGGGCCTGCTCTTATTTCACTTTCATGCGCCGCAGTCGCGACCGACATACAACGCGTAGAGAGAAATATTTTGTCATGCGGATGGGGATGATACTATGCGCAGAGGTGTGGGCTATGTCTGATGAAGCCTGCATGAAAATTCCCTTTTTCTTGTTATGTGATTGTCAACCAGGTCTCTGACCACACAACTTCTCTTTGTTACTGTCGCGCCCAGCTTCGCCAGTTGAAGGTAGCTAACATCAAACTCGCAACCCAGAAACGGGTCGGCAGTGGTTCGTTGTTTAGATGTGGTCCGTGCATAGCAGCCAGCGCCTTCCAGGGTTGCCGTAACTTACCTATACAACGGAATGTATGATATGCCGGTATTGTCACGTATTATTACCGTACCGTACGCTGAACACAGGGACGTTACGATGTAATCAACGTCAATCAGTTTTATGGTGTGGATCTCTGGTGCTGGCATCCGGACCACCTTAAAATAGTATCACATGTTTCTGGAACATAGTCCTGTAAGTACTTCTCATTCCTGCGTTTACTTGTATATAGAAGCATCCAAGTTATAAACCACAATTCCGCGACTACAGAAAACCGTTCACTAGTCAAATGTAATTGCGGCTATTACAGTAGCGTGACCTCCTCAAACACTACACTAATTCCGGAAAGATTCACGCGGTGGGTTTCACAACTCCCAAGGGTGTTAAGAGGCCTGGAATCTGACTCCGGTTAGCTATAACTGTCAATGGCTAATGGAAAGTTGCACTGGCATTACACGTGCTGTAGGATTCTGTTTTCTACGGCTTCGTATACAGTAGGCACTTTTTATCGGCCGGTCCGGGTGGGTCGACCTCGGCGCCGCGGCTTCCTTAAAGTGAGTTTGATAAGGCGAGAGAAGTCCTCGACATTCACCACGCCACGTCTTTGACTTTGACTTGGCTTGCCAATGCTGTATACTTTTTTTGCCCAAGTCTAAGGTGAGCTATCTTTCTATTCCTGCATCTTCCGTTATCCCGGCAGGGGACTCGAATTCATAACCGATGAAGATAGCATCGACATGGCGACAACAACGGCCGGGTCAAGCTTCGAGGGACAAGATAATGGCGTCACTCGCCGTGTGAAAGCGGGCGCCCGCAGTGAGACGCAAAACACCAACCCAAGCATTGCCAATGCCTCTACCACATCAATTGAAACCAACGACATACCTAATGGCTCCGCACACTCATCCGAGCAATTGAGGAGAGCTTTCCGCAAAAAGTATCGCCATGTCGAAGCCATCCATTCCCAGTCGAGGCCGTCGTGTCTCAGCCATGACACCACCGAGACGCCCAGCTTCTTGGGTTTCCGAAATCTCATGGTGATCGTGCTGGGTATGATGCCTTTCACACTGCGGTGGACTGTATGATTTACCTGGGGAACCATAGCTGACACCAATTGACCAGTTGTTGGCAACCTCCGCCTTGTCATTGAAAACATCCAAAAGGTGTGTTATCCCGGATCACTCCTCAGGAGAGGCCGAGGATTACTGATGGATGCACTCTTTAGTACGGTGTTCTTATTTGTATTCGATGCCACGATTTCCGCAAATTCGATGTGCAGCTGGGATTGTCGCTGTACTTTCTGATCCCCTGCCACCTCCTGATCGCTTATTTCATCGAGCTCGTCGCCGCCCAGCACGCCCGGGCGTCACGAGCAAAGGCTAAGAAGAGGGATGGGACCACCAGCCCTACTGAAGACCAGTACAAGAGGTTCCAGCGAACGTGGCAATTGATTTGGATCGCCCACGCCATCAATGTCACCATCGCCCTGGTCTTCACCACCTATCTCGTCTACTACTACGTCCACCACCCCCTAATCGGCACCCTGACCGAGTTTCACGCCATCATAGTCTGGCTCAAGACGGCATCGTACGCCTTCACGAACCGGGACCTCCGTCACGCATACCTCCACCCGGTCCAAGGCGAGTTGGATGCGCTGCCAGAGATCTATCGCCAGTGCCCCTACCCCAACAACATCACCATCGGCAACCTCGTGTACTTCTGGTGGGCGCCCACCCTCGTTTATCAGCCCGTGTACCCGCGCACCGACAGGATCAGGTGGGTTTTCGTCTTCAAGCGCCTCGGCGAGGTCCTCTGCCTGAGCGTCTTCATCTGGTTCACCAGCGCGCAGTACGCCACGCCCGTGCTGCGCAACTCGCTCGACAAGATTGCGTCGCTCGATTACCCGTCCATCATTGAGCGTCTGTTCAAGCTGTCGACGATATCACTTGTGATATGGCTGGCCGGCTTCTTCGCCTTGTTCCAGTCCTTCTTGAACGCCCTCGCCGAGGTCACAAGGTTTGGTGACCGCTCATTCTATGATGCTTGGTGTAAGTATCCCCTCACGATTTGCTCCGGCCTCTTGTGTCTCTGAACCCCTAAATAAAAACAAAACGATAAAGGGAACAGCGAAGGCCTCGGCATGTACTGGCGCACCTGGAACAAGCCCGTCTACCAGTTCTTCCGCCGCCATGTCTACTCGCCGATGCGTTCGCGGGGATGGAGCCATAAGGTAGCCAGCTTCACCGTGTTCTTCGTGTCGGCCGTTCTGCATGAGCTTCTCGTCGGCGTGCCCACACACAACCTCATCGGTAAGCCTCCTTCCATCACCTTCAGCACATTGCGGAAAGGATAGTTTGCCACTGACGATGAGGCTCTCGGTTGTGTTGCAGGCGTGGCCTTCCTGGGTATGTTCTTGCAACTCCCACTCATCCAGCTCACAGCGCCGCTCGAAAAGATGAAGTCGGCAAATGGCAAGCTGCTGGGAAACACCATTTTTTGGGTGTCGTTCACCATCCTGGGACAGCCCTTTGCCGCGCTGATGTACTTTTATGCTTGGCAGGCCAAGTACGGCAGCGTGAGCAAGGCTATGGCGCAGGCTCGGCCTCCGACATGCCCTGCTGCCTGATCACCACGGAGTAAATGGAGTTCGCAATGTGGGAATTATAAGCTGTTGGTTCGGACCTGGGGCGCGGGCTGGTAAAATTGCGGTACGCGGCGTTCAAGTATATAGACATGGCAGTTCGCCGGGTTGGGTTTATAAGTACAGAGGGATCAAAATCAACACTCACACGCCATCGCTAGTGAGATACTTTCAATATACATCCTTGGTCAATCCATCGCGCCCCAGTTTCCTTCACTATCCAGAAGTGAACGCCGCGAAACGTCCATGTCAACACCCTTCACCCCTCGTATCTTCACATTTCCCTTCTCTTCCCACATCCGCACGAGCACTCACCCACCCACTCATCCACCGCTTACTTGACGAACGGAATCATCGTCCCCACCCTCCGCCTATAATCCTCATACTCCTGCCCAAAGAAGCGCACTAAAAACTCCTCCTCGCGCTGGATCCGGCGGCTAAAGAAGCGCCACAGCACGGCGGCGTAGCCGACGAAGCTGATCACGTTGCCCATGACCAGCTGGGTGCCGAGGGCCCACCAGAAGAAGCCAAAGTAGCTCGGGTGGCGCAGGCTCGCGTACACGCCCGTCGTGACCAGCACGTGGCCCGACTCGCGGTGGCTCTGCACGTGGTGGTTGAAGCTGGGCCCGGCCTGGATCATGGCCGCCGTGCGCACCGCCTGGCCCAGCACGACCAGCGCCAGGCCGAGCGCGGGCAGCAGCGGCACTATCAACTGTGGTATTGTAGCGCGGAATAATGGCGACGACGTCCGGCCGCCCCCGGGCCGGGCGAGGTGCGTGACGAGGCACTCGAGCGTGGCGAACGTGTGCGCGATGGCGTACCCCGGCCAGTTGGACGTTAGCAGAAAGGACGAGACCTCGGCCGCGCGCGTGTTGTACGCGGCTGTCGTCCAGAATTCAAGGAAGTGGAAGGTTGATAACGTTGCCAGGAAGAAGGGCAGTCGCCAGAGCGGAGAGTCAGTCAGGAGAAGTATGCCCAGAGTCCCTGTCACGCCGAGAGCCAGGGCTACGCCCAAGAAGAAGGAGCGGGCCGCAATGCCTGAGAGGGACTTGGCTCGGTGGGGGAGATAGACGCGGTCTGGACTGCTGCCCGCGGAGGAGCTATGGGAGGGGAACGAATGTCTTCTTGTCAGTGACATCTGTTTTTTAGGGAGAGCTCAAGGAATGGGATTGAGTCGTCGCAGACATTCGGGACCAGGTAAGTTGATGTGAGAGAGTTGAGGGTTCAAGTTCAACATATAAACGATGACGGTGATGGAGGGTAAATGAAAAGAAGGAGAGGACTGAATCATGCATACCTATCGGGCGACCAGCGCCGACGTTGGAAAGCGCCCTCCATTGTGTAGACCGCTCCGGGGCAGTTGGAACTTTGGAAGGGTTCCGTACACAAAGAGTCGGGAAAGGAGGTGACAGAGACTCGGTCACGAGACGGCTTGGTTTGCCAATTCTGTGATTTTGTCTAAGTGTACGCCATTTCAAGATGAAGCTACCAAGTTCGCCCTTGTACTGTCAGTCCACATGGTAGTACAATACGTGGTGCGACTGGCATTTCAAATCTCGAGTCTGATCATTCGAAAGAATAGTTCCAGTTCCCACTCGGCCATTTCAGGTCGACGGTTTTAGCGCTGGCGCGCAGTGACAGGCTGGGTCCCCGGCAGCCATCCGCTGGTTTGGCTGCTTGGCATGGATATTGCAGGGTCCAAACCCCGTTATGACGCAATCGCTGCGATAGCGTTGATGAGCTGCATATCATGCGTGTATGTAATACTGTTACTGTAGTCGTTGCGTCGCCGTTGTGCTGTTGTCTCGCCGTTGCTGCAATGCCCTTGTTTGCATTATAGGCCGCCTTGTATCCTAAACGAGGAGACAATCAAGACGAGGACATTGACCCAGCCCCAGACGAAGGGTATCCAAGTCGTCATTGTGAAGCCGCCCGCAAGATAACCGGCGCCGACTCTGCTCCAAATCAGCGGGCGCCAGCGTGGTTTTGGATATGACGAGGACCACCAACATCAAGCCTACGACGCTCCCGGCCATGAGGGCCTCGGCGGCGGCGACGAATGCGTAGACTAGAGGCACAAGCCAGAGGTATTTCCAGTGAGACTTGCGCTTGCCCACTTGCATCAGCACGGCAACCCCGACGGCGCCCAGGTGGAAGAGACCGTAGAGAATCAAGGTCCAGTACAGCGTGAATTTCCACATTTCATCTAGCTCGTACAGGATAACTCGGAACTCCTGGGGCGGCCAGAACAGGGAGGGAAACGGAGGAACCGTGTACTGGGCCGGAACATCGCGTCGAACCTGGCTGCCGATTCGCGTCAGCATCAAGCAAGCAGTCTTGAATCATCATATAGAGAGACATACGATGGGATTTCCATAGTGCAGGCACCGACTAGACGATTTCGCGACGTTGTTCGTGTTCCACAAGGATCTGACACCCTGTGACAAGGGGTTGTGGATGTTGAAGGGTGGGTAACTCAGGTACGGAGTACGCACAAGACACTCGGTTATCGCATACATAGTTAGAGGTAGTGTTAAGCGCGCTAAATGCATATTCAGCGAACCTCGGCACGGCAGCAACTCCCGACGCTATTGCCCACCTGATACCCCTGATACCCGACCTCGACAGGTCATTCAGTATACTTCGACGCTAACCCAGACCACAAGAGCGTCAAGGCTGATCGAACGATTGTCTTTGGGAACACGGCAATTGACGCGGCGATGAGACAATAATCCTCCACCATGTCCATTACCCGCCTCCTCACCACGGTGCTCCAGCACTATCAAGATGTCCACGACGATGCGCGCACCGAACAGATCTACGGGTCAACCACAGTCTTACTCACGAACCTTTCGAATCCCTTGAACCTTTCCCTTCTTACCTCCCAGTTTCTCACGGCGCCGGCAATATGGGGCCGAGGGGACACCATGCGCGCCTGCTACCGCGCCATCAGCATCTTCAACACGGCCGCCATCCACGTGCGCCGGAACGAGCTCGAGAACGCCAAGAATAAAGGCGGTAAGCCCGTCGGCAGCGGCCTGGGTAGCGACGCATGGGCCGCAGCAGTCCTCAAGGGCGCTGATGAACAGTCGGGGCGGTGGCAGCATCTCCTGGTATTCAGCGGTGTTTTGATGGGCATGGAGAGCGGCAACCGTCACTCGCTCACCAGGGGCATGCGCTCGACCGTCGAACGAGCCGTTGTTACAGCCACGAATCTCGCGCTTCGAATCAGGGAACCCGAACCTCCTGCCCCGGCAGCGCCCATAGCTCTAGCTCTCAATTACGCTTTCCCCCTGCTGTCAGATTCATCGCGTGCCGCCCTGCACTGTGACGCGCTCGTCTCGGTCCTGACAAGGGCAATGCTGTCCGCCGAAGGTTTGGAAGACGGCATCTTCCTCGCCACCATTGACCAGGATGTGCGGCAGTCCGGCTCAAACTTCATGTGGGCCGAGGACTCGCCCTCCTCCTTGCATCTCAAGCGGCTTGAGCAGAAGCCTCTCATATCTGGGCTGGGCCCCTTGTCGAGGCTGCTGGCCTACGCCACCCAACATGCGCGCGACTCGCGGGTAGTCCTGCAGCTTCAGGATGATTTGGTCGCATTTACAGCCAAGCTTCTGCAGCACTGGGAAACCAACAAACTATCCGAACTCGAAATCTCTGAAGAGGATGTCTTCCTCACCCCGGAGACACTCAATGGGACTTGGCCAGCGCTATGGCAATTTCTCAAGAAGATCATGTACGCCATCGTTGCCGTTTTACAAGCTGTAGTGGCGCGCAGTCTCCTAGACCACAATCTCAAAATGCACGCAGTGGCCCCGATGGTAGCCACCAAGACCCTCCACACGCTCCGTAACCTCTACTTCATCTCCTCGCGCAACGGTAGTGACGCCTTCCAGGTCTACGCCTTCACATACCTGACCTCGCTCGACAATCTCTCCCGCTACGGTGCCGCCTCCGCCGCCTTCCTCCAATCCCTCAAACCCACCCCGTCAAACGGCATTCCCCCGCACCCCCTCCACCGTACCCTCGACCTCTTCTACCTCAACACAGCCGAGCACCTACCTCTCAACCTCCCACCGGAAGCCTGCGACGCGCTAATCGTCCAGCCCGCAATCCCCTACCTCAGCAGCAGTTCCTCCTCCAGCACCACCTTATCATCCTCATCATCATCAGCAACTGCCACCCCGAAACGAATGATGGAGCTATTCGAGTCAGCGCACAGCGCGGTGCTGTCAGTGCTCTCGTGCCCACAAAACAGCGGCAGCCTCACGGCGGGGCTGGTGCCCTTTTACGCCGACACCCTGCTGGCGTCCTTTCCCCCCCGCATCTCGCCCCGCCAGTTCCGCCTCGCCTTCAAGACGCTCATGCACATCGCGTCCCCACCCTTCCCCGTCGCCGAATCCCACCCGCATCTAGCCGAGGCCCTGCTCGAGATGGTGAGATTCAGGGCCATAGCCGCCTCCGGGCCGGCGATTTTACCCCTGAATGCGGCCGATGCCGTTGATGAACAGCAACAACAGCAACAACCCGTGTCTGAGCAGAGCACGTTGGTGCTGACGCTGGTTGACGCGCTTCCCTTCTTGCGGCTGGACATTTTTGAGGAGTGGATGACGCTTGCCGCCGAGGCGCTCAACGGGATCGCGGATGCGAGGTTGAGAGAGGTGGTCAAGAGGCGATTCTGGGACGTCTTGGCCAGTGGGGAGATGGATGTTGAAAGGGCAGCCATTGGACTCGCCTGGTGGGGGACCAAGGGCGGCAGGGAGTTGGTGCTTTATGGCGCGGCCGGACGGCCGCCGCCGCCGCAGGATATGTATATGATGAGTGGGGCCATTGTGGAAGAGCCTCGGCGAGAGAGCAAGTTGTGATGGTAAATGAGCAGTGGGCGGGTGCCCGATGCGTTGTGTAACTGCCCCTGCTAGAGCGCTGCTTGGAATTGGCATGGCATATACTTGTAGAAGCAAAGGTGCTTAATGGGGTTTTCGAGGCTCGGCGATAAGCATACATGATATCCTCGTAATTATAGCGCAGGATATAACCTGTGGCTTACGGTAGATGCGACGGCGAGTAACGGTAGTAACTGAAGTCAGGCTCCTGCTCCAGTTATATTGGTTTGGCCTTGTCTGGCGCTCTATGCTAATGTGGCTAGTTTTGATGCTTTTAATGCCTCCTCCATGATACCATGTTCGTTCAAGCAAATGGGGGTAAATAGCTCCGGGTATCAATGCTGTTGCAATATAGTAATCATACAAGTCAAACAGGGTCCAAGGTATCCATCTTTATTCGCCCAGCGCTTCGAGGTCGATTAGTCTTCGCATCTCCGCCCACTCGGCGTCGAAGTCAGCTTGTGGGTCAACAACAGGTGGTGCCGACTCAATCCAGAATGGTTCATCACCCTGCACCGCCTCGACTGGCTGCTGCAGCCGCGGGTCAATGGCGGGCTGCTGTTCCTCATGGACGCTGTAATGGTTGTTCCGCAGATGCTTGTCGAGGTCGTGATGGCGGATAAACCGGGCCGCGCAGCCCTCGACTGAGCAGGCGATAGTCCGAGTCGGCACGGCGGCAGACATATCGTCCGCCTCACCCGGCCGCGCCGACTGCACCGTGTACAACTTGGGCGGCCGCTTCCTGCCAAGATGCACGTACCGGACGTGCTCCTCCAGCTTCAGCCTGCTGACAAAACCGTCGCCGCAGCCCTCCTCGGTCCAATTCCAGTCGGCAATGTCCTCCGTCTCGGAGGTATCAACCTGGCCACAGATAAACCGTAGCCCCTCGTGCGCCGTGCGGATATGCGTGTTGAGGTTGCCCACGCGTGTAAATTTCTTGCCGCAGCCCTCCCAATTACACTGGATTGTCTTGCGGTCCTCGACCGTGGTCCCGGAGTGGTACATATCCACATGCCGCTCGAGATCCGCCGGCCCGGCGCATTTGACGTCGCAAAACATGCAGTTGATGTGCTCCTTGCGCATATGCGCCTGGAGCAGCAGCAGCGTCGTGAACCCGACCCTCCTCCCGCCGCCATCACCGTCCTCCTCCTCTGCGTCCCCATTACCTTCTCCTCCCTTCGCACACTCCTCACACCAAAACTTCAACTCGCCGTGTTCCTTCTCCACATGCCGCCTCAAAGCAGCAGCGGTATCGAAGCCCTTGCCACACTCCCCACCAGCACCTTGCCCCGCCGCATTATTGTTCTTGCTACTGTTCGCCACCAACGGAGTAGTAGTTGTAGCAGTACTGGTACAAACAAACGCCGGCAGGCCAAGATGCACCGTCCTGACGTGGCGCTGCAGGGTCTGGTGCTTGCGGAAGCTCAGGTCGCAGGGCTCGTACCCGCGGCAGCGGAAGCGCTCCTTGCCTTCGTGCACGGCGGCGTGGCGGCGCAGGCGCGTGGCCGTCACAAAGGCCCGCCCGCAGCCGGGTTCCGCGCACGCGTACCGCTTCTCGTGCGTGTGCGACCCCTTGATGTGCTGCGCCAGGTGCTTCTCCTCAAGGTACGTCTTGCCGCAGTCCGGATACGGGCACTTGTGCGGCCGGTCGTTGGTGTGCGACCGCAGGTGGGCCGTCAGGCGGGCCGGGCGGTTGAAGGTCTTTGGGCAACCCGGGTAGGTGCATTTTATTGTCTTGAGGTCCGAGGGGAATTTTCGGCGGGCTTTGTGGTTTGATTTCGAGGGTGAGGAGGTAATTGAGGTTGCGGCTGGGGTCAGAGCGTCTTGGGCCTGAGTAGTTACAATCGTCTCGTTATCATCGTCGTCGTCGTCGTCGGCGGAAAACTGAGTCGACGTGTTAGTTGTGGATTCTAGGGGGGTGGTGATGTGCTCGTCTGCTGCTTGTGTTGACGGCAGGGAGAGTTGTTGACGTTTGGGCGGTCCGGACAAGCCGTCCCCTTCGTCGGGAGCTTTCCGCTTCATCGCTCGGCTAGTGGTAAGGGATTGTCATCCTAGGTCGAGAAGTAGAAGCCGAAAGTTGAGACGAGAACAATCCAATTGAGAATTGGCAGATTAATGCAATCGAGACCAATTCCCAAATTTTGTGGGTGTGTTGAGCTTCCGGTTGGCAATCGATAAGAGCACCCCGGCCCCCACTGCATCATAAGGCTGGGACCCTCGCGTGCTAGGGAGCCCCACCCAAATTTTTCCCTTGTCCTCACCAAACCAGCACGTTGTCAACCCCTCCCATCGGTTTTTGATAACTGCTGCGCCGCCTGTCGCGCTTACAGAAACCATCCGACTTTTGTTTCCACAGGTCATCTCAGAAGGGCGCTCGCGCATCTCGAAACACATCATCAGTCTCACAGATCCCGTCACCTCAACCAGTCCAGAATAATGTCTGACTACGGCGACGACGACCGTGAGCCTCTGTAAGCCTACAATCACCATCTCTTACCCTCCCGACCAGTCCATTCAGAAACAGAAAGCATAAGACGCTAACACGGTGTGCGCACCCCAAAGCGGCGACGAGCCCGCCTTCGACGAGGATCCCGATGAGTACTACGAGCCGGAGCCGGAGCCCGCCGACGAGGACGACGAGGCGGCGCGCGCGCCCGAGCACGAGGGCGAGGGAGCAGCACTAGCCGACGACCACCAGGGGGCCGTCGTCACCTCGGGCGACCCCAACGCGGCCGCTAACCACGGCAAGGGCAACGAAAAGTCGCACAAGGACAAAAAGATCCCCAACGACCAGCGCACGACCACCCCGTTTATGACCAAATACGAGAAGGCACGCATCCTTGGCACGCGCGCGCTGCAGATTAGGTAAGTGTTTATTCTAATGCCACAGTGTGGACTGGGTTGAAAAGGGAGAGGGGAAAAGAGTGTGCGCTGACAGGGCCTGATTTGAACGAAAAAGCATGAACGCGCCTGTCCTCGTGGACCTAGAAGGCGAGACAGATCCCCTGCAGATTGCCATCAAGGAGCTGAGGGAGAAGAAGATCCCCCTGATCGTCCGCCGGTACTTGCCGGATGGATAGTAAGTTGCCTGCCTGCTATGCTGGTGGGTTGGCTGCTAACGGTGTATGATAGCTACGAGGACTGGACGTGCGAGGAGCTTCTTCAGTGAAGACTGCGCCGTTTGTTTGGAGTGAAATAAAGACGAATAATGTACAGAAAATCAATTAATTCATTAGCGAGGGCGTTGGGGTATTTCCTTTCGTTGCCTGGGACGGGGTGAATTGCCCTGGATGTCCCATTTGTCCTTTTCTTCAACACTACAGATGCAGGGGGGAAATGATTCGAGGTTCTTTGGTTTCCGATCCCTCGTTCTACGCACTCGTAGGCAAGTCGCTGAGTCTTGTTAGTTGGATGAAGGGTGAGAGGGCAGGTGTGAGATGGTTTTATATTCAGCAGGATATACATCACAACGAAACTCAGTCATCTTCGCACGCTACTAAGCCGGTCGCCTACCTTTCCACATTCCCTATTGCTACTAAGGCGGAGCAAAAGCCAACACCTAGAAACTGCGATTGTCAACAATGTAGGAAGGAATATGAGATTTTCATCCACGCCTGCACGACACCCCATAGAAGACTGCAATTCGAGCAAATTCTTATCAAGGGCGACTAGTCTAGTGGTCAGGACGCTTCGTTGTGGGGACGCAATTCCGAAGAAACCCAGGTTCGATTCCTGGGTCGCCCATGGTTTTTGCCTGCCTAAGCCGTTCGGTCCTTCAATGGAAGAAACTCAACCCCTTCTCTTTTGTTGTTTCCTGTTCTCCCCCTACGTTGCCTCAGTTGGAGCAAGTCATGATACCGAGTTTACAATAGTATGAAATATGGATTTTTGTTACGCCGTTTTTTCCAAACAAAGGCCACCAGTTTAAACACTAAATATTAACATTTACATATAAGGAGTGTAAGAATAGAGTCCGTTTTCCACCCATCTGGCCTTCCTTTCCCCTTCTCATCCTTGTTCATGTGCCTTGACGACATGCACTCATTAAGTCTCCTTTCCTGCTCATCAAACAAGAAATCCTAGCGGGATAAGGTAGCTAAGACTGACCTTACCACCCGCCAAACTTGGGGCACTTGCCGGCGCCCGTCACGCCGCGATTGACCCTCAGGCAGTCTTCGTACTGCGCCTTGCACTTGTTCTTGGCGCCGTCGTAGTTGTCCTGCCAGCGGTACGTCCTCTTCTCGGCGCTGCGGGCAAACGCAAAGAAGCTCTTGGCCGGGCTCTGATCGCGGGGCCGGCTGTTGCCGCGACCGCCCTTGGTTTTGCAGCCCTCGGCGTAGACGTCAGTGCAGTCCTCGTACTGCTCCTTGCAAGCGTCGATGCAGGCGTTGGAGCACTGGTTGCGCGGGTAGCGCTTGCACTTCTTGCTATCCGTGTCGGTGTACTGCTTGAACGGGTAGTAGGGCCAGTCCTCAGCGAGGTCGTTGCATGTCACGACGGGCATCTCGATGCCACCGACCGGCTTGCCCGGGCCGTAGCCGTAGTGCGGGTTGCTGGGCTGGACGCAGATGTTTGTCGGCGTCGGAATGGGGCACTTGGTCGTGGACGAGGTGGTCGTGGTAGTAGGCTTCTTCGTGGTGGTGCTAGTAGGCTTCTTGGTGGTGGTGGTGGTGGTGGGACCAGCAGTCACAGTAGTCTTGGTCGGGGCGCATGTCGTGGTGATTACGGTCGTCTGACTTTGGGGAGGGTTGTGCGGGCCACCCTTGGGCGGCTTCTTGCCCCAGAAGTCACCCTTCTTGCAGCCGCCCTTGGAGTTGCTGTTGCAGTACTTCTCGACGTCGGCGCACCACTCGCCAAAGTCGAAGCATTCAAGAACGTCGGGCCATCCGGCGTGCTTGAAGCACGAGGCGACCTGCAGGGCACAGCTCGACCACGCGGTCTTGCAGGACTTGGCATCGTCCCAGTCGGGCAGGGGCGAGGAACACCACTTTCCGCACTTCCACTCGCACTTGGGCGGGACAACGGTAGTGGTCACGCAGACCGAACTGCTGGTCGTCGTGGTCGACGATGTCTTGGTCTTAGTGGAGGTCGGGGTGGTGGTGGGTACCTCGCTGGTGGTGGTAGTGAGGATAGATGAAGTAGAGGAAGTGGAGGAGCTGGACGTCGTGGTTGTGGTGGTGGGCACCTCGCTGGTGGTGGTAGTGAGCGTGGAAGTAGAGGAAGTGGAAGAGCTGGACGTCGTGGTGGAGGTCGTCGGGGGGACAGAGGTGCTCGACACGGGCGGCTCGTACCCGCACGGCTGCAGACTCTGGAGCTCATCGGCAACGAACAGGTTCAGGCGAGAACGCCCACCGCATGTCTCATTCGGCGCTCCGTTGCAAGGCATGTTGCATTCGCTGGCGTCGGCAGCGAATGTGCCGTTGCCAATGACGACGCCGCAATAGCATTCGCCTGTCCGAATGTCAGAAACTCTATTGCGGATGAAAAAGAAAAGAGGAACACTGCGTCTTATACAAGTACATACCGCCGAACTCAATACCAGCGAAGGGGAAGGCGCCATCCCGACAAGCCTGCAAGCACTTGGTCGTGGTCATAGTAGAGGAGTCCAGCTGGTCCTGGCGGTATACCAGGGCGCGGCCGTAGCTCGAGTCGTCGGTCCAACAGCCAAGGGGATCATAGTCCTCAACGGTGACTTCTTCAACAGGCTGGAAGGTGGGGTCCTGGTAGATAGAGAAGATGTTGTCGGAGCCGCAGATCTGCGACGAGTTGCCGTTGCACGGCATGTTGCACTGAGACTCTTCGACCTGCGGGCCGTTGACCGTCTGGCCGCAGTAGCACACGCCGTGGTACACGAGACCGGCATAGCGGTAGCCGTTGCCCTTGCACTCGGCCACGCACTTGTCAACGGTCATGTCATCGGTAGGAGCCGGGCTGCGGTAGGGCAGGATCTGCGGGCTGCCCGTGTCCTGGAAGCAGCCCGAGTAGACAAAGGGCTGGAAGGGGTCCAGGCAGGGAGGAAGGGGATTCTCGGTGGCATGGACACGGCCAACCATGGTGGCTGCCGCCACAACGGCTGCCACGGCCCTAAGAGCTGCCATGACGAGGTAACGGTGGGGGAACGAACGTGAGGGTAGCGAGTGGACCGACAAGGAGAGAGATATCTACACTTGCCGAAAAGGAGGGGGGCCCTGAGAGACAAGACGGAGAAGGCGAGAAGGGCGCCCTGAATATCAGGGGGCATCCAACGTCTTTTATACAGCCCACCAGCCGGCACGCAGAAGGGGAGCCGCGGCGGTCCATTGGGCGAGGCACAACCAGGTTAGCAGGCTTATCAAGCTACGCTTGCTAGCGCCGCAACGCCACGGCGTCCGGGGTCGAAGCGTCGAAGCGTATCCATGTCCTTCAGCTCACGATGCCGAGCACCTGCGGAGCCTCGGCGGCATGTAGGTAAAAGTGTAGCAACGATCCGCGCCTCATCCCAGGAAGGGCCATGTGCATTCTGCACATCAGTGGAGAGTCGAGATGCGGCAAACCAAGTCGAGAGCCTCACGTCGCGGCTGACGCTGACGATTTCCCGTGGATAGATGCCGGGCACTCGGTCCTTTTTCCTGTGCAGCTGGAGTCTGCTGGATCGCCCAGCAAAACGGAGATTGGAAAATATCGACGATGGAAGGGAATACAACCAAAAGGGGAAAGGGAAATCGGCTGTGCCAACCCTGTCATGGTAAGGACCCGGGGGGACCTGCATTAGCGTCCCTGGTCTCCACTGGATCATGGCCAGGCCAAGCCTGGAAACCAAAAATTCACCTGCCCCGAGCTTTCCAGCCCACTGCAGGACTGCCTGCCATCCTTCAGCAATTCTTCGAAAGCATGATGAGCTGTTGTCATCCAGAAGGAACATGTTGTCACCCAGCGGTTAGACTAGGCCATTGAGCGGGCCAGTTGCTAGGTAACACAAGATCCAAATCTTGCCAACACTGGTGTTATATGCTAGAGATTACAACCCGTCCTTTCTCGGGATCCAGAGACTCGGGATTGTAGGTATACTTCTTACTGTGGCACTACTCTTAACTCAGATTCCATACTCCGTACTGAGCAAGGTATTTGTGGCTCTAACATCACATTACTGACCGCGTGCTGTCTCTTCCAGTGGTGTGTTCAATGTTCATAAGTTTAGATTGCACCTGCCGCTGTCCAACCTGTCAACCCATCAGCTGGTCGTGCTGCATGTAGGGTCGCGCCCACCCGTGTTCTTGCGTCAAGCCAGTCATTGAGCCGTTTCCCATCACCTCCGCCGCAGTCGCCTACCCTAACTTTACCCCGTCTTCTTCAGCTGGTGTAACAATCAAAAGAGGAGAAAGATCTTCGTGCCACTGCGAAGTACTTAACTCGCTTTCGCTACGGAGGACGTCGACATCTTTTCAGCACGGAGAATGCAGAACCGTGCATCAGTCGTCGCCAAGTGTCCGTCAGAATTGTCTACCTTACGTGTGGTAGTATATGGACCACCCGAGTCCTCAAGGTAGCACTGCAGGAAATGGGAATACACTATTTGCGCTAGCTCTGAGGCCTGACTTCCCCAAACAGACCAACCGACAGCTGTGCTCTCAGCCCAACTCCGGCTGAGTTGTGCCCAAGAACAAAGAGGACTGTGTGGGCTAACTAACGTTAGGGGGAACGTGTCAGGCGTCCTTCTTCCCGAAAGCCACCCCCTCCTCATTTCCACGCGCCTGGTGAGTGGTGACGGGCAGACTTGGCCATCGTCTTGGTCACTGTCACAGCGGCAGCAGTGGCAGGGTTTCCATCCATCATCAGGGGACCAGGACTGCGGCCTGCCCGGCACCCTCACGGCACATGCCCGTGCACATCCAATATCATGCAGTATTACACTGCGTATACGAGTTTCTCGCGCCCAGCAGAGGCCCAAGTCCCTTCTGTATTCCACTTGGTCAGCGTCGCCTTCCATGGTCTCCCGCTGGCTCTGCTAAGCTGCAGTCTGACTACATAGTCTGCTACCTCAAAACTGATGTCGCAGCTGGTTGAAGAGCCTTTGACTGGCGCCGCCAAGGGAGAACGGAGAATCTCACTCAGGTTCGCTTTTCCCGAATATCAACAGCCTAGAGCCTGATAGCTACGGAGACACCTACATAGCTAGGAACCCCATGCGTGACGTGTGATGTGAAAATAAGAAAAACGGACAAACTCGCGAGCATGGAGCTGCAGGAATCAAACCACCAGAACCTGGCCGAAACCTGAGGAAAATACAGCGAGGGGCTAGGCAAAGAAGAGGAAGAAAAACAAAAAGGAAGTCAAATCAACCGATTGAACCGACTGGTCTCGACCCGCCGCAAATCTCAGGGTCCATATCCACTCACACCCAACCCCAGGCGGCTGCATCGCCAGTGTCACCTCACCTTACCAGGTACCCATGCGGGCGACGATCCCTTCCCTCTCAAGACAAAGATCACCAACGCGAACCGAAGAGGCCTCGGTTAATTACACCACAACGACTTCAAGGCCACACAACGGGCAGCGGAACGGACAGTGACACTCCTGCTCACGTACGCCGTACCGACGCTTCCGTTCTGCATTGACACTCACGGTGTATAGACGACCATGGAATCTTTCTGAATGTAGTGTTGTATTGTGGTTTTGGAATTGGAAAGTAAGAAAAAGAAACATAAGAAGAAAACAGGGGAAGAAAGGAGGAAAAGGAGCCGTTTCCAGGGTAAAATAGGGAGCAGAAAATGTACGATGTTCAAACTATCCCTTCGGACAGCCATTTTCAAAGTGTCGGTTAACGGGCCTTGCTGTCTGTTGGCAGGAACATCTCCAGGCAGACTCGCCTTAGAGACATCATACTAATAGCCGGAGCCCAAATCATCTCTTCTGACGTGATGGGCCTGATCCTTCACAGCACATCGATGCACTTTAACTAGCAAGAGGGCAACAAAAGCACTCTTTTCCATTCTCAACTGCATCATGAGTCTCCCTATTACCTGAGAAAGACGTGACAGACGTGATGCTTACTCTACATGCTTGCCCCTCCCATCTCCCCATACCCCCATATGACGAGCGAGGGATTGAGACCTCAAAATAGAAGAAACTCCAGGCAAAGCCAACCCCCATCAACGAGCGATGAATTTCGTTTCGAGCCAGCCAGCCAGCCAGCCACCTTAGTTGCCGGCATTCTCGCCCCGCCGGAACTTGGGCACGTATTTGCCAGGCGCGCCGCTAGGCTTGAGAGGCTCCGGGGCCGGGCTTCCGCTTCCGTCTCTGCCGTTGTCGCCCCGGCCAGATCCCACCCGATCCATCGGCACTCCCCGGCCGGACGCGACTCTAGGCGGCGGACCGGCGCGCTCAGGAGGCGGAGCACTGCCGCCAGCGGCTGCCTTTGCTGCCTCGCGCTCTCTCCAGCTGGGTTTGTTCCCGGCAAGGTTGAGGCGAGGAGGGCCAGCTGGTCTGTCGTTGGATTCGGTGCGCTCCATTAAAGGAGGAGCAACCCGCGCCGGAGGCGGGGCCGGGGCCGGGGCCGTGTCCGAGGCGCCCTGTCCTGCCGCAGCCTTTGCTGCCTCGCGTTCTCTCCAGCTGGGCTTGTTCCCGGCGAGCTGAAGGCGAGGAGGTCCGCCGACAGGAGGAACGTCGGCGCGTTCCCTCACTGGGATTGGAGCCGCGGCAGCGGGAGTGGGAGCGGCAGCCCTCACCGGAACTGGAGCCGCGGCCGCTGCAGCCCTCTCGGCCCTGCGCCGTGCCATGGCCTCCTCTTCGCGCTGTTGCTGCCGAGCCTGTGCCTCCCTGGCCTTCTCGCGCTCCTTTTCCCTCTCCTCCTTGAGCCTGGCCAGCTCCTCCCTGCGGGCTTCTAGTCTCTTCCTCTCCTCCTCCTTCTCTCGAGCCGCGCGCTCTTCGGCTTCGCGGAGAGCACGCTCTTTCTCTTCGCGCTCCCGCTTTTCGCGGAGCTTCTTCTCACGGTACTCCTTCCTGCGAAGGTTGACTTGCTTCTCAAGCTCACGCTCGGCATCGCGCCGGCGCTTCTCAAACTGATCACGTCGGCGCTCGTGAAGCTCGGCCCTGAAGGATTCGTAGAAGGGCATGAGACGGCTCAAGCGATGCTTCAACTCGACGTCTGCCTTGTGCTTCAGCTCAGCCTCCTTGAGGGTCTGGGCTTTCATCAGTTCGTAAGCAGCCAAGTCACGCTCCCGCTGCTTAGCATAATCCTCTGGAAGCTTCTTGACTTCCTCCTTCCTGAAGGCGCGCTCCAAATGATCGAGGCGTTTGCCCGTAATGCGGAGCTTTTCAGCTATGGTATTTTTCTCCCGCTCCAGCTGCTGAAGCTTGATCATGCGGATCTTGTTGGTGTCCAATGTGTCGAGGTCTTCGACTTCAATATCATCAAGCTTCATATCCTTGAGCATGTTCTCGACCTCTTTCCTCTTGATCTGCTCCCGCTCGTTGGCTAGCCGTTTCTGCTCCCGGATCTTTTGCTCCTCGGCCAATCGTTGAGCCTCGGCTTGCTGCAACGCCTGCTCCTGCAGCATCTTCTTCCGAGCATTCTCCTTCTCCCGCAGAGCCTGGGCCTCAGAAGCTTTGTCCTTGCGCTTCTGAATGATGTCCTTCCTGGCGAGAATCTCAAGATGTTCTTGCTCGGCGCCAGCCTTGGCACGAGCGAGAGCGGCATCGCGAGCTTTGATGCGAGCCTCGTTGAACGATGGGTCAATATAGCGGCAAGTTGTGTACAAGACCTCGGCCAACCGAGTGAGCTGAGAGCGAACGATCTGGGAGGGGGTGCTCTGGAGACGTTGGACTGATCCGGCCTCGCTTTCTGCCGAACCAGCTGCTGAGCCAGCGTGAACAGCCTTGGCAGAAGAGAAGACGTCGACGTCGAAGCTCAGCACACCGGTAGCATGATCCATGCGAATCGCGAGATCTCCCTTCTTGTTACCGTTCATGATGAATTTCTCAATCATGCTGCGAGTGACCTCAAACGGTTCGGGGAATTGCGCTAGGCTCTGGACAAACTCGAGATCGACGGTCTCGTAAACTTGCGAAAGCTGCTGGAAAAGTCGAGTGAGAATGACCTGCTGTAGCGGAACGATGTACTTTTGCATCTCCTCGTCGGCGCCAATCTCAGAGAGGATAGGCGAAATCTTCTGACAGATAGAGAGCGGATGGAAATCAACCTCAAGGATGTTATAGAGATCCCTGATTTGCGGGCGAGCGCGGCGAAGGAGAGACTTGGACAGCGCATCACGGAACAGAAGGGCACGAGTCGGCGCCTGCGACATGCCAAGCAGGTGTGTCAGCCTCGAATTCTTGTTCTTGCGGGCCTCGTCGAAATCGACCATGGCGCCTCGGGACCGCGATGTGCTGATGACCGGGATTGACAGAGCCGAGAGAATGACAAAGGTAGCAGCCCTCTGCAGGTCAGCCTCGCTGGCAGGCGGGTTGTCGGCTTTCTTGCCCTGTCCAGTGGCAACGAGTGCGGCCGACTGCCGCAGCAAGTTGTAATACCGCGACCAGGCCGCAGCATGGAAGAGGTAGTTTTCTCCAACCAGGAAGATGCGGGTCAGCTTCTCGTAGTAGTTAGCCATCATGATGTTTTTGGGCGGCCGCTTGCTGAGGTTCAGGAGGGTGTGGATGTCCTCGACGCTGCGGAAAGCCTCCTGCCAGAGCTCCAGCTCAACGGCGACATTCAGCTGCTGAAACCGCGTCTCCAGATGACGCTGCAACGTGTCGGGGTCGCTCAGGTTGATCGCATGCATCTGAGCAGAGTACTTGGCAGCGGTCTGAACGTGGTTGCGAAGCAGCTCGCAGAGGCGGCGAAACTCGGTCTTGCGAGTATACTTGAGGCAGAAGTCGAAGGCCTGCATGGCCGTGCTCTGATAAAGTAACTCAAGTCGAGCATTGTTGCGAAGAATATCGAGAACGGTCCGATAAGCCTCCCAAAGAAACTTGAGCCAGGGAGTGACGATCGCGCGGTCGGTACGGTCCCGAGACTGCTCGCCGGATACGGTGGCCAGGAGGATAGACTCCGGGGTTTCGCTGGCCTCGAGGTCCTCAACGCTAGACGTTGCCGTTGTGGCTTCGATGGTGGACTGGACTTCATCGGCCTTTTGCTGAGCGGCCGTGACCTTCTCGGCGGCCAACTCAATGAATTTCTTGAGGACAAGCTGTTTTCCAATCAGCTAAAAGTCGTAAGAAGATATCGGCCTGGGCACGTAAACGAACCTCTATTGTCCCAACATTGGTGTTCTGAGCGATGTTCTTGTATTGGTACAAGGCGTCCTTGGCGAGTTTCCCCTTCTTTTGCTCGACTGCTAGTTCAACCAGCAGAACCATGACAGGCTCCAGCGACGTGATGGGGACATTGCGCGATCGCTTCGACGTGACATGCTCATGCAGCAGGGTCAAGGCCGCGGGGGCCTGATTGACCCCGATGAGCTCATGAGCCCGTTTCAAGACATTTTCGGGTTTTTGATGCGGAGGAGGAGGCTGGATGCGGGTTAATGAAATGCACTACATCACAGGCCGAGCAGTCCGGCGCAGACATGGAGAGATGATGCGAGGGGCGGAGAGGGGTGATTGCGCAGTGGCGCCTGAAGTGAACTGTCGTATCGAAAACTCACCATGATGGGCAATCTCCTCTGCGCGGCAGCAGGTCTCGAGGAGATTTAAGGTATTCTGAAGAACAGCGCAAAGGGTTGCTGGCGACTTGGCTGGCGCTGTCCAGAGATTTTTTTCGCCTCTTGCAGAATTCGGGTGTTGGTGAAGCCCTGACCAGGCAGTCGTTTCTTTGCTGGATTTGTGTGGGCTCAAATTGCGGGGATCACGTGATATTGGGTTTGAACCTCGTTAATCACTGCAACTCGGACAGTCACAGTATCCTAAGATTACTAGGCTCTGTTCTTGAATTGATGGAATGGCAGATACTCTTGAGCGGTCTCGTTCTATGGTTGGGTCTGCTGTTTGTTTTCATTGACATTCCGGAGCTCTACGCCGAAGCTTTTCTGTCACTGCTTGCTAAAACAATGGAGAGAGGTGGGGCAGATTTTCAAAGCAAATAGCGGGGCACTCGTAGCCTGCGGAAGTGCGAACGACAATTGTAACCCTCGCTGCCGAGATAGTATTGTGCAATTCGCCGTGTGCGGACCACTGCTGAGAAGTAAGAAAGATATAAGGTACCTATCTACATATGGACATGACTACCGTAATTGTTAGTCAGGATGAAGTCAGCATAAACTTGCCGATCCGCCTAACCAAGCAACACCATCTGCTGATTATTGTGCTGGCTGGGGAGCTATGGTAATTATACGAAGTCTGTGCCTTGTGTAATGGCGAAAATTTCACCCGATCAGGGATACCCGCAGCTCGCCCGCCAGCCTTGGGAGTTGATGGCAATCCCCTTAACGTAGAGAATCCGCCTTCGAAAGCTCCTTCCGGGATTAAAAGTACCTACCTACACTTATATCGAAGCGTTTATGGTAACAGTGAGCTCAGTCTCGTTAGCCGTCGTGTCCTGTGGTATGAGACTAGCTTAGCTACGAGGTTACATACCGAACCCTAACCCCGTCCCAAGCGAACCGAGAACCATTTTCTGGCTAACTTTAAGAGGCTGCTAGCGGGCGTAATCTCAACACCCTTGGTCATCTCATTTTCTTTTCACCCGGCTTGGGGAAGAAGGTACGCACGGGCCACAAACGCCCGCTCCTGAATCAGATCTGCTATCCCCCTTCCCGTCCCTTCCAAGGCTTCCACATCCCGACGCCTCACCAATCCAGTCCGCCCGATCCAAGACTCTGGCCATCGGCAACCACATACCAGTCAATTGCAAGTTTTCTTGGTTTTCCGTTGACGGACGTCACGCGCGGGATACGGCGCCCATTAGTTGGCTTGTGTGTTTTGTGAGGTGAGTACAGATCTCTGACCGGCTTTCTTGGATGCTTCTCCTTTCCGTGTTCCCGCGACCGAGCAAACCATGCAACCTGCCCGCTCTGTCACCAGCGCCGAAGGCAATCACGTCGAGCCAATGGGTCGAGGCCACAAGCGATGGAGGGCTGAGGGGTTGCCGTTGCAAACGCTTAACCGCGAATTGGGACAGAATTGACTAAGAAATCGCCGCGATCAAAACATGCTAACTCACCGTCATGAGCAACCAGCAGCAGCACGATTACCACCGATCAACAGGCTCCTGTCTGCGAACTCCGACCGCCAATTGCCAAGCAGGCGAGAGCAGCGGCGCCAGCCGACCGCAGCAACAGCAGCACCCGCCACCCCGCTCCCTAAGCTGCACGACCGAGGAGGAATCCTCGCTGTCGCCGTCTCTTTCTAGATCCAAGAACAGCCCTGCATTCCCCCTCCGGGACCACAACCCCCAATTCCCGGCCGACCCCATCTCGTCCGTCGCAATGCCTCAATACACCTCGCGCGATGTTGGCGACCCGTCGCAGATCAAAAAGAACAAGCAGAGCATGGCCGACCTCAAGCTCCGCCGGTTGACAGAGCTGAATACGCGGCTACGCGAGGATCTTGACAGGGACCGCATCCCTGTAAGCCAGGCCGCGAAGAGGTGAGGATAATTCTGCGTCATCATTTTCTGTATAAGTCAATTTTCCCGCTGACTGGTTATTCTTCTTCTCAATAGCATCATCGCCTACTGCAACAGCACCAGGGACTACATGGTGCCCAGCGTGTGGGGCCCCGTGCCCAAGGGAGAGGATCCCTATGCGCCACAACAGACCGGCGGGTGCTGTGTAGTTATGTAGGACTAACTACACGAGACTCAAGCCGGAGGCGGAGGGCCGTCTCTATTCTTAGCATCGCGTCTTCACCTTGGAACGCATTGGTGTCTCCCCGGAGTGGCATGGCCTTTGGGCGGATATAAGTCACTTAGATCCCCTCTATGGACAATTTCCATAGGCACCTGGTGTTGGATCACGGATGGTGGGCAGGGCAAAATTCGGGGTGGGCTGAAAGAGGACAGCGTCCCACGCCAGCCGCCGCTGCATTATGAGATCCAAATTCACTGGGGCAAGGGAAATGAGGATGTCATGGAACAGACGGGACGATAGCACGGCCTCGTACGATAACGCTAGTACTCATACCCTTTCTATTCTTCGGCGGAATCGTGGGCGGGCTAAGCTGTTCTTCAACATGTAATACCTTCCTTGTTGCTCCTTCTCCTTTTGTCTTGTCTAACTCCCGCGCTGTATTTTGGCTTCCTTCCCCGAAACCACGCGTTTCTTAGCTTCCACTGTATATACGTTTACTTAGGGTTTTCATTTGGGCTCCTTGAATGGATTCACGATATGAGAAGGGGGGCGAATGAGAGACAGGTTTTTCAACTGAGTCTGCTGTCAAATATGCATTACGATACAAAGTGAGTATGCCTGCAGTTAACCCATAGTAGAAGAATAGCTCGGAAGCTAAAATCAGGTTTGCTTGGTGGGTTATGTGAGGCCGCTTTTATGCGCGCTTTTTGGAATTGATCTCTCTTATAATGGCCAAATGACGCACATCTCACACGGGGCTTTATCGGTGCCGTCTCTTGAGTCTCGACATACCACCTCACTCAACAGCGGACCCTCCCCAATATATTCTAGAAACGATCTAACAGCAGAGGCCTTCACGGAGACTGGTCAACGAACACCCGAAAACTATTCTTCACAAATCTAATGGTCGAAACTACCCAAGGAGCAGGAGGGCCACGGCTCCCTCGTATCACGATACAGTTCTGCACTCAGTGCAAGTGGATGCTCAGGGCAGCATATGTAAGTCGAGCATCTACAACCCATAACGGCCTTGCCTTCCATGATCCTATCCCTTGTTCCCAAACGAATGTACAACGCAAATCCACCAGTCTACCCGAACCTCTCAGAAACAACCCTACGATACTTCACTTCACCTGTCCCTAGGCTACCTAGCCTTACCTTATACCTAAGATAACCCCAGCAAACCTAAACCCACACTGACACAACACACAATAATACACACAGTATGCTCAAGAACTCCTATCCACCTTCTCCACCTCACTAGGCGAGGTTGCCCTGCAGCCCGCAACAGGGGGCGTATTTGTCGTCGAGATGATCACCACCACATCCTCATCCACAACGGCAACCCCACCGTCGTCGTCGGGAGAGCAGATCAGCAGCAGCAGCAGCAGCAGTAACAGGGTAGTGCTCTGGGACCGCAAGACGGACGGCGGGTTCCCCGAGACCAAGGAGCTCAAGCGGCGTGTGCGGGACGTGATTCAGCCGGGAAGGGATCTGGGCCATGTCGATCGGGACTATAGTCACCACGGCGGCGGGGGCGGGGGAGGGGACAAGAAGAAGAAACAGGAGGAAGTGGACGTGAAGAGGGAGGGTGGTGAAGGGCAGGGCGGGAAAGGGGTGGTGGTAGGGGTGGTGGAAGGGAGTAGGAAGGAGGCGTGTGATGTGAAGGCGAAGGACGGCGGCAAGTGCGAGGATTGTGACTGACTGTCTAACTGACTGACTGGGTGGGTGATTGAGGGACGAGGAGAGTGGGGTGGATATGTCGATATGGTGGTTGAGGGCCTTGCCTGATGCGGATTTGAGATCAGTCCCAGCTTGATCTTTTCTACTTGAAGGGTGGGGGTGGCTGGCATGGCTGGGTGGTTGTGTGTTGGTTCTTGTACCCTTCTCCACGCTCATGACTAGCTGCGTGGGCTGTGGACGGCAGCACCAGATGCGACATACATTCACCTTGGAACACACCATGGCTGACCAAGGTGACTGCGGTTGGCGCTTCGTAGTCATGGATGGGTTATGGTAGGATTCACAGCTGTTTACTCCGTAGAACATCCCCTGTATACATGGACCAACCTTCCAAGACTCAACACCAGGATTCCATGGCATTAAAGGAACTTTGGGCATTTCGAAGATTAAAGGTAGGGATTGGATACTTCTGCAATGGAATAGTATGCCTAGTATTATCCCCCTGAATTGGTGAGCAGGAGCACCAGCTGTTCAAGACGGCATTTAGGCGGCCAAATTCCACTTGATTCATGCATAGCCGCTCCTCAACAGCGGCAACTACAGACAACCGGACAACGTACGTGATCCCAATGACCCCAGGATTCATAACATAAGTGCCCATACCATGACGGATGTGTCCTCTCCGAGCCCCAGTACCGATCGAAAACCACAACATTCCAGAGTATGAGCTAGCCATTGATACCTTGGGACAGCTCCAGCATAGGCACTAACCTAGCCAGCCGGCTCATCCCTCTTCAGTGTTCGCCCTCCATCCATTCCGTTAATAAAGGGCCGAGTGGGCTAGACAGATCCACCCAGGAACTGATACATCAATGGACGCCGTCCTGTCCACACATCCTCTCTTGTCCCCCTTTTGCCAGTCGACTGACCATCAACCTCAAACGGGCCCCAACGAGGTCGTGCGTGATTTCATGACTTGAAAATTAAGAAAAGGAGAGAGGAAACAGATAGAAACAAAGGAAGATAATTGAAAAGGAAGCAGCCAAATCAGATTCTAGAGGAAAGAAGAAACAATAAAGTCGAAGAGCATTCTGCTCTGGATACTCATTTCCATAGGTCCCTACACAATCCCCTTTTATTCCCTCCAACTTACACTTCCTTGGCATCCTACCACAACCGCCGTCCCAACGGTAGCAGGGGAGGAAGGAGTCGGGATAGAAAGGACAACGAAGAAAAAAGGAATCAAGACAACGAGGAATGAAAAGAAAGGGGTCTGGGCCAGGAGGACGGAGGGAAGCAATACAGGTGGTAAAGGGCCAGCCGAGGCTAGCGGGAGGGAGACGCAGGCAGGCAGGTGGGCAGGCATGTAGTACTGGTAGACGAGAAGATGATTGCTGAATTGTACAGGCCGTTCCCAACTCCCCCTCTAGCCGAGCGGCCAAGTCATGGGAGCGAACAATGACGCCGAATAGGCAATCAGGATAGATGGCAGCGGCAGCGCAGTTTAGGAGGCAAACAATAAACTTCCCTCCCTGAAGTTTTCCACAAGACCCAACAACACTAGCTTCTCCCACAAGTGCGCAATTCCAGCTTTACCTATACCTTCCGAGTGCCTTCAACGGCAGTGACGGAAAAGAGAAGACTCGTGGTCCGTCCCTGCTCAAAGGTATTCTTTGCCTCCTTCAGCCTCTTCGTTCGCAACAATTGACAAGACGACACGGTTCGCTCGGGCGAGGGCGGTGACGGGTCAGCTCGTGGCCGAAGCTCGATATAACATGGGAAGTGCCCGAAAAAATGAGACGGTGGATTCGGTCTCTTGGCGATCAAAAAAAGCGGAGGCAGTAGACTAGCTGACGAGATGAGGTGATACCGTTCGCTGTCGCTTGGCGGTGCAGGAAGCAGGTTTATCGACGGCCGAACCTAGAAGACGAGGAAGTTCGTATAAACTCTCAATTACGACTTGGATTGCTTCCTTGGAGTGGTGGGTCTGCTACTGCCCCCGAGGCCGTGAACATACTTTTGTTTCTTCTCCGCGGGCTTGAGAATCTAGAAGCGAACGGTTAGTTAAGGGCGAAAATGCTCGACGAGAGACCATGGGGCTGTCAACTAACCTGGAAGGAGCAAAGCAAGCTCTCGTCCACACTCATCATGGCACCGGCGTTGTCAAACTCGCCACAGTAGTTCGGAGCGCTGAACAGCGTAACGAGCTGACGCTTAGAAAAGAACTCGTAGCCATCCTCGACGACCTGGTGGGCACGACATATGAGGTCCATATCATGTTTCTGGAGGAACCGGGAAACGACATCGGGGCCAAAGGTGAAGGAGACACCGCGATCGTTCTCGCTCCAGCCCGTGATGTCCTTGTCCGGATCCGACCAAAGAAGATCGCAGAGCAAGCCGCAGTCCGGAATCTAGTAACCAGAATGTTAGCTCCGACTTGGGTCATCTGCGTGGACTATCGGGATGAGAAGGAGGTGTTATCATTGTGCATCACATACGTCAGTGGGGCGCATGACGCGACGGATCTGCTCCATCGAGTTCAGGTCAGGGCTGAGGCCACCGTGCATGGTAAAGATCTTCTCATCGATGATGGCGGCAATGGGCAAGCAGTTGAAGCAATCGGTAAACGTCTTCCACAGCTTGATGTTGTATCGACGCTTGCACTCGTCGTAGAAGCCATAGATGCGGTTGATGGACGCGCACTCGTGGTTACCCCGCAGGATGAAAAAGTTCTCGGGATACTTGATCTTGTAGGCAAGGAGCAAGCAGATAGTCTCAAGGGACTGCTTGCCTCTGTCTACGTAGTCACCCAGGAAAAGGTAGTTGGCCTCAGGCGGGAAGCCGCCGTATTCAAAGAGGCGGAGCAGGTCGTAATATTGCCCGTGGATATCGCCGCAGATCTGCGAATGAAAAAGATTCACATTAGCCACAGAGCCCACAGGGGAGGGAGGTCACGCGAGTCGTTGGGATGAACACGGCCCGACGAGACTGCGATTGTCTCACCTTAATAGGAGCTTCCAGCTCGAGCAAGATGGGCTGAGAGATGAAAATCTCGCGGGCCTTGGTGCAAAGATAGCGAATCTCGGTCTCGAGCAGTTGGACCTGCTTTCCTGGGCGGCTGCCCCGCACCTCTAAAAGGCGGTCGATTATCGAGTCGAGATCGACGTCGTGCTGGTCCGCCATTTCAAATGTTCACAATCCTCCCGGCCGAAAAAGAATGGCGCGACGCAGTCAACGGGATTCTGGTAGTGACGGCAGATCCCAGGCGGCCGACTGAAAAGAAAACGAGAAAAGAAGGGCACGCGAGAAGGAAGCTCGGGGTAACGATACACTTCTGGCAGCTAGAAAAGTGAAAAGGCAAATTGGAAAAGGTCAGCGGGTTGCTCAAACTTGGATTGCGGATGATAGAGGAGAGTAGGGAGAAGTGAAGGCGCGACGCCAAGCGAACAACAGTGGATGGGGAAGGCTTGGGGACTTACCTGATGCTCAAAAGTGATCTCAGCAAACGAATGGGTTGTGGCGGGAGAGCGGGAAGAGGGGAGAAAGCCCCTTCGTCGTCTTCTATCCGGCGATTGTAGGAATGAAGGCGCTGTTTCCGATCAAGCTGGTCTGTAGTGCCGCAGAATAGCGAATTTTTTCAAGTCACCGTCACCGGGTTGGCGGATTGCTGCCGGAAAGTGTGCAGCGACTGGCGATGGCGATAAGGTTTATTGCGTCGTCGGAATATGGCACAAATTGTGTCGGTATCACGCGGCGCTGTATATCAGCAATGAGAATACCGGCTGGAAGTCGCCCTTGTGGACGGGTATCGCGCGAGGTGGCAGCAAGGCCGGTCGTCGATGAAGGGAAACGTGCGCGGTGTTCAGCTTTGGGAAGGCTGCCACGGTCAAGAAGGAGGACACGACTGCAGTGGTGCAGATCGCTTCCGTCGGCAGGATTTCGCGGATGTTGTCTCAATTCCAGCAAGGCGAAATCTGACTGCAGGTAGTGCCTATGATAGGACTTTGGTCGCCGTTAAAAAATTTCGTCGCTTTGTTGGAAGAAATCACGCTGTGGGTTAGGTTAGAGCGTTGATGGGAAAAAAATATCCTAGGTCAACGGTCGTTTGGGACTTGGGTTTAGAGGAGGAGACTGCGGCACACCCAAACAGCGCAGGCGAAAAGGAGGTAATGAGCATGGATGCTACACAGGGCTACGCAGTGTCTCGGAAGGCATTGGCAGAAACTGCAGAGCCACTGTTCTCATCCGCTTCCCATGAAAATTGTATGCGGACCAGCGCGTGTTCTTAGGTAGATTACTATCTGAGTTGCTCACAGATCGCGCCTTCCCCTGTTAAGTAGTGAGCATCATGGCTCCACCCCCGTACCTCAGCCCTTTACATCGTTAGCCGGATACGGTACAATACGGTACGATACCTCACCCAGAACCTGGAAGCAGCGTCCCAAGGAGAATCTTCAAAACCTCGAACTCCTAGGCAATTCATACAAGCCAGCTTTCACCACCTATCTTCTTGGTTGAGTTGTGTACCTGTTCTGATTCAGTTTCTAGGTATACAACGTGCCAAGCGGTTCTATTTCGCCCTCCTAGAATGGTCGGGTAGCTAACTACATACACACTTGCAATCGCCCTAGGGTCCCCATGGCGCTCCGTTCCCACGCTGACCGGGTCTTGGAAAACATACCTAAAGGGTACAGTACAGGATTTCAGCATCCCTCGGCCAGCTTCCATGGTTCCATGGCATTTTGATCCGGCCTTCGAGCCGTCAGCACTCCAAAGACAGCTAGGCAAATACCGAGAGCTGGTGCTCGATCCGACATTGCAGGTTGCGCGGCTAGCTTGGGGCAGACGAGTCATCTTTCACATATATCATCTTTCACCACACTTCCAAATGCAGGTTGAATATGCGGACTGCCTGGATCCCATGTTATATCCATGGGATGTTGGGTGCGGAGGGTGCTAGCCAGAACTCGAACCGACCAACGGGCGAAGTTGGAGGACTGCCAGTCTCCCACACCAACCTTTCGCCGGCTCGCTTGGCGCCGGGCCTTCTGGCTGCGCCTCAGGGGGCCCGGACGGTGTGGGTTAAGGTGTCAAAGTTTGCGGCTTGCCGCTCGTCTTTGTCGTGGGATAACCTCTGATTTGTCGGTAGACTTGGGTCTCCATCTTTGGCCCCCTGATACTCTCTCCGAGTCCAATTCCTCTAATAAGCGACAAAAGGGCGTTGTAACCGAGGGTTCCTCTTTCTGCTTTCCTCTGACCCAGGTTTTACTGGCAACGAATCCGGAGGACCGGGTCGCCCGGCGCAGCGCCGCTATCTCCGTACGGTCAGTTGATGCATTTCAAGCCTCTACAGGGGTAACCCACGGTATCAGGAACCGGAAATGAAGACTACGCCTGCATGGCTTACTTGGATTTGTTTATAACGCTGCCGTTGACTCGCAACATATCGGCACTCTCTCTTCCAGCTGCTCCATGCCGGAGGGCAATCTGACTCAGGACACATCTACGCGAATGGAGTTGGGCCAGAAATTCCTAGTACCTGTAGGTAAGATATGGACTGTTTCATTAGAGGGGACCCGGTCAGAGCCGTTTCCTCATTACTACAGTAACTTTGGTTGTTACCTTAAGGTGAGGCAAGTACCGGCAGGCAGTGACATCTTGCCCCGCTCGCACCTCGGTGACCGCTGGTGTCTTGGTGCTCTCGCTAAGCTCTTGTTCAGCTTCGGCGGGCGGGGTAGATACACATTCGGCTGCCCCTCTGCTTCTCTGCCCCTCCTCATTGTCGTCATGCGCAGGAGCCAACCATCACACAAAAAGAGATTACAGTTACGTTTAACTTATCATCGACACGACATTTCCAGTCTCGCTCGCAGATCCACGGGTTGGTCACATGATCGGGCCGCCCCAGAGGTAACACAATCCTCATCATGGATGTGACCCATCGCAGGGACAATCGGGCCAATCATTGATGCAACTGTGTGTATATAAAGTGAGTCTTTCATCTTCGATCCGCAGATCCCGTCTCGGTACTCCCGAGCTTAAGTTACCTGAGGTCTCTTCGAGACTCCCGACCGAGCGGCCGAGCCCCTATGTTATGTCATAGAGAGGACCCTTGACGCGATTCTGTGTGATGATCGAGAACAAGCCACATCATTGTGCACAGTATATGTGTGAGAAAGCGGATAACAGCAGGCCATGATTTTCTGGAGCAGCTGTGGTCCGGTTAGTCGCGGTGATCAGACCGTCGAGCCTGCCGTGCAGCAGAAGGTCATGCAGCCGTCTGTGAAGGCAACCACGCCAAGGCATGCAGGTTAGCATTGGAAAACAGGGCAACCGACACCGTCTTTTTGAGATTGGAAGGATGGAACTTACTGTGAGCTCACAGCCCAACATGGCCATACTCAGGACAGCCACCGACTGCGGGTATGATACTGAGCCTCACTGTTGCACAAAGCAGAGACGGAAGAACATAGTAATATACGACGTTTGAGGTATCTACCAACACCATGTCTTATCCGTACATCCACTCGAGCTATCGAAGCCGAGGTTACAACTATATAAGCCGAAAGCCACAACCCAACCATAAACTTCCATGCCACTCCCTGCTCCATCCATTCATCAGCGCGCAACCCCTCCATTCCTATAAGCAACCAAGGCCACCCTTTATGGAAAGGGAAGTGTTGCACCTTGCCAATGAGGACAGTGCCATAGAGATGGGGGAAAGAGACAAGCAGACAAGCCCAAGAAGACTGCTGTTGCTTGATAACTCGCCGACGCCCCTCTCGACTCCCAGGCAAAAGATAGTCTGCCTAATAACCACTATCCCGAACAGGAACACCATACAAGAAGCCCACACCTCAGACGCCCATACAAAATTAAAGCCAAATGAAAGCAAGACGAAAGCTCGGGAATTAGCTCCCATCCCCTTCTTCGCTTGCGCCTCCTTTCAGGGATAAATAGAGTAACCCATCGAACGGAACCGAAAAGTACTGAAGCGAGGCTAAGCAGAGGAACAAGGGCTGTGTAGGAAGTAAAAAGAACGCCGAGAATTCTCAAGGAAAAGTTCTCCAGTCCGTCCGGGGTGTTCAGGTTGATGGAACGATACGGGGTGAAGAGGGGAAGCATTGCCTGCCTCGATTCTCGAACCGCGTATCTGTTGTCCCATTCCGCTAACCCAGCTCTCGACGGAGAGACCAGCAGGGGAAGAAAGAAAAAGAAGAGAAACAGAAAAGAAGACTAGAACAGCAGCCCAACCAGATATTCATACACCCCTTTCCGTCTCTGTCCCAGAAGCAAAGATAAATCAGAGAAGGGAAAAAAGAAAGAAAAGAAAAACAGGATATCACCTCCTCCGCGCACTACTCCGAACCCCCTTCCTTATGCCGCTGGAATTAGACGCCCTCCGCGACGCGCCGGAAGCAGTAGCGGCGGCGACGGCAGCGGCAGCGGCAGCGGCAGCGGCAGCGGCGCTCGCAGTGGAGCTCCTGAGGCTCTTCTTGGGCGTAGCCGCCGCCTGTGTGATCGCCTTGGATCCTGCCCCGCTACCGCCGCCTGAATTGTTATTAGCACCATTCCCGTCAGTACCTTCCCCGACAGGCGGCGAGGCGGTGATGGTATTCTCCTCGTCGACATCAAACTCGAGGTCCTTGAGCGCGTCATCGTCCATGTCGGTCAGCTCCTCGCTCAGGGCGCGGCGCACCGCCTCGCGGCCCGTCCACTGCTCCTCGACAGCCGACGTGCCGCGCAGCTCGAACCCTGCCAGGTACCAGGGGATTCCACCGGCCACGAGCACGTTGTCCATGATGTCGCTGCTGCCGTTGTTGCTGGTTCCAACAACAGCGTCGTTGTTGCTGTTGCTGCTCCCGTTGTGGTAGGACAAGGAGGAAGAGACGGCCGGCTGTGGTTGTAGATATTGTTGGTTGGAAGGCTGTCCCGCGAACGAGCCGTTTGATTGCGGCGGCGTGAGCGGGGCAGGAGCTGGGTGCGGGTTCTGGTCGTGGCCATGGTCTTGATGGTCCTGATGGTTGGCCGGGTGCGGGTAGCTGCCCGGAAGAGAAGCCGGTGAGTTTGAGTTGGGGTCTTTGTTGAAGCCGTTTGTGACGAGGAGGCGGCGGTGGAAGTCTCCTTGTCCTTGGGCTATGTCGGATTGTTGGTCACCGGGGGGAGAATGTGCCGAGGAACGAGCGCCATTTGGTTTCAGCGTGCCGTCGTCATCGTGCTCATCGTCTGGTTCCTTGACCTCAATCTCGCCGCCATGATCCTGGGCAAGTTCAGTCCCGTCCTTTGTGTCATCGTGGTCGGGGTCTGCTTCGCCGTCGGCATCAGCCTCGTCGTCGCTCTGGTCTGCCACAATAATCTGGCCTTCTGCCGGTGCGTCCATCATGTCCACATCTTGATCGGGCTTGGGCGCTGCGCCGTCGTCATGGGACACTATGATGCTGCTTGTAGTTGGCTGCCTCACCTCGAGGCTAGCTTCGATCATGGCTTCAAGTTCCTGTTTCATGGAATCGAATGACTTGCTGCAAATGTCGGCTTCGGCCTTTAGTGCTGCCTCGAAGTATGGCTCGAGGGATTTAAGAATCCTCTTGCCGAGGCGTCTGCGGTCTCTAACTTCTGAATAGTTGCTCTGCTTCACTGCGGACGCGTCGGACGGTTCCGTCCCCTGCTCTTGGTCTGACGACGGTCTTTCCGTGTTGATGCCCACATTGATTGCTTGACATAAATCACGCGCAAAGGGCAGAGTGGTTACGTAAAAGCGCCTGTCGAGCTTGTCCTGCAGCTCCGTAAAGCCTGGCTTGAAGACGTTCCTGTCCAGTCTGGCAATGGGTCAGTGTATCCAGTCGGTCAAACAAGAGTATCAGGGTTCCAACTTACAAGAACGCTTTATCCATGACCGGGAGCAGCATTTTGTAGATGGGGAAATAGCATGTGTCGACAAAGTCGACCATCAACTCGGCCTGCTCGAGCTTGTCCGCTTCGCGGCGCACAATAGCTTCGGACAATTCCTTGAGCTGTTCGAGGTCTTTGAGAAGGTTTCTGCAAAACTCAACTCTTCTCTCCAGCCTCGCCCTGCCTGACGGGCCCATGACAGCAAAGTTGCGGCGTGTCAGCTCCATGGATGAAAAGGTTTCCATCTGCAGCTGGAGTCGCTTGAGCAAGGCGGCACCGCGGCGAGCTTCTCGCTTGAGTGTCCAGTAACGGCACGCCTCCGCCACAAAGTCTTTGCGTTTTCGGATTGGAAAACGTGATAGGGCGCTCTCGACCAGATCGTAAACTTTCTGCGGGATGACGGGTGCGCCGGATGGTAACTTCCAGATATTTTTCTGCGGTTGACCCTTCTTTTTCTCAGCCAAAACGGCGGAAACTTTGGCACCAGTCATTTGCGACTCATCGGGGGGGTGCTCAGTCATAGCGTGGCGGTGTGTGGCGGCCATTTGAAGTGCCGCAGCCTGGTCGTCGGCCCAGAGGCGGCCCTTCATGGTGCGCTTGTAGAAGCGCTTCGCTTCCTTCGTTGCCTGGCTGACATCATTTTCCTTTGCATAGTCGGGCGGGCAGTGCTTATCGCAGAAGGCCTTGAGTGGGAGGGTGCCGTCGAGCACGGCAAGGGCCCCCTGACTGTTTTTCATCTTAAGAAACAGTCGACACCGCCGGGCGCACGTCACATGGAAGGCCTGGTAGCAGTTTTTGTTAGAGCACTGGATGCAGGCCCCCATACGCTGGTTGCAGATGTAGCACGTCAGCCTCCAGCGGTTCTTGGGCACTTTTTCAACCTCCATCACCGGCTCCATGAAGGTGTGGTTTCCGAGCGACACCTCGGGGATCCACATGGCGCATAACAGATGGGCCCATTTTGACGAGTTGGTCTGCTTGAACGCTCCATCGGTATTTGGACAGAAAATGCATGTCTGCAACACGCGACAGTCAGTACTTGGCAAACCCACAGCGGACTCGGCCAGGACTTACCGGAATGCCACGCCCAATAAGCTGGCATTTGCGACACAACCACTGCCCCTCGGGAATAAAAGGAACGCCATAGCACTCTTGGTGAACAGCAAGATCGCAGCCGTCGCAAAACACAATAGCGTTTGTGTTTTCGCAATCGCCGTCGTCGCAGATGGCGCACTTGCTATCCTGCTCCTCCCCAGCCTGCGGCTCGCCATTAACTGCAGCTGCAGAACTCGACCGCGGTCTGTGGGTCTGCGGAGGTTTCGGATTCGGCTTTGGTATGCTCTTCTCAAGAGCATGCCATTCCTTTTCGATCTTGGTTATCGTGATCTCAAAGATCTCGCGGGTTATGCTTTCCAGGTCGGAGGCCTTGCGCTGCTCGTTGAGCTTGCCAAGCCACATGTCGTCCTGCTCATCCATGTCATACTCGACGCGCCCCACAACGCCCGCTGTATGCTGGACAGGATCTCCGTCAGCTCTTACTGCAGGGTGCTGGTCAAGCTCTTCTTCCACGTTCGCATCCATCGCCTTGATCAGGTTGCGGTCCGGCCGAATGAAGTTGTCGCTCTCTTGATAGCCCACATTCATCATCGACTTCTCGACATATCTCGCTTGGCCAAACTGTTTGCTCTCGAACACTGCGACGCGACTGGTCTTGCGGTACGAAGGCTGCTTCAAATCAAGCCGCTCTTTGGCGGTCTGGTTGTGAATTGGCATCACTTTGGGGATCTTGGGCGTCAAGCCGAAGTCTGGGGGCCGGGTCGCATACAGCGAGACCGAATCTCGGGGTGGTCTGCCGACCCGGCGCCTGGTGGGTGTCTCTGTCGACGTTCCGCCGAGAGTAGGCTTGCCCTGGCCACCTGGGGTGCCGTTAACCGCGGTCCCTGACCCCGAGTTCACCTCCTTAGTGGGTGTGCTTGCGCCGTTTAAGGGTGTGCCAGACGTTTGGGCGGCAGGAGTTGGGGGAATGGATTTCACGACGCCGTCAACCTCGTCGGCTGGGAGCACCAGAAAGGTAGCATCGATGTCCAGATTCGGGTGAAATTCCTCCCACCCACGCTCCTCCCGGGGTTTATATCCTTCGCTTTGCACGACAGCTGCCGCCACAGCCGCTGCGGAGCTGTATTGCATGTCATCCCGCTCATCTCGGTTGACAGCTGTGCGGATTCTTGTACTCCGTTCTCTGCGCGGGTAGACAGGAGGGGATCGTCGCGCTTGGGTGGCTGCAGACGCTCGGGGTCGGGGTGCGGTGGTCGAGGGGCCGGGCGAATCGGTGGCTAGTGCAGCATTTTCGTCATCGATGAAGCGCCCACCACCGCCGGGACCACCGGGGATATAGCGACGCCGCTTCAGAGGGGGTTCTGTAGCTGGACCGTCGGGCGGCGGCCTTCTGACGCGGGACGCGCTAGCGGAGCCGGAACCCTTAGGACGGCCGCGAGGACGGCCCCTCGCCGTCCGATTCGGAGTTGTTGGCGGCGGGGCCATGGACTGCGACTCGAACTGCAAAGGCTGAGACCGGATCTGGCTCTGAAGGGGAACTCAGAGGGAGTGGGACAGGGAGTCAGGGGATGTCAGGGGATGTCAGGGGATGCGTGTTGCTTGGTGCGGGGTCACTCGGGCCGGACGGCGATTCGTTTCCAACCTTTGCTATAGAAGCAGGTTTTCGCTGCTGCCGGACGCGACCGTGTGCCCGCTGGCCAACGAGAGACTCGTTGCGATGGCTGGCGATGAAGAAAGCCGGGGGTTGTCTGTCGCTTTTGACGACGTGACGTTCTGGAAAACGCGAGGCGCCTCGTGTCTCGGCCAATCAGCACGCTCAGACTTGCCAGTGGAGTGGCGGATCTTCCCCCAAACTGCTTAGGTAATGTTAGCCTCAACATTGTTGGTCCGAGCGTCAAATCTGGGGTATTATCACATGCAACGTACAACTTCACGCAGCAGCTTGCATCCAAAGAGAAACAACTGAGTACTGGGCTCTGGGAGTTTGGAATGTGGGAAGTAGGTTGTTGAGATGATTAAGAATGGTGAAGAGTTCGATTTCAGATTTGGAACCAGAATTTGAACTGAAAAAGATGAGTGTGGGCACTGATTCTCCGCCGAGTCTTGTACTGTACCCGCCAAGTTCGATTTTGGCATCTCAACGAAAAGAAAGGGCCCGCAACGTGCACTGTTCACTTACACGACTAGAGTATGTGTAGTATCAGTTGCTGCGGAATCTTTCGCCTTTTTCCAGCTTCTAGAACCGGTAGGTTAAGAGCTCATTCAGCAATGTAGGCCTTTGTGCGGTTTGTGATTCCAAGTGAGTGTATGGTGTAGCGAATGTGTTGTAACCATTGCTGCATTTCTTCATATTGAATTATCCCTTCCGTCCGTTGTTGCCGCCTCCACCATGTGCGGCTTGCCATGTGCGGTTACCACGTGCGGCACCTCATAGCGTCGTAGGGCTGACCAGATCTGAGATTCCGTCCGAGCAAAACTCAGGAATGACGTGGTCGGCTCCTGGCGAGCCTTGGCACACAACCACAACTTTTTATTCCCGCTTCCCGCTCCCACATTTCGGTTTCTCGAAGATGAGGAAGTGCGCCAGGCCAATCAAAAGCTGAGCGCATGCAGCCCGGTTTGTGTGGCCTGTGGCCCTGGGCCTTCTCCAATCCACTGACATGCCCATCGACCCTTTTAGGGGTGCTTCTAGACCTCTTGGCTAGTTATGTCCCCGCCCCGTTTCTTTTCTGGTTGTTTGGCTCTTCGGCAATTGGCGATCATGCTTAAACCCTTTGCTGAACCGCGATTCCTCTTCGATTGGCCCCATGGATCTCACCATCAACCCATTCCTTCCTTGTTCGATCGTACAAGCTCCTCCCCTCAACTGCCATTGTACTCTACAGGCACCACGGACAGCTACCTAGCCACGCAAATGGGCTCACACAAACGCGATCTCTGACCGATGTGCATTCAGATATGCCGTGCATTGCAGAATGTCCCCTGTTAACGGCGCTGCCCCTTACGCGATCCGTTTGCTGGGTGAACGACAGGAATGAAATTCCGAGTCCAACCAGTCCTGTCCAGACAAATGCTGGTCCGATTTTCCGCCGCTTGGGGGCGGCCTGTTTGATCATGATCGTTGCTACCAAATTCTATAATGCAAACCATGGCCGACCTTACCATCATAGCAGAAGAATCTCATCCCGTTATCGAGATTGACATTTCACTCCTGTCGCTGCCAACTTCGCCATCAATTCACCGCCAAAGCGGAAGACGGATTCCACAATCTCCGCCTTGAGGGCCAAAGGGCTTCAATCCCAGAAGGTGTAGTATCTATCATTATTAAGGTTACCCACCGTTGCAGTCCACAAGACCTAGCCGCTCAAGTCCACTTACTTCGCGTCTTCCAAGGCTCTACAAGTGCATTTCAGGGCATGCTAGGAAATCAACCGAGATCTTAAATCGGGACCCAGGAAACTAGAGATACAGGTGAATGCGAAGGCATTGATGTGCAAGTTACCTGTATGCCAACCCCAAATTCTATCACAACCCTGCATTTAGACTTGCAATCCAACAGCATTCTGTATTAAGCAGATAGCTACACAATTTCTCTGAAAAAGGTACCTTAGTCAATCACATCACATTCCTTGGCATGAAGGTCAGCTCAGCTATGAACGTCCGCAACTTGAGCTCAAGCCAACTGAGGCAATCCAGAAGATAATACCATCACCATGTCCGAACTGTCCCGCGCAAAACGGGTACCATATTGTATCCCGTAGTAGCCAATGACTTCCATGACGGGCCACAGCTCCTCACGCTCTGCGATTGACAAGCCGCCTCTTCGCAACCAAGTTGCACTTGGGTTACACTTACCAGGGGATATATCTACCAAGTGCAAGGGCAATGATCTCTACGAACCTGTCCGCCCTTCATCGCTCAAACGGAATACACAGCGAAAGGGTATGCCACAGCATCAATTTTGTGTAGAGAAAACAAGCAAACAAAACCTGGACTACCTACGGCACGACACAGCGAGGGAGCACATGCAAAGCACAAGGCGAGGAACATGCAGAGTAGAAAGCAAGCATCTTTTTGTCCACTCCCGACTCCAAACTCAACTCGATTGACCACCACCACAGCTATTCCTTTGTCTGTCTGACTGTTCACCTGCGTCCCTATCTTTTTTCAGAGCAACCAACCAACCCAGCACAACATTAAATGCTTCGCTTATTTTGTACAAAACCAACGGCAACAAATGTAGTTCATGACCCCGCCCACTTGAATCTAACAGAATAGACAGATGGGGTATTGAGAGGGAGAAGGAAAAGGAAACAAGTAAATGGGAACACCAAGTTGGGTCCCACAAGGAGAATCCGCTCCAGCGACTCTATGAGAAGGGAACAAAAGCGGTCGCCATTCTCTCCCAGAAACGCCCACCGTGTCCCAGTCGAAGATAGAAAGAAGTAGTAGCAAACCCAAAACAAAACGCCTAGTATGCTTGTATGCGTCCAATAAATCCCAAGATGCAGGAATATGAAATAATGAAGGGGGTGAAAGCCCTCCACTCAAGCCACGACATGTAGAACAGACAAGACCAAATGCCACACATGGAGATGGGTATTTCCGATGCAATCCAACCCAGAATTAATCCGTTTCATTCACCCAGTCATCCCTCGTTCATCGTGTCAAGTTAATGCCCAACAAACCCAGCCCAACCCGGCCAAAAACAGACTACATGGTCGACTGCGCTTCGTCTTCCCAATCTTTCCTTGATCGGAATGCAGAAAACAGAACCGAAAGGGGTATCTCAATGAAGTAAGGTGGTGGGCGATGGCAGGTGTTGATAGATCACCTAAGTCCACCACTATGGATGGCTTGCACGGTAGTGGGTCGCGATATCGTTGCGGGGTTGTGACGCGAAGTTGGAGAGGCAGCACCGAACTCTACAGCAGCCTCGTGGTAGTCCGAGGCTCGCGAAGTAGGATCCCAACTCTCCTCGCTAAGAACGCTCAGGTAGCCGTTCCCAACCTTATCACGGAGGGCCTCAATCTTGCGGCGGTAAAGCTCGCCACCCACGTCCCAATCTGCATTGCTCCCAGGTGACCCAAGAATCGAAGGGAATTCGGGCGAGACACTCGTATCGATTCTAGGCACATCGCCTGCCTGCATGTGCGAAACGGGGCTTCCGGCTAGGATAGGCTGAGGCGGATCCTGCGCCTCCACCGGTTGCGAAATGCGATAATTGTTTTCAGGCTCCGGGACTGACTTGACGCTGGCTACCTGGGAATCAACGGGACGTCCAACGGGGATAGCGCCATCATTAGTAGCGAGATCGACTATTCGCCGCTTGGGCGCCCTGCGACGTCGCGTAGAGCTAGTGTTGACTTCGCTCGAGGCGGCTCTTGGGACGGGACGTTCTTTGCGGAGAACAGCATGTTCCTTGGGTGGCGGGTCATAGATGATGGCTGGCTTGCTGACGTCGACGGCGGGTATTTCTGCGGGCTCAGGCTTGACGACGGGTACGGCGGGAGGCACCTCCGCTCGCTCGACCAAGTAGCGCTTCTCGGCGTGTGTCGGACCAGTGGCGTCAATCGTGATATCCTCCGTGTAACCCGGTGTCTTGCGAAATAGGTTGAAGATGGTGACACGATAGTCCCGATGGGTTCGTGTAAACGGGTTGCCTTCCACGTATATTTCGCGTATTTCCGGAATTCCAGTCAGCCGAGCCAACTCCATCGGATCAGTCAAGCGGTTCTCTCTCAAATCCAGCCTCTCGAGTGGGAACAACTTCTCAATTCCTGCAATGGACTGCAGCCGATTTGCTCTCAGGTTGAGCGCCGTGATGGCCGGTAGCGGGTTGCGGGTAAGGGAGTGTAGAGACTCTATCATACAATGGGATAAGTTGAGAGCACGAAGTGCAGTGAGATTAGCGAGGCTGTCAGGGATTTGTGTGAATAGATTGGACGAGAGGTCAAGAGAATGGAGGCTATTGGCAAGCGGGGCCAGGCTTGCTGCGGGAATCGTGGTTAGTGAGTTATCCGCCAGGCTGAGATGCTTCAGGAAGCGCCATTTCGAGGCGGGAAGTATGCCCATGGCAAGAAGATTCGAGGAGCTGCCGCGAGAATGGTGCCAGGAGTCCGAAAGGCTTGAATGGGAGCTTCCGGACCCGGATCGCCGGATTTTGTAAGACCCACGAACGTTGGCTGATCCGTTCCTCGAGCTCGAAGGCCGGCGAGGAGAATGGCTTCGTTGCCGGGAGTCCTTGGTGGGCGACTTGGGTTCGTCGCTGTCTATCCTGACGATCGACGGTCGCCTGCTGTCCATTGCGTTGGATTCATCTTGATCCGCTCCAGCCTCGCTGTTCAATGACCCAACAGGTAAGTCCACCGTCGACTTTCGAGCCTCGGGCGAACCCGGGGTCGAGGTAGCCTTGTGGAGGTCGACATTGGATACTGTCGGACTTCTCCGAGGACTTGCTGCTGCGGCCCAGGGGGTGGTGGGCGATGACTGGCTCTTGGACGTGCGGCGACGTCGCTTGTCCATGTCATCCAGTACGATATCAATCAAGACGTCTGCGGGATCATCTACGCTGGCACGCTTGAGCGTAAGGGATCGAAGCTGCTCGGCAAGCCTGTCCCAGCCGAAGAATTGCCTGAAGTCAATGTCGCTCACCTCGAGCGCTTGTACGTTTTTGAACACATACAGGGGCACGGCCGAGTCAAAGGGGAATTCTTCATAGCCCCTGATAAGGCGTGCTCGCCAATCCGGAGCCAACCTCAGACACGGGATCTTGGTGAAGGCGGAATACAGATACTTCAAATCGGCCTGGATGGCAGCCTTTTGCCTCTCTGTTCGGGCAGCGGATATGCTCGAGCCAATCCCAAAGCTAGCCCATAGGGCAGACATGCCCGACATGACGCTCCTGATGCTTGAGACAGAGCGGATTGAGCCCACGTCAGATCCCCGGCTTTTGGAACGTTGGGACTGCCCTAGGAAAGACACATAGTTTGCCGAAGCGGTGGTGTCATGTAGGTTCTCGAGACGAATCTTCATCGGTCCTACGGGGATACCTAATTCCTCGAACCGCGAGAGCAAGTAGAACAGATGGTGCGGTGTAAGGGCCAACTTCGCTGACTTAACGGTATGTGATGTAAAGCTTAGCGACCCGAGCGAGAAGGCAGCGGCGAGGGTGCTCGTGGTAGAAGCCGATGTCGAGGGACGCTCCGGAACGGCCGGCGCGGAAGCGACCGGTACTGGTGGGACGGACGAGACGCTCTGCGATGATCCATGCCGAGGCGCGTTCTGTCGCCGAAACTGGAGTGCATTTGCGAGAGCCTTTTCGTGCGTGCGCACAAAGCTAGCTAGTTGCTGTACAGATCGACGCCGTCAGCTTCGGCTCTCGCTGCATATGGCTGGGCCGCCGGGATAAAGCATAGGGCCGGTTCGGGAGGGCAACGCACCTTTACGAAAAACTCGCCGTCTTCCGAGTCCATTTTCAGGGGTAAGGATGCATGAGATTGTAACTAAAGGAGCGGATGGCTGCAAATCCCAACCCTGAGGTCAGGGTGGGTGATATTGGGGGGGTGATCTCGGTCCAACTCTTATCGGCAGTCCGCGGAGCGTATCTCACGCGTCCAGCGGCGCTGACGATCGTATCGTGTCGAGGGTGAGACAGCAGCCTGGACACTGTCATATGTCAGTTTGGCGACTTGTCACGCTGCACAAAACACCTTTTGGTGTGGATGGCCAGATAAAAGAGGCACAGTAGGCCAGCCCGCCAGAAAAAATAAGCAGGCGCGTGACCAGAAAAGGCTTGAACTGCCAAAGATATGGTAGGCTTGAGCGACTGGAAGAAAGGCGAGAAGTAGGCGGGCGAAGTAGGAGTTGGCCAGAGTTGTCAGAAAAGGTCGTCGAGTATGCTGGTCCGGGTGCGGGGGGAAGCGGGCATGGGGCGCATAATATAAGCCGTTTACGGACAGGCAGGCGTGAGGTGACACACAAGCTTAGACGAAGGTCTCGGTGGGACAGAAGGCTTGTTGGTGCATTCCGGTCCGGGCCATTGTGCGGTCGTTGTGCGGTCGGCTGGTCTTCCCCACGGTTTCAACACCAAAGGCCAGTTTCAAGGCCAGAGATTGGAACAAATGAGGTATCGCCAGGGCGCAGAGAACGACTTCCTCGGGTTTTCGGCTGCAGCACCAGCTGGCATCGTTCATTGCAGGTCAAAGACCGGGGATAAGCCAACAATGAGCTTAGCTAGTTTTTGCGACCCAGCGACCGTAGGCAGTGAAAGATATGAGCCACCTAAGTATGGGTCATGCGAACAGAAACACGAGGGGCAGAAGCTGACGGCCAGCGCCCGGGAGTGTTTCGGTGGGCAAGTCACCAAAAAGCGATCAAGGTTTTCCTCAAGAGTCATCAATTTGTCGGATGACAACGGGCTGGCTACCGCTGCGGCGCACCGACGGTCTGCCCTCTGGGATACAACAGCAAATCCAATGCGGATAACCTCACGGCGCGGTCGTCGCTTGCTGGCGGGCTGGCCAAATGGACAAACAAATACCACAAAAAAACCGAAAAATGACTTACCAAGTCCAACCTGGAAACCCAGTGGGTGCAGCCACCGACCGGAGACCTCGATGCTCTTAGCGGCACGTTCCCGTCTCGAAATTCGTCTGGCGCAGCAACCTCGACCCAGCCCGTGGTCGCGAACACCTCAAGGGAATGGCGAGGTGCTGAGCAGCAACCGTGATGTCGGCCAAGGATTAGTTCAAGAGGAGCAAGAAATCCGCCCGAGCTCGCTCTCGCTCGCGATCTCGACGAGCGGTTGAATGCTGCGTCGTGTCGTCGCAAACACGTGCGGAGGGGAGAAGGGGAAAGAGGAAATGGTCTTTTTGTTGGTAATGGGAGGGGCGGGCAGCAACCAAAAGTAAAATATGGTTCGAGGCAGCCTGCAGGCCCTGCACCCTCCACTGAAATGACTGAATGGATGGAGGGTCCAGATTGGTGGCACCGCACTGTCAAAAAAAAAACTGCAAGGGTTGACCGTGTCCACCTGCTACACTAACGTTAGTGTAGGTACAGTACCTCCCTGGTGTGGAATGGGCAACATCCACTGGATGCTTGGGGCGGGGTCGCCTACGGAAACCTGGAAAACCTGGGCAAGCGCTGCCAATCCATGTCCCGAGAGGTAATTTCACGGGGCTCGCTTTATCCAATCCGATCAATCGCCAGCCCGCTCTAGCTGGCCGCTAGACCCCGGAGCCTTTTGTCGCACGTCAGGATCGTCTCCGTGATCAGGGTCTTGCTGATCGGCCGAGTTGCCGGTCGGGACAATCCTTCACTGAAGATCAATCATCAACTACGGCGACCCGCATAGCCCGCGTAATCGGCAGCCGTTTTGTCCGTTGCAGCGAAAAGAGCCGTGCCACTGATACGCAGGTGCAGAGTCGGGCATGAAAAGCCTCTGGCGGCAGCAACGGGGATATAACCAGGCAGCACATTGTCATTTCGCTTCGGTTTCCTCGACGACAGCGATTTTCTTAGCTTTGCGCTTGAGATAAGAATTGCTCCAGATGTGTATTGTATTGTATTGTAAGGTATGTACATACATAGTGTACATACAGTACATTACAATCCAAACCACGAGGCTCCATACAAACGTCAATTTCCAAGGACTCGTCACAAACACATGTGCCCCGTGCGATTGGGCGGCAGGAAAGCAGCATCATTAGCAAGACATTCACACGCGCGAGATGCAAAGGCGTCTGCCAGCCAGCTTGCATAGCGGGCGTCCCAGAGGCTGCTGCATCGCTGCATCTTGGACCAATCGCGTCTCTGCAACCGGGGGTGTATCGGCTCAGTGCGATGCGATGCAACTAGCATTCACAGGGCTCGCCAAGTGCACATGCGAAGGGCCGAGCCTGCCTCTTCAAGGAAGACTCGTCGAAAGCGGTGTTCCGTGATGCGGATGGCATCCCGGAAGTTTGATCACAGAACACATGCGTACGCCTGAGAGTTTTTTGAAGCTCGAATAACTCTCCTGTCTTGATGTGGAATGGAGCGGTTTAGGTGCACCTCTGGGTCTATAAATGCAGCCTCACCGGAGCAACATCTGAAGCTTTCAGCTCGTCCACTGCGCAATTTCATTTCCCGGGCATAAGGCGTAGCGCTGACCCAAAGTTCAGGACGGTGTGCCCCGGATTGTATACTCGGCTTGAGGCCCCTAGGCCCCGGTTATGACCTTTGGACATGCCACACTCTCCCAGCTTCATGGAGATTTTCAAAAGTTCAGAAGGAGACGCTCAGCAATCAAGACGATGTCCGTACCATAGAGTACAGTATCTGTACCCGCTGCGACAACAGCTGCAAAATACCGTTCCGGTGTCCTGAAGGGACAATTGCTAGCATTGTCCCCTGCCGAAAAGTTAAGAGATCGAACCCTCGCCTGCAGGCCAAGACAGCAGGGCTGTCCAGCTCGACTGCTCGAGATCACCTCCGCGTAGGATTCGCCAATATTTGGGCCTGCTCATACATATGCATATGGGCTTCGACCATATCAGAGTGGCATCAGACGAGGCCCAGACACACTCATGTCCCCATAGTCTGGTCATAATTCAAGACAGAGGCCCAAGAACGTCACTGGCGATGCCGAACAGATCTTTCGGCAGTCTGAGTCCCTCAGCATCCGCTCCCACGTCTTCCGTTTGAGACGGCATGGCAGAAACAGGTTATGAGCTGCTACGGCCGGCGAATAACAACACCGAACGGCAGCATCACCGGCTCGCTTGCCAGTTGACTCTAATCACAATACACTGAACCCGCTGCCGAGAAGCAGACACTCCGACTACCAGTACATCATCATACACGCACCTGCGCTGATCGAAGGTTCTCGATACAGCTTCTCTACTTTGTGTTGTATGCCTGCGACGCACCAATCCTAGTGCACACTTTGAGTGGTGACAGAGGGATACCATTATGTCATCTTGGCAAAGTTGGGAATAGTGTCCCAATGCCATGCCATCCAGTTCCGAGCCGAGCGGAGCTAGGCAGCCGCACGGAACACCCAAGATACTGGTAGTGTGTTCTACAGCACACTACACGTGTAAGTTCCTTCTTATTGAGGTTGATTCTCTAACATCAGCCGAAGCCCGGGTCCGGTCTCCAATGCTCATCGTATCAGCGCGAATAAAACCCAGCTGGTATAGCGGCCCTGTTCGGCCCCCCACCCGAAGCATGTGCCGAAAGGAGAGCCGCTGCAGTACTCTAGTTCCCATCCAGAGCTCGCCATGCCGGATCAGATACGGGGGGTGGGATAAGACGTCATGGCCAAGCCAGCGTTCTGCAGCCTCACCGCCCCGGTCAACCCACCTCGGGGTGAAGAGTATTGGGCAGTATCAACATGTTACCTACATCTATTACTGGCCGTTTCTCGTGTCTCTTGGCGGCCGGCACAGCAGGAGGTGATTGAACTGGACTCCACTATCAAACGGGTTTCCAGATGGAGATCCAAGAGACTTGAAATGCAACCGAAATACATACTCCGTACATAGAGTTACAGTAAGCGGAAGCGGGTGGTCTTTGTTGAACCCAGGCGAGGTATATCTGAAGAGAGAAAAGGTTCCTTTGCCGCTTAGAACTAACGGGGCGGGCAGCAGACTTTCCCTCGAGCCGGCTGATCGTCGTGATGCCGTGATTGCACAACCCGGCAACGAGAACCATGTTCAGTGGTCGAGTATCGTTCGATCGCCTAACAGATCTGCTCTAGGGTTTCTGTTTGCGCACACTTTGCACCCCGCAACTACGACACTCTAGTACCTTAGCAGCTTAGATCGTCACGAGAGGTGTTCCCCCCGCTCCTGAAGCAATCACCGCGGCGGTCTCAAAGATCAGAGTTTCATGCCGTCTGCCGGGTCCAATGGGAGTTTTCTCTCAAAACCAGCCACTGCCTGCCTGGTGCTGAAAGCTGTGGAGTTTTGGCGACGACGAAATGCGCCACGACGGTTTTGTCTGCCCTTCTCCAGGGAGTCAGGGACTGCTATGACGTATTCAAGCATTTGATGCCCCGCCGAATATTTCACACGCAACCTACCAAATAGCTCTGTGTGAACACGCCGTTTCCATGGTGGTGCACAGGGCACACATGACACTTTGCTCCCCGTCCTGTCCCCCGCAACTCTACACTAATGCTCGCTTCAAAGGTCAAGGTTCACTGGCAGACGTGACATAATTAGAACGGTATTCCGTACATACGGTACAATACATATACCACCGTACTATCCACGGATACATATCGAGCGGGGTCAACAAGCCAACAAAATCACACAGAGCGAGAGCGGCAACGGTGTTTGGTTTCTTATTTCTATCCGGGAGGAGGTACCGTTAACCTCGCCGGCACTGGTTCTCATGCCGGCCCGACTGGCAAGGATGGCACGTTCCACGGTGATGGCCCGGGCACCCTAGCTCGGTGTTGCCCAATTCGTCGCTTCCGTGTCGTCTGATTCGGTGAGTGACCTTGCCGGGTTGCCGGGGACCCTCTTCACCCCAAGATCCTCCCGTCACACACCTTGACCCCCACCCTTTTAGCGCATCTTGCGATGCAGCTTTCTCACCGCTGGGGGGACTTCGTAGGAGGGTACGGTGTTTCGGAATCAGCTGCGGGGCAGTCTGATCAAAGGGACCGAGTCACCGAACACGATGGAGGCTTTTTTCTCAGGCTCTCTCCTACACGTGCGTTTCATTCTCGTTTGCGAATAAGGATACCTAACTACGGCAATCCCTCGTCGGCATCTCCCCTCCTGTTATCACTCCCTCACCGCTCCTCCTGCTGTTGCTGTTGGCTGTTGGGTGCATGCAGGAGAGCCAAGAGTGTAGTCGGATTGTGAAGCATCTGGAGAAAAAAAGGAGCCAAAAAGATCAAAAAAATGTAGCAATGGTCGCACATTGCACATACATAAAATGGCTACATAGCCTGCAGCCGACTTTGCCTGATTGTCTGAATGCGCATGCATTGCATTAGTCGGAGCAGCGCCGTCGAGGTGCATCGATCCTGGACGAAAAGGCTCGTCAATGCACCCTGAGTTGAAGGGTCCTTCTGGTCCAGGCCTTTGTGATATAGCCAAACATTTCACGATAAGATTTTCCACTTGATCCTGGACGAGTGAGAGGACATCCAGCATCGCATTAAATTCGAATTCAGATACATCCCACGTATACGTCAAACGAAAAAACAAGCGGACTTGCCCTGCCTCACCTGCCCCGTTACCATCAGTCTCAATTTCCCCGCCAACATGAGCCACTTCGGCCATCCCACCTATCCGGCGCCAGATTGCCGAAGTCGGACGCCCTCCGCCTCATGCGGGATGCGGGCTAGGGAAAGATGATTTGCATGACAGACGGGGTCACGGCTGACCGCCAGTCTATCATAGGTCAAGTGGAGGTTGCCCAGCCTAAGTATGTCTTTCCCAAATGTACGTGAAGCGATAAGTACTGTACTTGAGTTAGCTGCACGACATATTGCGCCGGCCTGGCGGCACGGGTCAGTTTCAGCCGTTTGTCCTCTTTCTTTTGTTTCTTGCTGATCATGGAATAATAATAAAGATGTATGTATTCCTAACCCTGACGAGGGAAAAGACGGCGGTTTAGCCGCGGCCCGGTCTTTGTGTGTGCGGGGAGCTGGACCCCTGAAGCATATCACGAAGTTCGGGGTATTTCTTCAGGGAAAGGGTCGCCGCAGATCTCGGCTTGGCCTTCCTTTACCTGCCAGCTGGGGATGAGGGCCCTGAGATGCTTCGAGCTCTCTTGGATGGTTCGCCTCCCCAGGTTTGGGGATGATGGTGCTCACAAGTTCACGACTCACCATATTGGGTAGTCTGGGTTTCAAAGTACAGCAACAACATCAGGTTTGCCCGTATAACCTTCACACAAGTCCCCACCACTCGCTGCTCCAGTGTATGACCAACCGCGTCCTCAGGAGACGACGCGTCACGCGGACCCTTTATCTGTTTCCCCTGACAACCATCCGTCGTGCAAGCTGTTCGTCATGTTAGCCTTTCCATGTTATTGTAAAACAATAGAAGCAAGGATATCCCGATAGCGGCCACACATGGACCTAGACTGACCTGCCGGGCAGCCGAACCGGTTGTCAACCTGGAAGGATATCGTAGTTAAGTGACTAAGGTAGGTATAATACATTGTATAATACATTGTGTACGTCTACGCAGTTCGTAACCCTCGTGGCCTACGCGTGTCATGGTATTTGCCACCTCCTCTCCCCGCAGTTCCCCTACCGTTGGACCCGAGACCGTTCGAACTTCAGTTGCTGCCCCACGAACATGGTTCTATCTACAATGCAACTCTACGCTGTTGGCAAGCGCCTGTCGCACTTGTGGACCTTGGGGAGCCACTTCTTGCGTTACGAGTACACTGTCTGGAGCTTCGCCAGAGGTCTGGTATCATGTCTGGCGTGTTTCTGCAGATGCGGATACGTAGGTGGCCGTCAGCAGTAAGGTATCTACTACTAGTACTAGTATCGTTGCCAGAGACCGGGTACCTTCAAGACCTACAACATTACGACTTGGGGGGATAAAAGAGAGGATGAGCAGACGATGAGAAATTTTCGATATAGGTCACTCATATACAGATGGGGCACGACCCAACTTCGTGAGGCTCAGAAAGGGACTGCGGAAGTGCAGGACGGGCTACACTTACTGGCTTGTCGTCAAGAGTTACGGGGGCTACCATATACGGTGAAGAGAGGGACGAGATGTCAGCCCGGCGTTGCTTTTCTTTTTGTTTGGCCCGACTTTGAGAAGAGGATTTCCATCTTATGTGCTGACGCTGGTTGTTCCAAGTACATGTACCGGTATCTTACCTATGACTGAGGCTTGTAGCCTGAGTTTATGAGCTGTAGCGGTGTTCCGTGCCAGAGTCGCAAAGACGGGAGTATAGGTGGTATACTGGTACTTGTACCTACCTATGGTAATGGTGTTCCCTACTGTCTGGGCCCCCTATTCTCTCCTCGAAGCTTACGGTAAAGACCGACAGGCCTGTTTTAAGGGGCCACGGGGTGTCTCTTTTAGAGAGAGCGTAGAGCCGGTAGATGTTGACTTCAAGCAAAGGCAAACGCTATTAACCTCAAGCAGATGTAGGCTGCCGAGAAAGTGCAATAGCTGGCCTATCAAACATGACATTTCCTTGACGAATGCTTCTACTTGAAGATGGTCCGCTTGGAGGGAGAACGTGAACGCTCAAGCCCTGCACCAGCCTAGTGGACACCTCGAAGCCGATGATGCCGATCAGCGAGGAATACGACATCGTTTGCATCCCTGACTGTAATGTGGGCTCCGGCTTCATCAAGCGGGAGGCTTTGTTGGACGGCTGTTGGTACATTTTGACTATATACACATTACTCTTTCATACGACCATATCAGTCTTTCAACGCATTCGGCCTTATAGGAAGTAACCTATCCAGTGCCCGCCCCTGATCCAAGGCCCAGCCTCCCGACACATCTATTTTGTAGGTCTGATTACCCAACCTGATCTTGGCGAATCCCTCCCGGTTGAACGACCGCACAACGCCGTCCCACGCGCCGCGGAACGCTTTCGCAGCGTCCCGGAACGGCGCCGTCAGGATGTGGTCCATGGTCTCTTTCCGGGCAAGGGCTTTGGCCTCGCGCGCGGCCCGTTCCGCACGCACCCTCTCCACCATGCTCAACGGCCTCTGCGCCGCAGCGTCGTGGCCGAGCATGCCGAACACGCCGTACATGCGGAACGGCAACTGCACCTCGTGCGGCGGCAGGACCGTCTTCCGGGACGGGAGGAAGGGCACTATCCGACGCATGGCCACCTCGATGTAGATCGGGCTGGTTTCCTGGCCCGCGTGTTGTTTGGCGATCGCGGCAAGCTTGTTCGTGACGGACGCGGCAGGCACGGCCTCGATGGAGCGCACGATGCGGCCGGTGCCCATGATGAAGTAGGCGCCCATGCTGGCCATGAAGACGCACACGAGCCCCATGGCGTGCGGGATCCACCAGCTGAGCCCCTCGTGCGGGGAAAGGTAGATGTCCCAGTATTGGTAGACGGTGTACGAGATGCAGAAGGCGCCCGAGGCGTACGAGCTGACGCGGTACCAAAAGTGCGAGGGCGCTTCGTAGAGCAGCGTGCGCCCTTTGAGGGCCAATTGTTCGGCGTACGAGGGCGGCCGGACGGCGGTTCGCGCTGCCCCGGGATTGACGACGGGTGTGGGTGTGGGTGTGGGTGTTGGTTTGGCGGGAGCATTCTTGAGGAGTTTTGGCGTGGAGGGTTTGGGAGCCCCTTTTGCTGCTCTCGGCGCGGCCTGTTGGAATAGTCGGGACGATGAGGAGAAGTGGACGCGAAGAACGGGTTGTGCTTGTAGTACGGCCCGCTCACACGTGGCTGGCGGACGTGCAAGGAGCAGAAAGCCCTGTCTTGATCGACGGAAGAGGAAAGCCATCTTGACTCTGGAATAGCCTGGCGCTCTGTCTGGATGGAAATGACTAGGTAGTCAGCACAAACTTTGATACCAAGCCTCTGACTAGACACAATTGTGAGTTGTATGTACAAGTACACCTGTTTCATACCTTGAGAAACTGCCAACGCTATTCCCGCAAACTGAGCCGCCGGTCAATGGGCTCCCCAGGTCCCGTCTGGTCCCGTTTGCGGGGCCGAATCGGTGGTCTGTTCCGGCGCAATGTTTGCGAAAGTTGAAGGTCTTGGCGGTCGTTCACCGGAACACCGGTCAACTTCCGATTGACAGGGTCCGCAGGCATGGGGCCCACTGATGTCAAAAGCTGGACCGTGATTTTAAAGTGGTGGCCCGAGCTCTTCTTGGCTTCCCAACAATCTCGACCACCGGCGACAGGCGCTAACTTAGTCGACGTTAAAGCACCGAAAAAAGAAGAGGTCCGTCCTAGAAGCGAGCGACATCGCATCTCAACCTGGAATCTCATCAATTGAGTTCCACACGCTCGTGGCCGCCACCATGGCATCCTTTGCTGCAGCATGCCGTCTTTCTGCGCGGCTCGCGACGCGCAAGTTGCAACAGGAAGCTGCAGTTCGAGGTCAGTTCCCAGATCTTCCGCTGTCGGAGCCAAAAAGTCCGCAAGCTCACAGCTGTCTTCCTTCCATGACATAGGCTACCGGACATCGGCCGTCGCTCTGGCCGCCCAAAACTTCTCCATGCCCGCTCTGTCCCCGACAATGACCGAGGGCAACATTGCAACCTGGCGGGTCAAGGAGGGCGACAAGTTCTCCGCCGGCGATGTGCTCCTCGAAATCGAGACGGACAAGGCGACGATGGATGTAGAGGCCCAGGATGATGGCATCCTAATGAAGATCATGAAGGGCGACGGCAGCAAGGCCGTTCAGGTCGGCACGCGGATAGCCGTCATTGCCGAAGAGGGCGACGATATCAGCTCGCTAGAAATCCCACCAGAGGAGAACATCCAGGCAGTGAAAGCTGCCGAGGCCCCCGCTGTGTACACTCCGTCCGCACCCGAGCCGGAATCCGCACCATCTCCACCCCCGCAGCCTCGAACGGTCACTCCCAAACCCGGGCCAAAAACCTCAGGCCGGACTTACCCCATGCTTCCCTCCGTGGCCCATCTCATCAAGGAGAACGGCCTGGATGAGTCCGTCATCAAGAATATCACGCCGACCGGACCAAACGGGCGTCTCCTCAAAGGTGATGTTCTGGCATACCTGGGCAAGATCAACTCCCAGACTCCCTCCGAAGTCTCCTCACGCTTCGAGAAGGCGTCGCACCTCGACCTGAGCAATATCAAGGTCGCTAAGGCAGCGGAAGCGAAAAAGCCTGCTGTCGAAGCCGCCCCCGCCGTCCAGGCTCCTCCTGCCCCAGTCAAGTCACTCGTGACGCTCCCTGTATCGCTATCCGCCGTCATCGAAGCGCAAGAGAAGATTCAAAGGTCTCTCGGCGTATTCCTCCCTCTGTCAACTTTCATCGCCCGCGCCAGCGAGGTCGCAAACGACGAGCTTCCCCTCCCGGCAGGCTATCAGCCCACAACGGACGAGCTGTTCAACCAGGTTTTGGGCCTGGACAAGATCTCTGGCCCCAAGGCCTCGCGAGGCTCGTACATTCCACAGATTGCCACCTTCCCGCCGGCTTCCACGCTGTCCCGACCAACCCAGAAAAAGGTGGACATTATCGACCTATTGACCGCGTCCAAGCCGAAATCGGCACAGCCATCGGTCAAGAAGACGCCAGTGCTCCCCGGTGCCTCTACAGGGCCGAACATCTTTAGTCTGCAGGTGCCCAAGGCTGAGGAGAGGAGGGCACAGGTCTTCCTGGAGAGAATCAAGCTGGTCCTCGAAAACGAGCCTGGAAGGCTGGTGCTTTGACGTTAATGATGTGTGTATAAAGGGTATTCAGTTGTAGGCAGCATAGATTTCGGTTTGGCTTTTAAATTGCGATGGCGAATTCTGCTGTATGAGGCTCCCAAGTACTCGCCTGGAACGGGGTTGGCGTCTACAGATCGTTTTGGATATTTCATCGCAATCTACTGTACAGCCAGAGCTCCAACGACATCAATCCCCTCCATTATCTGCTTTTCCAGTCCACCTTATAACGTCCGGGTTCACAAGAGGGATGGAGAACGCGGACGCATCAACAAGCAGTCATGGTGAAATTGTCTCTCCCTACTCCCGGAACAGAATGCTGTCCGCCTCCCACCAGGGGAGTGGTAGAAACAACGCAGCCAACCAGTCTTCCCTTGCGGAAAAAAACAGCGCTATCGCCGCCCTGAGTACTCAGAAAGGAGAGCAGTAACAGTACAAGATCCCGTCATGTCAAAGAAACAACCTCCCTAGCTCACCTGTCACCCATTCACACCTCGCAAATCTCGTCTTCCTCCCAACCCTCCCAGGCTTTAAAAGCCCCGTCATAGCCATTCGGCCTCGCGGTCCTCACATGCCCAACACTCAGCCCCTCAATCTGCACCGGCTCGCTCGGCCACCTCACGATCCCCTTGAACCCTTCGCTCCATGCTTCTCGCATCATCCCCTTTCCTTCAAACAAGTACGGGACGGCACGCCGCACGCTCGCCAGCGCACGCTTCCCGACCTCGTCCACAGAGTCGCTATGCCTCAGGGCAAAGAAGTTCCCCTCGTCATCCCCATCCTTATCCGCGTCGTGACCACCACCACCAAACACCGACCTCAACCGAGCCTGCTCCTCGGCGGGGAGCAGACCCAGCCCCATGACAAAACAGTCGTACTGACACAGGCTAGTCCGACACACCCACGACCCTCCCCTCGTGGCGCGGTGGTGCAGCCCCGTAAGGGCGGCCACGCAGCCCAGCGCGCCCGTGCCGTAGTCGGACATGGGGAAAGGGGGGACGACGGGCTCGTCCAACCCCATGAAGGCGCCCTGCGCCCAAGCGACGCCCGTGACGCAGTCGGCTATCTGCTGCCACCCGGCCCGGGATGCCCATTCCGCGGCTGCAGTTTCTTTCTCTTCTTCCTCTCTGTTTCCGTTGTCGTTTTCGTTATCACGAGCAATGTCGTCACTTCCGCCAAAACAGTCTTCCACGACATAGACATACCCCTTTCCGCGCTCCCGAGCGATCCGCCCGAGGACATCCGGCCCGTACCCCAACCGCGCCAGCGCGCCGGGGCGGTACCCATCGATGAGCACGTCGGCGTCGCGCAGTAGCGCGGCAAACACGGCCCTGTCCCTCTCCCTTCTCGCCCTCTCCTCCCTGTTTCTGTCCCCCTCCGCGTCCGCTGTCGTGGCGGGTGATGGTGGTGCCAAGTCCAGGTGAATGGCGTGCTTGCCCGTGTTGACGTCGAGCTGGAAAAAGGGCACATCCGGCAAATGCGGGCACGTCACCTTGAGCACGGTGGCGCCGTGGGCGGCTAGCGACCGCCCGATGGTCGGGCCCGCGATGATCCGGCACAGCTCGAGAACTTTGACGCCCTCCAGCGCGCCACGGGGCTTCCCGGTTGGGTTTTGGCCCGGGGGGAAGGCGGCGGGCGGGCTTGAGGTGTCGGAGGGGTTTGGGCGGACGGTCAAGGGGGGTAGCCGGCCAAGGACACGCCCGTGAGGGGTTTTTTGGAACTGTTCCCACGTCAAGGCCTGGATGCCGGCTTGGCGGTGAGACAGGTTGAGATCGTCCAGCTCGGCGGCCGTGTGCTTCATGACGGCGCCCTCGATGTAGTCAATGATGGCACGGTAATCGGTTAGGTCGGGATTGTGCTTGGGCAGGCCGAGCATCTGGAGAGTCACGTCGGCGTCGAGGGAGCCATGGATGTGGTAGTACTCGCCCGGGTTCTTGGTGCGGTATAGATTGGCTGACATCCGCCGGTACAGCACTGATTGTGCCTGGTTCAAGTCGGTATCTGAAATCCGGGGTCAGTACGTGCGGATTTTGGGGTTTGGGTTGCCGCTGCTTGTTTTTCTTACCCGGTATCTTATCCCTGATTGCCGGATCTGCCTTGTCCATGCCGTCGAGCGTTGTAAGGTAGGCGGACATCAAGAAGGTCGATACCTTGTCGGTGTCAACCTGAAGCTTCCTGCTCGTAGGTCCGAACCGGAGATCAGCTATGGCGGCAGCCAGACAAGCCTCGAGAGCCTTGATGGCTGCTGTGGCATCCTGCTCTTTGAAGGGGGTGGGAAAGTGCACTTCGTCTCCTTTTCCCGAGCCGGAAACGATGCTAGCATTTTTGGCGAGGGGGAAGACGGCCCGCGGGAGCTCAGTCTGGCAGAGCTCGCAGAGGCGTCTGAGAGCCTCCTTGGTTCCATGGACCACAGAATATGGCCCTGGTTTCGGCCGGAGCTGAGAGACGGGCTTGGAGTCCATTCCGAACTTCTGGGTACTCCGCCAGCGGCGAATCGCTGAGAGTAGAAGATCACCTTGGTGCGAGACATGGCCGATCCGCTCACCATGCAACGGCCTTTTATGAATCGTGTCACTCCAGCTCCAAGCTGGGAGGGAAGTGGTGGAAGTCATGATTGTTTCCGGGGTGTCTCCACCTTGTAGAGCTCCAAACGCTCTACACAGCCGATGCCGTTTGATTCTAGAGGAGGAAAATCAGGTAACCGCCTCATACTATCAGACTGGCGAGCTACGGGATATAAATACATGTCGTCTGGAGGTTTGGTAAACAAACTTGTCTATGCGTCCTTTACCTGACATCCTAGTGAGACCCGCAACGCTGGACACGGGTAAAAGGAGCCAATGCCATATCCTGCAATGTGTGAGCACGGAAAGAAGCAACGGTAACCGGCAACACTTAGGTATGGTGGCGGCGTCTCCTCGGCTCCCCACAAAACGGGGTAACATACTCAAAGCGGCAGAGGCTTCAGTAAGGGAAGGGGCACGGCAACCCTGTGATCTCCTACCTATCCCGAGCGTCTCCATGGTCAGCCGGGCCCGAGGGCGTGGGCGAGGCATGCCAGGTTCCATGTCTGACACCACGTGCGCCCCCAAGGCTGCTCCACAGGGGAGCCAGGAAAGGCAATGGCTCGGCCCGGCAAAGCTCTGGTCTCGGGAGCTGGTAGTCCGGCGGCTCCGTGACGTTCTATTCCGGAACGGGTCAGCGTTGGACAGGCGTACAGCACGGTGAAAATAAGATCACGAGTTGATCAAAAACGAGATCCGACATGGTAGCGGCAGTTGAATCCGGGATTGAAGTTGTTCAGGAGCTGAGAACTCGAGAGGCTGTGACGGTTACACAAGCCGTGTCATGAATGTTGCAGGGACCTGTACGAAGCAGTATGTCCTCCAGATACACTGGCGCGGATCTCTTTCACCCCAAAGTCTGTGGGGTTAACGCTGTCGAATGACGATCCTGGGGAAGGGCTGTAAGTGCGGGGGGCGCATCCCTTCCCGATTTTGACCCCATCCGTCGTACAATCTTTCAGCCGAGGCAGGACATCGGGATGAGCTAGAGGTGCATGCTCTTTCGTACGTACTTGGTCGCGAGCGAGGCAATGCAGGTAACTAGATGGCGATCAATCAGTCAATCGGCTGGTAGGTATGAATTCCTGTAATGGACTGTGGTTATAAGACTGGGTGGGCCGACCAGTGCCCAATGTTCCACGAGGAAGAATTAATAGCTTGCGTTGCAGCGAGGGCTTTTCAGCCTTGCCGTCTGTCCTTTGTGCTTTTGGGCTCAGAAGTACCGAGACAAACAGTCTGCCTCGAGTTCTTTTCACCCGAGTTCTTTTCAACATTCCCCATATTGCATCTCCCGGCCTGCCATCCCTTGAAAGCGGGCCCGGGAACCATGGGGTGCTGCCGCTGGCCGCGGTTGACGTCTTTCCTGACCAATGCCGGCTGGCCAACGGGCTATCCCGTTTGCCTGGCTCCGTGGTTCCCCATCATTGCTGCTAGTCAGTGTGCCATTCGGCCACCCACTTCTTCCTCCCAACTCGTGGGGGATGTTGAAGAATCCGTCAATAAATCACGCGCCCAAAGGCTGACGTTCTGGGTGGTCCCTTCCGCTGACGCTGCGCTGCAGGGATTGGGGAAGGGCAGTGCGAAACTGCGAACAGGCGAACCAGGACGTGTGGGGCAGACCTCCACTTTCCCCACTTGTTTTGGGAGCTCCCTTCCGGGCCGTTCTTGCAGATTTGTTCGAACAACGGGCGGGCGGGCGGGACCAGCTCCGCTAAAAGAGAAAATTGGGGCCTACATCTCGCATCTCTAGCGCATCTCTAGCGCTGGGCTAGGTGCGCTATCCGATGCTCGAGGGGGCCAGTTGACGTCCGCTTTCAGCGGGGGAAGCCGTTGTGTAGTGCACTGCGCTTACGGTCACTCTTAACCCTGCGTTGACAGCCCCCTAAAATCACTTTTGACATGCATGACAGCTCCATCAGTTCCTTCCATTTCGCTCACAACTGACCTTTCCCTGAACGTATTGAGATGTCAACCTAACTCGGCCAGACACATGGAGCAACTCAACCTCCCGCACCTTCGAACTGGGCCCCACCTGCAGCAGCCTGAAATGAGGTTGGGATTTGAGCGCCAGTGTGTACTACACACCTTCCCCTCCTCTCCTTCCCTCAACACGAACGCCGCCAGAGCAAGCCCGCCCCTCTGATGGCCCAATGCCCGCTCATACAAACTGATAGTCACCATCAGTCACATAATTTGGGCCACAGGACTCGGCGTGTGTGTCTGCGTGTGTCTGCGACTCTTGAGTGTCTCTGCGTGTGGTACTTAGTCGATCCTGTGTAAGACTTGCTAGGCTCGACTCTCATTGCTCCCTTCTCACCCATCCATTTGCCACACCATCTTTCCAATGCAGCAGCGGGGAACTGCCTGAGCTGGTATTTTCCAGTGTTATTCAAGTACCCGAAGTCCACGTGCTCGCACAGCGAGGCTCAACGCAAAGCGCGGCTAAGCCTGCCAGTCGCTAGGTACGTAGGCAGTTATCATGCATTGGTGAGCAGATCTTGGGTAGGTTTGGGCGCGAAAAGCAACATGTCCGCACGGCCCATTATTATCCAAAGTGCCAACATCCAAACAACCAGCAGGGGTGGTTTCTATTAGAGCCGTCGACCCGTCGTCCACGTTCATGGGCGCTTTGAGTTTGGGGAGTGTCTTTCCGACCCCACGATCGTCCTACTTCTCTGAGGCCGTCTTTGGGATCTTCCCGACGGTGATTTCGGTCCTCCCCTTGGCAACTAGTGTATTTCGGAGCCCAACCCCAGCGATAATCCCTCCAATTCTTACCTGACTGGCATAACGTTGGCTTCCGGCCCATTGCGTACGCTGACAAGCGTTCTCTACCGCGCGATACAGCTACGCTGAGCTGAGCTGACCGGGCTTTACTACCTCAGGTTTTGAGTTCCGACTGATCTACTTTTCCGTCCAGAATCACAGTGCGGCACAGCTGTTCGTGCCACCAGTACGCTCCCGCTGCGGGAACCGAACTTGAGCAACCTTGGCTTGACCTCTACAAAGGGTAAAAGAAAAGAAAAGGAAAAAAAGAAAAGGAGTTACGATTTGCCAGGAGACCACTGCCGACTCCGAGCTACATAGCACATACCGAACTTTACCTACACTCCTACTACGAACACCTTCCGACAAACTCGATGCCCTTTGCCGGACTGCTGCCGACGTAGCCTGTCTCGTGCATCATCCGCTCCGCCAGGACCAACCCCCACCGGCGCCGCTTCCGATCGCACTAAGGACCCCGTCCCCGTCTCGCTCTTTGACTCCAGCTGGCTGCACGTCGCACTCGCGGCTGCCATCTCGACCTACTGAGGAGAGTCTGCTACCCGATGGCGGGGCGCCCAGGCGCGTCTCCCACGCATCCCACAGCTCTTCGTCTTCTCCACCATGACGCGACCTAAGGTCCCCGACGACAAGCGCCAGCGCACTGCTCAGGCTTGTGATTCTTGCAAGCGCCGGAAGCAAAAGGTTGGTTGTTGACTGATTTACTTATTCATGACCTTTTCTTTATTTCCCAGTGTCGTGTGGGGTACAGTACCTTTGCCTAGGATTCCCTCCTTGAATGGAGACACAGTGTCTGCTCTGAAATCACGAAGTCTACCTAGTTTACCCCCCTCCCTCCCGGCTTTTTACAACTGGCTGGCATCCAGGGCTCAGAAGAGTCTACACTAAATAGACCTGCTCTCGTCTGTTCTGTGTCTCGGCTGCTGCTCGCCGTCCCTCGACCCTTTTTTCCCATTTAGACCCAACATTTTCTATCCGTCGGGATACACATCGCTCTTTAAATCCCTCATCGTTGCTCAAAGGAAAAATGCCTGTCTTGAGCAGGGGCGCCCAGTCGGCGTCGTGCTCACTTCCTCGCTACGGAGCACAAGGCGGCAGGGGAGGGGAAAATAAGGGCAGACCTGATTGAGTGACACAGGTTGTGTGGCCTGCTGTGCTTCCGCCTGACCTCTCAGCCCTGGCTCGAGGGCAGGTTTGCGGTAGATCTCTGGCTTCACTACCCGTTGCATACCGCATCTTCATCGGTGCTCTCGACCGAGCTCGAGTCCTCCGCGATTCGGATCCCGATGGCCTGCATCACAGCTGATATTTCTCCAGTGCAATGGCTTGAAACCCTGCCACACCTGCCTCAGGAGGAAGTTGACATGTTGCTACACGCCAAACAACCCGGCCGACCATGCTGCCGAAGACGCTGCTAGCTCACCGACCAAGCGGCGACACATCGACACGTCTCCGTCGTCTGTTCCCGCAGTGCCTGATGCCTCTGAGACCCTATCTCCCCAGTCTCGCGAGCCAATGCAAGCCTGGGACGAGGTCGGAAAAAGCGAAGGGCAGCCGGGAGATTCATTGATGTCTGGAATGACAGGGCCGCTGCCGCCGGACCTAGCCTCCCAGGAACAAGCCCGCGACGTGCCGTTCCACAGTCTTAGAAGGTTGCCGAACCGTGGCAATGGCAATGGGTTATCGGAAGAGACCACCATCTATACTGAGACCAGGATGTTGCAGGATCAAACTCGGCGGCTCCGTATGTGTCCATGTCTGAGTTTGAGAGCAAATGTGTCGGGGCTCGTCTGACTTCGCTTTCGCAGTGTACATCGGGGACGCATCTACCTTGTCGATCTTGCAGTTGATTCGCATCATTGTCGAGAACACTGCTGGATCCGAGATGGGCCATCCGTTCATCGATGATCCTAATCGGCACCGTATCATGGAGCCCATAATAGACTTCCCCGAAAACACCCGAATTCCCTGCCCTCTTCCGGACGAAGATACCGCTGGCATCCTCATAGACTCATATTTCACTAACGTCAGTCAGGTGCGCCCATTGAGTTTATGGATGGCTGCTGACAGTCCGTCTAGACCTGTGGTCTTGTCGAGATTTTCGATAAGCAAGAATTCCTCCAGTCGGTCGATTTGTGCTACAGGGATCCGCCATCATCAGACCGGTACTTCCTATGCCACTTGTTTTTGGTCCTCGCTCTTGGTCTGTTACTGGCTGCTCCGCCACCTGGCAGCCCGGAAGAGGCAGTGATACAAAAGCAGCTCTCAGCCAAACCAGACAGGGCAGAGCTGTTCTTCCGAAGCGCCAGATCCATGTGCGATCCGGGTGCCGGCTTTGAGGATGCCGACTTCTGGTCGATACAGGCGCTTTCACTGATGACCATCTACATGCTAGTAGTGTCCAAGAGGAATACGGCATACGCATACCTAGGTTTGTTCTCTCGGCCTCCACCGCTCCTAACACTGATAGTAACCATGTATTAGGGATGGCTGTCCGCTCTGCCTATGCATTGGGCTTGCACAGGGAAGAGACTATGTGCGAGGTTATTTACACGCCCGTTCAAATGCGAGTCAGGCGGAATCTGTGGAAGACCTTATTTGTTCTAGATCGGTTTCTGGCCGCAACCCTCGGTAGACCGACTGCGATTTCCGAAGACGACTGCTCGTGCATCATCATACCGGATGCGAGTGCGACTAACTTGCAGGCTGCAGGCGAAGCAGAGCCCGACCACATCCATATCAGCAGCCTAAACGCTTGCGTCGCCACCAGCCGTGTCATTGGTGTGACGCTAAAGGTGTTCTCACGGAGAAAAATCTCAACCGCAAAGGTCCAGGAGATCATTGATATGTCCGGCGACTGGGACCAAGCCTCACGCCTGACATTATACCGGCGACAGTCAGCTGGTGGTCCAGCGGATCCAGCCTACGGCATAGCATCCCTCCACGTGAACCTCCTCTCGTTGCATTCTTTGATACTCCTCACCCGGCAGCTCTTTGTGATGCACAACTGGAAGCTAGTAGAGCAGCGGTCAGGAATCAAGAAGCACTCTCCGATCCGCGAGTCGCCTATGGCCAGATTTTCAGAAGCTTGTGTCGTTGCTTCCTACCGGACGATCAAGCTTGTCCAGAGCGCTCGAGAGGACGGCTACCTGCCCCGCCGAAACCCGTTCATCATGTAAGTGTTGGATGATGCCCTCGTCCGATCGCTTTCTAGGCACCTGCGGAATTTGAACGGTCCTAACCTCGGCTAGATACTTCATTTTCGCCGCGAGCCTCGTCATCCTCATGAACCAATTCTCGTCGCTGTACTCCACTAGAGAATATGAGCATACCATGTCCAATGCCATCGACATCATGAAATACTGTGCTGAGATTGACCCACAAGCACAACGGGTCCTCGACATCATGGAGAGATTTGCGGAGACCGTTAGGAAATGGACCAAGAACCACACATACGAGGCGCCCGAGCTTTCGGGGGATCTAAGCTGCCTCAACACCCAGGCTTCCACCACTCGGCCTCCTCCTGATCGTTCAGTGCTAGGGTCTTCAATGCCGGGCGTTTCAGGAGGACAAGGACCTTCCCATCAAGTTAACTTAGCGGACCGAGGGTTGCTGACTCCGCCAACAATACCGAAGGTACCACTCCTCCAGATGCTGTCTACCCAGCCACCGACGGCCGTGTCGGACGCACAAATGAATGCAATGTCGCCACAGCAAACGACTGTCCCCCCTCTATCCCTCGTCGGGTCGCGGCCGAGCGTGTCCGCTCATTCCTCGATTGAAGGCTCGGAATCACTAAACGGAAATATCGAGTTTGAATTTGACCGTTTATGGAACAGCTTCATCAACCACCTTCCGCCCGTCTCCACGGTCGCACCGGGTATTAATCCTGTTGCGCCCCAGTTCCCCCCAGCAGTGGTTGGTCCGCCGACTGAGCCTTTCGGTGCGTACTCGATTCCTACGGAACCGCGGATGCCTCCTCCGACCCGGTTTGCCGGTAATCCCCCGCTGTTCCTCTCAAACTTTGGCTGATATTTAGGGGCTCGCTTCAAGACAAGCCAGGTTTTTAGAGGAATTCTTCCGTTGTTTCCCCGCGTCTTTTGTTGCGAATTGCATAGCTCGGAGCATTGGACTTAGCCAGGACCGAACCCGAGCGGCAGCACCGGGATATCTGGGACTTTCCCCACGACGAAGACTCGCAATCAATATGGTCAAAGGCAACGAGATGCAATGGTTGAAAGCCCAACTCTGGTCAGTGGATACCGCATGCTTACGCGAATGGGGGCGAATGGCACACCGCTCGTGATAGCAGCGGTTTCCTGATTCCGAGCAGAAAACAGTCGCATGACCGTCATGGCGTGGCACGATTGCATTACAAGCGTGGGCTCGGAGCAGACATGTACATTGTTGATCGGACCCGACGACACGCCTAGCAACCTGATCGACATTTCTGCTAAGCTTTACGTCTTGTGCTTGCCTACTCCTCACAACGCAATTTCAACCACATGGAAGGGTGTGCTCCTTCAAGAGGCCTCTACATGCCAGCCTTGAGCTCATCAGATTCACTCTCGACCAAGGACAAAATCGTACTCAAGTGTCCAACGCGCAGTCCTGTCCCCATCCCTCGGTACGAATTTGACTACCAGTTCGTCTTTGACAGCGAATACAGCATCTTTTGCAATGTACTCATCCCGATCGTCATATAACTGCGTCGTCAAGGCCCGAAAGCCGTGTGCCGATACAATAAAGTGGATGTGGCCCGGCCGATATGGATGTCGGTCTAACAGGCGCAAAAACCTTCCGGCGGGACCGTCGTCTGGAATCGGATATGGGACCGGCCGAAGCGCATAAAAGGCATAGTGGCCATCAGCATCTGTCGCGAAACGACCGCGGAGATTCATTTCTGGTTGCGACTCGTCTTGCTGCTCATATAAACCGTTGGGCGCCGACTGCCAAACCTCCACGATTGCCCCCTGAATTGGGGCACCCGAGCTCGACAAGACTCGGCCTGTAATATAGGCCGAGTCCGCCATGGCTTGCTCATACCACGAGTCTGATGGGTCGAGCTTCTGAATGATGGAACTGCCGTTCGGCAACAGGGGTGAATCGTGCCGATAGAATGGGCCGAGGATGGCCGAGGGAGTCTCCAAGCTAGAGGTCGCCAGCATCTTGGACGTGATTTCGTCAACAAGGCTTTCAAGTCCTACAATGTCGCACAGGAGTTGGGTTTCGTTGCGCCGATCGTTGGATATCTTACCGCACTCGTTGATCTGCGTTACAGCAAGGCACAGTCAGCCCTGAACTTCCGAGCACCCCTGACGGCTAAAAGGAGCATCTCTAACAAATTCAACGGCGGTCATCCACTCTGCAACCGTCAGGTTCACTTCGCGGGCGAATCCGTGGAGATGGCGTATCAGGCTCGGCATTATTTCGGCCAGCCGCGGATGAGCTTCTGGCCCGGTGGCTGCGATGACCTTGTCGGTGAAGGCCTGGCTGTGTTGTGGCTTGTTAGATACGCCATTTCTCTTGAGCCCCTTTAGCCCGGCAGGTGTCAGGTCTGGTATCATCTGCCCCATTTTCACCGGGAGTGGTTTCGAAGCTCGAGATCTTGAGGAATATGTGAGCCGAAAGAATCACTGTTGCGGGCAACAAAGGGATGAGCTAGAGGGTAGAGGAGCAGGGAACCGGTGGCTTCAAGTATCTGCAGACAGGAGCAGTGGGATGGGACGGTTTCTCGACCATGCAGCCTTTGTACGTTGTCGGGACAGCACACAAAGAGGACGGCCCACCTCAAACGAGCGACGTGGAAAGTTGGTTGCCCTACGACACGCATCAAGGAACAGCAAATCCGATTCGGTCAAGCTCAACGTGGTGCGAGGGGAAATCAGCCTGCGCCCGGATACGTCCGGCATTTGGTGCATGCCACCCGGTCATACCGCTTGTGCTGTACGCAGACGCAAGGGGCCGTGGGTCGACGTCAACGTGCCCCGATAAGCATGATGACCGGTGTGTGACGCAGGCCTGCAAGGTCCGACCGGCACCGCTGGATAGCAGAGATCCCGTGCGAGGACAACGTATGCGAGCCGGGAATGGCTGACAATTACGACCAGGGGCAGAAAACCATCGATCTCGCGCGAGTGCGGAGTTTCGCTTGACCTCGCTCTGTCAGCTGGGGAGAATACGATAGCTTCCATTTACTTACCGCGACCTAGAAATCAACGGCTCGCTGCACCTGGAGAGGGGAATCGCAAATGTGCATCGCAGGCTAGACCTTCACAGAACTGTGGGCAGGCCATCGAGGAGGAATGGTTGCAGCAGAGCTGGACATCAATCAGAATGTCAGTATCCCTGCTAGTGCAACCCTAACACGCCGCTGACCGCCTGCCAGTTGCTCGTTTCTTGGGGCCGGACCACCTGCAGGACCGCTGATCGCTCAGTGGCTGGGTTGTTCTTTCGAATTCACGGCTTGGAACCGATGGCACGGATTCGTTGAGGTTCTGGCTGCGTGACAGCCGCATCTGCATTGCATCGAGGGCTGGGCTGTGTTTGGACTATTGTGGGCAATCGAAGAGTTTGGCTTCGATTTTTGCAATTGGCACAAGGCCTAAGACTGGCGGCCAGTCTAGGCTTCAGAGCTTGCGGTTGATTACATCCTCTTCGCTCGGAATCCTGTTGCGTCCACCAAGGGTATCATCCCTGCGGATTCCCATGTCAGCACCCCGACCCCGGAGATAGCTCATACGAAGGCTCGGCGGCCCCGATGTCGAGAGGATCTCACAGCTCACCAAACTCACATACCGCCAATCCTTACCGGTATTTGTACAGTACAGCACGCCGACCGCCTAATGCTGGATTTCCCATCAACAGAGCGCAATAGCATATACGATTTCCGCGTAACCCCCAAGCTCAGGACTGGAGCAGGAATTGATCTGTTCGTGGGAATGCCCTTGAGTCCCCCGCAGGTTGTTCTGATAGGCCCGCCTTGTCACCGTATTTCTTGGCACCCAAGACCTGTTGCCTTCGACGCCACCATCGAATGGATGAAACTCATGAGTCTTTTGGCGGTCAGCAAGTTGTATGGTAGACTAACCCCATCAACACGAAAGAAAGGCCAGGATTCTGATGTGGATTCAGCATGAGGTGGTTACTGATCGCAAAGCCCTACCCCTCCTGGATGTCCGTGTCTCCAATCGGAATCTGAATTCGCATCCCATGCATTGCAATCAATGGTTCAAAGACAGCGGCCGGGAGCGACTGGGGTGATACTGAAATTACGCATACCAAAGCCGCATTCTGATCAACGACTAAGAGACTTGGTCTTTTTCGTGTCGAGGGTGCTTTTCCGATACCCTCTCATACGGGACCGCATGAAGCGGGCCCCACCCACCCCCGGACCGACCGGCCGTGTCCGGCTTCGGCGGGGGGAGCGGTCAGACAGACAGACAGACAGACAGACAAACAGACGGAGACAGACGTTGGCTCCCGGACGACCTGTCCCCTGCTCGACTCTCGACCCCCTGGAAGAAGAAATAGTCAGTGCGTGTAAGTCGCACTGGGAATGGCGCACAACAAGCGACAGATGGCGCGTGGATGGCATTATCAATCGTATACTTTTTGTTTCCCTTTTCCCTCATTTCTCATTTCTCTTTTCAGCGCTACCTGGATTTGCATGGGGCATCTCACCCCTGCTGAGTCATGCTCATGGCTCAAGTGTTGGTGATGGTGTGGGGGCGAATGGGTTTGAGATTCTGAAAACATGTCTTGCTTCTTAGTACGATCAGGTTACACACGCGCAGGACGAATGGGATTTGGAGGCTGCATAACGGTTGGCGGCGGCAGGATCAGAAGTAGCGTTAATGTAATCTGGAATTGGGAATGTGTAATCTGTTGGGATTCGGTGGGATTCATCCGTCTATCTAGCATAGGTACATACATGAACATCAAGATGCATGGGACATATAAGAGCATCGAAGGCTTGCAAATTCCACGCATTTCCCAAATCCTTCATCTTCTTGTCCAATACAGACGCCAACTCGCCATGCTTATCACAAAGAAACGGTATAGCCAATATCAGAAGCTTGCGTGCACATCATACGATATGTGTATGTGCACCTATCTGCGCAATATGCACACCTAACTTACTACCGAGATCTACCAACTCGCCGGCCCAAAAGTTCCCCCATCGGGCAAGACACGCTGCACGGCCGTGCCCTTGTAATCCATTGTGCCCGTGACGATGTCGTTGCCCCACCACTGCGGCGGGCCGACCTCGCGGATGGTGAAGGCGAAGAAGATGACCATGGTGGCCAAGGCTAAACCCAGGTCAAGCCCCGACGAGGTGAGGAAGTTGAGGCGGCTCCACCAGCCAAAGTGACGGCGGCGGATGACGTGCTGGAAGATGTAGCCCACGATGCCCCACGACAGGTAGTTGAGGGGCGTGGCGGGCGGGATGCTGCCGGCGCCGCCAAAGATGACGGGCGCCATGAGGTAGCGCAGCCAAGACTTTGGCCGCCGCCGGGCGAGGAGGTAAATCACTGCCGGCGTGGCGGCGCCGAGGAAAAAGAAGATGAAGAGAGGGGAGTAGAGTTGCCCCGGGGAGAAGATGCGCGAGGGACCGATTAAACCCCATATTACGGATGCTTTTACCATGTTTTGGGTGTTTAGTTAGCGGGCATTTTCTGGTGGGTAGAGAAGAAACGAGTCAAAGCAGAGGGGGAGGTACCAGAGAAGAAGACGCGGCCGCCGGGGCAGGTAAAGTGCTCGGGCTGCGTGGGTTCGCAGATGCCGGGGATGTTCTTGAGCGCATAATCGAGGACCATGACTTGGACGAAGCAGGAGATGGTTGTGGCGACGACCTGTGCCATGAACATGGTCCGCGGCGGGATCTTCATATAGTGGCCGAATTTGAGGTCTGAGACGAAGGTGAGGGCTTGGGACATGGTGATGTACCCGAACGTCTTGAAGCTATACGGTGTCAGATGGGGTATTGGGAGAATCATGACCAGAACATGATGCTCACATCATGAGTGCCAGCGGCCTGCCGGGTTGGATGTACCCGTAGATGAACTCGGTCAGGACGTTCAACCCGATCTGGTTGTTGGTGACGGCCTGGATGATACCAATCGGGAGGGAAAAGGCGAAAGAAATGAATACGGCTAGTAAGAAAGCCCACCAGGTCATGTTCGTGGGCCAGGCGAGAACGGTTACGAAACCCATGCCGAGCATCTTTGCGTCTTGTGAGATAGCGAACACAGACAGACTTCGGGCGACGTACCACAACAAAAAGCGACAAGTACCACCAAGTAGGGGCCTCTTTATATCGCCTCATCAACTTCATGTGGATATCCGGCTTCTCGGTCGTGCTGCTCTTGTACTGCCGCCAGATGGTTTTGCCGTGGTGCAGGTACGTGTACACAACAAGCGAGGAGATAGCGGCAAAGGATAGACCGTATGACATGGCGAATGTCGTGCTACTCCTCGTTCAGAGAGAAACTCGGTGATCCGCCAATGGGCAACGTACCTCAGAAACAGAGGTGAGTAGTTCTTGTACGCCTCCTCATCGAGCGTATAGTCGGCCGACAGAACACGGGACACATTGTACTTGTTTCCTGTGTTGTCATACGTGCTAGAGTCGCTCATCGGTAGGTACTGGGCGTACCAGACTCCACTGTAATGGAGGACAGAGGTGAGAAATATGAAGAAAACCAGTACGCCAATCATCGTGTTAGCAATGGCGTGCCTGCAGGTATTAGTTCCTTGCTTTTAATTGTTGGTACCTCACATAGAGCCAAGGACAGCACATACCATGGCGGTATCAAGGGAGATCCCACGTAGCCCGAAATCTGTGTCCAGTCAAACGTAATGGGCAGCAGCGACAGGCCAGTCGAGTACCCAAAGAGTTGGTTTACTACGGGATTACTAGGCGCCATCCAGGTGATGAAGGCGAACGAGCTGAGAAACTGCGCCAGAAACCCAGGGATGAAGTAATAGACAAAGGACCCGAGCGTGACGAGGGCGAACCACCTGTACCGAGGCATTGAGCCGCCAAAAACGGACGGGTCCCTGTCCTCGTTGGTCTCATACATGGCGTTCATGAGCGACACATAGACAAGATTAGCGGGCCAGATCATGGCGGCAGGATAGACTGTGTGGCAGTCAGCAAGCCACCGGGAAAGGCTAAGCAAAATATTCAAGGCATGAGAATAATTACCCAGAAACCGCCTCATCATGCCAGCGATCCCATATCCCAAACTCTGCGTCGAAATGACGAGCAAAAGATCCCAGAGCAGGCCAAAATCCTGCTTGTAAAACACCTTTTGCGCCAGAATGATGTCTGTCGCGTATGCCACCGAAAACGAGACGCTGGCCATGACAACAACAATGGTGTGCTCCTTGACGTTGAAGGGACCAGGATTCAACTTGATCCTCCACCCCGCCCGCCGTTCCCTCCTAATCATCCCTTCTCCTTCCCCCTCCCGAGCGCTTCCCCCACCACCACGCTTACCACCACCACATCGCAACCAACCCAACGGGATAAAGACCTCCCGGTCCGGAACAAACCGCGCCCAGCCGTGGCCCAGCGGCCAGGCAATGACCTGGGCGATCAGCGAGCCCAGACTGATACTCGGCGCGCGCAGCGAGAACAGCGTGTTCATGGAGGCGCCGAGGAAGATGAGCGACAGGCCGATGGTCCAGGCGCGGAGCGTGTTGCACGGCAGGGTGGGGTCGTCGTGCGGATGCACGGCGGCGCGGACTTCGGGGTAGGGAGAGTCTTCTAGCTCCTCCTCCTCCTCCTCCTCCTCCTTTTCCCCAGCCCCAGCCCCGACCCCGGCCCCGGCGCCGTCGTCATCGGAGAAGGACAGGGTGGAGGCTGAAGACTTCCTCCGTGAGAGCGGGGCTAGAGGAATGGCGGCTTCATCGCTGTAGTGGTGGCCATGGTGGTCATGGTCGTGGATGGAGAGGGAGTGCCGTGGAAGGGCTTGGTGGCGTTGGTTGTAGTCCACTGGCAGGTTCGGGTCTAGGAGAAGCTCGGCTTCTGAGCTGGTGTCTGAGTGGTCTTCGTCGTCGTTGGGGCCATCCTCGTCGTCGTGGTGGCGGTTGTTGAAGAGCGATAGGCCGGTTTTCAGCTTGGCTAAGGGGTTCTCAAGGCCCAATGGGAAGGGGGTTTGTGAGTGCGCCGAACCGGAAGTCGATGGCCGGGATCTTGCTCTAGACGCTTCCCCGGATTGAGTTTCGGGCGGAGGTGAATCAGGCGTAACACCCGAATGTGCCGAATTTGAGGGTTGAGACATGGTTTGATGGCCCCCGTGAAGAAGAGGGCGGAGCGAGGCTCTATATCGGAATCATGAGTGAAAGATTAAAGCTCAGAACGACTTCTATCCCAGGAAACCATGAGTTTTGAAATGTAATTGAGAGTTCATCTATCCTCGGTGCATCTGGGGATTCTAAATTGTCGACAGAGAGCACTCCTTGGTGTCTGGAGCTCCTTCACTGGGCGCGACCGAATTGTCTGTCGAAGAAGGAACTGCCTAGGAGGGATATAAGTCGAGCTTTCCGACTGCTAATGTCTGCATCAGAAGTGTCTCAATCCAAAAAAAAAAAAAAAAAAGAGTTCTTTGTCAAAATTGGAAATATGGTGCATGCTCATGTCAATCGCTATGTTGTTATTCAGGTCTATTTCCGGCCAGCGTGGAAGTGACACCGGACATCTCTTTGTGTTTGGTTGTCCCCAGCCCAGCGGCGTCTCAAATCACCTCAGGCACCAGTCCTAGCCAAGATACAGGGGTCTGGGACAGCTATGCTACTGCTGTAATTAGCTGGCTTAGTGAGCTTGGGGTTAGCTGTCAGCTCTAACGTTACTTCACTGCTTCCTCCATAGCTGGATAACCAATCAAAACCCCAATCCTTCCTTGATTTGACAAGCTTCTGCAGCTGCAGCTGCAGACACAACTGGAACCTGGAAGTTACCTTCCCGCCTCTACTCGATCGCCGCCTTTGATAAAGGGAACCGCCCGCTTCCATCTGCAAATACCGTTACATCTCCTGCGACCACCCCACTTCCGCCGGAAGAGACACACAGAAGAAAAACCCCATGGCCCAGCAATGCGCCGCGTCGTCGTGACGGGCCTCGGGGCCATCACCCCGCTTGGCGTGGGCGTCCGGCCGACCTGGCGGCGCCTGCTGGCCTCCGAGTCCGGGCTGGTCAGCGTCGCCGACCGCGGTCGCGGCACCGTCGACGAGTCAAAATGGCGGGACCTGACCAGCACCGTAGCCGGCGTGGTGCCGACCGAGGCGTCATCGTCGTCATCCCTTGACTCTGACGACGGCGCCACGAATGTCTGGCGTCCCTCGGACTGGCTGCAGCCCTCGGATCAGCGCCGCATGTCCACTTTTGCCCAGTACGCGGTTGCGGCTGCTGAAATGGCGCTGCGAGATGCCGGCTGGAAGCCGACGCGAGCTGACGAGATGGATATGACGGGCGTGTGTCTGGGGAGCGGCATTGGGAATTTGCATGATTTCTATGCCACTAGTGTGGCGTTTGAACGAGATGTAGGCCTGCCCTCTTTCTTCCATTCTTGCTGCTCATGTCTTGATCCCTTTCCTTTCTTTTTTCCTTTTTTTTTTTTTTTTTTTGCTCCGCATCAATAAAGCAGGATGCAGGTTCGGGGGATGATCGCTGAGATGGTGGCTTGGTATGGCCCTCCGTGGTAATGTAGGGCTACAAGACGGTCTCGCCGCTCTTTGTTCCAAAGATCTTAATCAACCTTGCCGCTGGGCATATAGCCATGCGCCATGGATTTCGAGGCCCGAACCATGCCGCCACCACGGCCTGTACCACCGGCGCTCATTCCATCGGGGATGCTGCGCGCTTTATCGCGTTCGGCGACGCCGACGTCATGGTGGCCGGCGGGGCGGAATCCTGCATCCACCCGCTTACCTTTGCCGGGTTCGGCCGGTCCAGATCGTTAGCCACGGCCTATAACCATGATCCGCCGGCGAGTTGCCGCCCGTTTGATGCTGACCGCGCCGGCTTCGTGGTTGCCGAGGGTGCGGCCGTGGTCGTGCTCGAGGAGTTGGAGCATGCGAAACAGAGAGGTGCCAGGATATTGGCCGAGTTGAGGGGGTATGGGTGCAGCGGTGACGCGCATCACATGACGGCACCAAGGGAGGACGGGTCTGGCGCCCTGTCAGCCATGCGAAAAGCGCTGAGGAGTGCCGGCATCAAACCCAGCGAGGTCGACTACATCAATGCCCACGCTACAGGCACGCAAGTGGGAGATGTTGCCGAGGCCATGGCGATTAGATCACTGATGATGGGCGAGGAAGGGGTTGATGATGAGAGCATGGTCACGGTCAGCAGCACAAAGGGTGCTATTGGGCACCTCCTCGGGGCGGCCGGGGCTATCGAGGCTGTTTTTGCCATCCTTGCCATTACTGAAGTGAGATCCTCCTCGAAGCTTGTTCACATGGCTGCTAATAACTCTTCAGAATGCTGTTCCCCCCACCTTGAACCTGCGCAAGCCGGATGTGGGGGTTGGATTCAACTTTGTGCCGCTCCAGGCCCAAGCGAAGAAGGTTAAGGTGGCCATGTCCAACAGTTTCGGCTTCGGCGGGACCAACGCCTCGCTCGTCTTCTCTAGCCTGCAGTAGAAGCCGCTTTGGATGCGTCGACTAGGGGCAACGATTTACAGATGTGATGATAAAGTAGGATGTGCTAGATGGCGAGCTAGTACCGGGAAGACCGCGCAAGGATGCAGACCCTATATGTAGCACTAACCTGTAAATATGTACAAACACACTTACGTACATGCAGACCGATGGTTTTCGCGGAGGAGGCCATTCAAGGAAAAGTCTCATGGCATGCCGTTTATATACACTACAGAAGGGTAGATATATGCTTTTTTATCTATCAGTAGAATCTGTATGCAATTATGCCACATAACGGCAGGGAACAGTCCAATAACCGAGTCTCGGACTTGCTTCCCCTTAACCAGCATGTGCAGTCGCGATAAGATCTTGCCGACCCCAAGATTTGGATCTGCCTCTTTAAGCTGCGTTAGCTCCACGGCATAACGATCACGCATACATACATGCAGTACCAACGACTATACATAGCCATCTCAACCGACACCGCTGGTTCCCTGGATATATATAGACCACCAACTCAACTACAATTTCAAGCCTCTCTCCAGAAACGTCATCGGTTCCCATGTCTTGTTTAAGCAAGTCATCGTAGTGCGAGTTGGCTTGCAGACCAGCCAACATGGTAAGTAAATCAATCCTTCCCCAGGTCTTTGCTAGGTACCTTGAATATTTTATGGGAGCTGCGCAACCACTGCTAACCCATTTGCACCCATAATCCAGCCCGACGCAACCAAGGCCGCGCACTACCTGCAGCAGCTCGACGATGCCCGTTGCGATGAGAACTGGGATGCCGTGCCCGAGCTGGTCCGCAAAGTGCGCAAGCACGCTCCAGAGCGGTCCTGTACGTATCCGTACCCAGTTCCTTTACTCACCCTCACTAACCCCTCTCGCACCACACTGCTCTACTCTACCTTTCCCACACAACTTGTTCTAACCACTGTTCAAACTAGGCCTCACCCTCACCGCCGAGATCGAGCACGCAATCGTCAAAGCCAACCTCAAAACCCCCCAGACAATAACCGCCGCCGGTGCTCCTCCTCCCAGCGAAGACCACCACCACCCCCCTTCCTCTCCGTCCACGCCTCGCCCAACCACCGCAACCCTCCCACAGCTGACAGCCAGCACCACCGGCCCCCAACATGCCGAGGCCGCATCCAAACTCCCCGCCCTGTTGGCAGCGATCGAGTCGGAAACGCACCAACACGCCCAGGACCGCTTCCAGGCGCGCGTGTGCGCCGGCTGGCTGCTGTGGGCGCTGCGCGACTACCCGGCCGCCCTGGCCCGCCTCCCCGATCCGGGCGCCGACGATGAAGAAGGCGGTGGCCTACTGAACAACAACAATTGCTGGGAATGGACCAAGGTGTGCGCGCTCAAGGCGGCCTACCTCCGCGCCAACTGCCTTGCGTGCGACGGACAGCGCATCGGTGCCCTTGCTGCGTTTGAGACGGCTCTGCCGGGTCTGGGAAGCGTGTGGGCGGCTGGTGCCGGATCTGGTGCCGGCGGAGGGGATCAACAATTGGGTGGTAGTAGTGGCGGGGTGCTGCGCAAGCAGACGCGGTACTGGGCGGAGCTGTTCCTGACCGAGTATTGCATGCTGTACAGCCAGGCGGTGAAGGAAGGGGTGCGGTCGCTGGTGGAGGACGGAGGCGATTGTCTGGCCTGCTTCAGGACCTGGGCCAGGTACTGGACCGCAGCAGGCGGCAGCGTTGCCGTCGGCGGGGGGTATGGCTTCCGCGGGTCGGTGCCGCGCCGCCAGGTCTGGGCCGAGTACTACGCGGCTGTGTCGCTGATTCTGCAGCGGGGTCTGCCGTTCCCTACCGGTTACGCGGTGGGAGCCTGGGGCGGCTGGGAAGGCAGATTGTCATCGGCGAAAAGCCAGCTGAGGGCCGAGTTGAAGCGGGTGGAGACGGTGTATCAGGGCTTGTTGTTCGCCGAGACGGCGTTTCCCAAGGCGGACGAGGAGAGGGTTGAGGTGGAAGACTTTGTCGAGCGCATGATGCAGAACTGGGCCATCCTAAACGGGCGCGGCTGGAAGGAGGCTGATCTCGGTGCCGGCGGGCGGGCGTCGCTCTGCCGCGGCACCCTGGACACGCTGTATGCCGCCGCGGCCAAGACGTATCACTCGACGGCGATCCTGAGGCATTTATTCACGGTGCATCTTGCCGTGGCCGAGTTTGATTTGGCCTTCATGTCGTTTGACTCGTGGTTTGAGCTGGTGAAAAAGGGCCGGGCGAGGGTGGAGAAAACGGGCCGTCCCGAGCCGGCGCTGGATGATGATGCGACTGTTCTCGAGACCGTTTCGGCTTGTATTGCGGCTCTCTGCCGCTACGGGGGCAGAGAGGCGGCGGAAAAGGCACGGCATCTCGGGGGGCAGCTTGAAGACCTGGTTGGGAAATTGGAGCGGAAAGACTCGAATGGTGCTGCCAATGGCGCTTCCAAGGACAAGGTCCCACCCAGCACACTGGCAGTAGCGTGGCAGTCAATCGGGCTGGCGCATGCCCAGTGGGCGCGGATGACATACGAGTCAGAGACTCGGGCGTCGATCCAAGAGAAGGCGATTCAGTGTCTTCGGAAATCGCTGGCTCCCGAATACGGCAATCCAGTTGATGTCAGGGGTGTGTTTGCCCTGGGGTTGCTGTACGCCGAGCAGCGCAAGCTCTCGGCGTCGATCGAGCTGGTCAAGTCAGCTCTTCTTGTCGATAAGGCGGCCGATGACAGCCAGGAACTCCTCAACGGGCCCTACTGGCGCGAAAGATCACTAATACCGCTCTGGCATCTCCTTGCGCTCATGCTCAGCGCGCGGCAGGAGTATTTAATGGCGGCGCGAGCGTGCGAGGGGGCCATAGAGCAGTTCAAGGACCCGCACGTGCTCTTTGGCAGCAGGCACCTGAACCCGATCTACCGGAGCGAACATCTCAACGATGCCGAAGCAAAGGGTGGGAAGGCTGGTGGTGATGGCATTGTAGACGAGATGGACGACTATGAAAAGGAGGGCATCCTGCAAATCAAGATGACGCAGCTCACAATCCTCGAGCTGATCGAAGGGCCGGCGGTCGCTGTCAATGCCAGCACGGAGCTGCTTACCCTTTACCCCCGGTTGTTCGGGGACCCGGAGCAGAAACTAGAACTGGACTCTAAACCTGAGCCGCCCAAAACCTCGGCCACGCTCCGTAGCCTCAGGGGTAGCGTTTTTGGCAGCCGGTCGGACAAGACTTCCCATCCTCGGCAAAGCGTCCTCAATAACAACACTGAGAAGCTAGCAACGATCCCTTCCCGGCCGCAGACGACGCAAACTGCTCAAAGCGTCGCCACCACAACACTAACCCTCCAGCCCTCCAGCGAGCAATCCGTAGACCCCCATTCAAGTCGCAGATCAATGAAGTCTGAGAGCGTCAAGGGAAGGACGCGGAACAGCCTCCGTAAGCGGGACAGGAGCGGCAGCCGGCAGCGGGCACTCAGCAGCGGGGGCCCGCCAATCCCGCCGCTGGAAGGGGATAGGTACCTCGCCACGTTCGACGCATCGACTCCGACGCCGACAACCCTGAGCCACGGGGATTCTAACGGCACCTCTCGCTCCGGGCCTGCGGGTATGGGCGTTGGACTGGTTGGGTCCTCCTTTGTGCCGTTGTTGCCGTACGTGCAGTTTCCCCAGGAGCATACCAACAGGAGGAGGAAGGCGATCCTCGTCAAAGTGTGGCTTGTCATTGCGGGGTTCTACCGGCGGGCTGGCCTGCCCGAGGACTCCCGCAAGGCCATCGTCGAGGCGCAAAAGATTGTGCAGAGCCTGGAGACAGACGTTGTGAATGACCCGTCAGGCTCGCTCTCTGTCCGGCAGGCGGGCTGGGGGGCGGAGAAGAGTGTCGAGGAGGTTTGGGCGGATGTTTGGGCTGAGGTAGGTCCAATTTTGCGGCGCATTGATTCCATGAAGCATGCATCTGGCGGGCTAATTCTAACATATGTACAGAAAGGGAACCTATCACTCGCATTGGAGAAGTGGTACCAAGCGCGCAACGATTTCGAGACGGCACTGACGCATTTCCCGGATCATCCCGGTGCCATTGTCGGCCTGTCCAACATCCTCATGGACATTTACTCGGAGAAGCTGCTCCCGCCGCCGGCCGTCCCAGGACTAGATCTCGACGGGCTATCGCTTAACGAACAGAACACTCCTCCTGGCGCCGCCGCCGCGACGATGCGGGCCACGCAGCAAGACGACGACAAGCTCCCCAGCCTGCCCTCCGAGCCGCTTGGCTTGGGTCCGACGCGGCCAGCAAAGACAACCAAGAAAAAGGCGGCAACAAGCACAGCAGGTGAAACAACAAATGGGTGCGCAGCAGCCACTACCACCACATCAGCCCTGCTCGGCCCGCAGCTGCCGCCGCCGCACCTGGCCACGTCGCTCCCCCCGAACGACAGGCTCGCGGCGCGGGACCGTGCGTACGGCCTGCTATCGGGGCTGACGCGGCTCGGAAGCGGGTGGAACTACTCGGACGCGTGGCTGGCGCTGGGGAGGGCATACGAGGAGAGTGGGCAGGTGGAGAAAGCAAGGGACGCGCTGTGGTGGTGTGTTGAGCTGGAGGATGGGAGGGGCGTGAGGGATTGGGGGGTTGTGGCTGGCGGGTATGTCCTGGGGTAGTCTTAGGTTGGGGCTTTGTATTACATAGGAATGCTGTTGTGATCTTCATAGGTACTTATTCTTACTTATTATAATAGAGGGATCAGCCGGCTTGACGTATGTGTTAATATCGTGTTAGGACCTACAAAGCGTTGAACTGGTGGTGAAATTCAGGGGGTTGCTCCGGGATTGACCAATAGGATGGGCAAAAATCCGTGTGTTTTGCCCCACTCCTGCCTAACCTTAACTCATTCTCATCACCTCCCTTCCAACATCCTCTCAAGCCTGCCCGTATGCAAACTTCTACTCTTCCTTGGACTACCCACCAACCCACACAACCTCGACACTGGCAAATACAAATAAATAATAATGAAAATGCCAACCGGCACCGCCCCTCCACTAGACCTGACCCTCGTCCTGGCGGCTACGCGGGACATGGGCATCGGCCGCAACGGCACGCTGCCCTGGACAGGCCTAAAAAAGGAAATGGCCTATTTTGCCCGCGTCACCAAGCGCCTTCCTCCTCCTCCTTCTTCTTCTACCTCTACCTCTTCTACTACCACCCCTTCATGTGGTTCTGCTTCTGCTTCTGCCCCTGCCCCTGCCCCTGCTGCTGAAGGCGTAAAATCAAAATCAGCAACAATGATAAACGCCGTCATCATGGGCCGCAGGACGTGGGAGAGCATCCCGCCCCGCTTCCGTCCCCTCGCGGGCAGGCTGAATGTTGTTGTCTCGCGGACGCAGAACCAGGCGGATATGCTGCCGGTTGGGGTCGGTGGTGGTGGTGGTGGTAGTAGCAGTAATGGGCAAAAGGAAATTGAAAGGGAAAAAGAGGAGGAGAGGGTTGTGGTGACGCGCTCGCTTGAGGAGGCGATTGGGTATCTTGTCGGGTTGAGGGATGGGCATGCAAACGCAAACGCGAACGGAAACGGGAACGGCGGACTAAAGGTGCAGCTGGGCAGGGTGTTTGTCATTGGCGGCGCGCAGATCTATGGCGCTGCGCTCGCGCTGGGCTTGAAGGACGGCGCCGGGGCTGGGGCTGAGGTGAGGAGGATCCTGCTCACGCGGGTGCACACACATTTTGAGTGTGATATCTTCTTTCCGCTAAAGTTGGGTGAGGAGCAGCCTGGGAATGGCGGGTGGAAGAAGGCCGCGCCGGAGGAGATGGACGATTGGGTCGGTGAGGAGGTGCCCAAGGGCGTGCAGAATGAAGCTGGGACCGAGTATGAGTTTGAGATGTGGGAGAAAGTGGACTGAGCGAGTCTTTTTTATTTGAAGCTGTGTTTTACAGGATATCAATCAGGGGGTTACAGGCCGTGACCAGGCCCCGGGTCAGCGGCAAGGGTTGGGTGTCTAATGTACATGCTCTACAGTATGGGCATAGACATGGCTATGGCCTTGTGCTGGTGGTGGCCACGCCGGGCTTGATGATCCCCGCCTGCTCAAAGGCCTTGGTCATGGCCCCGGCCGGCACGTCGACCGACTCGAACTCGGCAGTCACGGACCGCTGCACAATGGCCTTCTCGCCTTCCATGTCGAATAGCTCGTCTCTCATGTGACCCAAGTCGGCCAAGCTGGCGCGCATCCAGCTGACAACGGCGGCCAGCGCCCTCACGTCGACATCCTCGCGCGCCTTGAACAGGTTCCTCCACACGGCCGAGGCGAGCACGGCGTCGCCCTTGACGAGCCCCTCGTCGTAGGCCATGACCAGGCCACGCCACTGCACGAACAGGTCCTTGAGGTACTGCTGTCGGATCATGCGCGACGACAGGTCGTGCACCAGCTCCATCTTGGCCTCGGCCTGGTAGAAGAAGTGGTTGACGAGCTGGTCCTGCCAGGCTTGCTGTGACGCCTTGTCCATGCACCGGAAGCGGACGAGCAGGAGGTACATGTGCAGCATGGTGACGTGGGCCCAGGTGCTGAATGTCGGGGGGAGGGAAAGGCCTGGAGGTCGGACAAACAAACATCTCCCTGTTAGCGAGATGCAGAGGGTAAGGGGGAGAGCGGGGGAAAGAAAAGAGAAACAGAAGCTGGACACACCATTGTGCCATTCCCCGCCCTTGCTGGTGCCAATTTCCTCCCCGTCGGGCCCTGTCTGTAGTTTACCCGCCTTTCGATCGGCGGGCTCAATGGCATAGTCGGCTTGGGCGGCGCATGTTTTGTACATGCGCTCGGTGGCCGAGTAGATGAAGTAGGTGCTCCTCCCGGTTGCAAGGCTCTGCGCGACGCGGCCAAGGATGAGCTGCTTCAGATCAATCTTTTGCCGGGATGGCGATGTGTGGAGGGCGCGTCGGGCGGTGCGGCTTGACGGTGTATTGGCATTCGATGTTGTCATAAGCGATGGTCGCGATGCCCGCGATGCCCGCGATGCCGAATTGTTCGCCGTGCTGCTGGTGCATATGGATGCTGATGATGGTGATTGGGCGCCGTTAACGAGAATGGGCCGTAGTTGCGCTCCTAACCTAGGCGCCAACCGACCAAAGCTCGCGCTGCAGCTACAGCAAGCCATTGTTGGCTGGGATGTCTAAGTAGACAACGTTGAAGCCAGACTCTCACATTGTCGCTGAGTGAAAGCGTCGTCGACCTCACACTGACGTCCTGGGAGCTCTCTCAAAAAAAGGCTTATCGCAGGCCAGGATAGGGGTTAGGGTTACTATAGCTAAGCCAATTTAGCCAAATGCGCTTCCCAACGAGGAATCTCTGTGTGTAGAAGGGAAAAAATCATAGAAATACATTCAAGACTTCCTTCCCTCAAGGAGTGGAAGAATAATAAATCTTCAGATCTACCTCTTACCTATCTTTAATGTCTCAATTGGATCGAATGTACCCTGGCTGATATTTCAGACGGCAAGCTCTTCAAAGATTTGTCTCTGTGCAAGTTCATAATTTGGTTGAACCTCACTCAACCTGCAGAAGTTTACAGACATGGCGGCGCCGCCCGATTTGAGGGTGCTCTGTCGCCGGCTGGCTTCAACACCACTCGATGAGCTACCGCGTCTCAGCCCGGTACTGATCGGCCATGTGCTACGCTGCGGAGGGCCCCTTTCTGCATCCACCGATGCAAAAGACAAAGCCTCAGAGACGTCGATGCTCGTCCACAAGCTCAGGACACACATCACCTCCCTCCTCAACGGCAAGAATGCCTCGGGCCGCTTCTCTGCTGTTTGTCTGGTCAAGGCCGTTATAGACGTGGGTGGATGGGAGAGTCTGCGCGCATCAGACCCCTGGATCAAGGGACTCATTGGCTTGCTGCAGGTAGGCGAGCACATCTCGAGATAGTATTAGCCAAGGGATACCAGCTGACCTCTGTCAAGAAACCCGACCCCATTTCCTCCAAGGAGTTATGCATCGTCACCTTGACCAAGATCTACATGCTTCTTCACGGCTATCAGACACTGGTCAGGGAGATGGCCACTCCAACATTGCAGAGTTATGCAACAGCCTGTCTGCAGCTCATCAAGCCCCCTGCCTCGGGAAGACCGTTGAAAGTCCCGGCAGCCTTCGTCGACACAGTCATCTGCTCCCTCTCCAAGCTCGTGATGCTGTACCCAACCACCATGCGGCCATGTGCCGCCCAGATAAAAGCTGCCATCAGGCCGTATCTCGCCCCGACTTCGTCAGACCCCCTCACTGTTCCCCATACCTTGAGATCGAGCTCTCGGCGACTTTTTGTATTGCTGTCTTATACGGCACCCAAAAACGGCAGCAGTGAAGAATGGGCCAAGTCTATCCGGCCATCCATCCTGGACTGCCACGCCACTGCCGACCAAGTCTTTCGGGCCGTGGTCGAATCATGGGAGTCAACCACAGGCTACAGGAGCCAGCCGACACACACTCCCATGGACCCCTCCGGTGGTGGCGACTCTCCCGATGAACTTCCCCCCTGGACGGGTGTGCAAGCCGGATCCGAGAGGCTCATTGGCCTTTTGGAGCTCCTTGCCGAATTTTTTGACGCCCCCACCAAGGCACCAGTCACAGTCCCCCTGGGAGAGCTGCTGGACCTCACGACGAGGATAACGCTCGTGACGCCTCCTTCATCCTTCTCGGAGGACTCCATCCAGACCAACCCCGCCATTGAGAGAGACGAGAAGGCGGAGCTGTGGAGCGTCCTCCCAGACGTCCACATTGCCGTCTTGCGCCTTCACGCCGCCATCCTCCGCCGCCTCGGAGAAAACGCACTGCCTTTAGCAACCGACCTCATCGACCAAATGGTCCGCGTGTGTAACGCCAGCCATCACATCGCCTCCATGCGTGAGACCTGCTACATGCTCACCAAAGAGCTACTCCTCCTCGCAGGCCCAACCCTCCAGAAACTCACCGTCACCTCCCTCACACCCCTGATCCAAGCCGCCTGTCGAGACATTCTCCTCGCGGCCGGCCACCCGGATAGCAACACTACCAAGAACAACAACAACAACAACAACAATAACCCGCAACAAACCCAACCCGTTGCCAACGGCACAAAAAATAAGCAGCACCCGCAGCAAAAACAACAACTCGCAAGCACCAACGCAGACGCATACCTCTCCCTCTCCACCTCCACCTCTTCATCCAACCTCAACCCCCTTTTCTTTAGCACGGAGAATAGGAACAAAACAGCCGCACACACCCTCCTACCATGCCTCTTCTCTTACCTTCCACAGGCGGGGTCCCACCTGGCGCCCGAGACGCGCGCCCTGCTCGACCGCACCGCCATCCTCTCGCGTCACCGCGACGCCATGCTCGCCGCCTGCCTCCACCCCTACCGTGACACCCGCGGCCGCTACTACCCGAGCATCCTGCCCTTCCTTGTCCGGGCGTTTCCGCAAGACCAGGCTGTGGAGGTCGTTAGGAGTAACTTGCTTCGTGCTGGGTTCGGTGCCGGCTCGACGAGAATGAGGGTGGGGGTGTGGGATAATAATGATGATGATGATGGGTTGATCGGGGGTGATGGTGAGGTTGGGGATGGAGATGGAGATAAAAGTGGAAACAGAAGAGGCTCGTTGATGGAGGGGCAAGGGGATGTGGTGGCAGCTGTTGCGCCTGGGTTTGGGCCCAGCACAGCAGCGACTGGCAAAGTGGTGGCTGGCGGGTGGGGGTTCGGTATGGATGTGGATGCCGATGGTGGTGGTCAGAGCGCAACGACGATGGCAAAGAGTGCGAATCCGTTTGCGACGGTTACCGTGCAGACGGTGAGGCAGTGGGCTGAAGAGGAGTCGCTGCCGCTGCCGCGGCCGGCGTCTCCTTTGAAGCGAAAGAGCGACCAGTTTGACGCGGGCAATCCGCCCAAGCGCGTCGATACGGGCAAGGCGGCCGAACAGCCGCGCCAAGTTGCTGTCGTGTCCACCACAACGGTGGCGGCGGAGAAAGGAGACGGCGAGAGTGGAAGTGAGAGCGACAGTGAGGGGAGCGTTCAGATAGACATGACTCTGGATGATGAGGAGGAGGAAGAAGAAGATGAGGAGGGAGAGGAGGATGGGGACGAATGACACCGCTATCCGGAGCACACTGGCTTGTAGAAGCTATTGTATTTGCGGATGATATTGTACGTAACTATCCCTACACGTAATGGAGCAAACATCGTGGCGCTCGCCTCGCCTTGCAAATACCCCAGTCCCGAGACCTTTTGCTCAGGGATAACTTTCTAAGCTTCGATATGACCGCATCATTGCCGTCCCGAATTCCCAAAGCCACTCTCAAAACGCCAGATGCCATTGCCTTGCCGTTGCCTTTGGCCCCATGCTCAAGCCAGCCAACCCTGTACGTTTCCTGGAAATGCTCAGAAGGGGAACAAGAAAAGGGAAGAAAACAAGTGCCAGCATGCCGGGTCCCACCAACTGTACCTCTCAGCCGCCTGAGTTGATGAAAGAGCAGGGACCGAGGGTAGAGAGGAGAACTCCTAACCCAACCCGGCAGCCGACAGCAGGAAAAGCGCATCGCAAACCGTTCCCCATTTTCAGGAACCATTGCCGCAGCCAAGCAGGTGTGATCACCAACAGCGGCCGAATTCAGAACAAAGCAAACAACTGGACCGACCAACCCAACCCCCACCCTTTAAACCCGACATTCCAACAGTAAAACGAAAGCAACGCAGCACAAAAGAAAAGCAAGGTGAAGAAAAGAAGAAAAATCAATCCCTCAACCAAGCCCGCCGCTTCTCCTCCTTCTTCTGTCTCCTGCGCTCCTTGAACGCTTTCAACTCGGCCCGCGTAGGCTTGATGCCGGACCGTTCCGCCTTGACGCTGCGCCCGTCGTGCATGTTTGCGGCCGCGTCCACGTCAAAGTAGGCGCGCATCTGCCGCCGCGCCTTCGCCTCGTCCGAGTGCCGCTCGGCGCCCTGCTCGGGCAGCTGCCATTGGCCTGTGTGCCGGTTGAAGAAGGCCTCGGTGGCGTACTCGGCGCCGTATTCCGGGTTTCCACTGGTGTATGTATATGTGGTGGTGGCTGTGGTGGTGTCGTGAGTAGCGGGTATGAAAGGAGGGGTGCCGCCGGTTGTTGTTGTAGTGGTGGCGCGCAAGTTCTGCGCATACCATGCGTTCTCGTCGTATGAGCCGTGGATGGCCGGGTTGTAACCCCCCGCGATGGAGGCCGGGTTGCTGAGAACGGTGGTTTTGGAGTCGACACCAGGGGCGGCTGTGGCTATGGTTGCTGCGGCTGTTGCGCTACTGAAGGTGGTAGTAGTAGCGGCACCCGGAGCGGTGGCGGGAGTGGTATAGTCGCTGGGCACCCGCGGGTTCTCTTTCTGCCAGATACCTGTGAACCTGTTCCAAAACCAATAGCTCTGGTCGTTAGGGTTCCAGTGATACTCCCAGCCATCGTCTTCTGGCTGCTCGGGAACGGGCTCGTTGGGCAGCGGAGGCGCAGCGGTGTCGCCGGCCTGGCCCTCCGGGACGGGCTCGTCAGGAAGGGGAGGCTGCGTCTTGTTGTCGGCGCTGGGTTCGGGCGTGCTGCGGTCGGAGCCCGTGTACTCGCCCTCGGAGTGCGCGTCGGACGGGGAAGGAGAAGGAGAGCGAGAGCCGCTGGCCTCAGCGGATGGGGCCCTGGCCTTCTTCGTCTCGTTCGTCTCGTTCGTCTCGTTCGCCTCGTTCGTCTCGTTCGCCTCGTTCGCCTCGTTTTGTAACGTCGGCTGCGCCGCTTCGCTCTCGGAGCCCTTGTCTTCCGGGACCGGGCGTGCCTCGGAGGCAACAGCCGGAGCTTCGTCCGTCGACGGCATGGTCATCTATCGGGGCCGGCACGGGTCAACTGGATGATGGGATACAGCCAAACCCAACTGCACAAGTCCACAACGCCCCATTCACCGTCAGTCACTCGGAATTCGAGCAACAAGAGAGGGCAGAAGAAGAGAAATTGTTAGTAACGAACCGAAACTTGCACGCTCTCTCTACCGGTCCATGAATCTCCACCCAGAAGATTGACCTAATGGAAAATCGGTGTCGTTAAGAGCAGGAATGTATTTATTGGGATGCACTGCTTTGGTGATTGATTGTATCGTTGTTGACGGTGTTTGCGTTTATCGGAAGCTGAAGAAACTCGCTTTGAGGAATTTTCAGGAATCGGGGTGGGGTTTTATACTTGTGGTTCGTGGTGATCGCGATCGGCTAAAAGTGGGTCTGAGAACCACTCGCAGGGCAGGCACTTGCCGGTTGACGATCTGTGCATCACTGCTTCGTTCCAACTTTGAAGAAACCACGCGTCTGCATCTTGACAACTCGTGCTTGTCTGCTTAAGGTTCATCTTCTTTTCTGTTTTCTCTCCTCTTTCTCACAATTGACCTCTATACTGAACAAGAGCGTATTTTTTGACTCAATGCGAGAGCATGTCTTGGCAACGCCTACGTAACGGTATAATACCTATGGTGATGCCCGGGGATATCGTTGAATCGTTGAATAGCAGCATCACGTTGCATGTGTCTCCGCCATTGACCATTGACCTCGACTTGTTGAGGTGTTCGGTTCGCCGCAGGTTTATCAAGCATACGCCACCTCCAGCATACGTGTCCCGGGAATCCAACAACATAGGTTCCATTCCGGGCAGAAACAGGAAGTCATCGCCATTGCAGATCCACAGGACTCCTCCACCTCTCGCTGCAGTGTTATAGAACCCCGTCTCAAGTTCAGATAAGACCAGCCCTGTCGCAATCGCATCTCAGCTGCAAGTGCTACCCCGGCTTCTGGTTTCGGGGTGGGATCCGGAGGAGCCTCCATTAATTTTCCCTACTGTCCCGCGTCGCCGTTTTTAGCCTCTCACTGCGGTCTCCTTTTTACCCGGATATGCTGTTGACCTATCGACCGTACACAACTTGTATGGCAAAATGCTGATCCCGGGTCCCTGGCCACGTCTCTGCCGTCTCCTATCCGCCGTCAACTTGCTGACCCTAAAGGCTGGAGCTGCTTCAGACGGGCCGCTCGAACAACGGGCCTGGATCGCTCTCGCATCCCCGAGGCATTGACCAATAGATTTGGTTTCCGTTCTGGCTGAACCAGGACAGCAGCTTTCATGCCATAGCTAGGTTGGAATGATGTGGACAGTCTCGTTGTTACTGGCTGCCTCTGGGGCTTGGTAGAACAGCTTGTCCTCGAGCTTGCTATATGAGGAGCTTCTCCTCCCTAGTCGTAGCTTCTTTCCCCCTTTACAAACTTTCCCACTTCTGCTACCTCTACGACTTCACCCCCCTGACGAGACAATTCGCTACCAATTCCCCGGCTCCCACGTGCCGTGGCATGCCCACACCCATCTCTGGTTGTGTCAACCGCCCCCTCTTCACACGGGCGGGCACCGCGTCCGGTACCGTATCGACCTGAGAGGCAAGTGAGCACGGCGGCGAGGTAAGTTGATCCGTGAGAGAACACGACTAAACAGCTCATCATGGCTTTCCCCGTGGCGCTGACATATACGGCTAAACAGGCGATGATGGGCTTATCAATGGCATTGACATGTCTCATTGCCCTGCTCTCCTTCACGATTCCTCTGGCGGCAACAGCGGAAGCTATTCTGACGGAGGACAACAATTGCGGCTGCTTCGTTACTAGCGGTAACGAGAGCGCCTACTTCTCACATCACCGCTTCTTCGACTTCAGAAGCCTCCCCGAGTACGCCCGGGCGCCAAATGTCATCCAGGACCTGGCCAGCACCTCCGGTGCGAGCATGACCAGCGATTTCTTTTCCAAGTCAGAATGGACTGACTTCTGGATGCTGGCGACATGGAATAACGCAAATCGTGTCCGAAGCGACGCCTCCTACACCATGGCAAACTCCCCGAACAACATATACATTGAGGCCAACACGGAGCCCTCGACGAGCGCCACAACCCAGACGTGGCTGACGCTGCGCACGCAGCGGCTGGCTGATTTCCAAACAGCCGCCGAGATCGAGTCGGCCTCGGCCAAATTCAAATACCTCTCGGTACGGGTGCACGCGCGCACAATCGGCGAACCGGGCGCTATCACCGCCATGTTCACATACCGCGGCGCCGAAACGCTCGCAGAGGTGCAGGAGGCCGACCTCGAAATCCGGACCGTCGACGACCGCAACTTGGTTCACTACACCAACCAGCCGGCATACACGGACGAGGGCGAAGTCGTCGAGCACGCATCCCGCAACGTCATCCTGCCCCGGGGCTTAACCTGGTCCGATTGGGCCACCCACCGCCTGGACTGGACTCCGGGGAAATCGACATGGTTTGTTGACGACGAGCCTGTCGCACAGATCGTCTTTCAAGCGCCCAGGGACGAGAGTAATGTCATCTTCAACGCCTGGAGCGACGGCGGCCGCTGGACGGGGAATATGAGCGTGGGCGATTCCGCCTACCTCCAGATCCAGTGGATTGAGTTGGTCTTCAACAGCACCGAGGTGGCCAGTCAGAGTGGCGACGGGGTTTGCCAGAGCGTGTGCAGTATCGACGAAACGCCGCAATTGGGCCGGCCAGTATTGCTATGGGCGCGGGATGGGTGGAAGAATGCCGGGACCAGGCTCCCTCGCAGCTTGGTGTCGACGGGGGTGGCGGGGTTGGTAGCTGTGCTTTTGGCCGGGGCTTTCTGGTAAAGGAGACGGAGCATTGGCGTTTAGGGTAGATGGTTACCGTTTTGCGAACCATAACTTCTTTTTTCTGAGTGCTGTTCTGTGCCTGTGACTTTGACTTATGAATATGCGGATAAATATTGGCCAGTTGATTCCACTAATTCGGTATCTGGTGGTCCAGTATAATTGTAGATACGTGAGCGTAGGGGGTTTGGAGCATGCGTCGCTGTTCTTGAAGACTTGCCTTGGACAGGCATTGCGAACACTCGAAGCTCGACTCCCAGGGAGATTGATTCCCATACATGTTCCTTAAGCCAGGCTCCGTGACCGTCACCAAGTCGGTCGATGCCCCGGCAGCTTGGCAGAATGATATTCCTGCAAGTGCCCGCTCCGCCTAGTCGAATCGCCGATTCGACAGCTTGATTCACTGCTTCACCGACTGGAAAGCCTTACCCACTTACCAACTCGCTCGAAGGGTAGCTCGTCGTCTTCTCAAGCTGTTCTGTGGCAGCAGGCTTGTCGTCCGCCTCCTCGTCCTTGCTCCTCTTGACATCTTGATTTTCCCCTCTATCAGCCTCCATCTCCTCTGCCATCCTTTTCTTGTCCTTCTTCCTCATCTGCACGGCCCCCTTGGCCATGGCTTCCTTGGGCAGCGGCCTGATGACGGGCTGGACGACCCACCACGGGCGTTTGCACTCGCGTATCGTCCGTGCCGAGCTCTCAGGATCATCTTCCTGCCCCTCCTCCTTCCCTCGCTCAGCTGCAGTTGCTGGAGCATCCTCCTCCTCCACGCTCTTCCCGCCGGTCCGCTCGTACTCAAGTATGCCCTCGGCAACCTTCTTCTCCACGAGCCTGCAGATGGCTTCGTACGTCTCCATATCGCCGGTCCGCGCCCCCGCAAGCGCGTCCCGCACATCGTGGTGGCGCACGACCATGTGCCGCAGAAGGTGGAACAGGTGTGGCTGCATGGCGCTAAAGTTGGCCGAGTGAAGCATCGGGTTCTCCCTCGCGAGCTCGTTCTTGCGTTTCTTGGGCTTACCGGGCTTCCCGTCTGCCCGTGGCCGCATGCCAGGCACCACGATCTCCTCGCTCATCCAAGCCGTGTCGTCGCCTGGCACGAAGAGCGGTCTCCTGGCTGGTGGTGTCGCGCCCAGCACGTGCTGGTGGAGGATGTCGAGGTAGCGGCGGAAGACTTCGTCGACGCGCCAACCGCCTTTGCCGTCCTTCCCGTGCCAGTAGCCACGAACTTGCTGATCGGGTGGCGGCGGCGGGGCAAAGATGCCCGGGTTGCTGAGGTTGCCCTCGGCGCTCATGACGCCGTCAGCTCCGGTGGCGGCGAGGCACTTTTCAACATCTCCGTGCTGCAAAATGTTACCGTTTGCGAAAAGAACAGTTTCCGGTGGGAGATTGTCGCGCAGGTAACGGATCATTTGCCAGTCGGCCAATCCGGTAAGGTGCCCCTTTTGTTCTCGCCGCCGCCCATGCACCGTCAAGATGCTCGCCCCAGCGCGGAGCACGTTTTGGGCATACTTTAGAGTCTCCTCTTTGGTATCAAGAATTCGTATCTTTGCCGTGACGGGAATATCGAGATCCTCGTGAAGAGTGTTGATCAACCTGTATATCAAGTCCTGATCCTCCTGCAGAAAGGCGCCGTAGTGCCCAGTCCTGGCGATGCCCTGCGGACAGCCCAGGTTGAGGTCGACGGCATCGCAGTAGGGAGCAACATGCCTGGCAGCGCTAAGAAGAAGCTGCGGATCGTTGGCGCAAAACTGCACGAAGAGCGGCCGGTCGAGACCGGGGTTGCCGTCGAGGAAGGGAACGTCGGAGCCAGGCTTTGTGGGCTGAAACTCTTTCGCGCGGTACTTTGGCTGTTCGCTAAAGAGCTTGGAGTGGAACATGGGCGAGTAGGCTAGGAGGCTCGACTTCTCGGACTCGGGCATGAAGGATCGCGACAGCATACGCCAGGCCTGCCAATCACAGCGGGGTTAACATTGAGCTCTCAGAATCTTCCCTCAGAAAACCACTTCCTATTCCGCATTACTCACGAACTCGGACTGGTTGACCATCGGCGCAACAATGTACTTTGGAGAACCGATACTCTCGTAGAATGCGCGGCCATGCAGTTTCGGTTTCCGCACAGCAGCGGGGGCTTGTCTGTCGACTTCATCGCACGCCATCTTGACGAACAGCGACCGCCGACCGCCGACCGACAGCGACGCAACCGACGCGCGAAGCTTGTGCAGGAAACCACTCGCCAGTGTGTATCTTGATTCGACCTGGAGCCCGTGAAATCCGTCCGCCTTGAGGTCCACAGATGTCAAACGTTGAAGTAGCCAGTGATCTCGAAGACAGAGAGAAAAAAGTTAAGCCAATCGCCATGCTTCCGCCTTCCTGCAAGGCTGAAACTCACCTCACTTCTGAGCATCTGATTGGCTTCCGTCCTTTTTCCCGAAAACGCGGCATGATGCAATGCCCCACAGGGGTCTGTAACCTCAAGTGTGAACAGTGCCTCCCTTACACAGTCCAACGCGTCTTCCCTCACGCACAGTGTGTTGGTGATGCCCCTATTCAGTACCAATACAGATTGGGTGCGAAAATTTCGTACTTTGAACAAAAGTCAGTGTAATGTATGGTAATCATTGTAAGGTAACTTACCGTAGCAGACGCCGCTCCCCACCGCAATGGAACCCTTGCTTTCTCGTATCCGTGGATGGCTCCATTGAACATCGTGTCAGCCATATAAGACGTTATCCTCCGCCTCGAGTCCCTGGCCAGCCATCATCTGTCCCGCCGACCTATCCGGGCCATGAGAGCAAAGGAAAGAGGCGGTATTACACCCTCAGCGTAGATGCTTATCATTCATTGAAAACAGCGGAAATGCAGAGCATCTCAGATTATGTGTTTGTATTGTAGATAACTAGGGATTATGGGCTTGCATGCCCTTTTTACTCCCGACACACCGTTGCAAATGAGTGGAGAGCATGAACGCCAAGGCTCTCCACACTCATCAGACTCCCAAGGCCAGAATTGCACCACCCGCAGGGGCCGTCCCATTGCATCTAGCACGAATACTAGAGCATTGCTAAGGTAAACACAGACATCTTATGTATACGCATGCAGTGTATACGAAAGAATGACACCAAGATCGGAGCATAAGGGTCGGCTTCCGCCCCTTGCTTTATACAAAAACCACATATCATCATTCATCAGCTACGCTCTGGCGCCCGTGTTACTGTTTGGTACTAATGTAGTAGTAGCATCTGATTGCTATGCAAAGACTTTCGTGTATTAACGATGGCAACGACGGCATCGAACAAAACGACGGCTACGGCAGCGATGACTTTGTAGAACCAAACTCAACCAACAGAGAGAGAGAGGGTCAGGAATCTGACAAAACAAACCCAACAAACGAGAGAGTAACTAGGATTAAGCCTCCCAACTCGAACATCCCGCGACATCTGCATCGTGAGGAGTCCCTTTTGTTCGCTTGATATGACGAGAGAAAGAAAAAAACGGAAGAACAAGAACAAGGAAAATTAACAGAAATATGCTCAGTGCTGCTGTGTCCTCAATGCTGCTGACTCTCCACCTGTTGGGTCTTCGGTCCTGATATGCCATCTGACTGCCGTCGCGCTGAAAGAGGGACCTTCGGCCTTGGCCTGATACCATCTCCTCTTCGTACTTCTGCTCATTCGTCGCCACCTTGCCATCACACCTTGCCCCGTGATCCCCTACAAAGACTTCTTCCTTGCCCGCCATGGCGTCCCAGCGCTTGACTGAATGATGTTCGCTGTCATTGATGTCCGCTGGCGTCAAGCCGAAAAAAAACCAAGGCCGACCTTGATCTTTGCCGTGGGTGGGTGGGTTATTAGATTTTGCTGCGCTGTCCTGTTCTAGACGCAAAAGCTGCCGAGATGGATGCGAGAACGCCGCGACACCTTACTATGCTGACCCTATAACGCCTCGAAAATGTAAATCCTGGACAAATACACGACGGGGTCTTGCCGCCCCTGTATGGAAAAGAAGCGATCCAAGAGATGTAGCTGGGCATCGTCGCTTGATCATCAAAAGAAGTGTGTATAAATCTTCGAGTTCTCGTGAACCTCCATCTCCTACAGCGACTGTTAGCCTCCATGAGCAACCGGGCGTGCTCCGCAGGAAGACCTACCATCTTGAAGCTATTTAGCTCTTCTTTGATTTGCTGAGCCAGCATCGGTGTCAATCGGTTGCACGTAGCAATATCGCCTCGACGGTCATATTCCTGGCTCGGCCACGTCTCAAAGAAGACGATGCGCGGACTGAAGGTTGCGTTGCGCTTCATGCTTCCTCGGGGAGTCCCAGGTGCGCTCTTTGTATCCTGACGGAGTCGGAGAGCTGAGACAAAGTAGTCTTCGCTGCCAATCGCCACTGTCCCAGCTCGCCTATGTCCCTGAGACTCCTCATTCGGCGTGCTAGGCGCACTAGAACTGGGTGAATCTGTCACGGCTGGTACGCTCGGCAGGTCAAAAGCGGACCCCTTGCTGTCCGAGGGCCGCGGCGACGGGCTTGAGGAATTGCTACGATCTATAACACGAGATGGATTAGCCAAGTCTACAAGTTAAGCCATCTGCGGTATGAACTTACTTTTGAGGATTCCCTTTCGAACGGCAGCCAGCACCTCAGCCCGCTCTTTTTCGCCTCCAACAATGCTCTTCCTGGCGGCGGTGCTGTCGGTTCCCGAACTGCCAAGCCGCTCCGTCTCACCGCTGGAGTCCTTGACCGCGTCGATTGAGTTCCTCTCCAACCGGGGAAATCCTGTGCCACCCCCCTGTGGGTGAGGATCGGGGTTAACATTGACTCGTTCTCGCTCAGCCTCGGCAGTGACCATGGATACAGCAGCTTGCGTCTCCGCAGGCTGCTTCGCATCTGTAACTGTTGCGCCTAACATAGACTTTGGCCGGAACAGCCCGACCAGAGATCGAGTGCCCTTCTTCATGCCGCGGCCCATCTTGCGAATCATAATCGAAGCCGACGATGCCGTGGATGAGATAGAGAGGTTGTCTGTTGAGCCCGAAAAAAGCTTGTTCCCAGCATAGATGCTGCTGCCGATGCCTGCCTCCTCTTGCTGCTGGGCAATACGTGCTTGTTCGGCATCGAATGCGTCTTCAGGGTTCCGCTCCTTGTGAAGTTTGCCTGTATGACTGTCTGCCACGTCGCTTTCATGTACGGCTTTCCTGAATTCAGCAGCACTGCCAAAAGAGAACGCCCGCCGAAGTCGCGATGTTTTGCTCTTTGCCCTCCCTCCTTTCTCGTTGATCGCCGTCAGTTGCTTCACAGCGGGGCTCTCGACTCGAGGCGTAGACGATTTCTCGGGCTCCCGGATGGCCGAATCCGCGGCGTCGGCGGAACCACTTTCTTCCTCTGTATCCATCGTCACCGGCTTGGAAAGAGGAGACGGGGTCGCGGTTCGCTTAGCGCTCGCTGCATCCGATGACGAGCTTCGCGGAGGTATATTAACCAACCGGGGATAGTTCGGGCCAGCACCGGCCTGGTCAGGAGCGGGAGTCGGTAAGGTGGAGTTGCCGGTGGGAGGAGAGGAATTCGTGTTGCGGTTGGCGGACTAGTTCGATGAGGACGCTGTTAGCGATGCAAAGCAACAGGGCTCTCTGTGGGGTGGGTGCGTAGGGCGGCGTGAAGAGGTGACAGTTGGATTACTTACAGAGGATGACCTGGAGCTGCGGCCAGAAGAGCGGCTGTCTGAACTTCCAACTCGGTTGTCATTGTTGGTCTTGCCAACAGACAACGGATCCCCGGTTTTGGCAGGTTTGTCATCCTTATCGGTGCTCTTCGGGCGGATCGATTCTTCCGGTTGCTTAAGTTGGGGCGGGGTCAGAAAACCGGCAGAATCCAATGCGGGCATACTCCGCCTGCGAGTCCTCTTTATCTCTTCTGAAGACTGACTGCGGGGAAGCGCCATATCATCAATCGCTGACCTAGAAAATGTCCCTACAAAGCTATTTGGTCTATTAAGGGGCGGGGCATTTAAGAACCGTAGTTGGTGAGTAGCGCTGTGGTGTGGTACGTTCCTGGCATTGCTCGCGTTCACACCGGCTGTCGTGACTGAAGCAGATATTACGCCTTGTGGATCCGAAGATCGCAGGGCGGAGCGTCTATATCGCTCTGGCTGCCCACGAACAGGACCTGTTGAGGCAGAGGGCGGCAAAACTGTCCCATTCGGCTGTGACGGCCGGGGCGCGGACGTAACTCTTCTGGCGCCAGAGAGTGCGAAATCGTCCCGGGTGCTTGCACTGGTCTGCTGACCAACAGTGCCAGTGCTGGGCAGATTCGTCATGGACACACTGGCCGAGTATTTGGAGCGCACAGCTGTAGACTGTAGGTAATCAAGGGTCTGAATGGTAGGCACCGCGGGCGAAGACGACGTTCGATGCGATCTAGTTTGCTGCCCCTGCGTCGACATATTAAGGCTCGGGGTGCTCGTGAAAGCATAGGGTTGGACAGGGGCTGAGCTGCCACGATACACTACAGGAGCAGTGACCGCGTGAATGCTGTTTCTCTGGGAGGAACCCGACGTATATGACCCACTCGACTGGACTGGTACCGTTTGCAGCATGCCAGACGCTGATGATGGCCGCGTCTGGAGCATCGTCGCTGTTCCCGATTGTTGGGGATAACCTTGTACGAGGGCCGCCATGGTAGATATCAACAGCCTACAACAGTAGTGCCAGAATGATCAGTTATTCTTTGGCCAAGGTTGAGAGCTCGGAATTGTGTATATCCCCTCAGACCGGACCGAGCACCCTTCGGATGGAGTGGATTTCTGCTCGAAGCCCAAGTTAGTTATGGCCCAGAAACGCAGAAGACGACTTGACATCAAGTTTGTGCGGAACACAGCAGGCAATAGAGCGTTTGACGAAAAACGAACCAGACCCGTGGGTCATGTCCGGGAACAAATTAATGAACCACGTACCTGCCAAATTCCAAAGAGATGGTCTGCAAGCTGGAACAAGGCCGACTTCTTTCCAAGGAAACCAAACTGGTGATGTGAAAAGCTTCAACGAGTGTTACACGGTAGAATCGAAGGACGCCTGCGGCCAAGGAAGGAGATCGTGGATGGCTACCGTGCTCGATGGCCCAATTCCCAGACAAAGTCCACCTTCTCCAGTGGACGCGTTGCCAGTCACAGCTTGTCGTCGAATAAGTTGGCAGTGCCACAACTGACACCTGCAGATTCGGCTACTATTGGAGCCAGGACATCGGAATAGCCCAGATGTTCCGTGCCACCAAAGAGCTAGAGGGTGAGCAGTGAGGGTGTGTCAGACCAGAGGTGATTGGTAAATAGAGCCCGCGGCCTCGACCGAGATAGTTAGGTCGAGCAGGTTAATTGCAGAGGGCGAAAGTAGCCGGTCGAGGAGATGGGTGGGAAAGCAAAGCAGCTTTGAGAGGGAGAATCGCTATGAGGCAAATGGGACGAAATTCCAGCGGGCGATAAGGTGCGGGAGAGAATCGAAAGAAGGCGTGTCCCCAAACGAGTCAAGGCACAGAAATCGGAAAAGCGGCACTGCGAGGCTGTTCCGGGAGGAGGGGGAAGGGGCACCTCTGGACAGACCTAAAGAGGCAGATTTCGACCTTGATGCCAGGCAGGTTTAAGGGCCGGAGAGGGGAATCCAAAAGAAAGCAAGAATGATGGTGGTGAAGTAAGGAGAAAGAGGGTGCCAATGACCTAGGTGAAGAGATGAATGGGGGATCTGGGGAAGTGTTGCAAAGCTGGCACTGTCCCGAGCGGGAATGCCAGACGTGGAAAGAAGGGGGCGCGAATCGCGAGATGCACTGCCAGAGAAGCCCCTGGAACAAATGAGCGCCTCGCCCCGTTCGTCGGCTTGCGGCCAAATTCCAAGAGATCCATGCAGATTGCAGAGAGTTCCACCTCAGACACACCACTGCACCTCCACTTACTGGAACTCCACTAAAAAGCAGCGATTTTGCTTGGGGCTCAGGGTACCCAGGCAGGCACGTTCAGGGACAAGACCGATGCATCCATGCCTCAGCCGTGGAAAGTTTACACAGTATTCTACAGCACTGTGCGTAACTTTTGTATGAGCGTAAGTAACTTAATTACTTCGTATGTACTGTACAATACAGCAGCGCAACGTCAAACCCAGGAGCATTTGGTGCGTCACTGGCCAAATCAAATATTCTCGTCGGTTCCAAAGTTCTTTATATCCGTCAGGTAGTTATCAAGCCGGTATTCATACCTGTTTGCAATTAGAGGTTGACTGCTGCGGAAACCCAATTCTCGGGTTTCTATCTAGCGATGGTGCGTCGGGTATCTGCAATGCTGCACGACTTTGAGTGGCGCCCATTCATTGCGATGTCCTTTCGTTTTCAGGAGCTCTTTTGTTGACAGGCTGGCTGAAGAGAGGCTGTTGATTGGCCAGTGGATAATGGGGCAGGCAGTGGCCTCAGCAGCAAAAGCGCGCTAGCAGGGGACCCTCCTGCGGCCAGAACTTCGCCTTGCCAGGGGACGAAAGGCAACTCGATGTTTTCGGCTGGCCGGCCGTGTCTCTTTAAAACAAGCATTTTCCAGGCAGAATTGTCCAAGGCAAAAAACAACAAAGTTCGCAAGATGTAGCATGATTAATTTAGATCACCGTCGCAGCCTGAAGCTATCCCAAGGCTCGTTCTTGCTTGCCGCCTCTGGTATGGACACTCCTCGAGAGCCGTTTGAATTCACCGCGAGGAGCCCTTTTCTCCCTCCATTTCTCGGCTGGTCTTAGCGCATATAAAGCCTTAATAGCTTCTGGAATGTTAGTGCCAGGCTATATCGAGTCCCGACTGACCTCCAGATCGAGTTGACCAGGGACTGCAGGGCAAGGGAGATCGTCACAAGCAAAGCCACAAACTCGAATGCGAGTCAAGACCAATGCGATGCAGCGGGGACCGCTGCGACGATCCATCAGCGGCTTCCCGATAAATATTATATATACCTATTTCTCACCTTCCAGTCTCAGCTCGTCCTACTCCGTACAGCAGTTTAAAAACCGTTTCCAAGTCTGTCACCCCGGAATCCGGATACTCGAGCAGAAATTCAAACGCGGCTTGGCGATTCGCCGGTCTGGTTTTGAATACATCCGTACGCAGGTGTGTGTACATACGTACCGGCAAATTGGGGGGGAGCATTACGAGGTGGCCTAATATACAGAATCCTTCGGTCTTGCTTGATAACCGCCCCGTGGGGAAACGACGTCAACGAGGGGCTGTTCAAGATCCTATAACTGCAAGTCGGATACAAGCCCTAAGTACCTTACAACACCTTTCTAGTTTGTCGTTGCTTTGAGCAATTGGTACATCCAGGCTTCCCTCCCTCAGGACCGGTCTCGATGAAGAAATCCGAATACGCATACAGACACACTCAAGGTAGCATTCGGTGGCAATGGAGGATGATGCTGTGCCTCCGCCGCACCTACACCACATTATCTACAACGCAGATCTCCCCTGACAAAGGTGGCCAAGGCGGCCCAACTGGCCAGGCTCGACAAACATGCTGATGGATTTTCCCAAGCCTCTAAGAGACCTGATGCCGAGCTGTCAGTTAGCACATGCGTACGTCAGCAGGAATTCGGATGTTGTAGACATTGGGAGGAATATGCAAATGAAAAGGTCAGCTACCTCTGACACTCTATGCTACGCTACAACCCACAGGATTCGGAAGACGGTTCAGGAAAGCGTTATGTTCCTGGCGGCAGATCATCCACTATTACAGGCGGCTATCCTATTAGTTGGGTCCGACGTTTTCGACAGCGAGGCATGAAGTTACGCCATCCGATGGGACCCGCATTCCTCTGGAACTCTCTTCAACGGAAAAGGGCGACTGCTAACATTCACTGAGGGCACGATCATCGGGAGACTTTCTTCGAGATCGAGTGCTAGTTGACGTGAACTTGGGTAAGGACGACAGCACACCACAAGGTTGTATGTATGTACTGTATGTACGATACAGACACTACCTTAATTACGAACCTAATGAGGGGTTAGCAGCGGGGCCTGGCATGAATCTTTGGCTTGTCGATACTCAGAACCTGGCCCACGCAGCACTTGTTAGGCAAAGAGCGGTCGAGCAATCGAGAGGAGGGTAGAATGCCGATTGGTTATCAGCATGCAGCCCCTCCGCGGAATATACGCAAGCTAAGACCAATGTCCCGAGTTGTTGTTGGCAAGAGCCTCAACCCGATGGCCGGAGAGAGAGAAGTCGGAGGACGCATGGAGAGCTGCCAACTGATTGGAAGCCGTCAAGGCGGTGACGACCACGGGGCTTGGGCTTGGCATTTGGCGGGGTACGTCGCACGGAGTGCTGAATTCATCTGAAACAGCTGCTAAGAAAACGCTGAAAGTCGTGCTGTGCAATCGTTTTCTTCTCACAGTCCAATCACAAATGGAAATGCGAGCGAAGCCTTGGGGGTTTGACAAAACCGGCTACCGAGGGTGCAGAAAACTGTTTCGTACACATATCCGGGAATTCATGCTGACGACGACTTTCCAAGCCAATCCTGAGCTGGGATCATCCGGTTGGAGCGGACCGTCGGAAACGGATTGCTCGTTGAAGTTTTTGGCTGTCTCGATGCATCGGCCATGGTCCTTGCTCAATCCAAGGCGGTGTCCGTTCCTGGACGATCACAGCCGTCTCCGGGTTTACAAAGTACGCTGTTCAGTGTCGGGCCCCGCGCGGGTCGTAAAGGACAGAGGTAGGTAGAGTGCTCTGGAACGATGTAGAACAAAGTCATATAGTCTCGTGAGCAGTCACTTCGTGTTTTTGAGCAGGTTGAACAGGAATTCGACCTCGGCAGTTGCTGTGGTTAGTGTATTGGTACTGTACGGTTACGTAACTTACGTCACCCCGAACAAGGTCCCCCACCAAGCCTGAGTAAAATACAATACGTGTTCGTATACCTGGTGTAGGTACGATACAGTACCCCTGCTGGGCTATTGTTCAGCTTCATCAGCAGCCCAAACTCACACTACACACATACAGCGTAGAGTAGTTGTTTGCCAACAGCGAACCCTAGTATGAATCGCCATCTTGACCCTGCGATGTCTTTGGCACCGGTACATGTCTGGTAATTGAGCTAACGAGAATGGAATTTCAGATATGTAACTAAGGTACTGTGTCGACCGCACAGACGTCAGACGGACCTTGATTGCCTGACTCTCCCTTCGATCAGATGCTCTTTCCTGCTCTCCCGGACGAACCATCCGCGGAATCACACGTGCCTCGCAGTTCTGTTTGGCATGAACTACAGCATGTGGCAGCGGTGATGGGATGAACTACACTAGATAACGTCACTATGTGCTAAACGTTATATACAGTTCGATACAGGTCTGTCGCTCCCCTTCATCTCTTCTACACGTGTCTAATCTCATCGGGTCTTATATGGCGCGTCGTACGCCAAAGTGCCATCCCATACGGCCCTGAGAAAGACGAAAAGCCATCAAATACCAACCTCCGTTTTCAGATTATCAGTCTACTAATCACAAACCCCAGCGCCTGCTTCCCATACACTTGCCCGTAGCTCTCGTGGGTGGCATCGTCGGTGCTGTTGGAACAAAACGGGTCCGGATCGTCACAGTAGGCTTGGATCCTGTCCTCAAACACCGGACAGCGGAAGTCCCTCGGTCGAGCGGCGAACTAATGTACGCACCAGGTCAGCAAAATCTGCTTTCTACGGCGTCGTTTTGCTAGCAGACTGTCCAGATATGGCGGGCCAGGTAGCAAACCAGGTAGGGAGGAAAGCCCACTCACCCCTCCAGCGGTAGCATTTCCAGCATTGAACACCAGCCCCGGCACGTGCCTGGGATTGCCCATGAGCACTATGGCGAGGACGTTACGGGCGACGGCGAGCGTGACGAGCGGCACCGACGAGTTCAGGCTCGGGAAATCCGGTCCGCCGCAAAAGGCATCATCGATGATTTGCGCGCCCTAGAAACCACCACCAACCACCGGCCATAGCCAGGGGGTATTATTATTAGCCATGACCATTTTCTCCTTGCCCCTTAACCAACCCCTCCCTGTACCCGCCTTCCCCCACCACCACCACCACATCACCAAAAATGAAACTCACCTGCGAGTAACCATGCATGATGATAGCACTACGGGGACACCGCGCAGCGAACTCAGCCGTCTGCCGCACCACGGCCGCCACGCCCACCGTCACGCTGCCCGCGTACCCTTCGCCGCCCGCGGCCGGGTAGTCAATGGCTTCGGCCGTGATGGTGGTGGTGCCCGCGCCCGAAATCGCGCCCGTGACGAGGTCGACGAGGGTCTGAGCCGAGCCAAAGCCCGGTGGCGCTGTCGTCTCGCGGGCGGCTATGATGTGCAGGAGAGGACAGGAGTCTACTGCTTTCTCGCGTTGCTGGATAGAGGGTGGCCGTCTTTGCGGTTGGAGTGTGTTTAAAATTGTTCCTGTTGAGGAATTTGCAGCGGCGGCGGCGGCGGCAAGCGCCAGTACCACGAGGCGGAGAGACCTCTTCATGATCCTGCTTGGGGAAGATGATGATGCGGTTGCCCGTTTCTAGATCGAGATATGCGCACACTGACAGTGTGACGGCGGCGAGCGGTACATTTTGCTAGTAGTTTTCTATCTAATGCGTCGTAGTCAAGACCAGGCGTCCAAAGAAAAGGGCTTGACAATGCAGATAACTACCAGGGAAGTATAGGTGTCCTGGCGGTATACGCCTCTCGACATGGCAACATATGCCAGCTAAACCTCACCATGTCCCCCCCATGGTTACCCAGTCCCGTCGTCGCGGATACCAGCATCAGCCGTGGTTCCTGTTCATTGTGGCTTCTTGACGAATAAGGCCTAAAGCGAGAAATTTACGGTTGGTCTAGACAGCGACATGATCGCCGTTTGGCGCATGGAGATCTCAGGGGCTGCGGTGAGTGACAGGCGGGCGGGCGGGTTTAGCCGCTGTTCCCTTTGGTGCGCAGGGTGTTTAGGAAGTCTTCCATGATGGCGTGGGTGTCTAAGCGGTACGATGGCTTCCAGTCGCTGTGCGCTGGACAAATCTGTTTGTGTACGCTAGGCGATATTCCCTGAACTGCTCAGGGGCGGCGGCTTCGAGACGCATATGCATCGGTTGACTCGCTGCTCACCTCTGCTCAGCGGCGTTTCTAGCCTGGGAAGAGAAGGATTCATCAGTCTGACTGGATAATCCATTGCGAGATACAACAGTTTCTGCGAACGACCACTTTCCTCATTCTGCTGGATAAATTCCTCCATGCTGCATCCCGTCATTCTCGATGTGGATATTCCACGACAGTGATACAAATCATCCGAGAGTATCATCTTAGGCTTACAGTCGGGTAATAGAACCATGCCATCAACTTCACATATCAACAAATCGAAGCGTTGCCAGACGCCGATGAAACCAGATACGTACTTGCAAACAGAAACACATAACCAAATTCTTATTTGAGCAAATTAAGCGGACACGCCCATTAGTCACTACCTATCTACCCTACCCCGTTTAGCAGGCACCGGCGGTGACCTCGACCTCGACCTCGAGCTGCTATAGTACCTTCGCTTGCCATTGCCCACGGGCGACCTGCTGTCTCTCCTCCCCCTGCCGTAAGAAGGTGCCCTGCGTGGGCTGTTTCCCACAGGTGACCTGCTGTCTCTCCCCACCCTGCCATAAGACGGCGCCCTGCGCGGGCTAGGTGAGCGAGAACGAGACGACCAAGACCTGCTGCGGGTGCGCGCCCGGACACGGCGTTGCGGTGGGGGCGAGCGCGAAGGTGAGCGTGTTGGTGAGCGGGAGTAGTAGCTCCTGCTTCGACTTCGGCTGCGACTCGGGCTCCGGCTCCAATTCTTGCGGGCTCGGCGCCGTGGAGGAGGCGAACGGGAAGGGGAGCGAGAAAGGGAGCGCGCACGAGAGCGGGACGGAGAGCCGGACGGAGAGCGGGAAGGAGACCGTGAAGGTGACCGGCCTCTACGAGCGACGTTGCGAGTGTAGCTGCGGGGAGAACGGGAGCGCGAGCGCGAGCGGGAGTAAGACGGGGAGCGGCTGCGGCTGTATGACCTATTTCTCGTCTTCCGTGGTGGAGTCCGCGAGACGGAGCGCCCACGATCAATGGCCCTTCGGGGAGTAACTGAGCGGGACCGCGAGCGGGAGGAGTAAGAAGAGCGGGTGTAGGAAGAATAGCTCGAAGCCGACTCCGTGTCGGACTCTACCGGGGCCGCGGGCAGTGCAGGTTTGGGCATGTTGGCCAAGAATGTTCGCATCTCGTCCGTCAGGAAACCCATCTTGATAACTGTGAAGTAATTGATGGCGAAACGAATGTTGCGCGGGTTATCGTGAGGGAACATGCCCTGCAGGCTGGGCTGTAGCGCCTCGTCGCTCATCCGCGCTTTCAGCTTGACCGTGCCCATATTTTCCTGCAGGTCTTGCAGAAGGATTTGGACAAAGATGCGGCTCGCCGATGTGGTCTCCTCTTCGTTTAGGTGGATGACTGAGAGGACGTGCCAACCGATGGCATCCGTGGCGAGGAGATGGCCAAAGAAGCGAGCAATGTTCCGTAGCTTGTTTGTCTCGTAGCGATGGATGGTCGAGTAGTACTTTGCGAACGACTCCTCCAACAGATCCATCCACATCCGGTTCAACCGTGCAAATCGCTCTCCTAGCAGGCCCATGAACTTCAGGTACACCTTCTCCTGCGCGCACGACTCAATAATCATGGAGACTAGCTCGGGCTCCTGGCCGGGAGGCAGTCGAAGCTTCATCAGTTTGTGGGCGGCTTCCTCCGGGTCCGCGCTCGACTGAATGCTGAGATAGATGGTTCGTCTGAGGTTGACAAGGTCCGCATTGCTTTGGTCCTTGATCTCGATCGCCTTCTGCTCCTCGTCCTCTTCCTCAGACTCGCTCTCGCTCTCGTCCTCGTCCTCGTCCTCCGCATCGCTCCCTTCGCCCAAGATCTCTGCCTTTAATCGTTTGTATTCCTCCTCGTTGGCCTCCCAATCTGGATCAAACTTGAAAACATTGAGACTGTCCTCGGTGTTGATGGAGTCGTCGAGCAGATCAATACGATGGGTGATCTGGTCCTCCTCCTCAATCAAGTCCAGCTCCTCCTTGATAACCGGGTTATCCTTGTATTTGTCCTTGCGCACCTGGAACAAGACCTCGATCATGTACTGCGTACGGCGGTCGATGTCGGCCTCGTGCAGGATGTTGCGGAACTGGTCGAAAACGGCGTGGGCAATCGCAGGGGACATCTCCTCCAAAAACAAGCCAACCTCGCGCATGAGCCCAACGGCAATCTCGACGCTGTCGTCGGTTGGCTTTTGAAGCAACAAAAGCAGGATCTGAGCCGCCAGCATCTCGTGCACTACCTGGTTGTTCACCAGATGGGCTATAAACATGGTCGAAGACAGACACACGGCCTTGTCGTTCCGCTTGAATGCCTTTCGGAATCGCATGATCAACCGCTTAACCAGCAGCTCGCCCACCTGGGGCAATTTTGTGTTGCAGATGGCAGCCAAGCAGGCATAGATCGGAGTAAAGGGTAAGCTAGCATGCTGGGCCTTGAGCAAACTCTGACAGAACAGGCCGCGGCCACGGATGAGATTCTCGCTAAACAGTTCCGGCACGACAAACTTGATGTTGGCTGTGTTGACCTTGTTGACAAGACCGTTGATGGATTTCTTCAAGGCGTCCCAGGCCATCCTCTGATATTCTTTGCTGCTCTTGTCGGTGATGGCAGCCTGGAGGGCGCGCAACTTATGAGGGGGCATATACACGCCCTGGCTGCGCAGGTTGAGCAACTTCTGGTACTCGGCCCTCGCGTCGGCGAGCTTTTCCTCCTCCGTCTTGGCCGGGGGTTCTGGAGGCGGCGTGCGCTCCTTCTTGGCTGGTCGGTATCGGTCGGCATCGCGGCGCGGGCGAGCAGGCGGCGACTGTCTTCTTGGTGGAAATCGGTCCGGTGATCGTTCTCGACGCGGCGGCGAAGCGTCTCGTAAACCTCGCGGTTCTCGGGATAAAGATCGGTTGCGACGATGGGTGGAGATGTCTCGGGGTTCTTGGGATAAGGACCGTTTGCGACGAGGAGGGGAGATATCTCGTGAGCGCCGTGAGTCTCGAGAATGGGACCGGTCCCGGGGATGTGGTGAGAAAGAACGGTCGTTGGAAATCCGGCGTCGCGGCGGCGGTGAGGCGTCCCGTGAGTCGCGCGAGTCTCGGGATACTGACCGATAACGACGAGGCGGCGATTGGGGACGCTCGCTCGGTGACCGGTCGTCCATCTCCATCTGGGGCCGCGATGGCGACTCTATCGTCGCCGACGCCATCTGGTCCTCTCCTCGACTCAAGCAAACCGTTCCTTGTTCAGAGTAGATAGAATATCATCTGCCGATAACGCACGTAATGGCAGCGTGTCCACACCCTACAATGAATGACGTTTTAGTTTGATGGAGGGCAAAGCGTGATGACGGCAAGGACGAGCAAGCAAATGTTACAGGAGCTCACTTTTGACGAGGCTGGGCTGCCAAGAAAAGGATAATTAAGGTGGGTCTAATCATCGCATTGCCTGCCGGGTCCCGCTCTAGGGGAGCTCCACAAGGCAACCGTGGCGCGACAACCTTCACAACCGCAGAGTGGACTTGGGACCTTGACGAACGTGGTCATTCGAGCCATGTAATTGCAACCTCGAAACCACGAATCCATAGGAGTAGAGAACATTCTCGGCACTATATCACCTCCTTGCACGCCCAAAAGCAATCTCTACACACAATTCTCTTCCCACTTCAACAATGGTCCGTCGATCCTTTACACCTTCCATCCTTCTTAAACCGGACTAACAAAAAAGTAAAACAGCTCGACAAACTTGTCGGCCTCGCCATGCTCGTGGCCGCCTCGGTAGTCTTTCTCTACTACACCATTTGGACACTTTTGATTGTACGACTCTCCATCTTATTGGCGCCTGCCCCATCATACAATATGCATGAACAGCTATACTAACCGCCCGAAAACAAAAACAGCCCTTCGTCGACTCAGACCACCCCCTGCAAAACTTCTTCCCTCCCCGCGTGTGGGCGATTCGCATTCCCGTCATCCTGATCCTCCTCGGTTCGGCCGTCGTCGGCTCCTTCCTCAGCGTCGTCATGATCCGCAGCAACAGGAAGAAGGCGGCCAAAGCCAAAGCCGCGGCCAAGAAGAAGGCGTGATTGCATGATGGCCATCTCCCGTTGTTGTTTGGTTGGACTCGATATGGCGTAGGTCTGTTAATCTGGGTGATATGGAGACGGGGGAGGGTTGTTATATCATAATCTAGACCAAAAAGCGGGTGGGTAGGTTACTTCTCCTACCATGAGCCGTCCCCACACGTCGGGACATGTATGATATAGGGGGGAGCTTTCACGACGAATACAATACCCAATATTTTCGCAATTCCAATATCTCAGCGGCTAGTTCGATTTGCCCATAAGTACTCCAAACCATCTCCGCTAGTTCAACGAAGGAGGAGAACTACGGACAGCCCATCCACCCCTGATCTCCATGACTACTACCCAGTAAGCCAGCTCCTTTGTCGAAATTCTCATATTCTAGTTAGCCTGACGGAGGATATAGGATCTTGCGATAACTATGGCAGGTGATTAGCAGCTATATATCTAACTTACCTCAACTCTTCCGTCCTTCCATCCGAGTCTCAGGCCTAAGGCCAGATACACACCCAGCACATAGCGCACTCAAAAGTGCAATGGATTACTTCTCTCTGGATCCATTGCCAACAAAGCCACGCTGGCACCCAAGACCAGCCGGGCCATGTTGATGTGGCGTGGACGTCCCTACCAGCAGTAGCATTCACAAAACCACCACTAACACAGCCATCGAGCACAAGAACAACCCAATCCCATTCCCAACCCCCGACCAGCGGCGCCGTCTAGAAGCCCAAGCAAAGTAGTGGAGTGGCAACCCGTTGATGAAAAGGTCCAACTACCAGTGTGCTGTCTCGACCAGCCCAAAATGCAATGACTGATCTGCCAAGTGTCCAGTCTCTAGGGATAACCCAGCATAGTATAAGGTAGCTACAGTAGTATGCAGCCACTGCGTGTAGGGGTTACAGAAAACCAGATGCAGTGCAGTGGAAGCCTAACACAACGCAAGGCCGAGAGGACAGTACCAAACCCAGACAGAGAGACAGAGACAGACAGACAGACAACAAGACAGACAAGACAGGCTGAACAATACCCCGTCTGCTCCCACTTGCTGAGCCCATCCAGGTTAGCCAAAAGCAGCCCAATGCCCAACTCTCAGACCCTCTGGTCAGCAAAATCAAGCACCTCGCAATCGTCTTCAAAGAACCCGTCATCGTGTTCGGGAGCGCTTGCTCCACGCCTTCGCCGCGTGGTGATCACAATCTGCGCCTCGTCGTCACCAGTCCGCTGCAGGATCCTTTCCATAGCAGAAGCTGGTAGCGCGCGCGACGCGTCCAGCGGGACAGTAACCGCCTCGTCCTCCAGCAGGTGCGGCAGACCCAGATCCAGCTTAGTCGCTTTGACGGGTTGTCCAAATGCCCACGCCCCGGTAGGCGTAGATGCGCCTCCTGATGTGGTGACTGTTGTCGATGGTGAAGCGTCATGTGTCTGAGCCAATATTTGTTGCGTAGGTTTGGGTCCTTTCTTTCGACGTGGAGTCAACGTCTCTGGGCTGTCCTCCAGCGACGTCACTGCCAAAAGAGCGGTGATAGACATTGCGGGCTGGTCCTGGGCGGGGCCTAGAGATGAGGGCACTATCTCGTACTGCACCACCCGCCTGTCCGTGTGGAATGGTTGGTACGGTGAACTAGATTCGATCTCGGCTTGAGGGATGGATGATTCCGCGCTGACATCATGAGACTGCCTGCGGAGCCGGGCCTGATTGAGTACCATGGTGCTGGTACCTGCATCTAGGTTCCGCTCTGCGTGGTCGATGTACTCATCAGGATCCAGGATAGCCCTGACAACCGGCGAAAAAGTGTCGTCCGGCAGCAACGGGAGCTGGAAGTCTTTGTATCGGGAAAGGCGTGGGGCCCGCTTGTCGCTTCCCGAGGAAACCCTCCGAGTCTTCGTCGGGAATGTACGCACGAGGCCGCCGCCGAGGACGAAGAGCGAGTGGCCCTTCCTTCCGGTGACCCAAGCCACGCACGATGGTCCAGGCGGGGCGGCCGAGCTTGGGAGTGATGCCCTGTTCTCTCCCGTGTGCCTGAGTTGGCTGATGGCGTTACCAGTCTTGCCTAGAGAATGGCTGATGCCAGCAGCGATGACCTTGCCACCATGAGCGGCGTATTCTCCAATGCCCGAGCCGGTCAGGGGCGGGACATTGGAGTTGCTCCGACGCTGGCGGTTAATGAGCGGCCGTGCAACGTCCCGGACAGAGCTCAATGCATTCGATGCGAGTGCGACGGCTGAAGACGGTCCCTCCACAGTCTGGTTCTTCGCTTCCTGCGACCGGCGACGGCGTGGGGGAGGCCAGTTGAAGGCGCTTGATGGGAGATCCAGTAAATGGACTGTGCCCCGTTCGGTAACCATGGCCGCACGCTCGCCGTTGGGATGCGTCCACGCCACGGCGACAATGCGTGCCACTGTCATACGAGAGAACTGTGCAACCTGGCGTACCCGTGGACCACCCGAGGGCAAGCCAGTAGCCTGGAGCGCTGATGATTTGGTTTGCTGGATACGCATCAGATCCCACACCGTCTGTACATCGCCCTTGCTACTCGCGCTGAACAGGAAAAGGCCCGAGGGCGCAAAGGACAGGAAGCTGCAGCCGTGGGGAATGCTGAACGTCGCAAGCGGATGTGGATTCGCAAAAGAACTGAGGCTTTCAGCATCCAAAATCGACACCATACCTGGCTCTTTCGCTATCGGCGGAGCGACGGTCCCATGTGTCGGGGGAAATTGGGCTGTCTCCTGGCCACCCCAGCTCTGGGGTGGAAGGGTTGGTGATCGGGGTTGCTGACTGGGCTGCGGATTCCAGTAGTTGTTCCAGGCTTGCCAGCCCTGCTTTCCGAACCACTTGGCGCCTTGAATTAGTTCCTGAGTGGCGTCTCGCATGATCTTGTTCATGACGCTCTCAGACAAGGGCAGTTCGACATCCGCGTTGGCCGGTGGTAGTTGCGGAGGCGTCATGGAGACCAGTCCTGGAGCACGGCCGTGCGCAGGCACCGGGACATGCGCTCGCAAGGAGATTTGGGAAGATGGAGCTGCAGGGCAATAGGCAATCCATCTTCCACTGACACTAAGAATTGCAGCCTGCGGTCGGGCACGCGGCGGGATGGGACTACGGCCCCGCTCAGCCTCCTGTGCGGCGTCCCCTTTCGGGGGCTGCTGAAGGGTAGTCCACAGTTTCCCGTGGCACCTGAAGTGAAATGGGTGTTCGCCCAAAGCAGAAGTTTGCCGATAGACCCAGCATTCGCCGGTGATGCCGGACGACACGACGATAGTGCCTCCATCTGCATGGATGTGGAACGCACCGCTTGGGGGAGGCGCCTGGAAGCTCGGACTGGTGATGGGCGACTTTAAGGGGATCTTAGGCGCCTCAAGGAGGACGCTCACCTGGCGGCCCGTCTTCAAAGAAAACACCTCAACCGTCGTCTGGTAGGACTCAACGAAGCCAGCGGCCATTCTGTTGCCGATATTCCGGGTTGCCGAGTCCGAACCTATATTCGTCATGGCTTCAGACCTGTCGGCCGAAACGGCGTCATAGTCGCCTTCGACCGTGACTTCGGCAGGCGGCAGTGGGATGTTGGGTCCGTGAATGACCACAGCCACCAACGGGAAAATGCCAGCGCTAGCTGGTGTCCACGGCAGGACCTTAGCGTGATAGACTCCTCCGCGCAGCCCTTTCAGGCTGGCATACGTTTCAGGGCCTCGTTTCCCAACAGAGAACACCTCCAGGCCTCCCTCATAGCCGGCAAGGACTACGTTGTCCTTTCCAGGGACGCAGTCGGCATTCGGCGGGGATAGAGTATCAAAGCCCAACCAATAGCCCTTTTCACCTGCCTTCATCCCGGACCTCGGTTGCATATCGATCTCGAGAGCAGGGGCGCCGTAAAAGTGCGGTTGTGGCTGGTGTGGAAGGGGCGGGTTCGTGCTTCCACGCATCTGAGCGTAATGGGAATGCATCGAACCTCGTCTGGCCGCAGCAGCGGCAAGCTGGAGATGAGCATCCGGCGGCGAGGTAGAGCGGCCATCCATGTGAAAGCTAAGCGGGCGGCGGGCGGCGTTCGGGGTAGAGGCGGAGGGCGGGTGGAAACCGACAACCGGCCGCGGCGAAGACCAGCCAGACCTGATACCCTGTGTATCCTCGTAGGAAGAAGGAGCCGTGGGCGGGGACTCCCCAATCAAGCTGATGAGGTTTCCGGGTGACCCAGCCATGCCTGCGGATATTCCTCGGGCCCATTCCCTAGCACTTGGTGAGTTGCTTGTTGCGTAGGAGGTCGAGGAGACGGCGTCGAGCAACGGCGAGCTAACCGGGTTGTCATAGGAGGGGAGGCTGGTGGGCTTTATCTCCGGAGAGACCACTGGCGAGGGGCTCGACGAGAAGTCTTTGGTGGCATTCCCATTGCTAGTGACGTGGTCAGTTCTTGTCGGCCTCAGTCCTCAACCAACCCCGGGATGACCAATCCGGCCGCTGACCCGTGTCTGTCCCAGGGAGAAGGAAACCCACGAGAACTTAGCAGCGTGCTTTGTCACCGCTGCGACGACGCTGCCACCCTCTTTGCCATTCTTCCGGTCCTTCTTGGAGCCTGTTACAGGTCGGGCGGTTAGCCACGCGTTCGTGCAGTTGGCAAAGCCAACCAGAGAGAGTGGGGAGATTTGTGACAAAAGACAATAGTGACAATGGTGCAACAATGGCACGAAGGTACCGGGCGGCGGGAGACTCAGACGGGACGAGACAAACCTGGCATGAATGGCAATTCAGCAGTTAGAGACGAGCAGCGGCCTGCCCGCGCGGAGGAGTAGCAGGCACTCCTGGCAGCGAAGACAGAGGCGGTGCCGAATAGTGACAGCGACTTCGGAGCACTCCAAACTCTGGGCTATTAGGTATGTATCCGGCAAGTTACTTAGGGGTAGCTGCACAGCGTTTGGCGATCGATGATGTATCACAGAGATGGAAGGCCGGCCTGTTTGGGCTATATCGCGTTGTAGGTTCGCTCGGTGGTCGGTCAGCCGGCGGTAGGTTGCAAGACAAAGGAGCGACAGTTCTCTAGGTAAGGTTCCCAAGGGGCTTTTGAGATGCAAGAGACAAAATGAAGAACGCCTTGATTATATGCAGGATAGACAAGGAAACAGGAAGCTCGTCAGTTTGAATTGCCGTTACAGTATAGAGTGTACCTTAAGGAGTGAAGGGTTGCTAGGTCAAAGATGAGATGACGGGGCAGAGGGATGCGTCAACAGAGGGACTGCTGTGACTCCGAGCGAGAGCTTCTGGAGAGGGGGGTTGACAGGTGCTATCACCCGGATGCCGCGTAGGTATTGAGGTGCGAGGCGGGGCTTGCAGCCCAGAGCGCTACTAACCTAATCCAATGTTAGGCAGGCGAGGCAGGCTTGGGTGAGGGGCTCGGTTCCTGGGCGTGTCTGGGGTCTCACGCTGGTGGGGCCTGCTGCAGCCCACTGTTGGGGTTCTCCAGGGTAGTTATCGGCGGGGATAGCTTAGCGGGAGTGCATGCAAGTGCCTACGTCGGGAGATAAGCACCTCAACCGTGACGGATACCTTGGGCGCTTCAACTGGTGTTAACTATCAACCAAAAATGCCAAATGTTGCTGGGCTGAAGGTGTGATGCTTCAGAAGAAGAGCTGCCTGCTAGTTGGGTGGATGATAGCAAATGTTAGTTTGAGGACATCATTACCAATAGGCATAGGCCGCCGGCTGTTTCTGGGACAAGCCATCCCATCTCGTCCATATTGGGATTTGGGGCCCGTTCCATTGCTTCCGAGGCCTCACTTCCATCCAGCCTTACGTCATTCCAAGTCCATGGTCACACCCCAAGGTTGAGTGACCCTTTGGCCTTGCTGGCTGACCGTCGCTGGTGACCTCGGTCAAGCGAAGCTCTGAGGGAAGGAACGCTATGGAATTACACCAAATTGTTCCTTCCTCCTGGGTTGGCCTCAAGATGCTTACCCCGCGACACCTTGTCGGCGTGATCTCGCCGAATGTTCGGTGATGAGCCATCCCCGCGATTCGGTAAGCTTCCACTACCCCAAAGCAGGCCAACCACCTAGTGTAGGCCCATGGAACGTCATTCTGTTCCAGACTTGGATGAATGAGCTGACTCTACTCAATCCGGCCTCTCAGACAGACAGGCAAAGCTTCTCTAGCTTTGACTTTGAAAATCATACGGGATAGAGCCATGCCGTACGGACATACCTCGCAACTTTAGGCGAAGTTTAGCCCGAATACCTCCGTGGAGGGCAAAACAATGACGAGCGATGACATGCTCGGCACTGTTGGGGCGCTGGTATGAGCAGACGAGCAGGAGGCACACAACGGTCTCAGAGAGCGAGGCAAGTTGGCAAGGGTTGTTTAGAAGTCTTGTCTAGAGAAAGACGTAGGTAATATTAGGTGGACGGATACACAAGCATACCACATTCAAGGTACATATTGTACTTCGTATACTCATCCTTCACTTCTGCAAATACACCCTGTAAAAGTGGAATCTCCACTGCGAAGTTACCTTCTCCCTCGAGACCAGTGCGTGCCCAGCCCAGTCGACGACCGACTTTTGGCCGTCTTTTCTCGATTGGTACGCCTCGGCGCCAAACAACATGAATTCGGCTTCATTCAGGGGTACGGATGTTGTACTTGTGGAAGAGAAGCTCGCCGGAAACACCTTGACGAGTCGATGCTTGCGCGCCTCGACATCGCGACACATGCGCATTCTCAACTTGCGGATCTCTTACAAAGTAATTGTTTAGCGGCCCAGTCCAGTCCATTCAGCTTCATCAGATGTTTGGAAATTGGTTGCATCAAAAATTACTAACCATCTTTGCCCTTAGCAACGTCTTTGCCCATGATGACTGTTGCATCGTCATGGAAAAGATCCACCCACTCGTCGACTGTGTCCGGCGTGTCGGATACCTCGAAGAAATGGCTGATGAAGCGCTTGACGGACCCGTCCAGTCGTACATTGCTGGGGTAAAACGGCTCGTAGCCTGACTCGCCGCCAGGGACTGGCGAAGGGCCCATGGTTGGCTTTGGGTGTTGAGGGGTTGCGGTGTCTAGCTTTGGGGTACTGCCCCTGTACACTCTAGAACTAGACCGGGATGAGTTCCGGAATTCGACTTTAGGGAGTTAGTTCGCAGCTGCTGGGTGCGGGTGTGGACACAGATTTAGGCTTGAAGGGTTCCTGCTTCTGCTGTAACGTCAGAAACTAGCCCATCCTATCGTGCAATTGGCTCTGGTGGTCTGGTCACTCAGAACATACGCAATGATTACGTCGTGTCTGGCTGATGCAGGAACGCCGACCTCGGGCCGCGCTTGGCTCGTCGATCCGTGGAGCAACGGAGCCGGCTGTGTCCGGGGGATCCGCTGCCGGCCGCATACTACGGGCATACCAGAGTGCCGGGACACGGTAACGTAGTACAGTAAGATACGGTAGTACAGTACAGAATGTGTACATACATACAATACATAGGCCCTTTGCAGGATAAACATCTCTGCCTCTTGAAGCGTCTTGTGCCTCTCCCACCTGCCTACCAAATAAAAGCAAATCCACGCCGCGCAATTGCCGGACTGATCTCAGACCACCCCTAGAGATCCCATAAAGTAAGAAGGCACGTAGAATAAAACGAGCAACACCCCGCTGAACCATCCCACACCTCAACCCACCCTGTAACCATACCTACCCATACCCATACCCATACATATACATATACCCATACATAATCTAGACATCAAACCCATAATCACCTTCTCGAAAGGAAGAATGTCAAGCCTTCACACCACGAGCGCTAACTTCTCCCTTCTCGCCAATATTCAGCAAGACCCTACAATCAGGGCAGTACCATTTTGTCGTGCGCGCCGGTATGTCCGAGAGGCCCACACACTCGAGATGGAACCACTCTTGCTTGCAGTTCTGTAAATGAGTCCAGTCAGTCAGTCATCCACCACCGCATCCTCCGACAAGAGCAAGAAAAGAAAGCAACTCACATCAACATTATCACACTGAATCATAGTCCCAAAACTGACCCGGTTGCACAAGCAGTACCTGGGTTCGTCCGGGTCGATGATATTGCCCTCATCGTCAACCTCCACCTCCAGCACTTCCGCCCCAGCCCCGGCCCCGACTCCGGATGCAGCAGTGGAGCTCGTAGCAGCAGCAGCAGCAGCACTGCTACTCGCAGCAGACGCGCCGGAACCGGCCCGCCTGCCTCCTGCGCCCGCGGCTCTCTTCTTTCTGGGCGCGGCCTTGCGCATGCCCACGGCGCTGTTCCCACCGCTGTTGGTGCGGCTGATGATGCCCGGCGCGGGTCTCTTAGTCCGCTTGCCGGACGTACGGGCGGCAGCGCCTGCAGCTGGGGCGCCTGATGCGGTTGTTGTGGAGGCCGACTGCTCCGGCGCAGGGGTGTTGCGGGCGGTGCTAGCGCGCCGGGGACGGTCTGCGGCAAGCGATGGCTGCGGTTCCTGGCTGGTGGCCTTGCCGCGGGATGCGGGGCGGCGGGTCGTCACGGTTGTGGTCGTGGTAGCCGAGGAGGCCGAGGTGGGCGCGGGTGCGGCGGACGGAACGGATATAGCTGCTCCTGCCGCGTCAGGCTCCGGTTTGGGAGCTACCTCTGGGCTTGTTGAGCGAGAGGTGAGTGTGGCGGGGATTGGTAGTGCGGTTTGCTGCTGCGCGCGCGCTGCTTGGGACAGACGCGTCTCCCTAGCCGGAGGAAGGATTGGGGTCGTCGACTTCTTGGGGGAGAGCACTGGGGGAGGGATGGGCGTTTCGGTTGGCGGGAGTTTGACAGGTGGAATGTTGTTTGCGCCGCCAGCGATGCTGCTGGCGGGTGACGTTGCCGACGTGCCCGATTTGGCCGTAATAGATTGGTCTTGGCCTTGTATCGGCAGGGGGATCGGCGTGGTGGAGTGAACAATGCCGGCGGTCGACAAACGCTGAGCGTGGGGTGCCGGAGTCTCTTGGGAACTGATTTGCGAGGCGCCAGGGGTTAGAATTGGCGGCGGGACCGGGGTCTCGGTCTTTGTACGCTTGAACTGAGGTCGCTGGGCTTGGGCCGCAGCCCCTTCGGTCTTCTCGACATCAGTGTCGGGGGCGGAATCGCGTTTGCGCTTCCTCTGGGCCTTTGCTCTGGCGGTCGTTCTGGCGGATTGGTCCTGGACGTTGTTGGCCGGAGTAGCATCAGACATGAGCGTCTTCGCAATCGCGTCGAATCTCCTAGCGGATTCCTCGGCTTCCTCGGCGGCCATCTTGGCCAGAAGCTCCCGCTTGAGTTTCTTGGCCTCGTTTAGCTTCATGCCGCGATTGCTCAGGTTCTTTTCATCTGACTCCAGGGCCTCTAATGTCAGCGCTCCGAGGGGCATCCGTTTCTCGCCCGTGTCTGGATCAAGGGTGGGTACCGGCATCTGGCCCTCAAAGACTCTCCCTTCCGCTTCGGCCTTCTGCTTTGCCGCCCTGAAGGCATCCACACCCCGCCCGAGTGCACTCAGCTCCCGCGCCACCATGGTGTCACTAGGGATCCAAGCCGCATTCTTCTTCATGCGCTTCCTGAGCCTAGCAAGTTCATATGCAGTGAGCTGGCCCCATGGGGCATCTGAACTGCCAATTACAGCATTGTCTGGCGGGGGAGCCAGTTGCGCCATGGCAGCGCTCGTCGACAATCCAGCAGCCGGAGGGTTGGGTGGTGGCACAGAGCTTCTCGGGCGAGGTGTCCTACCGGGCTTCGGAGTCTTGGTCGCTTTCACCACCTTAATACGCGCCTGGGGCGCGGGTGTAACCCTGTTGGATGACTTCTCGACTTGGTCCTCTTCCTCCTCGGAACTGCTCTCGCTGGTTGAAAGATATGCATCATAGTTCAGCTCGTAGGGCGCGAGTACCTCCCCCGGCACTGTTATCCTCGGAACCGGTGGTCTGCGGACCCGCTGGCCATCGGCACGCACTGCTATCTTTGGCGCCCGCGACAACTGTGGTGACTTGGTTGTCACTGGGCTCTTCTGCTCCTCGGCCGCGGGATAGTTCTCCAGCATCGTGTCGAGTTTGGACAGGATGGTCTTGGCGCGAGAATAATGACGGTTCACAATCTCGGTCATGCGCTGGGCCTCGGCGAGTGAGTAGACGCGCGTGTTCAGGGCCTGGTGTAGGTTCTCCGAGATGTCCCCCCGCAGGTCGACGGGCTTGGTCCTCTCGGCTGGGGGGATGCTGGGAAGCTGGCCCCAGAGGGTTGTCAGCTCGTGGATTCTATCTGAGGAGTCGAGATAGGTCTGGTCCAGCTTCCCAATCAAGGTTAGAGAGCGCGTCATGTCGGCGGGCAGGTATTCGGTGAAGTCGAGGAAGTCGGAAACGGTGGCCTGCGCATCGGGGTCGACGCGTAGATCGAGAGGATTGAGGGGGTTGTTGAGGGGTCCGATGGTTGAAATGGCCTGCTCGATCGAGGGCGCAGCCTGACGGGGCGAGATGGCCTCGTCCATGTCTGGGCGCACAACCTCTGCCGACGCCATACTGTTGTCCTCTGCTTGGCTGGGTTTGCCTGCTCTTTCCCTGGTTGGCTGACCGTGTTGACGCCTCGCAGCCTTCAGCACAGTTTCTGCTAGATACAGGCGCAGAAGCAGGCTGTAAGCCCTACCCGCTTAGGGCTTTGTGTTGTCGATGATGAAGCCGCGTGGAACACCACGTTCTGACTTGTAGACGATGGATGTTGAACACGACGGTGGCCCAAGCGCGTGGGGAGCTCAAAAGGATGTGCAAAAGAAGTTTAGCGCAGAGCTGAAGAAGGTTAGCGCAAAAATAAATGCAGCTTAGCGTGGCTCACGGTACAAAATATTGTCCGTGCGTGCCCCATTAAGCACGTGGATGGCGCATCTGCAGAAAAGAAATCACGCTAAGCAGTTTGGAGCCAGGAAGCTGAGAGCTGGGTCCAATCAGAGAAGTTTGGCTTCTCCAGCCTGAACTCCACTGATCTCCACGTCCCACGGTTTACTGTTATCGCTTACTGCCCACCCTTATCTATGTATCCCCAAGTCCATCACTCTCCACTACTGCCTCGACACTTTTGATCACAGGACGGCTACCTAGTGAGTACCTACGCTGGTCTCGCTTTACATGATTCGAGGCTCATCCCATCGTGGTAATTCTGCATCGGGACTTATGTCAGAACAGCAGCGAAAGAATCGTCTTCAAAAGAACAAGTCGGAGGTAGGCACTCCCGATCGGACTATCTGTCTCTGTTGTCTATCGGACTCGGGCTATTTGGTTGAAGCCCTTAGCACCACTGATGGCGCTGTCAAAAGTCTATCTAAATTGAAGCTACAATCGTCAACTCAAAGCTGTGTACGGAGTACCAATGGCGTGGAATTGTTTCCAACCACAAATGCCCATTTCCCCCCGCGATATTGTGTGAAAGAGGGAGAGAAGAAATGTCAAGCGTCCAGTCTGCTGATCCAGGAACCGTCCGTATAATGGCCGAAAAGAAGCCAGAAGGAAAACCACCGAAATGGAGCCAAAAAGAAAAACCGAAGGAGATGAAATGAAGCAATGCAAATTCATACAACCCCGTGATACCTATATGACCCCAAAACCAATCATGCCTTTCAATCGTACTCCATCCACCAAAACAGGTGCCCAAACCAAGACCAACACACCAACCAAACCGAAAATGGGAATATGCAGAACCAAACCCACAGCCGAATATCAATCCTTCTAACCCCAAGAAGATAAAACACATCCTTCACTGCACATAGCTATTCCTTTGAACCAGTTTCGCACCATGCACCGTTTCGCCCTGCTCGGCCTCGTACCAGGACTCGTCGCCCACAGTAGTGAGAGATGCGTACGCCGTGAGCGTCTTGCACTTTCTGTGTTGCATATTCGAGTCAGCCGCCGTCTAGATCTCCTCGAGATGAGAGAACATTGACGTTGTTCCACTGCACTATTATTAGTAAAACTTACAAATACCCGTTGATGGTCAGGTTACCCCAGACTTCCAGATCCCCCTGCACCTCGAGCGAGCCATTGATCTTTAGCTTGCCAAAGATCTTGACCTTGTCCCTGTAAGGCCTAGTCAGTAAAAATCTTCCCCTCTAGAGCTCATAACCTCTCATTCAAATCCATCACCGAGGATAGAGCAGGAAAGGTTGGGGAAGAGGTGAAAAAGGAGTCAACTCACATGCAAAGAACACTCCCATTAATCTTGACATTCCCAAACGACTTGAGCTTGCCGCTACAGCAGCAGAAAAGTCAGTACACATTCAACAAGGCCACCTAACCAAATAGATAGATATAAAGAGGGGCGGAAACGAACCTGCAAGTCAAACTGCCACTAACCCCGAGATCACCATACGCCTCAATCCGGTCCCGCACGACGAAGTCACCCCCAGAGAAGCTGATGGACGCCATCGACTTGACTGACCCGTCCACCTCCATCGGCCCGCGCAGGTCGAGCGCATTGTCCGACTTGATGCTCTTCTTCTTCTTGACAGCCACCGACGACGACTGCTGGGCCGACGTCGAGGATGAGCCGCCGGCGTTGGAGGTGGTGCCGCTTGTGGTGTAGTAACCCATCATGGGCTGGTCAAAGGTCATGATCTGTTCGTACTCGTACATTGTTGTTTGGGGTAGTGGTGTTGATGCTGAGGAAGGAGGTTGGGGAGAGGGTGCGGACGTCGTGTTGGTTGATGGCGCTGTTGTCGTAGGAGTAGCTGGATTGGTGGGAGTTGGAGCTGTTGCTGGCGATGTCGTCGATGTCGATGGTGTGTCCTCGGTCGTCAGAACCGCAGGCTGTCCGCCCTTTTTCATGTCTTCGAGTTGGAGACAGGCCGTCCCAATGTGACATCAACGGTTCTGTTATATGACTTGATCGAGCAGGTCGATTGCACGCGTACGGCATGCCCGTCATGCTCGATGCCCCCACCAACACCCAACTACAAATAGAGAATGGCAAGAGGCTGAGGTTGAGGATGTGAGTACCGGGTTCCGGTGGGTCGAGTTGGCCATACGGAAGGGCGATGTTCGGGAAGCTATATAGAAAGCGGCAACCTCTCGAGATGATGGACACACAGGCCCGAGATACAAGCCCTGCAAGGTTCACCAAAGGCGTGGGCCTAGGTGTGTCCTAGGGCTCTACCACACCCCCACCTCCTCTCTTCAAGGTCGCCTTCAACGGTCCGTGGAAGTTGCCCTAAGGACTAGTCAGTAAACGTTGAGAAACCACCAAGCTAGGACCGATTCTCGTTTCTGCCTGTGGGCACTGACCGGAAGAGTCCATGAGAGCCCCATCCCTACAGAATATGAGTCGTGTCTCGCTTGTCATTGCCATTTCCTTGCCAGGGTCAATGAGCAACAGTTTCTCAAGCTCGCGGCAGGGTGAGATCACGCGGCTCACAACCCTCCATGCAAAACTGCAAAAGCGATATGCAACCATCTCTCTCCTACGGAACCCCTGGTCGCCCGTTGAGTAGCTGCCCTGGTGGGGAACCGAACAGAAGGGGGCATCCCGGCTCCGTTTTACACTACTGACCATGGCGGTGGGAAGCGACTTAGACGCAGATGGTGAGGACATGTCCAAAAGCGTCAGAGCGCGGCTCTATGCTTTTGGAGGTTTGCCATGAAATGTAATTGGTCATCGGGGCGACCAGGGGAAGGGGCGCAGCGTGTGCTATTAGATGTTTTCTTCCGTACAGGCGCAGCAAAATAAAGTCGCTTTGTCGCAGCCGCTCAATAGTAGTTGAGACCACTGCTTCCGCGCCTTTCTCTAGCTTCAGAAACGTGTCCAAGAAGGGTTGAGGCCGCCCGGCCGTTTACGAGCCGGTGGAGACTGTATTTCAACGGCGTCCGAGACCGGTACGAAATGAGGTCCGTATTGTTCCCCTGTCATTCGCCCATCCGGGCCGGTGCTGCCCGCTAACAGGATAAGGCGCAGCGCGGCTGAAAGCTGCCAAGTCACGTCTTTTCCGTATAGTCACATCCGCCCACCGTTTTCTTTCTCACCTCGCGACTACTGCTTCATCAGAAAACCGTTTCCCTGAACCCCTTTCCCCTTGCTCTCATCACAGGGCAAAAAAGCCTTACCATGCCTTGTTGGGTCATATCCTTCGTCTCAGCTGGCGCCTTGGCATGGGGTCGCTACCTGATCTGCGGGTTGCCATCATTGCCGCAGACGCGCGCCATGTGCACTGGAAGATTTTGTATGCGAACCGGCGGCTGATGCAAGCAGCCGAAGCAATCAGCACCCGCGCTCGGGTTCCACGAAGACACTGTCCACTGCTGCGATGCCACCGAATCAAGCCACAGCTGCTACCAACGCCGCAGTTGAGGGAGCAATGGGGATGGTGTGCCTTTTAATATGGATGCCCGGCCCACGCGCGATCCGGTGGCCAAGGTGTCCAACGTTCTTGCAAGTTGCATCTGTTTGTCTATCCACAACGTCATCCGGAAGTCAACAATTCACCGGTGCCAGGGATCGACGCAAACGCGTCGTCCCGGTGATCGTCATCCGGCACACATCCGACACGCAGTGACACCCACCCTCAGACCAGGCAGCTCATATCCCCCCTACATATCTCAACATGAGACCAGTCACAAGGGCAGCAATGAGCCATATGCTGCTGTATACCACTGCGCCGTACGGCTCGACACCCTTGATTGCCATTGCGGTATCCAGGAATGTGCCAACAGCCGTGAACAGCATGGCCACGGCTGTCCGGCGGAGGGACACTTTGGTCTGGGTAGAATACCCCCACAGGTTCCACACAACGGTCTGCCAGAGAGTGGCGTTGGCGGGATCGAATTCGGCATTTTTCTGATCTTGTGGCGTCGGCCCAGTTGTGACAAGTGGAGTGAAGATGAAGGTGCGCGCAGCTAGCCCCAACAACAAGCTGAACGCCTGGCTTATCGGGCTGCCGAAGCCGAGCATAGTGGCATCCGTTGCAGGCCGGATGGTGGGGATGCCGTTAAAGTACAGTACCATTGCATCGGGAAGGAAAGTGCGGCTTGCCAGGAACAAAACGACACTGTAGACGAGTGCCGGCTGGAGGGCAGTAAGCAGTTGGATTCCTCTGTCGACGACGATTTCCCGGTTGGGGATGCCAGGAGCGGCTGAGTGGGCGCCAGAAAGTTGCCGCAGGAGGAAGAAGGGTAAGAAGGTCGATGCGACATGGACCGCGAGGTAAGCGCCGGCGGTCACGGCACGAATTCCGTAGAAGACGGACAGGAGAAGTGTCTGGCCATGCTAGTCAGTAAGCTGCGCCCCTGCCATGTACAGAGAGGACAATCTCGGAATGGGTTGAGACGCTGGGATCCGAAGTGGAGAAGGACAAGCGGGACGGGACTTACTGCAGGACCACGCGAGAGGAAGGCAAGAGCTGCAAGATCGTAGCCATCGTAGTCGCCGAGCCAGCCCAGGGCTAAACCAAATCTGCCATGCCACTGATGGTTAGCGTCTCAAAGCTGAAGGTCAGCCCTGCCTCAGCCCTCAGCCCGAGATGAGGTAATGGAGCGAGGGATCAGCAGACACATACAATTCCCAAGCGATTAAGATGGACGTCTCGGTTCTAGAGGTTGCTGGTCTGGCAATGTCGGCCAGCTCGTTCTGCGTCCAGTAATCCAGGAATGTGGTCCCGAGCGAAGACAGCGCGAAACTTAGGATGACCACCAACAAAAACCGGGCGGGATCTGGCAGACGCGCACGCTTCGATAGTGGCAACTTCGTTTCCAACGACTCGGGGCGCCCGGCGGTAGCTGTGAGTGCAGACGATCCGGCGGCAGTCCCGTCAACGGCGGCGGTGAGCGCGTCAGCCGCCGCCTCTTTTACTCGCCTCATTGCGGATTTGGGAATAGGAAACCAGACTGATGGAACCGCAGTAATACAGATGCAGGCGCCACCGTGTCGGGCTGCAACGTGTGATCGATCTAGCTAAGCAATCTTGATATTCTCGGGACGGAACAGAAGAAATGTGAGTTGGGAAGAGACAGGAGAATGAGAGTTCTGTTTCGGCGCGTGTAGGTTTGGCGTTGGGTTGGGTAGCTGCAGAGTGTTGGGTGTTTGTGAAACTGATCTTCACGAAAGGTACGGCGGCAGGTAGGTAAGCATCCAGTGTGGGGGAGGGATCGGCCGTCTTGGAGAGGATCTGGTGGAGTGGTGACGTCTGTTTGCGGTTGCTGGGAAATGGTACCTTAACCCCGCAACGCACCATCAGTCTACCAGACAACCTCAACGTAGACCGTAAACGGAGTCAAAACAATCTCGAATGCCGTGCCAGGAGAATGGCTACGAGACGCCACAGATAGGTATATTTTTATACTTTGCGCCCTCGACCCCTTACCGGTCAGTACTTGGATTGCGAATATGGACATCAAATACCTATAGTTATCCTGCCTTACCAGCGGTATGTATTGTACAGTACTTACCTCGTCCTGGACGCGGCGTCATTTACAATGAGTTACCCCATCTGAAAGCTGTCAAAGGGGCTATAACCGGCCTGACTGACACTGCAGAAATCGCCCCTCCTGTGTCCTCACTGTCCCAACATTGCCAATACCTTTGAAGTACCCAGGCAGTTCCCTCAAGCCAGAGCATCGCAGGTAATTTCCCGTTTTTGGATCCCGGTCTCACATGGAGCAAAACCAGCGAACTAGGGCAATGTCATAGTCAATTGCCCTCCTGAGATTCTGTCACAGTCGAAAAGTCCGGGGCTATCGCTCAACGCTCGCACACGGCCCTCACTTTAACCTCGTGGAGCTGACTGCGCCCCGTTCCTATCGGCCGGGGCGAGGCGCTCCACTCTTCGGTGCCAAGGGCCGTCGGCGGAGCGACCCCATCCAGACGCCGGGCATACAGTACAGGTATACAAAAGAAATCGCAATCCATCATCCATATCATAACCTTAGCAGCTATAGCTTATGCACCGCTTCCCCACCAGGGAGGAAGCCCGAGAAGCGCGACGTCTCATTCCTCCATTCTCCCAAAAACGCCGTCGTCATCTTCATCGCTTCGGGCGCGGGACCGCAAGAAGTCGTCGTCGTCGTCATCCATGACGCTCTCAGCGCTCTCTTCCATCTTGGCGTCGACCCGCCGCATCTCGCCGCGGGTAAAGCTTTCCGGTGCCCTGCTGGGGTAGCTGTTGATAAAGCTTGTGCCGGACAAGATACCCTGATCAAGATATTGCGCGGGAAGAGGCGGAACCGGAGGAGCATCAGCTGGCAGATGGACCGTTCGAGAGCCCCCGTTGCTTCCGAAGCTGCAACTGAGCAGCTCAACAGCTGCGGCGAGCTCACGGTCATCCTGTCCTGTCATGTTCTTCCCGGACGACGTCGGCCTCTGGTCCTGACTGAATTGTCGGAAATGCCCGAACCCTGAGGTGTTTGGAACACTCCCAGCAGCCGAAGAAGCATATGGCGCAGTCTGGTACGACCGCGAAAATCCCTGGCCGTAGTTGTACCTGTGGCCAAAGCTCCGATAAGACGCATTGTCAGCATTGATGGCATCCAGGTGCGGGGGTGGCGTTGTATCAGCCGAACTGCGGTCCTGCTGTTCCGAGTATCCGCTTGCCGAGGGGGATGCCGAATCTCGGTCACTGTGGAAATCCCTAGCCGAGTCAGGGGGTGTGGTGACGGTGTTGGTGGCCTTGGTAGTGTCGGCATTACTCTTTGCGCTGCTGTTCATGGCGACCAAAACCGAGGCAGCCTCCAGCAATTGAACCTGCTGATGCTTGGAGATCAAGAGCTTGGATGTATAGGACCACTCGGGAGTGTGCTCCCACCTGTCGGGCAGACAAGTCAACACAAGGGTCTTCAAGCGGCACACTCGAGGATCCACGGCCGGTGTGGGGCTTCCAGCTCCGCGCTCAGAAACCACGTGGTGGGAGAGGGTAGGGAAAGGAAAATGGGCACAAACAAATGCTTGGTCAAGCAGCTGCTATGCTTGTATCCCTTCCCGCACTTCTCGCAGCGAAGTTCCGGGCGGTTGCTCTTCCGACCCCCTTCCTTAACAAGAGGCTGGCCATCACTGGCTCTCCTCACGTGAGCTTTTTGAAAGGCCGACTCTGCGTCGTCTCCTGACATGTCATTGAGCTCGTCGTCAATAGCGCTGTCTTGCACGCCGCCCGCTCCTGCTGGCGTCACAAATTTGCGGGTCGGTAAACTAGCCGGAGGAGACGGCAGACTACCGACAACAGCCGATCGCGAGAGGCCATTCTTGGAAACAGTGTTCCGACGAGAGTTGACGGCAATCGGGAGGGGCATGGGCATATCGCCGGATTCCTGGAGGGCGGCTGCCACCGCTGCTACATTTGCACCCGTGTTGGTCATGCTCTTGCGGCGAGTGACGCGGTGGGTACCGTTCAGCGTGCTGCCGATGATGGAGTACGAGTTATTTCGGGAGTGGGCCTGCCGGGTGAGAGACAGGCCGCCGGGTATGGAATTGGAGGACATGGACGGCCGATGGGTCAGCGGTCGCGAGGTTTGTTGTATATCCTGCGACTCGGGCCCATGTGTTAGCATTGCTTGCCAGCTTCACAAAGGGTAGGGGGAGCGTCGAAGCCATAGCCGCCGAGGGGTCAGTAGTGTGAAGTCTACCTTGAAAGACGCCATTGCCGACAGCGGTGCAGGAATACAACTGGCCGCGCGGCTCTTACACAATTCTGTCCCTATCCAAAAAGGTTGACTGTCCAAAAAAAAAAAAAAAAAAGCTCAAGCTGCCACAGGGCAGATTGCTATGTCCGTTGATCGTGTTCGCGGTTATTGGGGCCCCTTTGTGTTGGGGAAGCAGCAGCTAAAGTCGACAAGTTAAAAGCGCGGGGGATCACCAATAATTTCGGGCTTTTGCTAGGGTATGTATGTATTGTACAGCCGGGGTAAGGTGATTCTTGGCCAGTCAGGTCGGGAGGCAGACTCAGGAAGAACTCAACAGCAACAATTGGATTGAAGGAAGGAAGGGTCAGCGGCATGAAGGAAAAAAAATTAGGGATTGTCGAGCAAAGATCTGAGTGGCTGTGCCGCTGTCTCGACAATGTGTGAAAGAGAGAATGACTTGTCGAGAGGAATGAATTGGAATTGCGGGTCACGGTAAGTTGCTGCGGTTTGGAGAGGCGTGGCATGGGACGAAACAGGCCAGGTCAACACAAGACTCGTTGCAGGGGGACAGAAAAGTTAACCAGGATCCAAACAGGCACAGCTCGTGACGCCGAGCTCGTTGGTAAGCTATTGTATTGTACCTTGCCATTCGTAACAAGCAGAATGGTGGGAATGCAAGTCTGGTCATTTGGCCCGCACCACGATATGGAGGTGGGAAACCGGGCGGTACTAGGCCTACCTGGTGGTCAAGACCTGCCCATGACCCTGGCAAGTATCTCACCTGGGAAGTTAGTCGGACCAGGTACCTCACTTGGCTCGTGCTCGAAAGGCCACAGTGACACCGGATTGTACACCTCGGTATTGTGATACAGTTCACCTGCCTGACTAAATGCAGCGGCGTGTGTCTGGGGCGGTGTTTGAGTGGACAGACCTGCCGCAAGCTGCGTGGCGTTTATCTAAGGAGTCTAGGTATGTATGCATAGGTACTGTGGAAAAGCCGTCCCAGGACAGTTATTCCGAGGGGAGGTAAGTCAATAAAAAAGGCTGGCTCTCCTGACTTGGTCCCCTGCCTCTATGCGTGTAACAGTTCGGCGGCAGGAGAAGGAAGCTGGCTGATTGGCGCAGATATGAAAAAGGTGTGTAGTGATTTGGCTATGGCTCGTCCTCCTCGCTTTCTCATTCACCCTTTGTTGGTTCAGGGCTTTGTCATAGTCTTCGAGCATTTGCCTGCACATAACGAGTTTCAATCAATTGAACTTAATACACTAGGTACTGCACTGAGGTAGTAATGCAATGGGCCGAGATGCGAGGTTACAGGTTTGCGTACCTGAAAAAGTTATGAACTCTGCCGAACAAAGGCATGTTGCCACTCTCTAACGATACCGGGTGACAGTCCCAAGCCCGTATGACTAGAGAATGCATTGCTTCTAGCAGACAGCAAAGTCAGGTCACAAGCCCAGGCAATACTGAAATACCTATCGATATATAACCCGAGATAGCAGGTATCCATAATGACTCAATGCCCAATGGTTTGAACAAGTCAACAGAATGCTTGTCTCTGAACCCCGGCGTCCATGGCAGAAACGGATGGCTGGATTGCAATCGGACAGCTTGGAAACCAGCTCATCGTTCATTTCCAATGCCTTCCAATAATGTACCTTCATGCAGTGCCTCAAACCTGCCTTTGATGAATATCTGTAGAGCCCCTCTACCGCAGCTCTACCCCGCCTGCCGTGTTCCCCATTCGGAATCGCTCTTCCTTACACGCGAACCACAGCAGGAGGGGCAAGCTGGGTCTCCACCCGCCATAACTGCCCCATCAACGCTAGCTGTGGAGTTGTGGTGCAAGGGAAGACACAGGCTGATCGCAACGAGGTGGGCGAGGTGATGCCAGGTACTAAGACTGAAGATGCTTTTCCAGGCCCAAATAGGACGATCACCCACTTTCGACTTGAACGATCGATAGACTTCAAGATCTATGGGGATAATGAGTCAAGTTATGGTGCCAAAACGCTTTGGTATCCACTAGGTAGTCAGGTATGTACATACATACACACGGCAGCTACTTTAACTCTGTCCAGATAGAGCTGTTAAGAAAAGGACGGTCTTTGTTACACCCGGATGCCCGATTTGTATGTAAACAGTTCCTCCTGGGTAAAAAGAGATGCGAGTACACTCTTAGAGAACCTTAATACCGCCAACTGGTGGCAGTGACGAAATTGGACAATACATTCGTGCAATCCAATCTAGCAGCCACAGTGCAACTCACCAATAGCATTGGAGCAATAGAGCCCCTCACTCACTTTTTGACAGGCTTAACTGTAGGAGCATTCACCTCTTGATGGTTTTCGTCCGGGCCAATCGTGCTAGATAACGGTCTCTCAGGTGGTGGGCACTCTGACTTCTGGCTCTGGCCCAAATTGTTGGGCCAGAGCGGCCACGATACCATTTACCAATGGAATTAATAACGGGCCCTGCGACAAGCCCCCACAGATGTTCTCCCCTGGCTAGCATCAGGAGGAAGAGTCTGATCGATATCGTGTACACGTATTGTACTGTGTAAGCCCTTAAGACTGGAGACCTGCAAGGTCAAGCCTCACAACGTGGCTGCTCCGATGCCAGGGCGTTCTGGGCCACTCACGTCTACTGTAGCCCCAGACGACGTCTCCTCTGATGTGGTCAGTTCTCGGCCTATAGGTTTTCACTTACAAACAGCTTGTTGCACATGGAAGTCAACGAACTCGTCCTCGTAGTCCCAGCAATATAATGCATACGTTATCTCCGTGTTTCCAGCTGAAGGCACTGCGAGCAGTATGATTTGATCAACTTCGTTTCACATCATAGCTTGCGCACCACTGCATTTTGCCGGCCCCTTCAAGTTTTCAACGCTCAATGTCCGTACTAGTACTACCTATACGTAGACTCCTCCCCTCGTCGAACCTGTCTTCGTTGGATACTATTTTTCAGCAACCTGGAAAAGCAGTGACAGTGAGGGAAGAAAAAGGATGGTCCCATGACACAGGCCTCGTGGCTTGCTGGCCAGCAGATGTTCCTTTGAAAGACGGAAAGCAGGAGAAGCGGATGACGTTGGAACAGAATCCACCTGACCAAGAAAATAAGTTGGATAATCCAGAGTCTGTATGAAAAGGACAGGAAGGGAAAGAAGTTGTGAATTATTCTTGTTGGGCGAATTGATTCAGTGCGCAGCTGCGTTCAAACAGCCCGGCAGAACTGTACGGAGTACTTGTATGAAGCCTGGTATTAACTACAGTGTCAAATACAGTGCATTACACCCAGTTTGGCCAGATCTTCGATTCAAGTTGCGTTGCAATGCCGAAGCCCCCGGTTGACGGTGCGCAAGCTCTGGGGATGCAAGTATCGACAGGGCGCCTTTCCTTTCTTTTCGAGCTTCCCATGATCTTCAACTGATCGAAGTGAGAATATTAATAGCAACGTTCCACGTGAGATGAAGGAGGATCAACACTGCTCCAGCCAGCCCTATGTATCTACACTACGCCGGGTTCGGTTACACAACCCCTACATTTTCTTCGGATCCAATGGGCTCTTTCTGAATTCTTGCAAGCACTAATTTTCCATAATTGTGAAATACATTTTCGTCAACCTCTTTCTACTTTTACCGTCACTACATTAGAGGATATAGTCAACTCAAATTCGGCGATACCGCTTGCTGACGTGTTGTATGCAGACCGCCTCTCAGATGGGCCCAACCCGAACCCTTCGTGGCGTTAATGAACACGATGTTTACGTGGGCCGAATATCGGATTGACGGCGTCACCGAAGGATTATTTTTCTCGATCCGGCTACCACGATTCCGGCTTGAGGATCGGTGAACCCAGCGACTGCCAGGGGCACATTTTTGGAAGAAGGCACCGTCCGAAGCACCGTTTCGATAGAAATTTCTGTTTCGCTACAACTCAAACAGCCTCTCAACTACTACGAAGGTACCGGTGACGTGATCTCACAATTGAAGTATGTACAAGAGTCCTTGGACTCCGAGTCGCACTCACAGTCTTAGTGTGTACAATACAATATGATAAACTGAGCGAATTTCTTCAACCGTCTCGTCACAAGCATCCCGCCACACTGGTAACTGGACCTGCATGAGTGCTCGTAGGTCTTGGCGAGGCATGAACAAATTACTCAAAACCCAAGACGTAGCTGATAAGCAAGTGGTGATGCTGATAAGGACTGGGGACGTTGGACAACCACATTCGTACATGTACAGGCAGTTAATGAATATCATCTAGCACATCCGCCATCCCTTTCAGTCGTAGGTCAGTTCAATCTTATACCTTGGCCATCGTAAATCTCAAGCGTCTCGATCCCTACACACCAGCCGCTCCCGCCATGTCCTCAGACGTTTTCCGCAAAGTGGGCCGGGGCGGCGCCGGCAATTTCTACAGTAAGAAGGATATTGAAGAAGCCGAGAAAGCGACCAGTGCTGTATGTACGCCAAAGTCCAACAATTACACCCGCCCCATTCCTTTCCACCTACATGGATGCATTCCCCCACCTCAAGAAACCATCAACCATACCGTAGCTAACTTCGACTCCTCCCCGTCTTTGGGGAATGAACAATTAAACCAAAGCTTGACCTCGAAGCTCAAAAAAGCCAGGCAGCCCCGCCGCTGAACGGCCCGGGAGCAGGGGCAGAAGCCGGTGCCAGCGGCAGCGGCAGCACCGTACCGAGCTACGCTCGCGGGGGACGCGGGGGTGCGGGCAACTTTGTCTTCCGTGGCGGCCCATCAACAGCATCAGCGGCGCCATCGGCACCAACAACAGGAGGTGAATCAGCCTCCTCCCCCTCCTCCGGACCGCTGTCCCCGGATACAGCGCAGCAAGAGCTCCTGGCCGCCGCCGAGGCGGAGCGTACCCGAGTAGCCATCGCGGCGAGCATAGCCGCCAAGACCCGGACCGGAGGGTTGAGCGGGCGGGGCGGGGCGGGTAATTGGACGGGAGGGGGAGGCGCTGGGGGAAGCAGTGGCAGTGATAACGATGGGGAGCAGGGCCCGGCGGCGGCGGAGGAATTGGAGTTGAAGGTCTTGAGGGAGGTCGAAGATGGGCTTGCTTTCCCTGGGAGGGTGTATCATGCCCCTGGAGCCAGGGGTGATACTGCTGCATGAGGGAGGAAGGGAATGGGGGGGGTTGTTTTGGGCTTGGGGTTTTGAGAAAGGTGATTTGGATCTGGTCTGTCGCCGGATCTGAATATGAGGTTTGGCTGGTTACTAAGTCCAGATCGGCTAGCAGGGTGGTGGGCCGGTAGCATAGGATTGTGTTTCGCGGTAAGGCAGAGGGAGAGGGCCTGCCAAGGTTCGCTTGTGACAGGTTTTCTGGGGGATGTCTCGTGGCTCATGGTTCACTATCCACGTCTGGTTCTGGAAGCTGGCTGTTGTGTACTCGAGACTGTAAATGAGGGAAGGTGTCGATTTGTGCGACCGGTGTGTTTGTTTACATCAGAGAGACGGGTGGCTAGTTACCCCTTTTCCCCAACTGAATGACCCTGGATGCGTTTCCAGTTCTGGCAGTAACTGCTGTTCAGCAAGTTATTTCTGCTCAGGACATACCTTGCCTTAGACACTCAGAGGTGCAAGACATCGCTCGCGTAAGTACCTAGATCCGGATTGTAGGTTGTGTAGGGAGCATGGACTGGGTTGGTGGCTGCTTCGACTTCCATGTGCGAGCACCAGGCAGGCCAGCTGCGTCAAGAGTGGCAGTAGAAAGCCGGCATGCTCCCATGTTGCGGTTCGAGCAACCATTCTGGGGTCCTCTGAGAGTGTCGATTGAGAATCCGCGCTCACAACTTCTTCGCTTAGTTTTAGTCGATTTGGCTAGTTGAGCAATGAGGAATGGCGGTGGGAGTGTCCGCATCCAGGCCATCACTCGAGCGATATGCAGGGGTTATCACGTCTCTAGCCAATTCGGTGATGCTCAATATTCATCCCTCTAAAGCACCGAAGGCGACAGAATTGCAATCGAAATACTTTGTAGTTGGAATGTAGTTGATTGCAAGGTGGCGTCGTGATTACTCCAAGATGTGCTTGTGTACCAGGTGGAAATTGGAGATGTAATTTTACAATGGAATACTCATGACGAAGTATGCTGTACTGTATGTAACATTACCGTCCGGCCCGGCCATAACCGTACGTTACCCGCAGCGGCAAATCCCGACCCGGACTCCAACCCGACAGAAAAGTTCCATAGTCTAGCCACTCGTCTAGAATCGCAACACATCCTGTCATCAACAGCGTCACCACCATTGACAGCTTTCCGAAACATTCCCAGGCCGACGACAACCCATTTCCCCCCATCGATATCTCAAACAACCCGACCGAGAAACATGGCCTCAACATTAGCGATCGGCGCCGGCGTCGCGGTTGCCGCCTTCCTCGTACGAGCCCAATCTACCCCGTTCCCATTAACCTAGACACACGCTAACCACGACAATCCATGAACACAGGGCAGAGCCGGCCTTGTAGCCTGGCGGCGCTCGCGCGGTGGCGTGGGCGCCCTCGGCAAGGCCTTTTACAAGGGCGGGTTCGAGCCGCGCATGACGCGGCGCGAGGCGGCGCTTATCCTGTCGTTGAAGTAAGTCCATGATCCTACCCTCGCCTATTACCCAGAGAGGCATGTGGGAAACGGGAGGGATATTGATACTGACGATTGTGACAACACAGCGAGAGCGGCCTGACCAAAGAGAAAGTGCGCAAGGCCCACCGCACGCTCATGCTCCTCAACCACCCCGACAGGGGCGGCAGCCCGTACTTGGCGACGAAGGTCAACGAAGCCAAGGAGTTCTTGGAGAAGAATGCTTCTTCATGAGTTGGAGAATCCCCAGGTTCATTACTACGAGGAAGGGTTAAAGGAGAGAGGGCGACGGGCGAAACGGCAAATCGAGCCGTTGCGGACGTTGCCTGGGCATAGGGCAGTTCGCCGATTCCGATATCTGGCGAAACCTAACATCCTACGCTATCGTCGGTAGTAACTAGGTCCGGCATGTACAAAATTGGCGCACAAAGAACATCATAGCAACGGCGTTGGGGATTTGGGTCGAGATAGGTTTGGCTTGAGGGCGGTTTGGCTTTAATCACATCTTGTTTCAGCAGGGCAGGGTCTGATGGCTGTAATAGTGCGGGTTCCCTATCTACCTATCGGTCTGGATCTGAGGAACCCTGCTGTCCGCGGAGAATTCGCAATACGCTGCCTAGGCAGATGACTCTCCTCTAAATATACTACACATGATGAGCAAAAGCTCAAGTGCTGTAGGCACGACCCTTCGGATACAACCCTGAGACGCAAGATCATTTAACACCATTTCCGTGACTTCCGAGTCCCCAGCCCGCAACATTGACTGGTGAAGTTCAGTTGACTGTGCTCTGGCGCATCTCGTCGTTGCCGAAAAATCGTCGTCACTAGCCCTGGCTGCCATTGTTCGCAAGGTCGAAAAGGCCGAGAGCATCTCCGCCATCAGTCTCCTCGCCGCCACTGGACCATCCTTCTTTCTCCCTCTCCTTCGCCATGAACTCGGCAAACGGAATGTGGCTGCGAGCAGTTGGTCAGCAAACTTCTCTCCGCAGCAAGCCATCAGAACAATAAACTCACTCCATAGGCTCGTTGCGAGCTTTCTCGGCTTTTGCGATGCTCTTCAGGCGCTTATCCACAGCCAAGCCGATCATGGCGCGCAGCGTGTAGACAGCGTCGTTGCCGCCATTGTGAAGATTCTCGTAGTGGATATCCAGATACTTCAGGACGGTCTCGAGGGCTCTTCCATTGAGGTCCTGGGTCGCATATTGGTGCATCTCCTTGGTGTCCACGACGTCCAGAACATTCATGGCATCGGTGATGTTGTATTTCACCGAGCTCTGGAGATACTTGATATCGGCGCTGCGCTCGTGGAAAACGAGGACCACGTGGCGCGGCTTGACGGTGCCGTCAGCGGGGTCGACCAAGGTTGCCTTGTCAATCAGCTGCTGGAGAATCGAGGGGATTGTGGCCACCTTGGCCCACTCGCTCGTCCTGATTCAATATCGTCAGCATACGACTCACTTTCCCTGCTTGAGGTGGCGGGACAAACCCAAAGTTGAAGCTCTTAGCGCAGCTTGGGACAAACTGGCCGTTCATAGCCCACCTGTTCTCCTCAATGCGGATGTGACGAGCGCGGATGAGCGGGAACCAGTTCTTGCCGCCGTCGCCTGGCGCAACAGATCTGATATCGTTCGTATCAAGCATAGCTATGCCGACTTCGGTGAGGACAGAGTGGTCTTTTTCCCATGCCTCGGTATCAATGGCCACGAATAACACCGAGTTCTCTGGCTCATGAACCATGGGAGAGTGAAAATCAATAGTCGGGCGAACGCCATCCGCAACAGTCGACTCAGGCGAAAGCTTCTTACGGAGACCGAGGTAACGCTGGACTCGCTTGACGGACTTGCCCCAGGTTTTGTGGAGTGTGACCCGTTTCCTCCTTTTGTTATCCGACTTGGAGGGCTGATGAAGCTTTCTCTTCTTGGCATTCTGAACAACATAGAGGTGGCTCATAAACTCCTTCTTGCCAAGCTCGGTCGCGTTGCCCACATCGTCTTCGGGCTTGGGCGCCGGGATAGCCGCACACAGAGATTTGAAGCACTCGGCGCTGTTTGAGCGACCCAAGAAGCGCGGCCGGGGGCTGTTACCGAGACCGAACGACATCTTGAAGTCCCCATGGTTCGGACCCGGCGGGATAGTCAACTCGGTTTCGAGCTTGGCGTTGATCGCGTGCAAGAGATCCTCGAACTGGTAAGTTGGCACAAATATAGCGGGATTACCCAACTTCTCAGGATGATGGAGATAGTATCTACTTGCTGTCAGTACAGGCAATGTGTGAAGATAGAACTAACGGCTTACAGATCCCAGACTCGGTCCTCATGAATACCGTCCAGGGTAAAGAACGGTGCAGCCTATGGGAAGAGTTAACAAAGGCTGCCTCGTGCTTTTCTCTTCCTCTTGTGATGGATTCCTGAGCCTACTTACTCGGCGGCTGTTTTTCTTGCCAACGAACATGGTCGGGTAGCCCTCAACGAGGTCCCACGACACGAAGATATCTCCATCGGCGGACAAATCACCCATGGCGAGGCCAGTCTCCGGCCAGACGACATTGTTCAGAGCAAGCGACGTCTCACCCTCGTGGCCACCATCATCCTCGTTATTCGAGGCTTGGCCATTCTCTTGATCGGCTTCCTCCTCAGCGGCTTCGACTTCGACGGAGAGCCAGGCGGAGCGATCGAAGCGAGCCCATGCCTCAGTATCGCCCGCGTAAGTGCACAGACTGTGGAGGAACTCATCGTCGTCCAGGGCAGCCGTCTCAGCGACAGCCTTGTCTTCTATGGCTGGCATCTTCAAGGACAGATGCACGTAACCAGCTTGAAAGGCTCAAGATGAACGACATTAGAGGAGGGTCGAAGTCTGCGCCGGCTTTCTGGCCAAAGAAAGAAAACAAAGTAGGGTAGAGTTTTCACAGAAGTGGCCGGAAGGATGAAGCAGAGGTGTGGGAAAATTCTCGCCGGCCACTACCCCTCGTCGACGGGACCCGCATCGCCGACTAAGCGGCAGGAAAGATGGTGACAGTGCCTTATCCTGTCGATGTATGCTCATCAAGTAATCATACGGTCCAGTGAGGCTTCAGAATACGCACTCGACGCTCGGCGGCCGCTATCGACACTGTCAAACATATATACGGGCCATTAGAAAATCACAAACTCACCTGAGGTTGATCCGGTTGACGCAATTCAGTCACTGGCTCTTTCCTTTAGCATAGTGGTCAATGGTGTTTTGTCTCGCAAACGGTTACCTACGTAGGGGATAGGCGGTAAGCAAACAGAAAAAAAGGGGGAATTGGGAAAACAATTGTTGAAGGATGTGCAAGGGTTCACAAACACACTAGCTTCAAAGCATTCAGGGATAGGAAAAGAAAAAAACATGAGCAGGGATGACGAAACACCTTTATCAGACGGCCACAACTGAAAACACATAGAGAACAACTTACGATGGGAACTGTTCACATATATCATGACAGTTTGTATCATGGGCGGCGCCAAGACATGTAGTGTTAGGTTGTTATTTGCGATCACATACGGTCAGCCAAATGCGGATGCCGAACCGCAGGCCTCACCACACTTGACTCGACGGCAGAAAGAAGATCGGCCGCAATGGGCACCGAAATGAGTTACGCCGATGAATTCGAAGCATCAAAGCATCCCGTCCTCTAGCGCCATGGAAGGAGGCAACTTATGTAGCTGCCTTCAACATGATGAGATGAGACGCATGTGTTTTTAGCTCTGTCAGGAACGACCCGCACAGCATGCCCAATATTGGTAGACCTCCAAGGGACCAGTTTCTAGGTACCTCATAGTACCTTCCTTGCAATGCGGGATGTGTAGAGAGCTACTTCCACTCTCACTTCATGGGGTCGCTATCTCCCGATAGTGCAAGTGCAAGTCAAACAGAAACAAACTGTCGACAGATCATCTCGCAAACTAGCCAAACCGTCAGCAAATCCCCAGTCACAAACCCGCAAGAAATAGAAACTTACCGCCTTCGCCTCCTCTTCTGTCACTTCGGATGCCCCGGACTCACTTTGCGTAATCAGGCCCAGATGGCCCCCTACAATATACTTGAACCACATCTCTCTGCGGTCCCCGTTCAGTTCCCCGCTCAAGAGACTCTTCTTCAGCGCCGTCAGGAACTTGTTGTACAGCGCTGGGAACTCGAGGCTGATGAGCTCTTCCCGCATAACAAGCAGATTCTCCGCCGCCCGGGCGTAGAGGAGGTCTGCAAAACTGTCCTGGATGAGCTTGCAGATGATTTCACCCATCTGCTTGACAGCCTTTTCGACTGTGGCATCGTCCGTCGCAGTTGCTAGGGTCTGCTTGAACTCGGGTATCGAGTTCTCCATGGAAATATTGGTGCGTTTTCTCTCGCCCAGGAGGGAGTCCACGTCAAGCCCGGATAGCGGCTTGACAGCCTCCTTTCTGCCGCGCCTACCTTGGGCCTTGGCAGGTACTGTATCTGCCGTGTTAGCTAGCCGTAACGCTCAAGAAGCTGCTTAGGGGGCGTACCCTTCTTGACCTCAGCGGCGTCAATCAGTGCTTCTATATCCGGTTTTGCCTTGTCTATCAGCTTCTCAGGAGGCTTGGAGTAGCGGAGCAGAATTTCGGCCGGCGGCTCAAGAGGTGCTTCTGGATCCACAGCACGCGCACGGATTGCTTGGTTTATGCGGTGAATAACTGGATTGTACGAGTCGTCAATTGGCGCATACTCTGCCGGTTTCCTGCACTAGTGTCAACGCGAGCTAGGAAGATGGACTGTAACACATACCCCTCCTCGTCTTCGCCAAAATTAGAGAGATCCATGGAATCGACAAAGTCGCTCATCGCCTGCTTCAAGTCGTCCGAAGGGAGTAGCCGGTGTTCCTTGAGGATACTGCCGGTGACGGTGAGCACCTTGTCTAGCGGAGGAAACTGGTAGCTGCGGACGTCTTCAGCGAACGGCAGGGGAACGTCGTAGAGACATTCAAACTCGTCCTCAATTCCGGGGTTCGGCTTAAGCAGGAGAATTTGCGGCTGAGCCAAGTCCTTCTGCACGTATCTCGCTACGGCATAGGACTCAAGCTCATGGAGGGCGTGAATGAATGCTGAGAGTGCCAGCTCCGCCTGCTCGTTGTGTTTTTGGGCTACGATGATACCAGTCTCACCCATATTAATAAAGGGATCGTACTAAGTGCCATAAGTCGTCAATATTTGATAAGCGGAATCGAGGAAGGAGGGGCTTACGCTGCTGAATGGTACAAAACCGAGGATCGTAAACGATTTTTTAGTCTCCAACTTCGTGATTGACATATCCGACTCACTGAAGGGTACAACGGTCCGGCCATACTGGTAGCCTTTTGCGAGGTCATCGAAGTCAACGTCCCGTTTGCCGCCGGGGGCATCGGGATCATTGACCTTGTAGCTGCGCATATACTTCACGCCGGAGAACTCGGTGCCCCCCATTTCGACGTCGCCATCAATTGTTTGGGACTGTGATGGTACGCCATAGTCGGGGCCGATGACCACGGTGCTTGCTGGAGGTGGGACGGCACGCTTCGTCTTGAAGTACCGCTCGACATGGATGCTTATAGCGCTCTCGTATTTGCTAGGGTCTCCAAGTGTGAGAGGGCCATCATAAGCCTTGAAGGGTCTCACGGGCTTGATGCGCGGAACTGCCAACTCCTCGACAGCCTGCGCCATTGTTCCGAACACGCCATTCTTGCACTGATCAACTAGCTTCCGCAGGATGTTCTCGTTTTTCGCCTGCCCAGAATCAGCAGTGCTCGCAAGGAGGCGACAGCGCAGCCTCTCACGTCAGCTTACCTTCAGCGACGATTTATCCTCCTCCTTAAAGCCGTAATCGGGATCGTCGAAGTCAACTCCACTGAGAGGGTTAGAAATCGTTGGTCGGCGGTGGCATTGACACAACTCACATAACCACCAACTCGATGTTGACGTCGTTGAGCCGCTCTGCAACCTCTTCGGAAGAGTCATCATCGATTGGTGACTCGCCGTTCGTCACGAGGATAATCTTCCGGTGGTATTTGAGCTTTTTGGTAAACTCTTCGATCATGGAAACGGCAACCACAATTGCCGAGATTGCGTCTCCTCCGGAGCTGTAGGATGGCTGGATACTCGACCGCAACTCCCGAAGCGAGCTCATAGTCATGGGACCAATGTCCTGGAGCACGGATATATGCTCGTAGCCCTCTAGCCCTTCGCGGTCCTGGGCGTTGTTGGTCTCCTCGGTGTTGAGGCCCACAACGCCGACCGTCCACGTCTTGCGGCTGGCAGCGACAGTAGTTGTAATCTTGTCCCAGACATATCGCATACCAAAATCAAGGTCAGACTCCTTACGACCATTGTGGCAATCGGCCATCGACTCGCCCAGGTCGACGATGTAAACTGTCGCTTCTTTGTCCGCCATTGCTGCAATTGGCCTCGTCCTCTGTCTGCAGTTGCAACCAGCGACTATGGAAACCAATCAAGGTGCCCGTCCAAGGCAGACAACCGTGGCGGTTGCTGATATATGTTTCGTTCCGGATGGCATAGTCTATCAATGAGTCCCAGGCAGCACCTCGAGACTAACGCGCTTGAGGGATTGCTGCCTCGCGTGAGCACATGGGTTCGCGTCATTGTTGCAATTGACAGTGCGATTTAGCAGGAGCACGGGACTACTGGTAGTGTACTAGTATTTATGGAATACTACCTTACAGGAATCCGTGGCTCTGTTACAGCCTTACAGGTATGGTACTTTACATACATAACCCGTAAGACCCACAACAGCCACAATTGGGCCAAGCATTAGCTCATGCATTGGCGATCTGACAGCTCATCGCAACCTCACTTCACTTTCACTTTTGTTGCTTTGAGACATTATCTCCAGGTTTACTATTCTGATACGCTATTAGATCGAGTGCTAGTGAGCTGCAACAACACGATGGGGTTCCTCTCACCCGCTCCGTATCACATTCTCAGGTTAGATATACCATATGGCTATCCCGTTCAACTTCGCATCTCGCTGAGTCCCTATTGATGGATCCCTCGACTAATAATTACAACCTACCAGCTATGGCACTCTCCTCGGCACAACCTTCTTCCACACCTTTGTAGGCGGCATCGTCTCCTTCCGGGTGCTAACTCGACCGCAATTCGCCGCTCTCATGGCCAAGATCTTCCCCATTTACTTCAGCATGCAGACGGCGCTCCCGGCCGTCATGGCCTTGACCTATCCGGGGAGCAAGAACCCGTTTGGCAGCGCCGGCGGGGTGTCTGGGGTGCTCGACCCGTCCAACCGGTGGAGTGTACTGGCTCCGCTAGCCAGCGCTTTCCTCTGCTCGCTGGGGAACTTGGTCTTTATTGGACCTGCGACGACCAAGTGTATGGACGAGAGAAGACAACAGGGTAGGCTGAGCTGGCTGGTTGATTCGAGCGGAAGATATGCTGACAACAGAGCAGAGAAGAAGGACGGCAAAAAGTCGTATGACCCGCCGCCGCACTCGCAGGAAATGGTGGCTCTCAACAAAAAGTTCTCCATGCTTCACGGCATTTCGTCGCTGCTGAATCTGGGGACCTTCATTGCCTCAGTGGTGTATGGGGTCACGCTGTCGTCGCGGCTGTCGTGAGTACCAAACCACCGTCCGTTGGATTTCATGGGTAGTAGTATTCCCTCGATTCTATCTATCTATGCATACTCTGTCGATGTGAAAGCAAGGAAATTATGAGTCCGTTCAGAGGGCCGAAACGCTGTGCCAGGTCACCTAGAGCAAAGAGAGAGAAGAAAGAAAATTGTGGTTCTGTTAATCCCGATGCTCCACCTCAATGGGCTTTTTCGCACGATCGCCATATTCCCAGCCCTAAATGAGAAGAATAAAGCAACACTACCGTTACGCCATAGCATGCGGATGCTCCTTCTGTCTATCTAAGAACGCTTGAGAACCGAGAGGCCGAAAACCGGAAACGATCTCAGAGAACCCATCCACCAAAGAAAACCCATCGCGGAAGTGACGCCGAATCTCCAGGCTTGCCACACAACTAGAGAAAAAGAAAAGGAATAGAGGAATTAGGCCTTCTTACGCCGGCTCTCCAGCTCAGCCTTGGCCCTCAACAGCTCCCTCTTAGCCTCCTCGAACTGACGCGCTCGCTCGGCGGGGTCCAACGGCGCGGGGGGCGTCACGGCGCGTGCATTCTTGACATAGTGACCAAGCGACCACTTGCCTGGCGGGCGGGCCAGCAGCTCATCCAGGCTTGGCTCGTGCGCCGGCTTGGGGAAGTCACGCGACAGGGCGTCGAGGGCGACCACCTCCTTTGCCGAGCGGCGGGGCGCAAACTCCGAGTCGTTGTGCAGTGAGCTGGCGGCGCTTCCTGATGCTGGTGCTGCTGTTGATTTTGCTGGAGCAGGAATCGGAGCCGTGGTTGCGCGCTCTGGATTCTGCGGCAGTTTGACGTTGTCGAGCTGGAGCTCTGAGGGCGTCGTCGCTGTTGACGAGATGGTCGACGTCATGGAAGGCCTGCGGTACGATACCGACGCAGATGGGGAGAAATAGTCGCGCTCGCTGGATTTGAAGGAGGCTGATGAGGCGGACGCCGGGGAAAGAAGGGAGAGAATGGGGGAGGTTGCTTTCGCCGAGGTTTCTTTCGCCGAGGATGGCGGCGGCGGCATTTCGGTGCTCTTTGTTGCCATGAAAAATCTCGGAAGGAGGAGAGTCGCCCACGAAAAGAAGGATGATGAATTTTGCGGCGGCGAGGTGGTGCGCGAGGGCTGTGAGGAGAGGTCGGCGTAGAAGGGGTCTTCTGGGGAGAAAGCCATTGTGGGCTAGTGTTTTTAGGCGCTTTGAATATTCAGATCGAACCCTGGATTAATGCCGTGTTCCTGGTCCCCGGGAGTCCGAACTCCCAGGTTGTTCCCAGCAGCTTTTCTTTAAGAAACTTTTAGAACAGGTAGGTGTGCTCTGATGGACCTAGGCTAGGAAGGCGATGCGGTCCGGAATCGGTGGATACCCCCACGGCAAGTATCCACACGATTAAGCTCGCAAGGTGTCTCGTGATGCCTGATGACTGAGCTAATAAGAAACCTGGGCTCGTCAAGAAGGATCTGAGATCTTTCTGAGAGTAGAAAATGGAGCGGAATGAGTGCGAGAAAGAATTCAAGAGGAAGGTACGCCGATTTGTGTTTAGTAACGTTGATCCCGCTCTAGTTCGTCGTCCCCCGAGGTAAGGTACCTAAGATAAGGAAGCACCTTGATCGGTGAAGCCTCGACGGCTGTGTCTGCTCAAGCGATATGGGGAGCCGTGGAGCGTTCGATAGGGAGGAATACTCGTATTTGAGTTTGTGACGTTGATGGAAGGCGTGATTCACACACGAGCTGCCGCCACTGATGGAACTTGAACGAGCAAAACGAAAGACAAGAATAATAATACTATTAATGGATAAGATACAATGCAAGAAGAGTGAGTCGGGACCTTAACAGACTTGAAAAGGAAGTGCCCAACGGGGGAGCATATATATAATTTCAAGGGCTCCTCCACCGGCGGACCCTGAAGCCCTGAAGCCCCCATCGTCGCTTCGCTTCTCAACGCCGACCGCTCGGTCCAGCCACGCCACGGGGAACTCTCCCGCGCCTCCACCGGGGGACCAGGAAAACGACACAGGGCTACCTTCTGCAAAGATCTGCCGTTCTCGCATACACGTGGAACCCCACCGATAGTTTGGCTCTCAAAGTTTGGGATGGGCTCCGATAGAAGGTCGACATTTGGTCCCCCGTGGCCCAATCCGGCCGTTTGGTGTTGTTCTTGGCGGCCACAGGAGAAGCAGTTGTCACCGAAATGAAGTCCGAGACGTGGGTTTCGGTGATGCGGACTTCTGATGATGAATCTCCTTCCAAGTTGAACAGTTGATGATCTGCTCCGATGCTGGGAGTTTCGAACCCCACGCTTGAGACAAGCGTCCCATATCTGCCCAGCAGCAATTTCGCGGAGTGATCATGTGGACATTCTGGAAGTTCACTAATTTGACTGCAAGCCAGCGACCCTTGTCGCGGCTGAAGCGCCGACCGGGTCCGTGGGATACTGTAGTACTGTCAATGTCAATAATGTTATGCCATTGAAGGTCTAGTGTAGGTGAATAAAAGCCGCAGCAGAAGATGCTCGTCATGTGTGCAAGTATTAGAAGTGCTTTTGCTTTTGGTACCCCCATTCCCAATATGTACATACTGTACTTGGGCAATAACTATGGCAATGAGAACCCCCTTTTCCTGATTATAATACACCGAACATATACATACACACTACTTCGTATTCCTCCCCCAATAACATTAGCGATACACAACACCTCTAGACACACGGCCAAAAGTGGGTCATGACCCAACTGAAGTTACCACGATTGCGCCAAGGTAGGAGATCTACCCCGTATCGGGAGTCTGAATGGATGTGGCTATGCGAAGTGGCAGTTGTCCCATATCCTCCCCGTCTTTCTTTCAGCCACGAGCGAAGATGCATAACAGCTGCATTGCAGCCAGACCCAGGAGGACTGCCCCGTCCTCATGGTTGGAGACTGGGGTGGATAGTTCTGGTCTTGCGGCATGTATGTACACTTCTCCTCTGTACATTACTTCTGTTTCTCCTTGAGCTTTTTGGCAAGGTCGCTAGTCCGGATAATTCTAGGCATCACGACCGGCGTCTTGTATGGAGCGAGACGTTTCGGAACAAACATGCCCACATTCCGTTGATACTCGGGGTATTCGGAATACTTGCCAGCGGTGATAAGCTCCGTCAGCCAAGTTGAGCCTTGGAAGAGCAGGATAAGGAACGACGGCCCAACAGCGGCCCAGTTGTACAGCGTCTTGCTCGTGAAGCAACTCCACTGATAAAGGATGAACCAAATGGACTGTTCAGCGGCGAAATTGGGGTGTCTGCTGTATCCCCACAATCCGGATGTGATGAATCCTCGATCCAGATCGGCCTTCTGGAAGCCACCAGACACCTTTCCTGAGCTCAGGTACTGCTTCTTCGCGGCCTGGTAGACTGTAGGTTACACACGGTCAGCCCTGACTTCTCATACTGCGCAGGAACAAGGACAGGCCTACCCCACTGCTGCTGGTCAGAGATATACTCGACGAGGACGAGCAGAAGCTCGATCACCAAGTAGGCAATATCAGCATTGCTGACATGGGGATCAATCCGGGACGCGAGGAGAATGGTATAGACTGGGGCAGCGATCAAAAGAAGCAAAACGCTCTGGATGAACGAGATGAAGGTCCAGTTGAAGACGTGGAACACGGCTTTAGGTACGTAACCGCGGACAATCTCCCTGAAAAGCGTCAGTATGATTTGCTCGTCCCCTATGTGAAAGACACTCTCACCATCTATAATCTTCATGGCCCACGTTGTAGCCCCCTTTCCTCCAGTAGTTGAAAGTAAGGCGTATCTATGGAAGGATGCACGGTCAATACAGTCCTGTTCCCCTGGCCCAAGATACCTGTCATGCTTACGCTCCAAATGGTGCTGAAGAGTAAGGCTAAGTCGATGCGCTGGGCAGGTACACCGGTCAGGCGCGCCCACGCATCAAAATGAGCGATGTACAGTGTCGGCAGCAGGCTCCAGCAACGGTCAACTTGCGAATAGTTGCGGTTGATTTCGGCGACGACAAGGAACACGGCACCAAGGACCAGCGAGACGGCGAACCCAGATATGAGGGGGTTTGTTTCACGGTAGAGATTCAACAAGCCTTCACGACTCCATATGACGTCGAGGAACTTGGCGGGCAGAGCGTAGAGCTGGGGGATGAAGGGCTGCACGGCTTTGGAGAAGTCGGCGCAGTCCTCCAATGCGCTGATGTTGGGAAGCGCCATATAGACACAATTTTAGTTAGTTCTGTAGAGTCCAGTCTATATGTTGACTTGTGTAAATGCTGTCAGGCGGATGTGATGTGAATTATATTTGAACCATGAAGCCCGTGCCGTCATCGGTGTACCTGGCACTGCCTAACAGGAGATCCATTGGATGCAAATATCCTAAGACCCACAATCTGGATATGTAACGTTACAAACTTACCGTATTCTTCTGGGTATTGGAATGTAACAATACGCGTATTCTCTTACAATACAGTACTCATTCGCCAAACGCGTCTTCAGTTATGTCGATTCTTCTTCCATCTCACCACCGCCAGCACACCACGCTGCGGTGTCAGCCCAGAAGACGCGCCAGGACTGCCTACCGCGGGAGATGAAACGAGGCTCCCCTGAAAAGTGCTATTGCCGTCTGCCATTAACTTGATGAGCCTTTGGGAAAGTGCGAGTGCTGTAGATCCCGAAGCTGAAGACACCTCAGAATCAAGGGATTTTCTTTATGCTTGCCTTCTGATGCAACGCGCTCCTCCCTCGGGCTGCCAGTTTCAACCTTCTCCGACACCTTCCATCATATCCCCCCCAAAAAACTCTAGGATGACTCTAGAAGCAAAGAAAGTTGCCTCTCCATCACTCCGCCGAGACTACCCAAAATTATCCTAGAGATCCGGGGCATTTGGCACCTGGTCATTGTTCGGGCTGTTGACATCGGCCAACGGGGAATTATGACGCGCATTCTCTGCGTAGCTGAGAAGCCTTCCATCGCGAAGGCAGTCGCCTACCATCTCTCTGGAGGCGCGTACCAGATCGTAAGGTGCCCTGGACTCAGCAAATTGCTTCCCGGTCAGACGGCAGAGCTAACATGGCTCCAGCAAAACACACGTGACACCTACATAAAGAACTACTCGTTTGATTTTGACTTTGGTGCGCCATGGGGACACTGCTCGGTTACTATGACTGCCGTAAAGGGTCATCTCACCGCTTTGGAATTTCCCCAAGACTTCAAGCAGTGGGAGTACCCGCCCCCCGATCGCTTGTTCGAAGCACCTGTCCAAACGGTGATACCGACGGTAAGTAATGTTGTTCGTTTCTGCTGGCCTCCAGCCACAGGTCCTCATGCGCTTGCCAGGACAACAAGCACATCGCCAAGAACATCGAAGACCTGGCGAGACGTGTCAGTGCGCTCGTCATCTGGACCGACTGTGATCGAGAGGGTGAGCATATCGGCAGTGAGATCCGCGATGCGGCGAGGAAAGGCAATAGTCACATCCAGATCAAACGGGCTCGGTTCAGCAATGTGGAGCGAGCGTAGGTGCATTCTCTCTACCCGTCATGCATATGCTGAAGGAGCGAGCCTTAGACACATTCTCTCCGCCGCCAGGAGACTAGTTGCGCTTGACGACAGGCAGGTTGATGCTGTCGCCGCCCGCATTGAGCTCGACTTGAGAATCGGCTATGCCTTCACTCGATTCTTGACTCTGAACCTCCGAACCTTGGGGGGTGCCATGTCTGAGCGCACAATAAGTTATGGTATGCTTGATTCCCTATGCTGCCCATCCGAATCAGTCTAACTTGCAAGGATCTTGCCAATTTCCGACTCTCGGCTTCGTTGTCGACCGGTACTTTCGCGTCAAAAAGTTTGTGCCGGAGCCCTTCTGGGGAATCAAGGTGATGCATGAGAGAGACGGCATCAAGGTCAACTTCAACTGGTCGAGGCATCGGCTGTTTGACCGCATGGCGGTTGTAATCCTTTACGAGAGATGCCTCGCTGCCAGATTAGCCAAAGTCACCAAAGTACAGGAGAAGCCAACCAAGAAGTGGAAGCCTCTCCCGCTCACAACGGTCGAGCTGCAGAAGATGGCCACCAGGTTTCTCCGCATAACTGGTCAGCAGGCCATGACGGTAGCGGAGAAGCTATACAATAGGGGCTTCATCAGCTACCCTCGTACAGAAACAGACCGCTTCGACAAGGGAATGGATCTCCGGGCGCTCGTGAGGAAACAGACCCAAGACAACAGGTGGGGTCAGTTCGCACAGGGCCTTGTCGATGGAGGTTTCCAGCAGCCACGCCAGGGCCGCCACGACGACAAAGCCCATCCGCCCATCCACCCGATTACCTATGCAGCTCCGCAGGTCCTTGACGAGAATGAAAGAAGGGTCTACGAACTTGTTACCCGCCGCTTCCTTGCTTGTTGTTCCGAAGATGCCAAAGGCTTTGCCACCGACATCGAAATCCTTTATGGAGAGGAGACGTTCAATGCTCATGGTGTCATCGTTTTGGAGCGCAACTATCTGGAGGTATATCCCTACGAAAATTGGACCGGAACAGCCGAGCTCCCCAAATTTACAGTAGGAGAGCGATTTGAGCCCACCGAGGCTACGATGACGGAGGGGAAAACCTCTCCTCCGGGATACCTTACTGAAGCCGACCTCATCGCTCTCATGGATGCGAATGGAATTGGCACAGATGCAACCATGGCCGAGCACATTGAGAAAATCCAGGAGAGGGAATATGCGAGGACCGTCGAACGTGGCGGAGGAGGCGCGAACCAGGTCGACGACAATGACGCCGAGGACCCACCTGCGAGGGGCGGACGCGGCGGGCGGAGGGGCCGTGGTGGCCGCGGAGGTGGACGGGGCGGACGTGGCGGGGGCAACAGCCGTGGAGGGCGAGGTGTCAAGGAGTTTATTCCGACCAGCCTCGGAGTCGCCCTGATTGAAGGATTCGATCGAATGCGCTTCGAGACGAGCCTCGGTAAGCCCTTTCTACGCAAGGAGATGGAGCTTAAGATGAAGGCGATTTGCGAGGGCCGGACGACGAAACAGGTCGTGTTGCGAGAAAGCCTCACTCAATATCGGCAAGTCTACAACCAGTCGAGAGAAGAGCTCAACACTCTCAAAGCAGTAAGAGCGCCACGGCGTCCTACCCAGCTCGTTTGCCCATTGTTCTTTTTTAACAAAATGTATAGGCCTGCCGGCAATATGTCTTCCAGAATGGAGGATAGCAAGCACACACCGAATCGTGTCTCTCAATGTAGCTTGAATGTTAGTTTGCATCGGAGCTAGTGCGGGGAAACATCGCCCTCCCGACAGCTCTAACACGAGGCGTGATCAACAACGACCCGTTGCCGAGACGTAGTGCAATCGATTCAGCGGAAGGCAAGACGGCGACGGCGACCGGGAGCGGGATTTCATACGGTTGATGTTACGGCCCGCCAGGAACTTGCGAGGGGTTCCTCTGCCGAAAAGCGGACGCAAGTTGAACTAAAAGCTGTGAAACAAATTGCAGAGCAGGACAGCAGAAGACCCGTCACCTTCGAATCGCACCTTTCCAGCCACTCAATTGGCACCGTGATGCAGAGAATGGACAGACTCAGAGCCGCGGCGAAGAACCGGTGCTACCACGGATAACTTCGGGTTCCTTGGAGAGGAAAGCCCCGCATAGAGAGAATGTGCCTCATCAATTCCAGTGGGACTGGCATCCCAATCGACGAACGTCTGCATGCCGCCAGAAATTTTCTTTGGGCTACTGAGAGGTCCATCTCCTTCCGGTGGACTCCCAGCTTCAACTATTTACTCTCACCATCGGAAGCTAGTGGGTCCCAATCTGGGGATTGTCGGGATTGACATGGTTGCAGAATTTCACAACGTGGGGGAATCGGACTGGATGATGGGGCAGCCATCTGCAACGACTCACAGCGCGGTACCCCCTTGCTCAATTCAGACACGCCCCTGGTGTTCGGGTTTGCAACACAATCGATCGACTCGAACAACTTCTCAAATCCGAGCCCTATTGTTACCCAACAGCACGCAACCTGAGGGAACTCATCAACCGTCAACATCCCGCACAGGGACGAGGCAAGGCAGATTCACCGGAAGGGTCATGTGGTCTCAGATATGGGAGGCATGCCAATCAGGCTCATCAGGTTATCATTCCTTGGGCGGCGGGGTTACGAGAGCATTGAGGGGTCTTTTGCGCCATTTCATCCACGGGAGTATTCGGGCATTTGACTGCCGGCCGGCCGAAGGCAGGTCGCTAACACGGCGCCGCAGAGACAATTACAGAGGATGTTAGCACTAGCGGCGTGTGGCGCGCGTTGGGAGTTACATTTGGGCCAGAATATGCCTTCGTGTTTTGTCGTTCGTAGAGGACCTCTTTGTAACCGCATGATATGAGGGGTTTGCTCAGCATGCTATTCGATGGGTGGCTTATCGAGGTCGTGCCATATGACCGGGCTGACTGAGTGAATGCGAAAGGGCCTGTATTGATAAGGTAAGCATTTACGGAGCTATAACACCTCAAACAAGTGGACAGGATTAGAAACAAGCCGAAAGCAGGCTCGCAAAACGCATGCCTCGTGAGAGGGGATCTGCTTCGTCATCATCCTTTGGGAGGAAACATCCAGAGAATTGGGAGAGTTGCGATGCGAATTGATCATGGCACTCACACTGTATATAGCCGTATCCCATGCAAGCTCCACCGAGCTAACGTTATCTTCGTTCTGGGGTTTGTGATCAATGATATTCAATGCAGCGTTCTACATGCTTTCCCCTTTTCGTTTCAAACCCTAATGGCCACTGCTTTGTGGGCGAAATCTAAATCGTTGGAAGCATCTCGCAAACCGCGTCGCACATCCGGCGCACATCTACTGTACCCATCACAACCCATCAAAGGGATAGGTCGGACTCAACGAGATGAAAAAACTGTTCAGTGCAGAGGCAGCCGTTCTATTTCCTTTGTAGCCAGTCAATGGGCAATGCCAGTGGCACGGTGCAGCAATGGGCTTTCCGGTCGCACCAGTCAGAATTTGTGTTTTCAGTGTGTGCACGCCAAGATTGCTGCACAAAGGTGCACCCACACCCACGCTTGTCCCATCTGGCAATGCAGCCACTACTGGGCCACCCTGGTCATGGAAGTCCGGCGGCCAAAGTGTGAAAGCCATGGTTGCAGCAGTCGCTGCCCGTCAGCAAACGCTCACCTGAACAGTGACGTACTTGTACCTTTTGCAAATGGTACTTCATGGATGGCTTGCAGCCTGCCGCGCTTCCTTGTATATGGTGAGCCTGAGTACCTAAGGTAACCCGTTCCTCCTACGTTAGCCATGATGGTGTTCTCCTACCCAGGCACAGCACCGGGTTGGTTTTATTACCATGCCCTGGCCTGCGCTTCCTGGCTGTCCTGTCCCTTTTGCCTCTCCAAAGCAACAACAACGCGACATTTCAGACACTTGACTTTACCAAGAGAGAGTCATCTCTGTCACAGAAGATCATCGCAGCAGCTCTGCCATTTTGCCCATCACCCTCTCGTCGGACCAAGCCTCGTCTTCGCCCGACCAAAAGTCGCTTTACAAAAGCCGCGCATTGCTTCAGAGGTTAGTGAGTGTGACTCAGCCCACCCGTCAGACGCTCAACCGACGACACCGTCGACGGGCCCATCATGGCTCTCGCCCACGGCAACAGCCCAAGGCAGCGAAGGCATCGCAACGCGTCCCGCTCGGGAAGGAGTGCTGACATACGGTTGCGCCGCCTTGCAGACACGTCTCGAAGCAAATCAACACCCCCAAGCGTCAACATGGCAACTCTGGCATCTGCTGTTCGCGATATCGCCATGACCTCCGGCCGAGACAACTTAACTGCTGTAGCGGCCAGGAGCGTCCCTGTGACAACCCATCCGACCACCCTTCCGACTCCGCCCAACTCTATATCTCCCTCGCTGCCTCCCCACGGATTGAAAGCCCAGCTGCAGAGAGCGCGTCTCGAGTCCATCGACTCGGATTTGGACCTGCACGACACGCGGGAGGAACACTACGCGGGGATCGAGTCGCCCCCTTATGACTCTTCGGGCGCCATCACCTCGGCCATGCTGGCCAAGTTCCACCTGCCCGAAATCCTGCTGGACCACGGCCCGCTGCCCATCCGTCATCTGATGGGATATCTCACAACCTCAGTCCCGGGCTTCGCGGGGATTCCCCCGGCAAAGGCGCGTAGACTGGTCGTGGGAGCTCTGGAAGGGAAGGGTGGCAACGGCGGGATTGGCGGCCCGGACGGTGACGTGGAGTTCATGAAGGTGGGCTGGGGACGGTGGGATGCGAAGCGACGCGGCCAGCCCGCTCGGGATCCGCCCTCGCGCCGCACATCACCTGGTGCCGGCGCCTACCCTGCAGGCATCCCAATCACCAAGGCTGCCGGACGGAACACAGACCGGTCACGTCTTGCAGCCACACTCGGATCGAGTCTCGGCGCCGATTCCTCAGCCGCCTTCTCGCACGACGACCGCTTCATGGATATGATGGACCACGAGGCTGACAAGATGTCTCTGGACGGGTCCGGGTCGGCGTCGTGTTCCGAGGCTCCCGACGACGACGTGAGAATGCACAACGACGACCCCGAGGACGCAACCGACGACGAAGACTGGGCAGCTGTCGGCGCCGCGGCGCTCCGCGCGTCGTCGTACCAGGCCCGGTCTAATCAGCAATTCTCCCCTTTCAACACTGTATATAGTTCGGGCGGCAGTGGGGTTCGCTCTTTCTCGGCAGGGATGGCGCGAGCGCCTCAATTCCGCAATTTTGATTTTTCGGCATCGGCGTTGGGGGCTGTTACCTCTGACGCACAGGAGCGCGAGGCTGTGGAGGCTCTTCTTCGACTTGGATCTATGTAATACCACCACTTTATGCATGGCTCGGCGTTTTCAACAATTGGGCGGAGCATCATCATCATCATCATCCCCGGCAACAACAAAGCATTGCCGGACATGGGAATATTTGGGCTATACGGGATTCTGGGTTTTAGGGACTGGTTGGGATCCGTTTTTTTTTTTTTTTTTTTCATCTCCTTTGTCTTCGGTCCGATGCGTCAAATACCCCAGATCTGAGGTGGTCCTCGGAATGGGAGCGGGATGGGCGAGGCGATAGGAATATTCGGCAGAGACGCGGGATCGTGGTAACCCAACCATGATGCGACGTATATCCTTGGTTACCCCCCATAAGCGCTCGACACCAACGAGGACATCACAAGCCCGTGCGGTCCTTGCTGATAGCCACACATCCTATCTCCGACTGGCGTCTATTCTCACCCCAATGACCTTCAACAACTCGGTGCGGAATCGGCATCCACATTATTCTTTATTCAGGGGCGGACATCGATTGACGCGGCCGACCTGCTTACCCACGCTTCGGCCGGCAACTACACCATTTGCCTCATACTGCTCTTCATTCAGGACACGCACTGCTCACGACCGAACACTTTCATACACCTACGCATATCAACTTTGTAATGACGGACGGAGGATACAGGATTTTGAGACCCTGAGGTAGATTCATCCTCTGGTGATTGAATAAATACTCGCGCGCTCGGCCCGGCAGATATGAATTGAGCGAGAAAAGACACCTCACTCCTTCCTGTATTCACTTGTTGTCTCGACCTGACACCTGCTTGTTGTATATACCCCTTTTTTCTTCTTGAAACTCTGCTTGGCGAGTTTTGAGTTTCCAGGCTACTACCTAGGTCGGCACAGGTCTGTTGACGACGGCCGCTTTTTCTTATGTTTGAAATCGCCGCTAGCTCGGCTTCATGTCTTCTATGATGGATGGCGCCGGGCTGGACTGGGATGGTATTGATTGACTGGATTTTGGCATCTTGCTAAACTCATCATCACTTTCGATGAGAAGAAAGAAGAGAAAAACACAATGATTGGCTGGTTGGGTTTGGCTGGCTGGTCGAATCTCGGGGTGTTACCCTTGTGAGGAAAGTCTTTTGATTGGGGGAGGGGCGGCGCATCTTTGCCACCTTGCCTGGATATCGGTACCTTGGTGGACAGCATATTGATACTCGCCCCTTTACCCGGAGGCTGTTCAAAGCAAGGCAGCCAGGCTAGGGGTGAAGAGAAGATACCATTCAAAAAAGATTAATGGGCGTCTGTCACGTTGGCGGCCCGGACCCAATCCTGAAATTTACGGGCAGACCATGTCCGGTTTGATGTGTTTTGCTTGTGTGTAGTGTGAAGCTGACCATGATCATCGGTCGTATTCTTGCATAGGTATCATCACGCATATGGTATGAGCATGCCCATGGGCCACCTCGGGCTGTTGCTAAGCAGATGGATATGCCAATACCAATCTATTGATCTATCTGCCGTTTCCCAAAAGATAGACACTGAATTCTCTGTACTCCCCACGCTATATGCCCTTCCCTGTTTATTACCGCTCTGGCATAGAAGTCATAAATAAACCCTCGTGTTCCTGAGCGAAATTGGTCCTCCGTGACAAGATCCAGTACCCACCGGGGGCAGGGCGTGATCGTGAAATGCGGAGAAATTCCATATGGTAAAACATTTCGCCCTAGTGCCAGCAATACCGCACCAAGTTTTTGCTTGACAGAGAATGCCTCATCCGTCCTCTCCTGTCCACCTCCTTTCCAATCCCCCCTTGTTACCGTCGTCGTCAAGTTGTCTCATCCCCTCAAAACCGACGAGAAGAACAGTCAAGAAAGCAAAAACAAAGTCCGTTAATTCAACCAATTCATCAACTTTTCCTTTGGCATGGCCGCCTCGTCGCGGCAGCGCTGGCACATGCACCAGCCGCCGAGGCTGCCGCGGGCCCACTCGCGGCGCTGCTGCACGGGCAGGTTGACGTCGCAGTAGTGGTTGAGAATCTCGTCGCCAGCGGCAATGCCGCCCCTGCGGCCGCCGACGACCCTCGTCTCGCGTGCCCACAGCACCATGCGGCCGCCCCATTCCCACGTGACGTTGGGGTCGCAGTCGTGGTTGGCCAGGCACCAAAAGGGGTGGACGGCGGCCACGTCCGGGCGGCCGTCACGCGAGCTCTTGCGGGCTGAGGCGGTGCCGCGGAACTTGGCGTAGGCCGTGTTGAAGACCCACAGGTCGTGGCGGTCGAGCGTAGCATATATGTCGACGTCCATCTTGTCGAGCACGTGCAGGGGTATCTCGATATTGTACCGGAAGGAAAAAGGCAGCGTCCACTCCGGCGGCGGCTCTGCTGTCACGGAGCAGTCAATGTCGTTCAGCCTCGTGGGCACAAAGTCGCCCCAGATGTACTTGATCTCCTTGACCTCGAGCGGGTGGATATCCTGGTGTGCTGCCATGGCTAGGAGGCGCGCAAGGAGCAACAGGTAGAGTGACTGGTCGACGTCGCGGGCGTCGGGATCCTTGGCGATGGCGTCAACGTCCTTATCGCAGACGGCCGGGTGGTACTGCTCTTGGGCCTTTTCGAAGCAGAATTCATCGCAGAATATTGTGTCATGGCACTCTGGGCAGCTGACCGCTTTTGAGTCGGCTTGGAGGGGTGGTAGCTCGGTGCCGCAGGCATCACAGGACGACTCTTTGTGTCGGTTGTTGGCCGTCAGCAGCGAGTACTCCTCCAGAACGGTCTCGCCTGGGGCGATGTCTTCCTTTGCAAAGAGACCTAGCTGGTTGCAGGTGGGGATGATCTCGTAGCCGTCGGTGTTGCTCTCGCCCTCGAGCAAAACGGGCAGGGTCGACACTCTGACCTCGCACTTGGGAGCCATGATGGAGAGTTCGTTGTTCAAGAAGGAAAGGGACTCGTTGGAAAAGCGGTCCGGTTCGTGCGTGTTCCAGGGATAGACTTCCCGGCGCACAACGCCCTGATCGGGAAGGCTATTTATCTCGATGGGCTCATCTGGCTGCTTCCTCAGCCTGCGCCTGGCGACCTGCTCAATGTACCCTTTAATCTCGAGGAGCTCCTTGTTATGGGGCAACATGTTGAGCCCCCTTTCGCAGAAGCTCATTGCGCTCTGCAGACAGCCACAGAGCAGGAGGCTAAGCGATATAATCTGGAAGCAGCGGACAGTGGCGAAATTGGCCAGGAGGTGGTAGGGCTCGACTCCGTCCGGCCCGTCAGCTCCGTCGATTACCCCGGGAAGATCTCGGATGAGGTTGCCATGGTTAAGCACGTCTGGACACGGCGTCGTAGAGTAGCCTCGGAGGGCCTCCCGAGCCCGTTCGTGATACTCGAAGCTTTCGTCACGCACCTCGTCGGCTAGGAGCAGGGCACGGTAGGCATCGCCGGCGGCAAGGTCTGGATATGCAAGGTGAGAATAGACAACGGCCCGTTCCAGGTAGAGGATCAAGTCGTAGGGGGAGGCGGCAAGCGCATCTGTTATCTGCTGGCGGCGCTCTAGGAGGGGTCCGCGGCTGGGGTCCTTGTCGTCGCTAGTGGATGGCGAAGAGCTCTCCATGGTATCCATGGATGTGTGGGTCAGGGGGGGTTCCTCGGTCAGTGGATTATCCGGGAGGATAGAAGAGTGTGGGAGGACAACTATGAAACACCACGGACTAAGAGGAAGAAGTCGAAAGTCCCGGCAGTTATGCGGCACGTATATATAGAGATAGCGAGGCGGCCAGTAGCCCCGATTTGTCGGTGGTAGGTTTTCACTCTTCCGCTACTTCTTCCCCCTTTCTGTCTCTCCTTTATTTTCCTCTCTCTGGACAGACGGATTGTGGAATAGAGAGGAAAAACATGCCCGCTCAGACGGGGCGGCAGCAACTTCACTTGTAGCTGTTGCCAGTCGACGAAGAAAGGGAGACAAGAGGAAGGAAGGCAGGGGGGCAGGAGGAGGTAGGAGGCAGGAGGGACCGAGAATTGTGTGGGTGTTGGTGTTGGTGTAAATATGGTTTCCGGAAAGCCTATGCCAAGGCCAGAGAAATAGGGAAATATCCCCAAGAAACTAAGAATGCCAAAGGAATGGGAAATAACCACCTTAGCTATATAGCATATGTTGTAGTGTATTGGGGCTGCAGGAGCCACAAAGACGGCGAGACCCTGTTTATCTTACACATTGTGATCCCGGGAGTCGTCGGCAGGCACGTTCGCGGCACCGCAGGATGTGGATGCCATCAAGTTGCCGTCCACGGGCCCATCTTGGGCTAGATTGCATTTGTAAGGCAAGGCCTAGACGTACTTGACGCCCATGGCCAATTGTGGTAAGCAGCACAGGGTCCGTCTGCTAAATGCTGGTTGCGAACTTTCTGCTCGGTGCGTCATCGCACTTCAGCTTCTCTGCCATTTTGCTGCCCGTTTTGTGTTGTGCCCCACGCCCAAATCCTGCAGGTGCAGGGGGGTCTGGGACGGTGCCGACAGGGTCTTAGGGGAGCGGAGCGGACGCTCCTAGCGTCCCAGGTTCCAGACACTGTGCGGCTCTGAACCATGGGCGACCAGCTGCTGTGCTAAAAACTTTACTCTCACTTTGTCCCCTGCCCCGATTTTAACTGCGCACGTTTGCCACAACCCCATATATCACAGCACCAACCATGGCGCTGCTCTTATCGAGGAAAGGAAAAAAGAGTCCCCAATAGATCCGCGAAAAGTGTTAAGTTTCCGTCCGGACCCTGCCGGAACGATACGTACAACACGGAGTATACGAATACTGCATGGCGCTGCATCGACGTGTGTGTAGGTCTAGCGAGGTCGAGAATGTTCGCTTGTGCCCCGCAGTGATAGCATGCAGTGGAACAGGGTTCAAAGACTGCCCCTCAAATCATGAGATTCAGGGTCCTGCTGCAAGCGATGGCTTGCATGCAATGGCCGCGGATTATTGGCCCGACAGCTGCTTCGACAATGGTCACTACGTCATAGGCACTCTGCCCGCGGCCAAGTTCATCACAACTTTCATGGTTTTGGCCCTTTCCGTCGCTGCTGTCTGCGACAGGGTCACGCGTCGCCTCGCCTCGCATTATCAACCTCACCCATCATGCCACTCGCTCCAGTCGTTCAAGAGCCGAGAGCAACAGCAACAGCTGCAGGAGGGAGTAACAGCAATAGTTGCAGGAGGCCTCAACCCGAACTCTTTCACCTAAAAGTCAAGGGTAGTTGGTGGCTGACTGGTCCCTAAAACGGGTTCCAACTCTATTGGCCTGCCTTGTATGGTAGATCTAGTGTATATGGGAGAATATGAACTCTTCGGGCCGCTCCCAACCCCTGCCCTGGTGTATTGTACGCTACCGGTAAGTACCTCTAAACCGTCTACCGGAACTCCGCAGTCTCCGCATAGGTATGCACCATCGCCGAGCAAAATCTATACGGACAAACCAAACTGCTGGTCCACCACTCCAACCTGGAATCTCTCTCGGCGAACTTTCCAGACAGCAAAACCTCGTTTTGCGCGACAGCTCCTCACTAGGAAACGGCCGCCCGAAGGTCGCTCAGTCTGTCTACGTAGAATGCGGGAACTGCAATCGGGTCATCGACCTCCCAGTCGGCCTGCTTGTTGACGCCTGTGAGGACGGCAAGGGTTCCGCCTAGCCGTCCTTCTATTCCAAATTTGATATCTGTGTTGAGGCGGTCCCCGACCATGCACGTGCGCTCGCGGTTCAGCTGGAACTTGCCCTCAATAGCATCCATCATGGCCTGACTGGGCTTCCCGAGCGCCAGCGGTTCTTGTCCCGTCATGTACACGAGCGGTATGCTGATAGACCCGGCGCCGGGGAAGAAGCTGTGGTTCATGGGAAAGGTCGAATCCACGTTGGTCGCCAAGAAGACTGCACCGCGTCGCAGGTACTGGAAGGCGTGCGCCAGCTTCAGATAGTTGATGTGGAAATCGAGACCGACAAGCACACATCCTACTTCGGGATCCAACAGAGACCCGTCAGCGAGTCCCTTCGAGTCCTCAGGTGTCATGTCCCTCCTGAAAGCCGGATCAGTGCCGCCAATGAACGGTATGCTTTCGCTCCGAAGCTCGTTCTCGATACCAGCCTCTCCGATGACGAAAACCTTGTTCTTGGGCGGCGCCAGCTTGAGGATCCTGGAGATATAGATGGCCGACGAGTACGCCGAGCCAAAGATTTCTTCAGTGTCTGACGGGATGCCTAACCCCGTGAACTTCTGGAGATACTCTTGCCGGGATTTGGTTGAGTTGTTGGTAACGAAAATCGTCTTCTTGCCTATCGGGGTTGACCGTGAGCGGGCGGCCATGGATTGGGGCGGCGAGGAGGAGAAAGCACGCACCTCTGGAACGCAGGAGTTCCAGCGTCTCGACGACGCCATCGAAAACATGATTCCCAGACCAAATTACTCCTGACAGAGGGAGGATTGTTAGGGGCTCGCGTAGTTCACTCCGGGTCGATACACCATACCATCACAATCCAGCAGGAAGACCTGGGCATGATGAGCTACCGTTATGGGGAGAGCTAGTTTGGGAAAGTATTCAAGCACACACATCAAAGCGATCGATAAATTCGTTGATAGCGGGAATATCCCCCGTGAGGTACTTTGGTTTCGCTGCCATCTTCAAAGAACCTAAAGGAGAAGAGCATTCGGGGGGGCAGAGTCGATCAGGCTTGCTCTTGCTGCCGCTTTGAGCCTACCTCACGCCTGGCATCTATATTGTGCCGAGTGTGTAGAGTAGTTGACGGCGGGAGTTGCAACAACGGCTTGCGGGGCTTTCTTTCGCCGACTTCGCTGAAGGCCGAGCCGAAAACCCCTACCCGTGCCACGCCCCACTTATCCTTCGAGTTCGGAACTCACCCCTCAGGATAAGTGGTGCTCCACACCTCAACGGGCAGGTCAGCTCAACGGGCATTTTGACCACATCTTTGACTACGATTGAGCAAACCAACTACAACTAGCTGAATTAAATAGTAATAACGCCCTGCATAGATAGGTATATGTATCAGGAAGCTAACTGACTAGATTTGAAGCCAGTACCAGAGTAAATGTGGCTATTTTGTTACATTCCGCTGGCGTGGCTCCTGACTACTGTACCGCCCATCTTTGGCTGCACCTATGAATTTAGCCCATACCTAGCTTATTTGAATACTTGCAACGCCTTATATGAATAGGAATATATACAAGGAATAGATTCGTAGGGTCATTGAAGCGAAGATATGGTTGTTAACATTGCTATTGATTGAATACCATACCTTGTTGGCTCATTGCTAGCGTGTAAGTGATATACTTAGGGGCAAGGGTTAGGGTTGTTTATGAATCTAGAGTACAGCAGTCAAGGGGCACATTCAACTTAACAGCAATGCCAACGTTAACACCTTTGCCTTGCAGGCCTGTTAAATATAGTCATTTTGCTTTCTGATACGTGCCCTCGTCAACTACAAGCGTTGCAAGCGTTCAAATCAACTTATTGTACATTGTAGTAATGGGCGTACCGCATTATCTCGCGAATTTAGGAAATTAAAGGAGGATATGCCCAGCCCAGAAAGCCAGATATTCACCAATGGGGACACCAGGGCACCACGGGTAAGTGTGGCTAAATGTGGCTGTCCTGCATCTTTTGCTCGCTTTTGCTGCGCTGAGCTGGGCTTGACTTAGCCACTTTAATTTCCCAAATTCGCGAGATAATGCGGTAGTGGTAAGATGGGTGGTATGACTGTCAGGACCCAGGGCAAAGAACTATACAACAGTACCGCCTTAGGCCCTGCAGGCTAGGTGAATATAATTAGTTAACTTCCTAATACGTATACCCATCTACGTAGGGCTTTTTTACCATTCAATTCAGCCAGTTGTGGGTGGTTTTCGTCAACTGTAGCCAAAGAAATGGTAAAATTGCCTGTTGAGCTGACCTGCCCGTTGAGGTGTGGAGCACCACTTATCCTGAGGGGAGAGTTCCGAACTCGAAGGATAAGTGGGGCGTGGCACGGGTAGCGTAACATTGAAATCTGATCAACGGTAACCCCTGCCACTGATTGGCCAGCGCCTTTGGCAGAAGCCCTTCCTCAACTTGAACTACCTACAGGTACTTGTACATATTCGAGAGACTCCAAGTTGAGCCCCATTGCCTTGCTCTCACGAAAACTTCCATCTCTGTGGCAGTATGTCGGATATTGCGCCAGAACAATAATATCCAGTAGAGTCCACCCTCCCATCACCGTCCTGCACTGTTTACAATTGGAACTTTTCGGTAGACAATGCAGCCACAATCGAGCCTTGTCTCCAACAGCCCAGCCCATGACGCAATGGCTGGTCCACCGATGTATCCCCGCATCACGTCCCCTTGGTCCCCCAGTCTCACAACTTTCGGGACTAGACATCGATACTACACGTGTCATTACCCGGGCTGCATTTGCCTAGGATAGAAGCCTCATTCGCCCGTCACTCTGCTAAGCATCAGCAAGGGACATACACTAGCGTAGTGTAGTATATTTGTGATGCTGGCCCTGAGACGGTTGGGCCAGTCGAGGGTAGCCGACAGGGGGCTGATATGCCACTGACACCATCATTACAGGTAGCTTCGGGACCCCTTCTTTCCAATATTATTCCGGTCCATACAATATGTCGGGTACACTAGTGTAAACAGCGGGCACATTTCATCGGCATCCACGATGCATCTATCAAATCGTATGATATCGACATCATTCGACCCCGCATAACTTGGGGTTGGGAACGACGGGAGTCTGGTTGGTTCTCTAAATACCACCCTACCTGCCCACACGCGATAGGCTATACACTGCATTCACTGTCTGAACATACACATTATAGACTACTAACTACTAACGTAGACCCTTCACAGCGTCCCCGCTTCCTTTCATAATACACCGGCTGCATTGCCGTCGTATTGTCAGAAAAGAAGCCGGATGCACCCAGTTCACGTGTCGAGCATCAGCTCTGTCAGTGTAGAGGATATCGGAAGACCCAGCGTCACTAACCGCGCGGTCAATGCCGGGGAAGTACGTCATCCCTTTCAGATAACGGACTCTTGAACGTCTCGTTCACTCGCCTTCTGCTCTAGGAACCTCGAGTCCACACCTGAGGTGGGATCGTCTGTCCCTGATGATCGACAGCCTTACAGGCGCATAGCCTTCTGCATATGCGAGCCTCACGAGCCTAGTGCTGGCTTGTACCCGAGTCTACAGGACACACTGGGCTGGACCTGTGTTTGGCAGATAAGGCAGTGGCAAAGTAGTTGACTGTTCGGCAGACATGCCGAGGTATTGTACAGTGCTTGTAAAGATAAGGTACAGTTGAGGTAAAGCCTACTACGGTACTTTACGTACTTTACCACCACGTTTCAGCCAGAGGTTCTCAATCAGGGTGTAATTTCATGAAAATACACAAAGTGGTATACACTTAGCCTCGAAGCCCCCAACGAGCCGTCACCAGCCCGCAGTCGCAGCTGCCTTTTAGACCTTCACCTGTGCTGTAACCCGTTTCCAGGATGCGGGCCGTCGTCATTGATATTCTATGTACGTATTTTGCTAGAAGTGCAAGAGATGGCGAAATCTTGAAGTTCCTCCTGCAACAGCACAGTCCACCATGTTGCAAGGCAATCGTACCTCTCAATAGTGTATCCGTAAGTATCTGGCTTAATTACTACCTACCTGCTTCCCCTCAAGCTGTTTCAAGCTCCTTTCCCACTCGGCCTGCTGAACTGTATGTAAGCAGTACTGTATGTACTACGTACATTCAGTAACTTACAGTTGTCAGGCTTCAGGCGTGAAGGCGGGGGTTAGCTAAGTTAGAGCTCAATCTGCCCAGCAGCTGCCCCTCCATGACCCCTCCATAACCCCTCCAAACTGCACCTCCATCAGAAGCCTCCAGAAACACCACTCGCTGCAGAAAAAAAAAAAGAAAAAATTCCCGCTCAAGACTGCCACAAGCATTGTTGGGAATCATCTGGCCATCAAGTCATCATCAACAGCCGCAGTCCCCTTCATCCTCTGCACTCATATCTCTGCGCGGTTCCCTTGCCTCAACAGACGACTCCTAGTCTCGTCCTTTGGTGGATCTACGTCCATAGCGATTAGCTAATCTGCGCGGGTACGGAGCAAAGGGACTGCCATCCGAACATCCTGGATCCAGCCGTGTCCGAGACACGCTATCTCCTACAAGGCACTGAATCCCGAAGACGGAGGTGCTCGCCGGTCCGCTACCCGAGTTGAGGGGAAGCTCTCGATTTTCGACGCCTACGTGAACACCCGTCCCGCACACAGCCAACAGTCAGCCTCATCCAGCGAGAAGCACAAAAAGATTCGGATACCGGTAACAATGTCCAAACCAACCAACCTCTACTCTTTCCCGAGCGTGGATGCCCTCGCCCCGGCCCTTCGCGCCTATGTCATCTACTGCCAAGAAGCCGGCATCACCCGCCATGGCGTCTTCAAGGTAGCCGTGTCAGGCGGCTCGCTGCCCAAGACGCTCGCCCAGGCCCTCCTCGCGCCTCCCACTTCAGAAAACGACACGGTCAAATGGGACAAGTGGGAGATTTTCTTTGCCGATGAGCGCGCCGTGCCCCTCGATCATCCCGACTCCAACTACGGCCTGCTCAAGGCTGAGCTGCTCGACAAGCTGCCGGCCGGCACGCCCCAGCCCGTGGTGCATCCCATCGATGTCGAGTACCTCGACGATCCGCAGGAGCTGGCGGATCAGTACGAGCAGGTCCTTGTGCGGAGCTTCGCCAGCCGCGACTCGGTCAAGCTGCCCATCTTCGACCTGCTGTTGCTGGGCTGCGGGCCGGACGGGCATACCTGCTCGCTGTTCCCTGGTCACGAGCTGCTTCGCGAGACGAGCGCTTGGGTGGCCCCCATCGAGGACTCGCCCAAGCCCCCTCCCGTGCGCATCACGCTGACGCTGCCGGTCGTCACGCACGCCGTCAAGGTGGCGTTTGTGGCGACGGGCGCGGGCAAGAAGGAGATTCTAAAGGATATCTTCGAGGAAGGAAAGGGCCTCCCTTGTGCGCTGGTCAACCAGGGCACCGGGGAGCGCTGCAGCTGGTTTGTGGATAACGCGGCCGTTGAGGGTGTCAGCTACCCGAGAAGGCCGTTCAGTCTATAGGTTAGCGAACAGGCCGAGGCACCGCTGGTAGGGATGCCACGGAAGGGATCGTCATCGGAGTCCTAGGGGGAAGGAGTGGTTTGAGAGTTTGGACGTGGGCAGAACGGTTGAGGTCATGGAATAGGGCGGCGACTTGTGGACAATCTCGCCCTTTGGTCAAGGTTGATCTCGGAGCGAGCCCCTTGGTATGCGGTAGCTTTCGTTAACATTTGATATCCCCCCCTTGTTATCTGCTTTGCCCTGCGGCAGGAGATGGATTAGGAATCACCATCCCCAAGACGATCCCTATAGGAATAGCATCGCTTATGGAAATGCGGAATCGTTGCTGGCTGTCATGTTTTAGCCAAGTAGATAAAGCGACCTCTGCCTCACTGTTTTTATCAGAGATGATAAACATCATGCGGCCGCCCTAGCTCATGGCTTTCCCTAAGTCGTTTAGCTCTTCCTCGTCTAAGCAAAGAATTTACTGGATCTGCGTGTCGAACTTTTCACCTTGATGGCTGGTCCACGGAGACATCCTGGGCAAGAATCTCAGTTGCGAGTACGAAAGCACCGATATGCAGCCATGTATGTCTGTTTCAAAAGGGGATTGATCCTTGGGTTTAAGCCACACATCACATGCTGCATCCCAGCTGTTACATCCCCCCTGACGGAGGGTGAGATCTCAACACAGTCTGATAAACGCACCACCAGGAAAGAAAAGGACCGCGCCGACCCAAACAAAAAGCACCGTACCATTCATACTTCCAACCTGGACCTTCCTGGCTCATCCAGTCCAGGTCCTAAATCAACCCCACGAACAAGGCAACCGCACTAGCCTGTTTCGACAGCGTCTTCCCAGTACCCGTACCGTCGTATGGCCCCGGGCCCGGGCCGGCCCAGCTCAGGCCGTAGCAGTCCCCCGCGCCGGGGACGACGGCGCGGGCGTTGGCGTAGGCGCTCTCGGCGTTGCGAGCCAGGTAGTCGCGGTAGCGGTTTTGGCGTTGCGTTTCCCGTTTCCGGTGGTCGTTAGCGGCGACAGTGGCAGCGGCCAGCTCGGCCAGATTGGCGGCAAAGATGCCCTTGAACAGCTGCTGGTCGCCGTTGCATGTCCCCGCAGGCTCGCATGCCTGCTCCGTCAGCGTGCCCGTGCCGGGCGAGGTAAGGCCACTGGAGGAGAGGACTGCGTCGGCGATTTGTTGGGCTGCGCTGAGGTAGTCTGGGGTTTTGCGTGGCGAGGTGGAGTTCTGTGTTTGTTTTTGTTAGAGGGTCAGGGGTGAGTGGTTCCTGTCCTTTGGAGGTGCGCTCTTCTGTTTCACGGAGTGGAGAAGTACATACCGACTAGGCCGCCTAGTATCACGCCCTGATTGTAAGTCCACACGGGCAGCTTGTTGTTGTAGCACAGGGCGTCCTCGCCCTTGACCAGGCCGTCGTTGACGAGGTTGTCGCTGTTGATCATGCCGGACTCGCGGAACCAGAACCAGGCCCTCTCAGCGCGAGCGAGGAGATACTCGGCGCCTTGCTGGCCTTTGAGCCGGTTGTACAGGGAGGCGGCAAGCTTGATGTACAGCTCGTTTGCGATGGCGTTCTTGTATGTCTTGGTTTAGATGTCGACATAGATGCCGCCCTGGCAGTCAGCATCGGTCCAGTTCTGGTACATGTAGGCTTCGTCCTTCAGAGCGATGTCGAGGTACTCCCTGGAGCCCGTGAGATCATACATCCGGACCATGGCCAGCGCCCACCAGGCCGTGTCGTCGGTCGTCTGGGCGCGGAACTCGCCGGCGCCGTGCGGCCACCAGGGAAGGGGTGCCCGCTGGGCTTGAATTATGCGGTGGTCATAGGAAAGGTACTGGCCCGAACCTGTCTTGCGCATGTAGTCGACCACGCTGGTCAAGGCAACGCCGCTGGGCCACCAGGCGTCGCCCGGTGACCAGCGGCCATCGGCTGGGGAATAGAAGGCATTGTTCATGGCATCAATCGCTGCCTCGGCAACGGCGGTGAAGTTGAGCCCCTGAGCACCGCAGAGGGCTGCTAGCCCGGCAAAATCAAGGCTGAATCTCATCTTGAACGATCACAGATACCCATTTGACCGACTAAGACTGAGACATTGAGAGCCGAGTCGTGGCGGCTATAAGGGCATTCCGTGGTTGCACTGATCATGCTGGCCTTGATCACACTACCTTAATGCAATCTAGCCCCCAGCGTCCACTGACGCCGTCCCGGAGATCAGATCGCGACACTAAGGCCACGCTGACCGCGGGAGCCTTTGTTTAAGCATGGATGTATGTACAATACAAATCCATACAGAACCAAGCAGAACCAGTCCCCTGGTACGCAACGTGGTTCCATGGAGCATCATGAGGTGACAGGCAACCACTCCAGGTCCCAATGGAGACTGGCGGCGGTGAGTATTTGAAGTGGATTCACTCGGAATAAAGTGTGCCATCATGCCATGGTATGTCGGCTTTGACCACACCGCCTTCACTAAGGATCTTCCAGGGCCGGTGTTAAGCTATTTTTGTCGGCGCGTGTAAGTGCCCATATACGCGAGCCCGCACATGATGAATGCATTAGCGGTGGGCCGGATCATGGCATTGTCCTTCTGCTTGCTCAAAGCTTGTCCGGATGGCCTGGGCACCAGGCAAGTTGGCCATTGTGTCGGCTGTTGGAACATCGCGAGAGGCATCGAGTCTCTCAAGAGTACCTGCCATGTGGTTGCTGGTGCGTGAGGGGAAGGCTACAAGCCACTCCCCTTGTATGTACAGTACGAGGTACTCCGTATCTGATCGCCTGTTAACTTGACTGCCTGTTGACTGCAGCACGTGTCAAATGGAATTAATTTATCGTCTGTTGTGAAATGCCGGGGGCGCAACCGTGGGATGCATCTCGACAAGTTCTGGGGTTGCATCTGGGTCAGGAACGCGGCCTGAAGTTGCAGCCGAGAGACTCGATAATTTCTTCTTTGCATGTCTCGACCAACCGGGGGTTCGGAGTGTAGGACGGGTTCGACCCAGCGTTCGGGAATAGGGTGACGGTCCATATAACAACGGATGGATTAATACCGCCGTAATGCCTCGACATCCCAGGTCGACTTGCGCCGAAGGAGCCAGAGAATCAGATCCGACAATTACGGAGGGACATCAGATGAACCTCGCAACGTAAGTTCTCTTCAGTGCACAGTGCACAGTGAGTCTCACACCTGGCCTCAGGCTCGGTCCCAGGAGTCCAGGCGGGATCTCAACCCAACCCTGCTCACTGGCGTCGGGGTTATCTTCAGCACCAACCGCTGGGCCGTCAATCCACCAACCAATTCGTCGCGCTCAGTGTGCTGGCGGATGTCCGCCAATGGATTTTGGAAGAAAAAGCAAGGCAAAAGAAATAGATAACGGAGATCATATTGAATCCCCTTCTGGTAAACGATCGCTCGCACGGCATGAATAGCCAAACCACACAATCTTGTTTGTTCCACAGGCGGGCCGGGCAAATCGCAATCCAGGGCAGCCACACTGCCACAGTGCTGACGGTTTTTGATGGCAAAAGACGCCTCACTGCACGACGGAAAGACCAGACACCCTTGGCCGGGAGCGCAAAGCTTTGGAGCCTGTGACGAAGTGGCTTCCGCTGTCATTAGAAAACTGGTCTTGGACTCTTGGCTTGCCTTTAACTAACCAGTGGCCGTTTCAGCCGATCAGGCTGTGATCCCGGGGCAAAGAATACTGTACGGGTGTATGTACGTACCAGAGTAACGTTAGGGTCTAATTTGAGAACCCATCCTCCAGGGTGGCCTGTTGCATCAGCGAAAAAAGAGCAGAAAAAAAGGGAACTTGAAAAACTAGCACAGTCCGCTTGAAATACCAATCCCTGAACCGTCCTGCTTCACACTCTCTGTACATAACTACATACATACGGCGAATGCCCCCTTTATGCGCACACTTAACGACCTGGTCCTGCCATCTTCTTGGGGCCCCCGTGGAACCAACGGAACCGTTTGGCAACCACTCACTGGTGTCTGCCTGTTGTGAGCGGGTGTTCGCGTATAAGCCCGGATAGCGCGGCCGAGCCAACCAACGGTTAATAAGTTATATGTGCGACACCAAAGCGGGTCTCTTGACACGCGTGTTTGAAACGCAACAGAGAAGGATCAAGCACGCCGTCCGGACCCAACTGTGCAATAACGGGAGGCCACCTATATCGCCTGTGCATAGGTACATACCTTGCATATTGTACTGTACATTAATCAGCCGGAGAAACGGGAGGAGATGATGGAAACAGCGACCCTACAGCCCCCCAAATCCGGGCGCTCTCGTTTTTCGAAAGCGCTCCCAGCTCCTCCTTCCTTGCCAGCCTTTGACTTTGAGTCGACAGAAGGTGTGAAATCGCAGTTGGACCTGCCGCAGCTCCCTCAGGTCCCTCAAATTTCGCAGAAGGGACTCCCCATTCTCCAGTCCGATACTCGACTGGGCCCTCTTCCACCGCCCAAGCAATCGTCCGACCGGGTAGGCGACGGAGAATCCGCCATGGCCACGGCAGCCAAGCCCCTGAACTCTCCTCTTCCGCCGTTGCCCTCCAAGTTCGCCGCGCCACCGCCTATGAGCATTCCTCGACGACGGCCTGTCCCTTCTTCTGCTTCTGTCCCGGTCCCGACACCATCGCCCGCTCCGGCCCCGGCTCCTGCTTCTGCTCCGGCTCCCATCTCTATCCCAACCCTAGCGCCTCCCGAGGGCACACCCTCTCCTGGCGGTTCTTTCTCCAGCCTCCTTTCTGCCTACTCCAACCACAGCGCCGATTCCACGCCCCAGTCGTCGACGAACTCGACAAACGACATTGTCAGCCCCAAGGAGTATACTGTCTTATTTTCGACCCTCGATGCCCAGAACGACAACGGGAAGTACAAAGCCTACACGCCGCCGGCACTATCCGACCAAAGTCACAATGCGCAAGAGCACGACGCCAACGCAACGCAAACGCTCGAGGCGCACAGCGAAGAGTTGCCACCTCCACCGCCTTTAAAAGACCCCCAACGCGGGTTCGGGAGGCCCCAGACGCCCACCGGCCTGCGAACCCAAACTCCGCTACCACCACCACCTGTGCAAACAGCTTCTCCAGTAGGAAACGCATCTCCGCAAGAGCAGTTGTGGCGGAGAAGATCACTAAAGGCCGACAAGAACATTGCTGTTCCAGAGCTCAAACTCGTTTCAAGCCACGGCTCCACTGCTGCATCAGCCCAGGACTTGTCGCAAAGAGACCTCGGTGCCCCGCCGCCACAGTCGACCACACCACCGCCGGGCCAACCCCAAGCATCCGTGCCGAACCCACCCACCGAGGCTCCACCACGAGGTGCCAATACCGGATTGCCAGGACGGAATATCCGCCCCGTGGTTTCTAGCGAGCAGCCAGCTTCGCGGAGCGAACCCCCGAGTATGGGGCAAGCGGCTTCCTGTATCAAAGAGAGGTTTGAAAGTCGGAAGCATGTTGTTGGAGGCGACGCTACTGCAAGTGGACGAGAAGCACAGGCACTCGACGCATCAGCGACGTCGAATGCTGCAGCCTCTTTGCCCGTCGTTTCCCCGCTCTCTCCTCCGCGACTTCCATCGCCGGAGAACGGTACAAACGACGTCAAACGCCCGGGACCAGACACAGTCGTATCCCCTCTCTCTCCAGCAGCATTGTCGGAAATGCCTGCCGATTCTGTGTCGGCCGTGGCCAACAATACTGCCGGCGCTCCTCAAGCTCAAATACGTCACGCACAGAGCAGCCCTGCTCTGGCCCAAGGGCCGACTAACCCAGGACTGGCCGTGCGGGCCCCGATAGGCCTCCCAACATCTCCGGCGCCGAATCGGGAACGGGGCGGAGACGTGGCAGCGGCTCCGGTGCGGGCCTCTCCCAAGGGAAGTAATGATGTGCAGGCCGTTTATGCGGGTACCCGTCGAGGGTCGGCAGGGACTGCCGAGATGCAAAGCCTGAATTGGGATCCCAAGCCGATATCCGAGACAGGGTCCATCGAGACGGTAAAGCCGATGTTCCGACGGCCTGATATCTTTGTCCCGATCGAGGAGCTTCCCTTGAAAGAGCCCGACCCCAACCAACCCGACACGACGGATAATCCCGGCGCGGCGCGGTTCCCAAGGAATTGGTACACGCCTCTGCCACCCGATCAGATCTTGGATGCTCGACCGCTCGAGGAGAAGCACTTTAGGTGCCTCACCAACCACAGGTACATGACGCGAAGCAGACAGAGAACGAATCCGATCGCATGCAGGACGTGCGGGCACAAGGATCGCTACGCCGAATGCTTCATCTGCAGTGCCTGTCACCTCAACGTTTGCCCGGGCTGCAATGAGCTGCTGCGGAGGTCCAAGGGTGACCTGGGCCGAGTGTTGGGGCAGATCAAGGAGAAGCAGGCCGCTGGGCCAGCTAGGCCCCATGCAGCCGACGAGTCGGCGACTGCTTCTATCCTTGAGGAGTAAATCATATCGACTGATTTTATTCTCACCTTTTATTCGTTTTGTTACCTTGTATTTTCTTGGGCATTTTGGCGTTCCGGGGATTTCCGACGTTTAAACGGGTTGAAGACGGGGCTACTTCTAAGATCGGGTTAGAAGATGAACGGGCGTGGTAATGTGTACACGGATGATGTACGTGAAGCGGTTGGTCACATACACTAGAGAGATACGATACCATTTGCATAGGGGACAGGGAGGCTTATCATTTCAATGCCCGGGGCACCGCTGGAGGGATCGCAGTGTATATAAAGAAGTTACAGGTTGGGGCTTCTCAGGAGATCTGAGAGAGCTCCAAGAGAGCCACTAGAGAATTGGCAAATGGATTGAAACGTTCAAAACCCCGTGAACGTGGATGGAATCGTTGTGATGAACTTTGGTGTTTCACACTGGTTGTCAACGAGGACCCTGATACCTAAGATAGGTGGGTGCTCCGGGCTAACGAATGCAACCCTCCGGAGCGCTTCAAAGTGCCGGCAGGCGGCACTAAAATTCAGCCCTGACCAGCTAAAGCCTTCACCCAAGGTGCAGGCCAAGCGCCTAGGGGCCTAGAGCCGCAGCGCAGTGAGCGCACAGGGAACTGCCCGGGCCAGGGCCAATCACAACCACAGTGGACCTCAACAAACATTGAACTCGAAGGCGACAAGCGACTGGTCAATAACTTCACAAGCAGAAAGCTGGTGTACTCACATATCGCATTTTCCCGCTCATATGCATGGCAGGAATACAAAGACACAGATAAAAAAGAGAAATGTCGTCATTAGTGTCATCAAGCGGCGCACTGTCGCGGTCACGCTCGCTCCGGAAACCTAGCTCCAGGCCCGAGACGACAACTAGAAGTGGTCTCAACGGCGATGGAGCTCAGCGCAGTCACGATGTCTCTCCAAGCAGGCTACCCATCAAGGGTTCTTCAAAAGGCGGCACTTCGACAGCCACCGTCAATGCTCCGAGAACTACCCGCCCTCTTTCAGGCGTCTTTGCGCGCGTGACGTCGACTACTTCGTCAGCGCGTCAAGGCCAACATGACAGCCCCGGGCCAGAAGCACCGCCGTCCGCCGCCCCGGGTCGCTTGACCCGGACTGCATCAACTCGCCAGCCGTCCACCGCCTCCGTCCGGGCGGCGCCGTCTGCCATAACCAGGCCGACCACATCATCAGGGGTTCCAACCTCCCGTCCGCGCGTCGCATCCACCGCCGGCGCCGGGACGGCCCCAGACTCGGGAAGCGGTCTGTGCCAGGGACACACACGCGCAAAGTCGTCTGTCACGACCCTCTCATCAGCAACCACCCTCCGCCCGCCGTCGCAGGTATCCTCGTCGTCTTCATCCACCACAACCACTACTACTACCACAGCAAGGATAGACCGGTCCCGCCCGCCGCTAACAAGCCAGACTCGGCGACCGTCAGGAACACGGCCTCCGGCTCCACCATCACCAACAACCACCACTCCCAGCACGCCTTCGTCACCCAAGCCCGCAGTCAAACCCCCGCCCAGACCGGGGCCGGCATCTGGACCAGGCGCAGACGCCGCAAACCTCCTCGCTGGACAGCCCTCAGGATCAGCAGTACCAGCCCGTCACCAGCAACAACAACAAGCACAACAACAACAACAACAACAACCCCACCGCCCGCCCTTCACAACCCACCAACAGCACTTCTCCCCACTCAAATCCCTCGCCCCCAAACCGCTAACAGCCACCTTCCTCGCCCCACCATCACCCTCAAAACATCCAGCCAACGTAGCCGCGTCAGCCGAAACCTCCCGCTTACAAACCGAGCTGCTACAACTGCACCTCCTGCACCGGCATGCGGCTCCCCTCAACGCGCAATGGCGCGCCAGCGCACGTGCGAAGCTTCGCGCGAGATGGGAAGCGGTTGGGGTTTTGGAAGGCGAGGTTACTGCGTTGGAGAGGGAGGTTGAGGAGGCCAGGAATGCAGCTGCCATTCTGGACTGGTGTGGCGGTAAACATAAGGGGATGATGGGCACGGGGACCGGGGTGGATGAGCAGCGTGTGGGTGCCCTGGCTGAGGTTTTGGACGGAGTCTGGGCTGCGCAGGAACGGTATGCGAGGGTGGTTAGGGCGTTTGAGAAATGGGTGGGGAGGGTGGAGGTGGTCTTTAGTGCCAGGCGGCGGGCTGGTCAGGATGTAGATGCGGATGTGGGTTTGGTTGCTTCCCGAGCAGAAAATGAGGAGGAGCAGGATCAGGGGCTGGGCTTGACGCTAATAGGCGAGATGGACGCCGCCTGGAAGGCCGAGTGCGCCGCGCTGGGCCGTAGGCTGGATGGGTGGCGCCGGACGCTCGCGGGGCTTGTTGAGTATGAGATAGACAAGGACACGGAGAAGGTCGGGAGGATCCCAGGGGAGACAGCGGAAGCGGACACTTCCCTTTCCAGCTTGGAGAGGATCCTCCAGGCTTGTCGCGTCCTCGTGCACGGAATGCTGGCCGAGCTGGGGGTCATGGAGCTGATTGAGCGGGAGGCGGTCGCCGAAGAGATGCGCTGGGTGAGGGACATGAACCGACGCGGGCTGGGCGGCGGCGCCCACGAGGAGAGCCGGCGCGCTGGGGCCATCTGGCGGGTGCTGTGAGAATAACCTTGATACTGGGCGATGTGATGTGCTATAGTAAATGGTATTGGAGTGTACGGGTTGTACTGTTAACTAATCGGCGCATGGTCTTGACTCTGCAATTCAGCTGCTCGAACCATGATGCAGGCGGAACCTATCTTCAGAGACAAATGAGAATGGCCTTGCCCATTCTACGACGAAAGCACGCCCAAACAAACAGCTTCGATGAGACGAGTATTTTAGAGCGAGTACCCCTACAAAACTAAGAAAGCCAGCGTTATACTCTACAACGCATCATAATATCCGTTGATGCTAGGCCAACAAAACATTGCAGATTTGGGTTATGCCTCCAGTTTGGCCGGCGCCCGTCCATCAGAATACGCGACCCATCGGGTTGCAGGACACTCTGAAGCCCATCTGATATGCATCTCCCATTTCCCCAATTTCGTGAGAAGGGAATAGAAGATCGAAGCCTTCCCAGTCCAAGTGTGCCCATAACAGGCCGCCGAGTGAGGAGGTATCTTTAAAGAACCACACTAAATTATGCACAGCAATAGAGAAATAAGCACAATGAATGCCTCGGATCAATCACCCCAGATGGGGGAAAATAAAAGCGCCAAGTGGAGGCGCTTAGAACACTGCGTGTAGCAAACTAAGACGCCATCGGCGGCAGGGACGGATACGAGACGCGGTTGCGGTCAGCGTGGAGCATGGGGTCGATGCGGCTGTTATCCGTGTCGTCCTCATAATCGCGACGCTCAAGACGATGGCGGATAGCGTTGCGCAGGAACTCAATGGTGCGCATGTTGTGGAGCCAGTCGTCGTAAGACTCGCCCTCGGCAGCCTCTGACTCCTCGGACGGGGAGCTGACCGACACGGCAGCGTCGCTAGCCTTGGGAGTAGGGGTCCGGTCCGAATCGCGGCGCGGTCCGCTGGAGCTCTGCAGCATTCCACCCGAGAGGCGGCGCTCGTTGTTGGTGAAGGTCGATCCGAGGCCCGACGAGGAGGGGTACGGCAGACCCGGGCGGCTGGGAAGGTTCGGGTACGATACCGAAGTTGAGTTGTGCCGAGACGATGGCGACATGGCCGACGACGACGAGGTCGGCGAGTGGCCAGACGTGTACGACATGGCGCTCGAGGGCGGGGTGACGGCGGGCGTGCCTCCAGCAGAGTGGGATGGAGCGCTAAGCGGAGAAACGACCTGAGCAGCCGTGGCAGCATACGACTCGCCAGCAGGGCGGGCGGCATACGGGGGAGACTGGCGCATGTCGACAGGTGCATAGTGCGAGTTGGGCGAGCCCGTGTTCTCGTAGACGGTGGCCTGCATCTGCGCTAGCATCTGATCAATCTCGTGCAGGTCCTGCTTTGTGCGCAGGTTGGGCATGGGAGGCAGGTAGTAGTGCTGGGTGAGCGGGCCCTGGGGGCCGTTTCCGACAGCGAGCGTATGCGGCGGCTGCGCGATGTACTCGGTAGCCAAGCCGCCTGTCGACAAGCCGAGGCTCGTATGAATGGGCATCAACGAGCGGCCGATCTGATGGTACGAAGACGGATCGATCTGGCGGCGCTTGACGCTGCCAAAGAACTCGTTCAGATCATCAAGGCCGCGCCTGCGGGCGTCACCAAACGACGCAGCATGGTGGTTCATATACTCGGGGCGCGAGCCACCCATGGGCTGCGAGTAGTACATGGGGCCGCTGTGGTATCCCGGGTGAGGAGGCGGGGCATGCTGGCCGTAGTAGCCAGGCTGGCCATTCTGATGATGCGGAGGGCCGAAGGCGCCCGGATGAGCTCCACGCATCTGGCCATTGTGATCATAGAAGCTGGAAGGAGCTGCTAGCAGAAAGATGGTTAACCTCAAAATCCAGCGGGAGCAAAAAAGAAAAAAAAAAAAAAAACAGATCCGACAGACACACGACGTACCTTTGGGCTGATGGGGGCGGTAGGCCGGGTTCATTCCGGTCGGCTGGTCCTGGGGCGGGCGACCACCGGTGACCAAGACGGACTCATCGGCATGCGTCTTGATGTGCTTCTTCAAATCCTGCGGACGCTTGAAGGACTTGCCGCAAAAGTCGCACTTGTGAGGCTTGAGTGGCACATGAACGCGTATGTGCGACGTGATGTGATCTCGCTTGACAGTAGTGGTCCTGCACTGGTTCCACCCGCAGACGAGGTTCAGATTGTTGGTGCTCTTGCGCCCAACATGCTTCTCGCAGATGTGCTCCTTGATAGAGAAGTTAGTTGAAATGATCAAATGATGAGATGAGCTCAAAATAATTGAAGAAGAAGTTGATTACAAAATAAATTGAAGAAAAAGATGATTATTTGAGACTTACGTAGAGGGTCTCGGCCGAGGTAAACCGCTCATTGCAGTCAGTCCAGCGGCAGATGAGGCTTTCATCTTGGCCGGCGCTCGATGCTGAGCTTGCTGTCGCAGCGCTGGAAGGTGCGGGCGTGGTGCCGTTGGACGCTGAGGTCGCGGAACCAGCCGAGCCAGCCGAAGCCGATGATGGCGCAGCCGGAGCAGCAGTAGCCGGCGCCGGTGCGACAGCGTTGTTCTCCTGGTTCGAAGAAACCTGCTGTTGCTGCTGTTGGGGCTGCTGCGGCTGCTGCTGCTGCTGCTGTGGTTGCTGCTGCTGTTGTGCCTGCTGCTGTGCCTGTGGCTGCTGCTGTGGCTGCGGCGCAGACTGCTGTTGCTGCGGCTGCTGCGGCTGCTGCTGCTGCTGCTGAGCCTGGCCTTGTGTAATTGTAGACATGGCTCGTGCGTCAATGGAATGAAGATGATTGGTGATGCTTTTGTTCGCAGTTGACGGCGCTAACTTTGTCCGGCTCCGAAATCACGTGTTTTGTGGGATCACGTGTCTTGTGGGAGGGGACCGGTTGTTTTGGAGGAAAGCGAAGGAAAAGGAGGCGCGCGGCTCAACGTCAGGGCACAGGGCACGTGAGGCGAGCCCTAGGGTCCCACTTTTTACCAAGGCGCGCCCAGAGTCGAATGACTGTCCGCAAGTGGCAGCGCCAAGGCCAAGAGGGATGCCGGCGCAGAACTCGGGCAGAGAGACGGCCAGGGAACCGCAGAGACAGAACAAAGCCGAAAAGAGCCAAGGCAACGCCCAGGAAAGGCGCCAAAACGATTTGTTTTGTCAGTCAAACTGCCGTTCAAGGAGTTGATAGAGGGAAGAACGATCCGCGTCAAGACTCAGGAGAACAGCGGGCGATTCTGTCTTTATTACGCCTTCTGCTCTCATGGCAGTACATTGGCGGAGAGTCTTGGCAAACTCTCTTGGCAGTCTGGGCCTCGGATGCCAAGCTTACATCATTGGCCGGCCGTCACACCCTTGGCCCGCCCTCGTACCTGCTGTTTCCTAAGGGCTTTCCAAGCAGCAGCTTCCCCTCACTCACAGCTCATTAACCTTAACAGCTAGACATTGCAGCCAAGTGGTGCCAAGCCAGTGCCAAGGCTTGGTATTTGCAGCAAATTTCTTGGCGTTCGCTCCATTGCCCCCATTGCCCCCGTCTGCTCCGTCTCTGCAAGTCTGCCCATGCCTCTCTCAAGGTCACACGCTTTGCCCGGACTTTTGCAGTCTGCTCATGCACGCCCCTCGTTCCCTGCTCTCCAATGCCATTCTTCTTGTATTATCCAGATCGAGCAATTCCCCAGCCACAAGTCTTATGGTTAGCTGTTAACGTCGGCTGGCTGGATGACTGCTTGCTGTGCAGGGTTGGGGGGAAAACGGTGGGACAGCCGCAGTCCCCACCCCAACAATGGGTCGCGTCGGCCGTCGGGCAGCCATCGAGATAGGTAATCAATCAGGCTGCGGACACAGGGACCGCTGCTTATGTTTTGTACACAGTATTCCATAACGCCCACACAAAGTTAACAGTGATTCCGGCAGATTGCCTCCTTTTCCAAACTAATTGTATGGCCCTGTCGACCGTTCCCGAGACGGATGCGGCGGTCCGTCGCGATCCACGTACTGTGTGACTCTGTGCAGCGTACTCCGTACTCCGTACATACACATGCCAAGCTCCAAGCTTAGCCAAGACTCTCAAGAGATCACCCTCCGCGTGCCAAGCGCTTGGCAACCAGCTCTCCCCGATACCGTTATGACAGTCCAGCGAATACCATCAGTTTGGGTCAAGCACAGCCCCATCTTGCTACGGAACCTTTCATTGAGAAGCGGCGGTACGGAGTAGGGACACCGTGCCAAGACAGCACGGCTCTTGAAGAAACAACACACGTGCTCGACTTCCGGCCGGCCGTGCTCTGGGAGGGCCTAGACAAGCTGGACTTGATCTGTTTGTGGGTTTTTGCTTTTTAACAAGTGTATTTTTTTCTTGCTCGCGAAACTGGCCCCTATTGTGGTGTCCTAACTGCTTGTGCTTAACGTTAACCACTGCCGCCAACAGACGCTGCAAATCTTCCCAGCAGAGCAGAAAAGCCTCCACGTCATGGACCAACTCACCGAGTACTTCATACTCCTTATGGTCTTCATCAGCCTATCATCACCCGGCAACCGACGACTCTTCCACGTCTGTTGCGTCCTTGCTGCCAAGCGGGAAAGTAGAAGCACAGTCTCACAGAATGCAAGGCTGGGGAGCCCGGGAACTAGCTGTCAACAGCGTCCACGGCATGCGTGCCGGCCCGCCCCGGAAGAGAGCAGGCGCCGTGCAGCTTACACAGTAACTTGCACTACATATCACCCATAATCTGTGTACACTCTTCCAGAGACTGCCACTGCAAGCGCACGAATCTCATCCTAGAGTACGCTATGCAGTGAAGCCGGGAGAACCATCTGGGAGCTAAAAAAGCTTCTCCTTTTGGGCTCGGTAACCGTAGGCCGTTGAAACTGGTGGCTCAAATGGGGTCTGTCTTGGCTCTTGGCACCTTGTCTTGGACGTCTTGGACGTCTTTGCCATCCCTTGGCCATCCCTTGGCCCTCCTTGGCTCCCCTCTCCCCCAATCTTGTCCGTTTGGCTTGGCTCTCAGCTTGTGTTGCTTGTGTGTTTGCCCAGACCGCCCACCCACAACCCACCAGGCCGCCCCAATCTTGGCCCTTTTCATCGTCCCCTGATGGTGCTGTTGGCTCCAGAGTTAACGTGGAGTTAACGTTAAGCAGTCGTTATCCCCCCCCCCCCCCCCCCCAAAAAAAAAAAATACTGGGAAGAATCTTGGCTGGTGGTGGGGTTAAGCAAACTGCCTCTTCGTCTTGGCGCGCTCAAAAGCTTAGCAGGTGGACATTTTGACTTATCAACGGTTGGGGAACACGCGGCTGACTTCCAATTGCAAAAAGCCTCTTAGGTAAGTCAAGATGCAGAGGGACAAAGTACGTAAGCTGACGTGAATGTGTAGAAACTGGGAGAAAATGTCATGCTAATCAACGGGGCTGCATAGCCCCCTTTGGATCCGTATTGTCCACACATACCTTCGTACATAGCAACTACATTCTACATGCCCGAGCGTCCCGGAAGTATGTACGCGTAACCGTACTTCTTCCCATCAAATTGCCCACTGTTAAGACGAAGAGCCTGGCCTACAGCACGGCAAAGTTTCGGCCGATGAGGAAGAAGGGATGAGCAAGATAGTTCAGCAAGGCAAACGAAAAAGAAAAGTAAAACATGCTGAAGGTGAACTAAGAAAACGACGAGATTACTGTATATATCCTGCCTAGTGAAGCAGGAAAAGGGGCAGATTGAGTCAATAGAACGTCAGAGGCTCACTGTAACGTGGATCGTCTCCCACACTACGTATCATCATGTCCACTCTATGTAGATAACAACAGACCTCTCTACACTCATTATGTATTTCGCAACATAGGACTCATTCAAGCCGCCAGAACCCTGCCCAGACCTTCAGACAGCCAATTCCCACCCATCATGCAGTACAGTGCAGTACAATATGAGCACTAGCTAACATCAAGCATAATCCAACTCCTCATTGACCCTAGTATTACAGAGACACCTGCATTCGGGGACAGGACATTCCCTATGCCTGGCGAACCACTGGCGGGCATGGTCCAGGTGGAGCACGTGACCGCACGAGACGCAAAAGGTCGGGAAGCGCGCGGCGCGCCTGACGTCCGGGTCGCGCGAGAGCTCGGCCCTGTCGCTGCGCGGCATGCCCACCACCTCGAGGCACACGACGCACCTCGGAAGGTGCTGCTTGCAGTTGGGGCAGCTGATGCCCGCCGCAACCATCTTCTCGGTGAACGGGTTCGCCGACTGGTAATGGTGCGCTCGCGTCTCGATGCGGGACGGGTGATTGGGCATGAAGTTTGGCATCGCCGACCTGCCGGTAACGCCGCTGCCTCCACGGCGCAAGGGCGGCCGTTGTTGTTGCTGTAGCTGGTTTGACAGGGACTCGGTCTTGGTCTCCACGTCGCAATAGACGCAGCGCAGCCCGATCTGGCGGCCGGCGGGGCGGAGGGTGGGCCGGCCCCCGTGCTTACTGAGCTTGGTCGACTCGACGTCGAATTTGACGCGGAGAAAGAAGGCGCGATGGCGCTGGAGGTAGGCACGATAAGCGTTGCGCATGGCTGTGGTGCGCACGTCGTCTATGAAGCGAGGTGCGCAGACCGAGAGGAGAAGCGTAGCTGTTTGGAAATCGTTGAAGTTGTGCACGTAGCGGGCAAGGATGTCGACCAGAGAGTCAGTGATGCCCGTGAGGACGATACCCTCAATGTCACCGGCCTCTTTGGCAAGCGACACTTCGCGATCCAACCAGGCGGTGAGGGCTTCGTCGTCAAAGTTTCGGACAGCGACGAAACACCGGTCGCGGAGCGGCAGGGACCGTTGGCCGGCAATAACGGCCCAGTCTCCTGTTGCGATGATGGATGATATGGCACGGAGGTAAGGGTCTGCTTTGGAGGCCACTTTCTCATCAAAGTCGAGCGTATCTTTTGTGTCGTCTTCTCTGGTCTTGCCGATGAGCTGGAGGGCTAGCGAGACAAAAAGCAGCTCAGGATGCTCGGTACTGGCTTTCTTCAGCACCTGGACTGCTTCTTTGGTGTCGCCCCTGAAAAGGGCATGGGCGGCAACCATGGTGTACCACGTCGATTCTCGCTTCGCGCTCGGCCCGGACAGCGCCTCCTCACATTCCGCCTCGTAAGAACGGCCCCAGCCACATATTTCAAGGCACAATTCCCTGTGATGAGGCCGTTTTGTATCTACCACGCCGTCAAATCTTGGAACCCCAAGCTTCTTGTTGATCGCATTCAAGCAACGTTCCCATCCAAACTCGTCAGGGGGTGAGGCGTCCTCGGCCAGCCTCATCTGGGGCCTACTGCCTACCGCAATGTAAGACCAGTCTAATCAGCGAAGCCAGGTCCGACTCACCTAGGTCATTAGTCCATATGGTGTGCACGCCCATGTAACCCAAGTCCAAGGGATGCGACATCATCCCGCAATCCAGCGCAGCTTCCTCGGCGCCTGTTAATGAAACGATGAGCGACCTTGACAGGGTTGGCGTATTGATGTTCAGACTCACCATCGACCCAAGCCCAGACATCCTGAAGCCATGGGTCATCTGCGACAATCCGTTGATTCTTGGCGAAATCGAAACGGTAGCCCTCTTTTGCGCGGAGAAGCATACTGTGATCTAGCACAAAGCGTGCATTAGGTGAAAGGCCCGCCATGTCTCTGGTATCGGTAAGCAGTTTTTCGTGGCGTTTCAGCTGGGATGAGAGCTCCTCGTCCGACTGAACCTGTCCGTCTTTGGAAGCTAATCTCAAGGCCCTCAGCTTGTCTGCAATAGACGACGCCTGGTTACACGAGAATGAGAGATAATCATTTGCCAGGGTGGCAACAACCCGACGCTCTTCTGTAGAGGATTTGGTGAGCACTTGCTCCACCAGCGATCTTATGTTTGCCTTCTGCGGTCCGAATAGCGCAACACCGGACAGAGCCTGCTCAATCAAGAGCGGCCCAAAGATGCTCTGACGTTGAGGTGGTTCGAAATCGATCACGTCTGGGTAGAGAAGCTCTTCTGCCGGGCTATGGTCGTCGTCTCTTTGAGCATGCCCGTTCGGCATGCCTTCCAGCCCGCGGTAAGGCGGCTGCCATGGTATCAGCTTGAAGGGATATTCCGAAGTAAACGAGGGCTTTTCCAAAACGTCAAAGGCACCACTGGCTCGCAGCACGAGCAGTCGAGGCTGAAGAACGGGTGAGCTCATGGTGACCCAATCGAAAGAGACGATCTTGTCGCCCTTGCGATTAACCTCTGCATAAAGAGGATCCATCTCGTACGACCGCCGAACCTCTAGCAACTCCGGGCTGCCATCAACGCGGGCGTCTGCATCCACATGTTCATGTCTGGTTGACAGAATCCTCAGTTGGCCAGTGCGTGAGAGGACGGCGAGCATGCCAGGGTGGTCACGACAGAAGCGGAGAGACCGGATGAAGGAGCTCTTGGAGTCCATCAAGGCTGGGTCTGCCTCGATCTGAACGGCACGGTCTAGACGCAAGGCACCACCCCATGGCAGGTTGTCCGTCTCGAGAGCATCGGCATAAGTTTGAGTCACAACATGGCGGTTGATGGCGCGGCGATCCCAGATCATGAGTCCGGGCTGGTCCAGGGCAGAAGATGCAAAGTAATTCTGATCAGCATAGTCAATGGCAAGGTTGTTGCAGCACTTGGTAGGGAACTGAGCAACCGGGCCAGGTCCCTGGTCTGGGAGAAAAGTAAGCTCATCTGACAACCACATCATGTTAGAGAATAAAATCACCTCGTAGGTCGTGTATCCGGAGACCTTGGCCCTTGATTCCGGCTATCAGCACGTTTGGGTTATCCTCAAAGAACCTGACGCTGGTCACGGACACGCCGGGCTCGAGCCTATCAACGGGATCCGGGGGCTCAAGGTCGGCAGGGAATCCAGGGACGGAGGCATCTATAGCAGAGAGGCGGTTGACATCCCAGATATAGAGGCAGTTGTCGTTCCTGACTCTATCAAGGGCGACGGCCAGTTTGCCTGCCGTGTTGAACGCGACGGCTTGGCATGTGCGTGACACCCTCAGGCCGAGTTCCAGGTAAGCATTGGAATTATCGTCGACACGCAGCAGATTTACCACGCCCGTCGAGGTGCCCACGGCAACCAGGCCGGGCACCGAAGGCGACCAGTCATAGGTGGTGAGGGGCGGGAGGTCATCGTGCTTTGCGAGTTTCCTGTACTCGAATCGTCCGCGCTCCGCACGCCCCGTCGCTTCGTACACCTGGACGATGCGGTGCTGCAGGTTGATGTGGAGAAACGAATCGTGGGCGGCATTGGGTGACCACTTGATCAGGCCTGATTCAGGGCGATCCATGGTGATGAAGAGTCAAGGCAGCGCGGTGCTGAGAATGCTTGCCTCGTTCTTGCCTCGTTGGAACACGACGAGACGAAACTCCTCCTGTCATGAGCGTCTGAAGCGGGCTACGCTTTCCCGTCCAGTGTATCTCTATGAGGTATTGGGTCCCAAAAGCTGCCACGCACATGCACATCAATAGCTCATCCAGGGAAAGTTGACCAATCTAGGGCCACCATCTCCGAGGGTTGGATGGAATGTAATCAATGCCGTCGTCAGCTGTCTTTTGGGTTGAGGATGGGAAATAACGTTAGGGACAATACAAGTGCAGTACCGTATACATACAATAGGTACCATCCAATCAGACCTACACATAACGATTAGAGGCATAACGATTACCTGCCTTTGGCGGTCAATATCCGGAGCCCATCGTTATTTGTATAGGAGATTGCAGGATCCTGCCTACTACGATAATCGTTAAGATTTCTGCTGAGTAAATACATACAATTCGCTATAGTCAGGGGGTTCTCGGAGCTTTGGCCTCCCCAAAATGGTTAGCTAAGCAGCCCTGAGGCAGCACTGAGACTGCGATTTTAGTGGTCGAGTTGAGACTTGCCCCACAGATTGCTATCTTGGGCAGGAAGTGGGTTAACTCTGGATAACGATAACCTGGCATCAACGGTCAAATTTCTGTAACCGACCCAATCGTTATGTGCAGGTTAGCCTGTACATCGTTGGAGAACCCTAACCCTTATTAGTAGGGCAAGCATCGTAGAGAGTCAAGAGCGTGCCCAAAATTTCTGGTGGTTTTCTCAGTTATTGACGATCACCAAATCGATTTCTGGCTGCTTGCTGACACGAAGAGCGCATTGCAAGTTTCTTCCCAACCCGGAGTTCATATTCGGTTAGCACACATGGGGAAAAAGAGACAGCACCCGGATTCCGAGTCATCGGCGAATGACCACGAAGGTATCGCGAGAAAGCGACCGAGGCCCAACCATCGACACCATGCGAGAGGACAGAAAGCGGTCGACGACAGTCTCAATGCGATCAAGAAGAGGGTCAGGGATATCGAGAGGCTACTTGCTCGTGAAAACCTGAAGCTGCCAGCAAATAAACAAAACGATCTCGAACGAGAGCTCGCGGCGCACAAGCAGCGCCTCGCTGACGCTCAGGCGAAGAAGGCTAGGAGTAAGATGATACACAAATATCACATGGTCAGGTTCTTCGGTGCGTCAACAACTATCTGCCCTGGGTCTCTGGCCTCGTCTTTATTAACCTTCATGGATAGAAAGGAAGAAGGCCATGAGATTTGCGAAGCAGCTCGAGAAGAGACTGGCGCAAGCCACAGATCCCGACGAGGTCTCACAGCTAGAAGCTGACCTTCACGTCGCTCAAGTTGACATAGACTACGCGAAATATTTCCCCTTCATGGAACCCTATATCAGCCTATATGCTAAGGCGGCCCCGGGAGGCGCAGACGAGAAGAGCACTGCAGCACACTATCTGAGGTCCCCCAGGCCTCCCATGTGGACTTTGGTTGAGAAGATCAGAGAGGAAGGCATTACTGCGCTCGAAAGGCTTCAGAACAGACAGCCGGGAAGGAGTTCAGGTTCAACGGCGCTTCCGCAACAGCCGAAACAGGGTGACCGCGCCAAACCATCGCGGCCCCCGAGCAAAGAGGCAAAGGAGGGAACTTCGCCTCGAAACGCAAGGCTGTCAAGATCTAAACCTGCTAAAATAGACCAAGAAGCAAGCGAAGCGGGCGGCCAAGAAGAAAGCAGCGATAGCGATGGCGGGGGGTTCTTTGAGGAGGAATGAACCAAGCTACCTATGATACCCACAATGCAAAGAGTAAACGGCAAGATTATGTTCAAGCATGTTGATGTGTGAAGATCCCCTGAGAGAGCTGCAGTCACGGTGTTGGTGGGGCCTTTGAGCCTTGGAATTTCCTAGAGCTCATCTGTCCCCTTTCACTGGCACGCTGTCACGGCAGGTGCATGCAGGACTGGTCACCCGGGCATGCAATGTCGTAAAGTGCAGTATATGAACCACCAGAATCGCAGGTTGAGGCAACCTTGCGATTCCGACATCCTTTTCTCAAGGAAGGAGGAATTGCGCATAGCACAGTGGTTCTGCCATGCACGTTCCCGTCACACACACGGACAAACACCCTCACTGCCATATAGAGGCAGGCCCTCTGATGAGCCTCACGTCCAGCCTTCCTCTTCTTCGCTCACCAACAGGCCTTATATATTCTCACAGCTCCTAATTGGCCGGTTCTCTGTCGTACAAATGCTGGTTATATATAAGTGGGCTCGCTATGTTAGGCTCTGGGCACATCACACGAATGCAGTGAGGCCTACCTCCGTACCGCAAGTCCGCAACAGCAAAAAACACAATAGCTGTGTATGCCACCGCCAGAGCCAACCATACTACTTTATAGCCGATTTCATCTCAAGTTCTCAACCCTCCAGATCGGTATATATTGCTTTGTGTCTTTTCCCATAACTCAGCATTGGGTTTTCTCATATCTCTTCCCAAAACCAAGAATTGGGCTTTCACAGTCAGTAAACCACCCAGCTCCCCACCTCGCGCAACGGATTTCATTTATACTCATCAACTCATGGCGCGACCAGGCAAACGGAAGTGGTCTCCATCATTCGCGGAGCATACTTCAACACAGAGCATCAAGAAGAGAAATATAAACCCAATCAGAGCCCGAACCCGAACCATGACGGTTAATACCAACATCAGCAACAGTAATGGCGGTAGCACTGCGAGCAACTTGCTCGAAGACCCCATTGATTACTCTCCACTCCAAGCCTGGGTCGCGCAGCAGGAGACCAACCCCAAACCTCTTACACCATCTCAACGTAGAGCCCTTTCCGATCTCATGCTCTCTCTGCGGGCTGAAGAACCCGAGGTTGGTGACCGAGACTGGATCAGTCTCTTACAAAGTTCGTCCTCTCTTTCTCTCGCCTTGCTTCATGACCAGCTCACATAGCCCAACCATCCCCAGGATATCTCGATGCCTCGAAAAAGGAAGGCGCCTCGGCTTCGTACAGGGAGGAGGCTGCTCCAAACAACAAATGGTCGTACAAATGCATTTTCAAGCTCGCCGAAGACATCGAGGCTGTGACCTTCCCCAACGAGGACGCCGGCTTCGTCTTTGTTGACGGCACGCCGAGCATGCCCAGCTTCGCTCGCAAGAAAGACGCTAAAAAGTATGCCGCCAAGTGCTGCGTCGGATGGTATGTGCATTTGCCTAACCACCTGGAAATATTTCATGACAAACCTAGCGAACAACTTACATGGCGGTGACGTGTACAGGCTCATGGCCAAGGAGCTGATGCCATCTGACGGGGAGAACGTCGCGTTTCCGAAGAACGGGCGCAAAGTGCCGCTTGCCACTTCGTCGTCATCGCACGTGTCGGCTGCAGCGGGAGTGGCCGGCCGTAGTAACGACAGCGGCGATGGCGCCGACGATAATATTCGCCTTACGCAGCAGGTCATTGAGTTGTGCCGCCGTCTGAGCATCGCGCCGCCGCGGTACGAGATTAAGCCGTGCGATGAGACACCCACTGATGGTTTCTTCACTGGGTATGCCGACTTTGGCGCGGATAGCGTCAAGGTACCCGACAACCTGGGCAGGGTGAGGGCATACACTGAAAAGAAGACCAGGGAAAAGATTGCGCAGGAGGTTCTGAATTGTCTAATCCAGGAGGACAGGGAACGCACTGAGCAAATGGAAGCTCTGCTTAACATGAAGTTGCGAGCTGCGGCCAACGGCTGAGACTAAGAGCTCCTTAGGTGGTAACCCAAGGGCTGAGGCGGAATGGACGATGAGAGCTGCTCTGCAAGGTGGGGATCTGGAAGTCGTGGGTAGATTACATAGCGACTGAAGACGAAAAGGTTCAGGAGCGCATACCTCGGGGTCTATGAATCACCAAGTTAGCAGCAGGCCGCCCTCATTTGAGCCTGCTCACGCCCCGGCCCCCCTGCCGCCTCTGCCTCTGCCTCTGCCTCCTCTGGGCCCGTGACTCCCCCTATTTTTCCCCTGCGGCGCGCGTATCTTCAACCCCTCGGGCAAGTCAGCCACCTTCTCTCCGTTCCTCCAAAGCACACCAACGTTCTGCCTCCGACCCACCACCTCCCTAAAGTACTTTACCGGCACCATGCCCTCGGCATTACCCTCGGTCAGCACGACCCCGTTGTCGCTGATCCACCACTTCATGCCATCCTTGATGCTCGCGACCACATCCAAGTAGATGAGCAGCTCGGCGTCTCTGCGCATGCCGCTGACGACGCCGGCCTCGTCCTCGGGCAGGCCAATGCTGCAGTGCACGTGGTTCCGCCCCATGGTCTTCAGCCCGCCTGAGGCGACAATGGCAGGCCAAAACGCAAAGTAGGTGCCGTGGACGACCGTTTCGGGAACAGGCACGCTGCCGCTGCCGCTGCCGTCGTCGTCAGGGGCCAATGAGCCAGAGTCGGAGGGGATGGCCAGGGGCTTGAGCAGCGCCTCGCTGTCGAGCTTGATGCTGTGGCCCTGGTTGGCGCGGATGAGCCAGTGCGACGGCTCGGCCGAGGACTCGTCCTGGTCCGGGTTGGTCGCCGGGCTGGGTTTCAGGGCGAAGCGCTGCTTGTCGCTGTCGCGCACGGCGGCGACGATCTCATCAAAGGACGGGGCTAACGAGCGGATGGGGCCCCATTGTAGCTGATGGGAAGGTTAGTGACGGACAGAAGCAATCAATCCAAGGTTGTCTAATATAGTAAAGTCAACATACCACCTTATCAAGCGGCGCGTACCCTTCCCGGTCAAGCTCGATCCCGGCGTTGCCTGCCTGGTGCCGGAGCAGCCTCGACAAGGCCTTGGACAAGTCGACCTCGCGCCTGTCCCTTGCAGCTCCACCACCACGACTGCCGCCACTTCCCCCTCGTCCTCTCCCGGTCTTAGGACCTCCCCTACCCCCTCGCCGAGACGTAGTTGCCATGTCCTCGAAGCGATCTGCCAGGGTGTCGTAGGTCCCTGTGATGTCGCTTCTGTCGTCCATGATTCCCCGGCCCCAGCCCCTGCTCAGTCTCGTTGCTGTTCTTGTCGCTGGATGCGTGGTTTTGTTTAAGACGTTATCCTTGCTGTCTTGGCCGGCGTTGTTGTGGTAGGTTGCCGGTTGGGATTTGTTGGATTTAGACTGGGTGTGGATGTATATATGGTTGTGGTTGTGGTTGTGGTGTTGGTGTGAGAATAACGCTGTGAGCGACGACGAGAATGGGGATGCGAATGGAAATGAGAATACGGGCAATACAATTGGAGACAAAGACCTAGGTGCAATTGGTACCTGTGCCAAGGCAAGGCTCGGCATGGGCCATCAATTGGACGCGACTAAGATGGATGCAGCTGGCAAACTGCCGTTATGTGTAAGTCTTTTAGTAGTCTTTTGCACAAGTTCCGCGCTGTTTGTATACAGTTGTATTGAGGTTCTGAAGTGAGGTTGTGGTCCAGGAATTTCGGCTCTCCAGTATCGTTACGTACTGTACTGTACTGTATTGTAGAGCAAATACCCAGGAAAAATACATACTGCACGCTATAATTATCAAGCGTAGCACACCAAGGACAGTCAGTGATCAAGATCAAGACGGCATTACCCCGTAAGCTGGTACTTTTGCCACGGCCTTACCGACCCAGCTTTGTTGAAGCAGCCCGTATTACTCAAGTGTATCCAGCCCGGCCTGAGTCACCGGCTTCATTTGTAACTTTCCGCATCAGTCATGAGCCGATAGAGGCACAGAATACATTAACACCTCAACCAGTAAACTACCTTATATACAGACCGGGCACCTTACTCCGTCCCTCGATCTCCTCGCTACCCGCTACCCCGTCTCCTCAAGGTATCAACCCATATGTATATACCAAAATCTTCGCCAACTCCTGATTACCGCACAGAGATCCGGCTGAGAAGAAGCCAGACCGAGCCGTAGATGGAGAGCGTACAGCGGTGAGAGACCAGAGCAGAAACCAGAGAAGCCCACACATAGCGTCCATCCTCGCCCAGATAGCCGACAAACCTTCGCATACCGCCATAAGAACACAACAGAACACTTATACATTGGCATTACACATATTCGTATCCCTCGTCGCCCATGTGCTCCTCACGCGCCCCGTCCCAAACAGACAGACAGACAAAGTCAGGCAGACCAGAACGGACGCCAACACCAGGACTCCCTTTCCATGCCTCCGCTGCCCATGTCGGCGCGCGTGTGCTTCTCTGTGTGTCCAATGTGTCCGTGTGTCCGTGTCTCCACGTATCTCGTAGTCGCTCTGTATTCGTTCCGTCCACTCAACCAATACGCCATGCGAAGCAGTTGGGTGTTGGCCAACTCGGGATGGGAGGAAGAAATGGAAAAGGTGCCCCTATACAAAAACGCCACCGTGACAACAAACAGCGATATGAGGTTAATGATGATGCAGAGAAAAACAGGGTCGTCGAGGATTCTTCTTTTCAAAACCCCACGCACCGAAAAAATGCCAGTAGCGAAGAAAATCGCCCAACTCCCAACAATTAGCAACCGACCAAGTAGCAAAGAAGAAAAACATCAAAATAGCAATAACAAACGCCCAGGACATGACATCCATATCGTTCTCAATGTTGATACATTCGTCAAAACATGGGTCGCAAAATCGTAATCAGACATCACGTTAGATCGGTCATCGGTAATAACCTCCTTCTCTTCCTGATCCTCCTAGCCGTTCCGGCCCCGCCTGCGCACTCTGCCCTGGCGACTGAAGGCTGGGTATGCCCGACTCGCGAATTCTCCTGCTGCCGAAACTGCTCGTGCGGTTCATGATTGCTGTCTGACTGAGTGAGAGTTGCCGCTGGGCCCGTTCCTCGGCAATTCTTTCTACCACACTATTGGTCATCTGCTCGCGGTCTAATGCGCCTCGTTCGAGATACCGGCGAGCTGGTGTGACGGGCGCAGAGGCTGGATCCGAGGCATTGTTGATTGTAACTAGGCGCGTGTTGAGCGAGGTTGCGAGGAGCCGGCGCCGTGAGAGTGCTGAGGTGAGCGGGCTGCTCTCGGTCGGAGATCGAGACATGGAAGCCGCTAAATCGCGTTGAGCAGCGGCACGGAAGCCGTTCACCTCAGTGGCGGCCCTGGAGGGCGCACGAAAGCGAGACTCATCCTCCTCCTCATTCATGGTTTTTCTGGTGCGAAGGAGCAGCGAGGTCTTACGTCCTTCGCGGGACTCCTCCGGCTCTTCTGTCTCAGCTCTTCTCGTCCTCAGCAGCAGCGAGGACCTTCTCCCAGACAATTCCTCGGGTTCCTCCGTTGCTGCTCGGCGTATCCGAGCCAGCAAAAGGGAAGACTTCCGCCCTGCGCTCGCCGGCTCCATCGGTGTACTAGGGGCAGCGGCATAGCGAGCATTAGGGAGCACTGTGGCGGCTAACATTGTCTGTCTCCTTTGCTCCAGCACGGTCGGAGCCCGAGGGCTCGCGCCAGGCTTTGCTGCTGCCTCAGCGGCATCACTAGGGCGTCTCAGGACCGAAGCGGCTGCCGGGCTGATGGATGTTGGGCTCAACAAGAGCTCATTGTCGCGCGTGGCCGCAGTCAGCTGAGACTGTTTGTGCTGACCTAGCTCACCAGTCAAGGCTATGCATAGCTCGGTCAAACTCCTACAGATGCTGTCCGCTTTCCGCCGCAGTTGCCTCTCGGTGAACCCACTATTGAATCCGACGGTGCTGGAACCGCTTGACATTGGTCCCGCTTGTCCACTAGCGTTCAACATTGACGACAAGGCCAGGGCGTCCGTCGCGGCCGATTCAATGGCACTGAAAATGTCTGGGCTGACGAGGTTTTTTGTCTTGGAGAGAGCGGAGAGGAGTAAGGGCTGCGTGTCGCGCTGCTGCGCTGCGTTGCTGCTCGTCTCTGCTTGTGCCATGCTAGCACCCGATCCACGCTTCGGCGATGCTGACATGGTCGTGGCGTTCGTCATGGCAGTGGGCGGGCGGTCATCGGTGGTTCTGTATGTTGATCCCCCGGACGCGGGCGCGATCTTTCCTGTCAGTTCCAGTCTATGAATCCGCGATTTCAGGTCGTCTATGTCATCCCACACAGTTGACGGCGCTGCTGTCGAACTCGAAGACTCGGTCCCCTCGACACCGTGATTCGCTTCGGACCCGGTCAGAGGCTCATCTTTTTGGGCATTTGCAGATCTAGGAACCAAAGGAGAGGAGTTGTATGTTCGTCCTTGGGTTGCTGCCATGTTCGAGCCTCTGTACTGAGCCGGTCTTGTTAAGAGGTTGTTGTTCTCTGTAACTGAAGCCCTCCTGCGTTGGGATGCAGAAGCACTTTCTGCGAACGAGTCTCGGAACGAAACCTGCCTTGGCGTAATTGGAGACGGTTTTAAGGGTGCCTTGACAGGATGCACACGACTAGAAGTCTCGGAGACACTTATAACCGAAGGTGGATGCTCTCTAGACGCTGTGCGGTATGCTAGTTCTCTCGTCATTTCTTGGGCCGACTGGCTGTCTGCCCGCTTTCGGGCGCTCTCCAGCTGATCGGAGAGACGACGAGAAATCTGGGGAGGTGAAGAGGTTTGATAGGAAGGGATAGCTGCCGACAGAGGTCGGCGATGGGATGATCGGCTGGATTGTGACTATCAAGGGATTAGCCATCCGAGTTCATCGTTGTCAGGCGTGGCACCTGAAGACGAACAATCTATGGGTGCCGGAGACCATCGACTTACAATCGCACTCTGTTCCGCCGCCCTCCCCTGGACTTCAAGCGGCGGACGGGACTGGGGCGTCGAATCCTCTCCAGCGATTCTCATAAAAATGTCTGCCGTGTTGTCGTTATCTGTAGTTGTAGTCAAGTCCCCGGACTCGGGCGGGGTGACAAAATCTTCGTCGCTCTGGCCCTCGAGGGCCCGCAATGCACGTTCCCGCTGACTCGAATCCGACGCTTCCTCGCCGTACGAGTCCCCGGACACACGCCTACCATGCATGTCGAGAACCACACTTTTGCGGGACCCGGAAGACCGGAAAGATCGGATTGGAGGGATGACAGCGCGTCCGCCGGAGGTGGAGCTGGCGTTTGGCGGTCTGTACGATACCGGAGGGCGCGACGCCTTCTTGTCTTCTGATTTTGGGGTATCGATGGTCTTGGCTAACAGCAGTTCCCGCTGGCCCTGACTCTTGCTCTCGGTGGAGGGTGTCGCTTCGTCGGTTTCGCCGGACGCAACAGTCTTAGGACCGCGTAGCAAACTTGAACTCAAATGCGAACGGGCTGGGTTCGTCGCAATGGCATCCTGCACCACAGTAGAGGCAGTCAGGCGGCGCTTGGTGACTGGAGTCGTAATGTATGACAATTGCGACCGGCCCGTATACACGCTACCAATGACCCTCGGAGTATCTGGGAATGACGCTGGACGCTTTGAGCCTGCGGGCGAGTTGGCAGATCCTGCGTTGGACAAAACTTTCAGTGAGCGAGTCCTCGGAGGGTTATTGTTCTGCTGTTGCGATTCAAATGACGCGGGCCTGTTGGGGAGGGTTGGGACTCTGCTTCCGTGATCAGTGGCTTCTCGCGACGAGCCGGCGACTCGGCGGGTTTGGTTGTGCGCCTTTTGCGGAGTTTCACTCGCGGTGTTGGGCGAGGGTGGGATGTGCTGTAGCAATGTGGGCAGCGAGATGGGATTCTTTTTCAAATCGACGAACCGAAACGCGGGAAGCTTGGAGGAGCTGTTGTTCTGGCGATGGGCGTGTAAGTTACCGCTCTCGTTGCTAAAGGACGGGTTGTTGCTGTTGCGGGTGGTAGCGCTGGTGTTGTTGTTGTTGTTCGTGCTGACGGCGCTGGTCCTGCTGTGCGCCTCCGGAGGACTGCTCCTGTAGGGGCCCGCTGTGGAGTTGGGGCCAAGGCCCGCTTCTGCGAAACTGGCCGATGTCATAATTATTGAGGCGGCCACTGCGCTGACTGACGGGTCGCCACGCCGCGCGCACCAGATCAGGCGCCTTTCGTTTTCACCCCCCTTTTCCCCCTCTTGTCAGCGCGCAATAGATTTGCTTTTCCTGGTTTCAAAACCGAGCTTAAATTCCTAGATCCCTTGAATCCTAAGTTTCTTTCTTCGAATTTGGGTGCATTGACGATATCGCAGTGGATTCCATAAGCGGAGCTCAAGTTCGTGTCGCCAAAACAAGAGACACTTTGGGGCCGCGCTCAAGCGGGCAACGACGACGGTGCCCGAGATGGAATGGTTTTTTCGGCTGTGTGTTGAGAAGCGCGAAAGTGATGGCGCACTGGGAACCAAGCACGCGAATAAGTTGCAGGCTGCCTCAGGTCGAGAAGGACAGGTAGCTGAATCGGGAGCCGTATCGCAGGATACAGTAGAAGTAGGAGAGAGGCAAAGAGAAACCCTGTGAAAGTCGGGCTGGTGTTCACAGCAGCAGTATTCGTAGGGTTAGGTAGCAAGGTAATGAACGAGGGAGGACAGACTTGTGTGGGCCAATGCCCAGCGCGAAATCACCGAATGGAACCAGGACACGCCCTCGCGCTCGGTGGCTCCACACACTTACAAAGTCGGTAAGATGACTTTTAGGGCTTGCAGTTATTCGTAGGGTTTTCGTAGTGTATTGTTACATCAATACCCACCTAACGTAATGTGCTGCGACCTGTCAGGTCTCTAGTCTAGCATGTAATTACCTAGCTGAGTATCAATAGCGAAGCATCTGCTGAATTTGGATGTAACTAGACACAGAAGTACCAGTAACCACCTCGCTGACTCGGTGACAGACAGGAGCGACAAGGGGGAGTAAGGTAAGAACTGAGGTACTCCTCACATTTCGAGGGGGTGAGGATGGATACCATAGATACGGAGGTAATTTACAAGGTTTGCCATATCACTGGAAGCTCGCCTCCTCTTTCCTCTCTGTCAACGATGGGCAGGGAGAGGTGATAGGGAGAGGCTCTAGGTAGCTGAGGACTAACAACAATCACTCTCCATCCTCTCCACTCTTGAATATTAGGTTTGTACAACTCAGGGGTCTTCTGTATCTTTGCTCTGTAGGTTTACGCGACTTATTCCGAAGTGGCTAGGTAGGTCGGGCATTTCTCTAACATAGAGCGTTATCGAACTGTTTTCCACCGTTGATGAGAACAGACCGCGTCCGCAAAACCTAGTGTAACGTAAAGTTCCAACAGCTATCATCTCTCTTCACCCCTGGCATCTACGCTAGCGTTATGTATTTCGTTTGCGTCAAAGCCCAAGCGTAACCTGCAAGTGCCAGTCTCTTGGCTCTGCGCCTCCTCCCGCACCACCTTGACAGGGCGTGGCATGCATGGAGTACATACCTTAGTAGTGTATGTACAGTACGGAGGAGGGCGGCAACGGCGCGCAGCAAACAGTGGGGAGGTCAAACTATACTAGGGATAGGGCGACTTGGAAGTTCCTGTCCGCCAGCCAGTTAATCCAGTCTCTGCCTTTGGAAGGTGAAGTGTAGGGCGGTCGTTGAAGAGTAACTTATCTCATAAATCGGGAATGATGGCGAGGCTGGTAAGAGGGGTAATAAGTGCCCAAGGATCAGACGGGAAGGACCCTGGCTTGCCTGATGAATTTGATTGATTTGATTCCTTCCGCCTGCTGCGCAAACCGTGCAGACTGCAGAGACGCATTGGCGAATCGGGATCATCTCTCAACCCCCAACGGCGCAAACGTTCGATATATGTACATACATACAATGCGTCGAGGACGGCCCGTTCCATGCCGATTCCATGGAGAACAGAAACATGTGGCCTGGTGCGCTCTTCTTGCGTCGATATGGATACCTACTAGTAGTACAGTCGCATAGGTCATGTATGTCAGTTGGACTGTCAACTTGAAGTGCAGCTGTGTGTGAGGCAGACGGGAGCGGGAGGCGCCCAACTTCATTGCTACCTTACCTCGGGAAGTTACCTAACTACGAATACTTCGTGGGCCGTCGTGTAACTCCCTGACCTAGGACACTGGAAGAGCTGCTATCACGATTCAGGGGCTTGCATAGGGCCCAGTCCATGTCCTCTTCGCTTCTATGAAGTATTGACGCGTATTCTATCAAGGCGGGCGCATTCCAGCTTCCGGGGCAGGTGTCAGTTATTTTGAACGGCTTGTAAGCCAGTTCCTCTGCCACTACGAGAAACAAATCTGGACATCGTCAACCTTGGATCGAGTCAGTACCTACACGTAGTGCACAATACACTAACGTTGAACTACAATTCCAGCCTCAACATGTACATATGTCAAGGGAGAGGGAGGCCTTCACCCTGGTATACATGCCCTCCCTGTTCGTTTGCGACCTGTCCCCCGATTTTCTGATAGTCATCTGTTTCGGTGAGAGCAAGGCCAGGTTCCTTCCTCCAGGGGTGAGAAGCACAGACGGGAGTCGGCATGCCAGTGTCACAGATCCGCTGTGGAGGGACAGATCAGGATTTTCTTTTGCGACTTTCTGTATCGCCGGGGAATATGGACTGTATGCACTCACCGCCTTGATTCAGGATCAAATAGTTTGAAGACGGTATCCCTTGAGTGAAGCAGAATCGTTGCATGCATCGCGATTCCAGAGTCCCATGTCATGCCTGAACTCCATGAACTCCACATGCCTCTGGAGTATCCGTAACAGAATTGTGTACTCCGTAGCATGGTGTATGATTGCGTCAACGTCAGAGATTCCTTGAGACGAGCAGCCGTAGGTTTCAATGGAGATTGATAAGGTAAACGCTCTGCTTCTATGTCGGCGTGCTTCTCTGGTCCAAAGCAAAGCTATGGAGTCCTATACACATGGCGGGTTCAGAATATTTGAATTGATTGAGCGTCAAGAAGAAGCGCTGAAATGTCTGGGTGAGGTTGATTGATGGTCGAGGGAGGGTGAAGGGTGAAGAGGGGGGGAGGTTTATAGGTAGCGCGCTTTGCTCTTGTTGTGTGGCTGGGAAGGTTCCATCCACGGTCCACTGGTTGGCTCGAACTTGGAAGCTACGACGATCAGGTACCGTAGCTACCTCGGTTTGCTTTCTATCGTGAGCTTATTAAGGTACCTGAGTTATAGGGTAGAGAAGGCATAGTCCTTGAGTCCCGTCCTTACAAATTGATATACGTAGAACGGAGTATGTGTCCAGGCAACTCGTTCGGCGACACTTATGTTGATTTCGAACGGCTTGTCTCCAGTGCTGCGTGGACAGTGGGTACATCTCTCAGAAGAGCCGGCATCACTCGGACGAAGTCGAGATACGCTCCACTGCCCTAAACCATCACCGGATTGCTTTCTCGAGACGAGGTCTAGCTTCAAGTCGAGGTGCAGCAATTCAGGGATAAGCGTGTCCACTGGTGAGAAACGTTGAGATGAGAGGGCAGTGCACTGGCCATTCCGATGACCACAATTCACCCCACACCCCGCCCATCGAACTCGGCTTGTTTCAGGTCTGCAGCGGCCACATGTCGAACAATCCTGTAGGACTTGGCTGAGCGGTCTTGAGGAGAACACTTCATAGAGATATAGACAATTCATACCCGTGAGATTCGACCGAGTAGAGTTCAATCCACACACGCGGATAGGCGAACACTCCGTTCAAGAAGTCAAAGCCACCTGTCTATACCACATTGATGGGTTGCCGCGAATCTGGAGCCGTGTGGCACAGCTACCCTTCGCGGAGAAGGTAAGACAAGAAGCGGGAGACGTCCGAAAAAAAATGGAACGGCCGGCGGAAGAGGCCATCATAAGGCGGAGGTTGTCACTGCCCCGCGAGTGGATGGCATCGCCCCGAAATGCTCGGCTGCCTCGCCGAGACAGCGGCTTAGGGCTACACTATTACCTACGTAGTTTACGGGTACAGTACATACCAATTGATGAGCCATGAACCCAACCACAGCGCCTTGTCAAGGAAATGGGAATGCAGCATGCGACCCCAGCGGCTCCCTTGCAAGGCACACCCAGACTGCGCGCACCTGCCACTGGCCTAGGTTGCAGTCAACAGCCCAGTTTCGCAACCATCGTCCCCCATCAATGAAGGTTGAGGAAATGGCAGAACGACTGATCGGGTCGGGAGAACAACATTGCGGAAGATGATGGCTTCTGCTTTTGCAGCCAGGAAGGATCAACTGCAGAAGGGACAGAAAGAGGTTTGACCAGACGGTGGTTGATTGGCCAAACGAGCATCAAACTGGGGCCTCCTCCAATCAGGGCTGGCGAACAATTTTGCTTCCATGGTCGCACCCGTCTATTTATAGTATGAGTTGTTTGGAAAGCAAGCAAGTCCGCTAGCCGCCGGTGTTCTCTTGTACAGGTGGAGACTACTGTCGGCGCCTGCCATTGGTTTCAACCTCCCCCGCGACCCACCGCTCAACCCAAGTGGCCCCTGCAATTCAACCAAGCCGAGGACGACCTGGCCAGAGGGGAGTGGCTCCTCTGCCCGTGTGTGCCCTGCTGCCTCGATACCCCTAATTTTGGGCCTGAAGGCTGCACCCGTTCAGCGCTTCTTGCTTCCCCTTCTGCGCCCGCCTTTGCCTTTGCCGCTGCCACCGCCAACCGGGCATCGCCCCGTTCGATTCGCACCATCCTTGTTCTTCCACGCCAATTCCCTCTTTTCTTCTCCCTTCTATTGTTCTTTCGATTCCTCCTCTCTCAGCACTCCCGTTTGCACAGCACCAATTTGAAGGGACGGGCAAGAGTACAGGAGATTTGGATCGGGAGGTGGCTTCGAGACCGAAGACTCGGTTGTCGAGACAAAGGAACCCCGCGCCGTTTTGGCCCAGTTACAGTATCGACTCTTGTCACAGACGGCTCCTCAACGACCACGACTGCATTGGGCCATGTATTGACGCCGCGCCTTTTGGTTATCGGTCCCTTCCACCTTCCATTCACTCGTACTGATCCTTCATCGCTCTTGAACCTGTCGTCTCCGCTAAGCCGCAGTCCGCCACGCGTCCTGCTATTGGACATGGTCGCCTTTGGCTCCCTTCGAGACGAGCAACCATATTGAACAGTGCCCATTCGATCGAGCACGAGTATCCCATCATCAGGTCGACTTAGAATCTTTTCGGACATTGTACGAGTAACTTCGAAGCCGGGGATATTGGTTGCAAGCCGTTTGTGGGATCGGGATTTTTTCATCTTTTATTCAAGACGTTTAGGGAGTCTAGCAAGGATTCAGCAGCGCTGTCCAGCTTGGCCCAACTGTCTTGCGCACCACTCTGCTGATTAGCGGTGCTACCGGCAACCATCGCTTTCAATACTTCCGCTCGACGACGGCTACCAAACGGCGGGGTGGTCAAGCGACCTGGCGGCCGCCCTGCGACGGACAAGAGTGTGGTCGCGATCAGATTGAAGCGCAACGAAACCAATCCCGGTGCGTCGGGGCCATTTTGAGATTCACTGAATATGCCTTCCGCCGCGGCTCGACAGCTGTATGAGGATCAAATACCCTCATTCATGTCTGTCTATGGCGTGGACCGCGCGGTCATGGACCACTCTAATCCCGTCACAATTGTCGACCCCAACCTGGTGATGGAAGACTCAAAAGCGCCCGACGGTGCGCAGCCGGAATTGCGGCCAGGTGCCTTACCCTCAGAGCCTGCTCACAAGCACAACAATAGTACATCAACGCACACGACCGAGTCGGCTGACTCGTCTCCAACGACCACAGTATCATGCACAGATTCGTCCGACTTGTCCGATCCCTCGCCATCCTCGTCCCCGGACTCTCCCGTCAATGCAGCGCCTCTTCAAGCTTTCGCACCGGTCTCGTTTGGAGGGCTGTCCAACATGGCCAGCCTCACAGTGTCGGACCCGAATTCGGAGCGGCCAATGACCTCACCAGCACCCAGGCGGCCTAAGAACATGAAGGGCCTTTCCATTCAGCCTCCGTTTTGCTCCGTTTCGTCGTCGTTATTGTCAGAACCGTCATCTCCTTCATTCATCAAGCCTATTATTCCTGCAATGAAACGCAAACCGAGCCAACTCAGTCTCAAAACAAACTCGTCAGATCTCATAATGCGCTCAACACTCGAGGTTCCAGGTTCACCTGCGGTTCCCCCAATCCTTCAGCGCCGCGCTCTGAAGCATTCGACGTCCTCGCCACAGATGCTGTCGGGGTTGAAGTCGGCAACCTTCGGCCCTGTTGGAGGGATGACAATCCCGACAGTTTTGGAACGGAACGAGTCGGGGCTCTCCTCTTTCCTGCGCCCGCCACGGCCTGCGGGCAGTTCCGAGATGGGCCCGACCATTGCAGAAGAGGATTCACCGATACGACCACAGATCGCGAACCGTGCTGCTTACGATACTGAACCTTACCACGAGGTTGAGAATAACGAAGACCAGAAAACGCCGGGGTATCCCGATGGCCCGATTCCCATCTACGGCGACAATGTCTTTCTCTATCTCGAGCCAACTGCAGAAGAGGCGGCGCGCTTTGACGTGGTTATCAATGTCGCCCGTGAAGTCAGCAATCCCTTTACAACTGCTGCGGCCGATCAGCAAACCCGCGCCCCCGAGAAAGCATCCGACAGCTCTCCAATACCGGACAGCGCCGTGTCAACTGCCAGCTTTACTACTGCCTTTGAGTATTCCCCAGAGGATGTCTCAGTTGAGACGCCAACTACTCCTAAAGCACCGTCTCTCAAGGAGCCCGAGTACATTCACATTCCTTGGGATCATAACACAGATATTGCTCAGGATCTGATGAGACTTTGTGAGACAATTGATAAACGAACAAAGGAAGGGAAGAAGGTTTTGGTCCACTGCCAACAAGGCGCGAGCAGATCGGCGAGTTTGATCATTGCCTATGGTCTCTATCAGAATCCCGAGTTATCTGTTAACGATGCCTATTACGCTGCTCAGGCAAAGAGCCGGTGGATCAGTCCCAACATGAGGTTGATGTACTGCCTCCAGGACTTCCAAAAGGAAGTGGCCAAGAGGAGGTTGCTGCCGAGCGCAGGTTTCAAACCGCGGTGCGGTCGGAGTCCAACAAAGCACAGAGCAACTCAATCGGCTGACAACATCGAAGTGTCGCCAAAGGAGCCCTTAACGGCTCCCCTTCCGACTGAGGGGCCGGTCTCGAAGCGTGTGAGCCCAGAGAGGAGTCCGGCCCGGTCCCGGGGAAACTCGACTCCTAATAGAGGAGAGCCCATTTCGCCTGGCCCATCATCCGCGCCCTCGAGTTTTTCATGGCCAGGGAAGGCGGATGAGTCGTCAGATCCAGGCAAGTTCGGTCGGGTCAAATTGGACCACGGTGTTAGGGCCAATCAAACCGACTCTGGCTTTGCGTCATCCGCCAGCTCGTTGTCAAAGCCGCCACCCTCACCAGGATTCGCCTCGCTCTCGTTTCCCAAGCCACCGCCATCGCCGAGCTTTCCTACTGAGCCCATACTGAAGCCGCCGCCATCCATTGGCCTGGTACCACTTGAGCTTTCAAAGCCGCCGATGTCACCCGGTTTCCCGCCGCCGAATCCATTTTCGAGGCCGCCTGCTTCTCCCGGATTTGGGTCCCACAGGTTTGGCCGGTTGGAGCACAAGCTAAGCTTTGGGTCGCTAAACCTCAGGCCGCCGCCGAATTCGACCGATGCTAAGCAGGAGACCTCGGAGGGACGTGTCACGATTGTGCGCGACCTCCCTGAAGATGACGCTCTCATGTCCCCTCGCGCAGAAACGATGACCAGCAATCCGATTCACGAATCGCTCAGCGAACTTTCGGGAATGAAGTTTATTGAGGTTCCACCGACGCCTGACGAAGGGTTGTTCTCGCCTCGGGAGACCATGTTTCCCCGTGATCCATTCCTCCCATTCGGCCGGCCGATTCAGATCGCCGATCCGCGCAGTCCTCCGACTAAGGGCGAGACCCCAATTGTGCGGTCAATCGATGAAATGATTTGAGAGCGTCTTATGGGTGAAAACGCTCGATCAGATGGCTACTAGGCAAGGGCATTGACAGGGTCAAACACTGACGCACATCAAGCTCTTGAGGATTACGACGAAAACCACATATCTAGCGGCCGACCAAGCCGCCATAGATCGATCACCGAGCCATGGGGCCCAAAGCCGCTTGCTCATGACAAAATCAACCGACATCACAGCCGACTCCGAAAAACAAATTTCTTTTGTTTCATCGACACTTTGAGCCTTCTTTCCGCGGCGTCTATTCTGGTTTTTAACTGCAACGGAACGCGCGCATCATCAGGGGGTGGCGTGGCGCACTGGGCTTCTCTTCGGGGAAACTCAAAACATCCTGGCCGGGCGGCTTCACTGACTTCAGTTTTTTATGTCATCGACTAAACGAAATGTATAATCTAGAATATGTTATGGGCAGGGGCAGCATCTGGACGAGATACGCAGCCGGAGTTAAAATGGGGAAACGAGCAAGGAGGCAGCTTTGACTTAACTGGATTAGGGAAGAACCACGAGGGAGCACCCGTTCTCAGCAGCTCAGCGTCCCGCGCGGGCAGAGGTATGGGAAAGGGACGCGCAGGTGTATACACGAGACCCAGTCATCAAAAGCCTATCGTCGGGACGTAGGCGCTCATTCAGGGTCGCCTTGCTGGAGTTGGATCCTTGGCGAGAGGCTGTCTGGCATGCCCGACAGCGAAAGACGAGTCATCAAGGTAATGACGGGCTTGATTGAATATCAGACGATAGTGGACTGGGAAGACACGGTGTTATATTGACTGGAAACGGGTGCTAGGAGATGGGATTGGATGCTGCTGCTCGCTCCCGTAGTGAAACAAACTACAACTCGAGCATGCGTTACATGGCCTTGTCCATGTACAGATGTTTTGGAGGAAACCGAATTAAATCATATTTTGAAGTAACTTGATCATCCACTTTGCCGCCTGTTTGGTCTCATGTGGTTCAGCGTCAGTCATGGATCAAAAGTGCAGCTCGGCCAATTTAGACATTCCTCATCCTCCATGACCGCGGCAGTGTTAGCTGCAATGTTCAACCAGGGCTAGTTCACCAGCCTCGAGGGTGGAACACCGACCAGAGCGAGGTTCTGATGAGGAGGATATTCGTTTTCTATGACTATACCCTTGTCCTATCCAGAGAGAACCTCCTCTTCCATGTGGATTTCCCAACCTACGTCAGACTCCTAAAATATGATGGGAGAAACGTAGGACGAAAGAAAACGGATCTATCCCGTTTTATACCAAGAATCTTCAAGGATCTATGTACAATACACAACAAACGACAGCAACAAGAGAGCAGCAGGCAGCGAGAGAACAACTATTTTTGTTATTGTGCCTTTGCCTTCTTGGCCGCCTCCTTGGCCAACTTCTCGCGCCTCGCAATCTGCGCCTCAACGCCGATGCCGCCAAATACCAGACCGACGCCGAGCCACTGCATGGGAGACAGGCGGTGGCCAAACGCCACGACGCTGAGGATCATGGTGAACATTTTGCGCGTGACCGTGACGGTGACGAGCAGGACCGATGAAAAAGTCGAGAGGGTGTGGACTGTTTGTTATTAGAAGGGTTGGCTAACAAAAACAGTGGCCGTGGAGAGAAGGGGCGCG